GATAGAATGATTTAGTTAGAGCCTTCAAGAAGAATTACTATGAGTGAAGCTCTATAACATTAATATTTTCTATGAATTAATATAATATAGATAATCATTCCTTTGGAATTCCTCCTTCTGGTGTTTATTTTCCTAATAAGGCCTTGTGAATATGTGGAATAACACCACCTCCTGCAATAGTAGCTCTAATAAGAATATCTAGTTCCTCATCACCTCTAATTGCTAATTAAAGATGTCTTGGTGTGATTCTTCTCACTAAACAAGAATTAATTTATTTACTATACCTTTGAAGTCTTTTGAAGCATTTCCTGCTAATTCAAGTACTTCTGCTGTCAAGTACTCTAAAATTGCTGATGTGTATACAGCTGATGTTGTTCCTACTCTATTCTTGGCTGATACTCTTTACTTCAAATATCTATGAATACGTCCAACAGGAAACTTATTATTGTAAAATTCACTACTTAAAGCCCTGCTTTTAATGACCTTGATTATGGGGCTTTCTTATTCTTTCCTTGACCAAATTTTCCTCCTTTTCCACCTTTTCCGCCTTTTCCTCCTTTTGCGCTCTTTGCTATGCCACTCTATACTATATTATGCATATATTACCATTTTGATGCTAATTTATTTTAACCTTTAAAAACTAATATATACTCTGTTTAAGAATCGATAAACTCAAATTTGATTGGCTCTACCTTTTAATTTCGGATAATCATTAAACACTTACTTGCCCTCTTCAATGCTTTTTAAAACTTAGTCCCTATTTCACTATTAAATAACTTTGTTTGAGTCTTTTCAAATTAATATGCAATTATATATTGGAAATAAATATTTCCTTAATTATTTATAAATTAACTTTATCTATAATCATCTAAATATCCCATTCCTCACCAAACATTCTTTAAATCCATATCAATCTCTCTCTTTTTCCTAATTGCAACAACTTCGTTATTCATCTAATATCTTTTTCTATTTTTAATATAAATATATAAATTGGTATAATTATCAAAAATTGAAAATTTGTTTCGAATTACTAAAAAATTTTTATCTGCAAACAAATTATTACTTAATATCTTTTTTAGATAAAACCCACTTAAATACTTGTCTCATCAAAAAACACATAATTACCAATTATAAAATTTCCTTTTATCAAATTACTATATTTTACCACTATTTTTATATAACTATCTCATCCAAACATTCTGTAAAGTATTTTTTAGAACTCATTTCATCAATTTCTAACTTAAACTTATTTTATCTATAAATATATATCATTAATCCATATACTTTCAAATTAATATTTTTTATTTCTCATTTTTTAATCATTTTTTCTATTAAAAAGTACCATTAACATCTATCTTTTGTTATATAGAATTTGCACAAAGAGTTGTAGATAAAATATTTATAAAATTTAATCTAATTAAAATTTTCTTATTTAATAACAATTATTTCATAATTCTTAATTGGGAATTAACAAATCACAAGATCGGATTTTATTAACTTTAAAATCCTTAAATAACTAGACATTTCCATTAATTAATTACCTTTTATTCAAAATATATTTCATAACAAAATAACAATTTTAATACAGGATTATATTTTACTAAAGAATCATAATATCATTTTAAATCAGTTGATAAAATAGTAAAATTAAAACATAAAAGAAGATGATAATTAATAATTATGGAATTTGATAAGAAAAAGTACGATGATTTATAATCAATTTTAATTTTATAATTTCTCCTGATTGGTATTTATTGACTTAACTTGTATTATATGTGCAATAGAAAAAAACTTATATTTCACCTTAAAGATTAAGTTTCAGTGTTAATTAGAAATTACTTATTTTTCATAATATTTATAAACATAATCCAACTAAATTATAATTTATTTCTAAAATAGAAAGAATCTCATTTAATATGTTAAGCTAGCTCATTTATATATTTTTAATCAATTAACTCTAGAATGCTCACTAATTATTTCTCTATTTCCTAAATATACTTCATATTATTTTCGCATAATCCAGAAATTTAGAATTTTTTCCTTAATTTATATTTTTGCTTAGTTTTAAAAAGATCTTAAAGTTAAGGTGTAGATCCATATAAAATAGGATTTATCAATTTATTTAAAGAATTCAAATAATCCAAACATTATTCTAGTATAGATTATTAATCTAACATGTTAGGAGCTATAGAATTATAGGAAGATGTCAATTAATTTATTGTTAATTCTAACTGTAAATATAATTAATTTATACTTCTTAAAATTCTGATAATGTAGTCTGTAAATTTTCATTGTTTGCTTGTAAGCATTTCATTTATTCTTACAATTACTTAATTAAATGATCTTTTTCAATTAAAACCTAAATTTTTTATTCACATTTAGACAACAAATCTCTCGATACTCAAAAAATATTCATATAACATACTTATCTTATTCAAATAATGAAGATTTTAACTTTTTTATTACAGCTTCTAATTAATTTGTTCTTTATTTTTCATTATTCAATTATTCCTATAATATATAGAGTTAATTCTTAGAAGAATAATATTCAACAAATACTTTGAGGGATATATTTTCTTAAAATGATGTTTTATTAGATTCATAATTACTAGTTTTTGTACTATAACTTCTATCTTTTGATTGACTTCTAATTCTTTCATATTCTTAATCAATTTCTTCTGATTTAAGATTTTTTATAATTTTAGAGTAGTTATGCATTATTAAAATTATTATTTTTTTTGTTTCCATAAAAAATAGTTATACTAATGTTTATAGAATAAAAAAATATTATTCTAATGTATAATTATATTTTCTTGAGAAAGAAAAAAAACTTTTAATTACATTTTAAAAATTATTTAGAAATAATAAAGTATGCTACATTTTTCGCCTTGGAGTCAAAAAATGGATACGTTAACTCATAGATTTTAAAATAAGGCACAATAATCATTATCACCAAATTCACAACCAAAAACTGGAAGATTAAATAATCTCTCACTTTAATAGCACCCAAAAAAAATGAACTCATAATTTTACAATCATCAAAACAGCATAATTCAGGAGGAATCTAAATAATATAATAATGCAAGCAGTTAAACAGATTTACCTTCATTAGAAATGGAGGAAAAATTATTTGCATAATAATTAGAACAATCATCAAGAAAATATCAGCATGCTATGCTTCAAACAAAAAATCATTATCATCATTCAACTATCATAAGTTTATTATAGACTATTCATTTTAAATCAGATTAAATCTAATCTCTTAAATAAAAGGCATAATAGCTAAAAAAAGTCATTGTACAAAATAAAAATAGAACTATTACTGTTATTGTTGTAAATAATGCTGCTTAATTTGTTCATTATTTACTAAATTCCAATTACTTTGAATAGTCTTCAGGTAATTTTTTTAATACATAACACCATCCATCTTTCTTTATTACTTAAATAACTATTTCAAATAGTAATTCTTCAAATACTGTACATTCCTATTAAGATTTATTGACTGTAACTAAAAAAAACAGAATATATGATGTGGCTTTGAATAGATTATTATATGATTAATCTTAATCTTTTATACATTATTGTCCTGATATTGTGATAGTAACTATTGGGAATCTTTAAGAAGAACTCTCTAATAAATAAAGGGATAAGTCGTTTTTGGTTAAGAGTGCAGAATAATTGTAAAAAGAAACTATGAGATAGACTAAGAAAAGAACAAAATTTAAATTAAAAGAATTAAATTGACTATCATACTTTGATTATATTTCATTTTGAATTTCAGTTCCAGATTAAAGTTCATTTAAAAGTTTTAATTTTATTGTACGTATAATAAAGCATTATTTTATTTATTATTTTGATTAATATATAGACATTTTTTATTTTATTTTAATTTTCTATTGTAAAGCTTTAACCGATTCTAATAAGATTGAAAAAGCTAACTTTTAATAATTTAAATAATTTCATCATAAAATTGCTTAATATTTAATTGAAAAATATATAAACATAATATTCATTATTGTGCATGGTATAAAAGCAATTAAAGTATTAAATAATTTGTTTTCTTGATAGAAATTTAGGATTATTGTAATAATCATTCCTAATTGTATTCCTAAAACGAATGCACATACTTATTATTTTGTTATTAACCTCCCTCTATCGGGACTTTAAATCCAACTAACTGCTATTTTAAGGTAATAAACAATTAACATAGTGCAAAATAAAAAAGAAATAATCTCAGAATCAAATAGAAATATTCCCATAAAATGTGTAATAAGAATTTATACACATTGGATAAAACCCATACCAAGAATCATTAATCTTTTTTTTGATGGATTTTGATAAATGTGATCGACAATCTCTTCATTTAAAAGATTGATTGAATCTTAATGAGTATTTAATTGATCTTCATCTTCATTATCAAATTGCAAAGTTGTATCTTCAGGCTTTTTACTATTGAAATCTTGAAGCTCTTATGCTGTTAATTATAATTCTGCTGATTAATATTTTTGTTATCTTTTCTTTTTTGTATAGAGAAGTTCTAATTACTGTAAACTCAAATGCTATAACATAAATATAAATTATATTAATTTTAAGTTTTATTTAGAACAGATTTTGAAAAGAAGATATTTTTAAAGATGATGTAATGCATAGTAATAAATTAATAATATTCATTACAAAATTATAAATGGAGAAGGATAAATGATCAATTTCATTAGAATTTATATCCTTCAAATAAGCCTTAAACACTTTTCCTTCTTAAAACCATTGAACTGTCTTCTTAAGGTTCACTGTCTGCTGAGATTTAACTTTAAAAATCATAATTACCATCAATACTCTAAATAAAATAATAATAATTTACTCCAGGAACATAAAGAGATCTAATTTCTTTATTTAAAAGTTTTCCCCATGGAAAATTGTGTAACCAAGAATGACTAAAAATTTCATCAATTCCATTAAAGCCGAGTCTTTACTAAGGTTTTCTAATGAGTAACTATTATATATTATTGTAATATTAATATACTTTATTAACAAAATCAATAGCTTTATTACTTAAACCTGGAGTGTTTTCTTTAATTTATATTTATTTAGCTAATATTTAATCTCTAATTTCTTATCTATTTTTTCCATTATAAGGTCTTTTTCCAATTAAAAGTTCATAAACAATAACACCAACTGCATAATAATCAACAGGAAATGAATGCTCCATTCTACACATTACTTCAGGTGCCATATATCCAGGAGTACCTGAAGTATCATTAGCTATACTATCTTTATTTAAACGAGCCACTCCTAAATCTGTTAATCTTAAAAATCCCTCTTTATCAAATACTAAATTCTCAGGTTTTACATCTCTATGTATTATACCATGTTAATGTAAATATTGTAAAGACAATAAAATACAACATGCAAAAAATTCTATTATTTATATTTCAAATACTTGTTTATTCCTCAGAAAACCTTTTCACTCTACCTATATGATATCTTAAATCCCCTCCTCTTAATAAATCTAAAACTAAATATAGATTCTCTCTATCTTAAAATGCATAATGCATATTCACTATAAAAGGATGCTTCAAGTGTTCAAGTAAGAATTTCTCATTCATAACTGAATTTACTGATCTTTTGGTTATGATTCTAAATTTTTTATAGATATACTTTGTTTTTAACATTTCTTTTAAAGCGAACTCTTATCTATTTGCTTTCATTTCTACTCTCCAAACTTTTCCAAAGCCTCCCTTACCTACAACATATAAAAATTTAAATGAATGTCTTCCTATTCCCATTGAATTTAAGTTTTATTACTATAATTCTTTTATTGGACTATCTACTGATATTTTTCGAGAATGAGAATTTGTCATTATCCATGTTGTTGAATTAGTGCTTCCTTTTGATTCCTAATTAATCTTTCCATTATAAAATTAGTTTTGGATTTGATGGTTAGATACTTATCTTGATAGTTACTTAGAAAGAAGGCTAGATTAAATTACAAAATTGTTTTTATTATCTGTTCTTTTAGGACCAGGAGAGTTTTCATCAACAACAACTGAGTTTTTTATTGATTTTAATGAAAGCATTGATGATGATCTTTTACGAGAACATATCATACAACTTTTTTGATTGCATTAGCAGACTGATTCTATTTTCTTACCAGCGGTTATTTTGAACTTAATCACAGCCTTTTAGTTCGAAGGTAATAAATCCTTCAAAGATGCTGTAACATTATTCATTTTTATTAAAATAAAATATAATAATCGTTTACAATCAAATAACCTTTTATTAGAATATTTACATCTAACAATTTTTTATCTACTAAATTGATTGTAAATTAATCTTATTTTTATAATAAATCAAATCAATATTCTTATAAGATATAAAATTTATATTTAATATGCTTTTCAAAAATATATTAGGCATTCTTTATATGATTGTCTTTCTTAAGTTAATAAAAATTATTACTATTCATTTTGGTGAATACAAAAAAAAATTAGCAATTAAATGGTACTAATGTCTCCTTTTCCAGAAATTAAAAGATGCTGTAATTTAAGTTTATATCTAAGATTTTTTTGATTTAATTAATTGTCATCTATATTTACAATTTATTAATCTTCTTATTTTTTAATACCATCTCTTTTTATTTATCTTAATATACTGTAAAATCATTATTAATTCTTTTGAAAAAAAAATCTTTCCATTAATTTCATTGTTTAGCTCCTATCATGATTCACTTTTTTTAAATTTTTTGGAGTTCTCCATACTTTTCTTTCATTTATTTTTCTAATTAAAATTTATTATATCGATACCTTTTATTTATATTAAAAATAATTAATTTCCTTAAAATTTTTTGTATAATCTCAGAGTTTAAATATTATTTAAGGTTTATTTTTAGTATTTATTAATCAAGTTTGATCAATTATAAATATTTTGTTAGTCCCTTATTTTTTCTACATCTCTATTAATTTACTTGTATTTCTTTATTTGGATATCAATTATAGTCATAGTTTATGGTAGTTTTATTTTAATACACTTTTAATTCATAATTTATAAAATCACTCTTCATAACAAATTAAACTCATATATTAGTTCTATTCAAAATTGTAGCAAATCTACTTTAAAAATTATTACTCTTAAAGGTTCTTCCTTTTTAATATGAATTTTAGTATATATACTAAAAAATTTAAAGATAAAAACGTAGTAATGGAATCTTTGAGCTTCATTTAATTAAAATTAGAAAAGATGTTCCCAAGTCAATTCTTTTCTTTATGAAATAATATTTAATTCTTAAGAAAAACATAAATAATTTAAATATTTAGATTATTCATTTTTTTGGAATAGAATATTCGTCTAATAGAGCATCTCTTGTTTTTTTTTTTTTGGGATTATAGAGAATATAGTGTTAGAACATGAAAATAGCATCGAAACCCATTGCTATCCAACTTAATATAAACTTAACAATATTGACATCCACAAGATTTGCACTCTCTTTAATTAAATATAATAATTACTTCCATTAATAGAATCAAGTAACATTTATAAGAAAGATAAAAATCCTCCCATAAAATCTAATAAGATATTAAATATGCTCCATCCAACAGTTGATTTTCTTTTATAATTTAAATACACTTATGGAACATATTTAATGAATGAAATAAAAAGTTTTTCATATCCCATCCAATAAAGAACATTTAATTTTTCTTATTCGAATATAACATTCCAACCGAATATCCAAGTCAAAAGGACGTATAAAATGGTTTAAGACCAAAGAATAATAAGTACTATTATACACCATACACTGACTCCTGGATTATCTCCCTTTCTAAAGTAATAACCTGTTTATATAATTGTTAATATAGTAATAGCAACAGCATGATATGCAAAGAACAAATCTTATTTAGTTATATCACCACTAAATGGCCATCCATTATCACCTCCTTTAAAATAGCCTGCTGAGCTATATGCACTTAAAAATAGAAATCCAGTTAAATTTAAACCAAGAAATTCAAAAGCTATTCCTTTTACACTATATTATTATTATTCTAATACTTTTTGACTTTGAAGTTTTCATATAGTTATCCATAAAAACTGATTGACCAACTTACAAAATATGTCCATCCTATTATGTTACTTATAACATCGAGTGCATTGCTTTTAGGCTCCTCATCTCCAAAACTTGATAGTAAAAATTCAAGCATTACGTAATTGATTGCCTAATTAATATTAATTAATTTTTAAAATATCAAAAATATAGTTAATATTACAATTAATATGTAATACACAATATAAAATTGTTAGCATCATCATATTTTAAATGTGTATGAAATCATTCTCTCATCAAACTTAAATTACTTTTCATTTATTAAATAATGAACGATTCTAGTAATATTCCTTACATCATCTATTCCACTATGATGCCTACCTTATAAATCTAATCCACATTATTCTAACATTTCTACCATACATGGGTCTTTTATTTATTTTGGATTTCTTAAACTTTTTGGAAATACTATTGTAAATTTAATATTTTTACCCTTTTTTATATTTATATAAAATTATAGTTCTTTTTATATAGCTATTCCTTTTCTACTCGCTTCTTTCTTTAGTAAATTCAAGTCATAATCACCACAAGTTAATATGCAATATCTTTATAAACCTTATTTAAACTAAATAAATTCATCTATTGCTTAATCAAGCAATATTCCTTTATCTACTTATTCTTATGTTATTCCTGTTAATTCTGTACAAAAATCACTTAAAATTGGATTTTCAACTGGTTTTAAATATCTCCAAAATTCTTTTATAACCTTTCTTTCTTAAACATTATAAACTTAAGCTGGAAACTCTATAATCTCTTAAAGATATTTTTTATTTTGTTCTCTAATACAAGTTGCTTCAAAATCAAGTATTATAATATTATCAAATCCTTATAATCTATCCTCTTCTTCTGGTATAGGAAATTTTAATGTTTGTAACATTTTCAATTCAAATCTATATGATCTATCTAATAACTCCTTAACTACCTCTGCCAAAGAAAAACAATCAGCTATTTTATTCAATTACATAAATACATTAATATGGGATTTTCAATTATTTAAGCATAGCATTTACTGTTAATTAACCATTTGAATTAGGAAATACACTTCTAACCTCAATATATTTCTATATTGGACACTTTAAATTGCAATATTAACACTATTACAAGTATATCTTTGCTTTCTCTCTATTCTCAAATATAAATATATCTCCAGACAAATATTAAAAGGTTTCTTAAAATCCCACTCCTTAATCAGCTTATTCTTATGTAATTGAACAATATTCTGGATTTTAGATTAGAGGTATCAAAAAAGGCTTTATAATTAATTGTTTTGAAAACGCAACATTATAATCTGATTCTGATAGTTTTAATTTACATATAAGTAATTCCAAAATTTCTTTCCTATCTTCTGCTTGATTACAATCAAAATCTATTATTATTATCTCCGAAAAATCTTTATTATAATTTTATAAGTCTGAAATTTTATTAAAATAAGTACAATCGAACTTCATTTGTTAAAAAAATTGCTCCTTCAATGTTCCACAATATTAACATTATTTTAAATAGTAATTATTTTATTAATTACAAGCAACACAATCCCAAGGATATTAAAGTTACTCATCCTTTTAGATCATCTTTTATAATTTATATTTAATATTTAATTTTATCAATTAGTCAACATAATATTTATCATATTTTAAAAATCAGAATTATATAAGAGCAGTTTTTTTACTAAAAAAATCATCTTTACATAAAAACCTTGCTAATTAATAAATATATTAGATTATTGGATAACATTTAATCTATAATAATAAAAATGATAACATTTAATCTATAATAATAAAAATAATAAAAAATCAGTTATTTTTGCAATTGCATTCTAGTATACCTTCTTAATTAGAATCAACGAAACACGGGAAATGATATTTTTTATTACATTTTTCACAAATAAATGATGCTCCTTATTTTTTACAAATAAAGCAGTCCTATATATTAATTCTTAAAATTTACTTAAGTTCTATATAATAGATAAACTTTGTCAAATTCTACTTATCCTGGATTATTAATATTTTTATAGCACTAAGAATGTGCCTGCAACTTTCTGATGGAATTTGGTACTACAATAATTTTTCCACAAGTGTTTTCATTTCCTTCAAAACATAAGCAACATGGTTTATTAATATTTGGTTCTGGAGTTATCCTTATAGGTAGTTTTTTCTCTTTATTCTAATGAACTTCATATTACACTTATTTTGGAGGGTTTAACTCTAAATTATTATTTATGCTTGAGCCTTTAAATTTGCTTCTTGTAAGCATTTAATTAGAATTTTCCAAAAGTTTTTATACCATAATCTAGATTTATTCATTAGCTTATAGCAATATTCTTCCAATTGATAATCCCTCCTAATAATTGGAACTCTTAATTGAGGGTAATCTTGGAATTACTAATCTAAGTAAATTAAAGTACCACTATAAACTGTATTTTATAAATCAACCATTTATTTGATTATTAAGTCTTTTAAAGTAGCAGTTTCCATTATAAATATTTAATTTGGTATAATTTTGTTTCTTTAAGTTTCTTTAAATAATCGAATCATNTAAGTACAATCGAACTTCATTTGTTAAAAAAATTGCTCCTTCAATGTTCCACAATATTAACATTATTTTAAATAGTAATTATTTTATTAATTACAAGCAACACAATCCCAAGGATATTAAAGTTACTCATCCTTTTAGATCATCTTTTATAATTTATATTTAATATTTAATTTTATCAATTAGTCAACATAATATTTATCATATTTTAAAAATCAGAATTATATAAGAGCAGTTTTTTTACTAAAAAAATCATCTTTACATAAAAACCTTGCTAATTAATAAATATATTAGATTATTGGATAACATTTAATCTATAATAATAAAAATGATAACATTTAATCTATAATAATAAAAATAATAAAAAATCAGTTATTTTTGCAATTGCATTCTAGTATACCTTCTTAATTAGAATCAACGAAACACGGGAAATGATATTTTTTATTACATTTTTCACAAATAAATGATGCTCCTTATTTTTTACAAATAAAGCAGTCCTATATATTAATTCTTAAAATTTACTTAAGTTCTATATAATAGATAAACTTTGTCAAATTCTACTTATCCTGGATTATTAATATTTTTATAGCACTAAGAATGTGCCTGCAACTTTCTGATGGAATTTGGTACTACAATAATTTTTCCACAAGTGTTTTCATTTCCTTCAAAACATAAGCAACATGGTTTATTAATATTTGGTTCTGGAGTTATCCTTATAGGTAGTTTTTTCTCTTTATTCTAATGAACTTCATATTACACTTATTTTGGAGGGTTTAACTCTAAATTATTATTTATGCTTGAGCCTTTAAATTTGCTTCTTGTAAGCATTTAATTAGAATTTTCCAAAAGTTTTTATACCATAATCTAGATTTATTCATTAGCTTATAGCAATATTCTTCCAATTGATAATCCCTCCTAATAATTGGAACTCTTAATTGAGGGTAATCTTGGAATTACTAATCTAAGTAAATTAAAGTACCACTATAAACTGTATTTTATAAATCAACCATTTATTTGATTATTAAGTCTTTTAAAGTAGCAGTTTCCATTATAAATATTTAATTTGGTATAATTTTGTTTCTTTAAGTTTCTTTAAATAATCGAATCATGAGTCATTTATGAACTAATATAACCGATATTATATAGTATAATTATATAATAAATGATGTCTTCATGTATTGAAAATTCATTTCATAAATTTCATTATTTAATGAAGACTTAAGTAAGCCAATAAAACACCCCTAAGTAAATTGAATTTGATAATGCAGAGCTGTTTCTAAATATTCATATAAAGAATCCTATTAATAAAGAACCCCACTTCGATAGGATAATTTTTTGAATCTTTATGAAAAATATTTGAATTGTCAGGGAAGGAAAAGATCTCATTAAATGGATGAAGCTAGAAGCCCTTTACAACAATCTACTTCCCTTCATTATTTAAATAAAAAAAATGAAGTTGGTGTACATAGATTTTCTCTCGATAATTTTAATTTGGATAAGAGGTAGTGTAATATATTTATATTAATGGATAGTTCCAAAGGATTAAAATCATATCTCACAACAATCAATAGTTCAAATAGCATTTTAAATTAAAAGGCTAACAATTCATACTTTCCAAACAAAAATGATTCGAGTTAAGTTAGATCATAGACAGCAGATGGTTAAAGTGTGTTGACAGATGAAATTGATAAAAAGCCTATTAAAGACAAATTCATTAGTATCATATTCAATTATTCTTATAGTAGATGTTATGTGTAAAACAAAGAGATTAACTGAGAAGCTTCAATAAATGAATAAATAAAACTAAAAAATGAAAGAGTCATAAAATTTAGCTTTTCTATTGAAAGGTCATTAATAGAAGAAATAATAATCATTTTCATCTTATGATCTCAAAAAGGTTTTAGCTAAAACTAAAATTATACTTGAAAATTACAAAAGAGAAAATAAATTACTTATTGAACATAATCTATTATTGAATGATGAATTATAAGAATCATAAGATTAAATAAGATAGAAAAATGAAGAAATCTAAAGATTAAGATAAATGCTATATCAGTAATGAATTTTATTATAACTAATCTTTCGGTAAAAATTTATTGTTTTTTTTTATAATAAAATTATGATTAAAAAACCATAATTGTTCAATTTATTAAAACCAGTTAATGATGAATTTGAAGAAATCTCTTCTAAGTTATAAAAGCCATATATTGAAAATTAATTTGATATATCTTAAAGTAAAACTATCAAAGAATTATTAAGAATTATTGTATGCTATAGAAAAACCAACAATCAATACTAAAAATACTAATAGTTGTAGAAATAGTACTGGAAGATTGTCAGCATTTGATTTTTTAAATTAAAGTACAACAAATGTAAATGAAAAGAAAACTTTCTTGATTGTATTAAAGTATTTTTAAAATGAAAATAAAAACGTTGTGATGGCAAGAAAATCTACAAATCTTTATGGGTTTTCAAAAGCATCATCAAAACTGAGATGAATTCTCAAAAATGTTTATATTTAAGAATAATATAAAATAGTTATAAGTCTCTCAAAATTCAAAATGTAACAATTAAATTAAAAAGAACTATGTAAAATTTTCATAGATTTTAAATTTATGTAAAATAAAGTTATTTATTGTTGTTCTTGATAGATCTATGTAAATTCAAGCTTTCAATTAGAATTAATTCGACTTTTTTTTTCTATCAGGAACTTCATCATTAAAAGAGAGGGATTCTTGATATATCATATTTTATAGTATTTCTTTGGTTGGATCGAAATTATCCCAACTCCAATCAAAAGCTTTACCACTAAGAGGTTCTTCATCAGGATTATGTAGTTCATCGAAATAAGGATGTTATAGGCATTATTCAACAGTATAACGCTATTCTGGATTGAATGTGATCATCTTTCCTAATAAGTCTAATGCTTTATTATTAGCCTAAAAAATGAGAAATTAATACCTTAGGGAAAAGAGCTTCCCACTTCTATTTGGATCTTTTTGGAAGACTTTTAATGTATTTTATGGCATTATTATTTCCAATATATTTCATATCATCAGCAGTAGGAGTTCCTAATACTGCAATTATTCTTTAAACTTAATCTAAATAATTTTCTCCTGGAAACAGAGGAGTTCTACCCAATAATTCTGCCAAGATACAACCAACAGAGTATATATCAACAGCCTTACTATATTCTGAAGCATTCAAGATTACTTCAGGAGCTCTATACCATCTAGTAACAACATATCTAGAAAATAATTGGTTTAGTATACTCTGTTTTAAAATCTTCTTCATTTTCATATCCTCTTGCTAAACCTAAATCGCATATTTTTAAATCACAATTTTTGTTAACTAAAATATTCCCTGGTTTAAGATCTCGATGAATTACATTTGCTGAATGCATATAAAGTAATCCTCTTAGAATCTAGTAAACAAAATATTGTATATGTTCATCTGTTAGTTCTTACCTAGAATATATAACTCTATGTAAATCTGTTTCCATAAATTCTGTTACAATATATATATCATTAAATCCAGTTTTTGCTTCAGGCTTTTATACATCTAGTAGTGAGATGATATTCTCATGTTTAAAAAATTCTTTATATAATTTAAAATGTACTTAGTAATTTGATTTCTCTAACTATCCTTTTACCATCAATTAAATCATCGAATGCATTTGCCACCTTAATAAATTGATAGATTTACTTTTTTTATTGCTACCTTCTATCCAGTTCTCTTATTTTAAGCAGAACATACTACTCCATAGGCTCCATGTCCAATCTATTTTATATATTCATATTTTTAATCAACAACGAAGGATTAGCCTACAAATTCTTATTGATGAAGATACCTCCACACTAAAATGAATGTCTTCCCTTAGGGACATTAAGACTTTTAGGATCTGGATTCATGTATTTAATATTTAATTAATTAAAAATGGGTATATGTTTTGGGATTTTAGATGAAGACAATTAAGAAGATTAAAAAAAGAATCCTATTTCAATAGAAGAATAAGCTGCTTAAAAAGATAAAGAAGAAGAAATAAGTTATTAAATTGAAAATTTCACATTTAAGAATGTAATACAATAATTTAATGAATAGATACTTGGTAAAGGTGTTTTTGGAAAAGTCTTTTTGGCAGAACACATCAAAACAAAGTAATATTTCGCAATTAAAATTATTAATAAAGAGCAACTAGAAAACTATAATTTTATAGAATCAGAACATTAGATTTTATAGTAAACATAAAGTCCTTTTATAATAAAACTTTATTTTACTTTTGAAAAGATGAATAAGTTATATTTGGGAACAGAATTCGTAAATGGTGGAGACTTGTATGTCCATTTGAAAAAAAATATACAGTTTTCAGAAGAAAGAACAAGATTTTATGCAGTTGAATTAATCTTAGCATTAAAATATCTACATGAAAATAGAATTATCTATAGAGATTTAAAACCTGAAAATATATTATTGGATCAATTTGGACATATCAAATTAACAGACTTTGGTTTATCGAAATTTAAATTTAGTAAAATTACTTATACAGCATGTGGAACACCAGAGTATGTTGCACCTGAAATATTGTTAGAATAAGGTTATAATGAATGTGTAGATTGGTATTCGTTAGTAATAAAGTTATACATCTTATATAGGGAATTCTGATATATTAGATGTTATGTGGATCCATTCCATTCTATTCGTAAAAATAGGAAGATATGATAAATAAGAGATTATCTTAGCCTTTTGAATTTCCAAAATATTTGAATTTAAAAGCAATTGATTTGATAGAGAGATTAACTGAAAATGAGGTTCATAATAGAGAGTTTCATTAAGGTTTCAAAACGTTTAGGGTTTAAGGGAGCAGAGGAAATCCTTCGACATCCTTTTTTTGAAAATATCGACCTAGAAGCAATGTCCAAAAGATAAGTAGAGCCACCTTTTAGACCATAATTAGAAGGAAAGAAAGATTTACGATATTTAGATCCTGTAATAATAAATTATAATAAAAGGATTTATTACAATAAGACATTAAATTTGATGAAATATCAGATAATTGATGATATATTATTAAATATAATATTAATATATGAATTAAAATCCAATACCTTTACCAAAAGAGTATTAAATTCCTGATGATTTTCACTTAAATCTTAGAAATAGATTCTTAGATTTCTTTAAATAATAATTAGGAGAGTAAACAAAAAATAGCATAGTATTTCTCAAAGGAGCAGTAACTATTGATAAACTTGATGATGGTAAAAAGATTTACTAAAATTACAATAGATTAACAATATAGAGTAGAGCAAGAAAGTAATTTCAAATATTTGTTTGGTTGTGAATTATTAGATTGTTATGGAATATTGGATGTTGAATCAGGAAAAGTTACAGTATTTGTACCAAAATATCCTGAATCATATAAAATGTGGATGGTTGTTTATAGTAATGAAGAAATTAAATAAAAATATAGATTAGATGATGTACAATATGTTGATTAATTGGAATTATGGATTGAAAAATTTAAACCATCTCTCATTTATAGATATTATGGGACTGATTCAGATTCTAAATTAATTTCATAATATCCTGATTTTCCTTATTTGTCTAAATATAATATAAATGATGAAGAATTATATTGGACTTTGAATGAGTGTAGAGTAAAAAAAACTAATTAAGAAATTGAAATACTTAGATATGTTGCACTATTGGCAAGTGAATCTCATGAAAATGTCATGCGAAGAATAAGACCAGGAAATAAAGAGTATCAAATGGAAGCTCTATTCAAATATCATAATTTTGTTTATAGTGGATGTAGATTTACACCTTATGAATGTATTTGTGCTTCTGGAACGGGTGGAGCTACATTACATTACATTGAAAATGATAAAACTATTGAAGAAAATTAATTAATTTTATCAGATATGGGTGCAAGATATTATGGATATAATAGTGATATTACAGTAACATTTCCAAGTAGTGGAAAATTTGATGAAAAATAATCAATTATTTATAATGCAGTTCTTGATGCTTAAAGATAAGTTTATGCTTCTCTAAAAGTAGGAGTAAATTGGGGAGATATGCATCTTTTAGCTGAAAGAGTTATTACATAACATTTATTAGATGCTGGTTTACTTTTAGGAACAATTGAAGATTTAATGTAGAATAGAATAGGTAAGATCTTCTTTTGTCATGGATTGGGTCATTTATTAGGAATGAGAACTCATGATGTTGGTGGATATAATAAAGGTTGTCCTCCTAGAATACCAGGTATATTTTTAATATTAAATATGTAGAGCTTTCATCATTAAGATTTAGAAGAGATTTAGAAGTTGGTATGGTATTTTCAAATGAACCTGGAATTTACTTTGTCGATTTTATAATATAGGAAGCAGTGAAAGATGAAACAAAAATTAGATTTTTGAATCAGGAAAAAATTGCAGAATTTATGTATGTAGGTGGAGTTAGATTAGAAGATGATATTGCATTAACAGAAAATGGTCCAGAAATACTTAATTTAGTTCCTAGATCAATAGTATAGGTAGAGGCATGTATGAGAGGTGAAGATTGGAAATTACTTTAATGAATAATATTTGTAATCATCATATAAAATAAATGAATTTAATTTATGAATTATGATTGTAAAAGAACAGAGTCAAACTATTCCCCTTATTTTGAATAGGTTTCACTTAATAAATTAAAAAGAGATGAATATCATAGTCTTCAAAGAATTCACAATAATTCTGTTCGAAAAAATAAATTATTGTTGCCATCAATTGAAAATAGTACACTTGAAGATATTTCTATGCATTTTACTAAATGTGTAACATCTAGCAAATCTCCAGATAAAAAAATGGATAAACTTCAAGTTAACAAATACTAATTGGAATTTATTTAACAAAGCTTTTTAGAACTAGAATAAACTAAAATGTGTTTAACTATGAGAGATATGAGTAACATGAAAAATAAATTTAATTGTCATTAAAGAATTATAGCAAATAAAGAACAATATACTGTTAGAAATTTAGAAAGATAAATGGGCAGTAATTTAGAAGATTATTCAAATTTAATGTACCTTCAATAAATGCCACCTTAGACAAAAAATAAACCAGAAACAAATGTAGTTTTTTTTGAGGAAGCCTTAAATGCTTATTCGTATGCAATTCCGAGTAGAAGAGAATCAGCATAAATAGCTGTAATTAGAGATAAAGTTTACGTTTTTGGAGGAATGAGTGGAGCAGGTTTAAGTAGCGATTTATGGTCTTATGATATAAGTAATAAATAATAATATGAATATAGAGAAATAGGAATGGTAGTTACATTAATCAGATATAAATTTAAAAGTTACTAATCATTCTATGATAGCTTGGAAACATATGTTAATAATATTTGGAGGAAGTGGTTATTATGATCACAAGATGAAAATAAGATCAGTTTATTCAACACTAGCATTTTTTAATACTCAAACAAATCAATGGTCAATGACATTAGAATCTATTGAACCTAGAAGAGAACATAAATCAGCTTTATATTTAGGAAAATATATGATAATAACAGGTGGTTTGGATTCTGGAGAATAATTATTAAATGATACACTTATGTATTCTTTAGATTCAAGAAGATGGTTAGGATCTAAAATATATTTTGATGAAGGGATTGCTTAACATGCAATTTGTGAAGCTTTTGATTTTAAAAGAAATGTAGACACAATATATTTGTTTGGTGGAAAAACTAAATCTTTGGGTTCATTTCCATTAATGAGATTAGTATTTTCTGGTTAAGCACCTTAAAGTTGGGAAAGAGTCTAAGGAATAGGAGTAGCTCCATAAGGAAGATATAATCATACTATGGAATGTTTAAATGATAATTTAATATTAATTGGTGGCAGATCATAAACTATTTAAGAGTATTAAAATGAAATCTTATTATTTAATTTGATTTTAAGCTAATGGATTTAAGTAAAAAGATAAGGTTTAATGACTAAAAGATGGAGTCATTGCAGTTGTATTTTTGCTTCTAATATACTCTGTTTTGGAGGTATTGGTGAAGTTACTTATTTACCTCCTGTTGTTTTCTCAATTGAAACAGATTAATTTAAAATCAAAAACAAAATGGTTATCATTAAAAGATTATCAACAATTGCTGAAGATATGAAAAAACAAAATGAAGAATTTAAATAAATTAAAAGAACATGTCGATTAGAAAAATTTAGAAAAGCATAAAAATTATATGAAAAAGTAACAACCTTTTTGCCATTACCTAAAATGAAAACACCTAAAATGAGATATGATATATGGATGCACTTTATAAGGAAAATCTTGCATTCTTTGAATTTAATTTTTTGAGATTTATCAATTATTATATTTTTATCTTAGTTAATAAATTTATATTTTCATTTTAATACTGAATTTATGGTAAATTCTATCTACTTAGTAAGGTTCATTAAAAAATATATAATAATTTAATATTTTCTATTACATAAATAAATCTATATAATTTTTATTCTTTTTATGAAATATAAAATAAAAATAACTAATAAAATAGATATGAAAATCATATTTTGGTAATTCCATGCACACCACTTTCAACAAAACCTGCATTGGTCATTTATATAAATTAAACGTTCTTCTACAATTCTGCAATATTAGAAGCTCCACAATAACTCATACCAGATTGAATTCCTCTTTTAAATTATTATAAAACAATGGATACTCTCTAAAATATTAAATGAAATAGATTACTCCTGCAAATGGTATATATCCTTCAACTCCTTCAGGTGAGAATCCTGTACTTGATGGTTCATCTTTACCAGTTCTTTAAGCTTTAGAAACATTAGCACCAAAACCAGCCATTCCTCTATAAACCTTTAAGATCTTTCCTTCTCTATAAATTTCTTTAGATGGAGATTCTTAACAACCAGCTAATAATCTACCAAGCATAATGCAATCTGCTCCAACAGCTAAAGCTTTACACATATTTCCACTATTTTTATTACCTCCATCAGACATTAATGGAATTTTATATTCTTTACAAACAGGAGCTACATCCATTAATGCACTAAATTATGGAACACCACATCCAGATACTACTCTTGTTATACAAATAGATCCATTTCCAATTCCACATCGAATACCATCTGCTCCTGCTTAAATCATTCTTTTAGCACCATCTCCTGTTGCTATAGAACCTGCTATAACATCTACTGATAATTCTTTTTTCAATTATTCTACTGTTCTTAATGCTAATTAACAATGTCCATTAGCAACATCCAATACAATTACATCACAACCACTATTTACTAATTTCTTAGCTCTTGTTATTTCATCATCTGATGCACCTACTGCTCCACCTACTATTAATCTACCCATTTAATCAAGAACTTTTAACTCTGAATCAACTTTTAAATCTTTTAAATTTATCAATCCTTTTATATTATTTTTATCATCAACGACAGGTAATTTCTCTAATTTATGAGATAACATCTTTTATCTTGCATTCTCTTTACTAACATCTAAATAATGAAGGGTCACTAATTTATCTCTAGGTGTCATCAATTCTTTCACTAATTTGTTTAAAGGTTATTCATAACAATCTCTATTTGTTATAATACCCAATAAAGGAATACTTTTATAGCGAGGAGATCCAGTTTCATCAGTTTCTTCATAGTCTTCATTGTTTTCAATTAAATTATCATCAGTGACTAAAAATGTCTTACATTTCCATTCTTCTGCTAAAATTAAGACTCTTTAAAGTGTGAAATTTAAGCCAACAACAAAAGGTCTATTTTTAATATAAGCTTCAGATCTTTTAACTTTCTTAATTTATTCAACTTATTCATTTGTTGTCATGAATCTATGTATGACACCTAATCCTCCATTAGCTGCCATATGAATTGCCATTTCAGTTTCTGTAACTGTATCCATAGGACTACTTATAAAAGGTGTTTTGAGTTTGATATTTTAACTGCAGTATGTTTCAACGATGCAATCATTTCTACTTTCAATAGTAGAATATTATGGAATCATGAGAACATCATCAAAAGTTAAGGCTGTTTAAATTCCACTTCGCCAATTATTACCTAACATATAAATAAATATGGCGGCATTGAAAAAGATAGCATTAGTTTATAAATAGACATTAATACGTGAGTTTTCATATTATTGACAAAAGAAGTGTTAACATTTAATTAAACAAGGAAATCTTTTAATTTAAAAATATAATTATAAATATAATGGCATAATAATCATAAGCAGTAGCATATGCAGCACTTCTTTTGGCAGGTTCAAATACTCCATTAACAGCTGATAATGTAGAAAAATTGACAAAAAAAGTATTGAAATATTTGAAATGATTTACAGGCAGGGGTCAATGTTCCAAAATAATTGGCAGCCGCATTTGTAAAAGCTTTCGAGGGTAAAGACATCATGAGTTTACTTTCTGTTGGAGGAGGATCAAGCTCAGCCCCAGCTGCTTAAACAACTTAAGCTGCTGCTAAACCAGCTGAAGCTCCTAAAGCAGTTGAAAAACCAAAAGACCCAGAGCCTGAAGAAGATGTTGATATGGGAGGTTTGTTTGATTGAAATCAATTACAATAGTACATTTATAATATATTTTAACTTTGCATTTTAATATTGCGAATTCTTTATTATTATTATTATTATTATATTTACCTTTTATACTATATATATTTTCTCTTTTAGAATATTTATCAGCATATCTCTTACTCAAATTTAATTAGATTTTTAATACTTTTAATATATTAATTCATTATTGTTCAGTTTTTGTTTTTTTCCTTGTCTTCTCTGCATACTCGATAGCTTGATATAGTAATTTTTGTCTCTCTTACAATCTTTATAATTCTTTCTTCTTTTCCTCATACTCCACTTTCTTACTATCTAATAATTAATTTGGCTATAATAAAATCTCTATATTACTATTCCAGAATCTTATCCTTCAGCATCAACCAATAAATTCCATAATTCTGTCATAAATGGTAAAGTATTTTTTTCAAAATATCCCATTATTTGAATACTCAGAACTTTTGGATCAGGTCCTCTAATATCTTCGCTTTATTGTTCTAAGTAATTAATTATTTATCTCTAAACTACTTCATCTTCTATCCCAATATACTAAATCATTTTTTTTTCTATCCAAGGTTTTATCACTGATAAATCAATCTAAATATTATATTAATTATTATCTACATTTTTCATATTCAGCTTCCGATTAAATACTTCGGGCCATTATTTATTCATTATAAGTTTACGCTCCTTATCACCAAAACGAGAATCCTAATCTGTTGAAGTACCTTTAAAAAAGTTTCCAGCCATATAAATACTTATAATAATTATTTACTATTCAAATTAAAATTTTGTATAAAATTATTATTTTTTTTTAAAGAAATATTAATAAATTTTTTACTTTTTTTGAATCTCAAGTATTAAGATTATTAAAAAGAGATTAGAAGATTTAATTCTATCTCTTATGATATCAGTCATTTATATTTAAATTCTTGAATATAGTTTTATTTTAATCTTTTCAAATGAATAACTTATTTTATTTAGAAAGTCTAACACTTTGAGAAATGAATCCAAATTATTCAAAAATGAATTACAATAATTTTTCAGTTTCAATTTAGAAAAAATCCATTTATTGATCAATTTTCTAATCTAAAAAACAAAACTCTCTCCCATATTCTATTATCAAAGAATTACCTAAAAAAATGATAATATTTTCTTTAAGAGAGGGACCCTACTTTAAAATTGAAAGATAATCTATTTGATAATTGAAATAATTTTTGACAAATATCAATCTCCTTTATTTGATCTTAATTATCTTAAAGAAGCTTTATTCATCTTAAGATTTTAGTTCAAATAATTTTTTTAGTGAAAATGCTTCTTTCTAAAATAGATGCTTTTAGAAAAAAATAGAAATATTAAATACTAAGGTTCATTAATTATAAACACCAACACTGAATTATTAAAAATTAAATTTTTATGATGAATAAAAAAATTTATTAAAATAAATGGCCTTAAATAGTAATGTAATTTAAAATGATAGCAATATATAAATAATTAATTAGATAATATGTTTTCAACTCTCTATTTCTTACTAATTATACCAATGTTAATACTGATTGGAATTTGTAAAGTTTGCTTTTTTAAAAAATAAGGAAATAGAAGAGATTAGTTTGGAAGTTTATAGGAGCGGATGAAGAAAAAAATAGTTTTTGGTTATGCTGAATTAATGCAGACAATGAGTCAGGAAGATTTACAAATTTTACAATAAACATATGAAAACACAATAAAGAATGCTTAGAGTATAGAAATTTAAGGAGGAAAGGTTTAAAGGTAATAGAAAAGTAGTAAAAAAGTGATATTTATAGATGATTTGGATTAGTAATCAACAGAATAATCTAATTTAATTTGAATTAAATAAGTATATAAAGAATAATCAAGCATCAAAAGTTTTTTCATCAGGAGTTTTAAAACCATATTATTCATGTATTCCCTAAAATTATTCCTTTTATTTTTATTCAAGAAAATCTTCAATTTTTTAATTTTTTTTCCATTTTAGCCATATTGAGAGTAATGAATAGATTAATCCAGATACCCATAATCTTAATTCAAACATGAAACTTGAATGATACTTTTTATTGAATTTTTAGGATTCAAGAATATCGTTAAATTATTATGTACCTTATTATGCATATCTTGCCATAATATTGATTCTATTAACAAGACTTCCACATCTTTTATTGACAGATCTAACTAGATTCATATTTCTATTAACAAAGAGTAAGTCTTTAGGAAATAAATCAGTTTATTTCATCATTTCTCTAATTTCCTCTTTCATTTTTAATTATAATTTCATAACATCTTCTTTAGTAACTTAATGACAATGAACAGGTTATTTCATTTNTTATCAAAGAATTACCTAAAAAAATGATAATATTTTCTTTAAGAGAGGGACCCTACTTTAAAATTGAAAGATAATCTATTTGATAATTGAAATAATTTTTGACAAATATCAATCTCCTTTATTTGATCTTAATTATCTTAAAGAAGCTTTATTCATCTTAAGATTTTAGTTCAAATAATTTTTTTAGTGAAAATGCTTCTTTCTAAAATAGATGCTTTTAGAAAAAAATAGAAATATTAAATACTAAGGTTCATTAATTATAAACACCAACACTGAATTATTAAAAATTAAATTTTTATGATGAATAAAAAAATTTATTAAAATAAATGGCCTTAAATAGTAATGTAATTTAAAATGATAGCAATATATAAATAATTAATTAGATAATATGTTTTCAACTCTCTATTTCTTACTAATTATACCAATGTTAATACTGATTGGAATTTGTAAAGTTTGCTTTTTTAAAAAATAAGGAAATAGAAGAGATTAGTTTGGAAGTTTATAGGAGCGGATGAAGAAAAAAATAGTTTTTGGTTATGCTGAATTAATGCAGACAATGAGTCAGGAAGATTTACAAATTTTACAATAAACATATGAAAACACAATAAAGAATGCTTAGAGTATAGAAATTTAAGGAGGAAAGGTTTAAAGGTAATAGAAAAGTAGTAAAAAAGTGATATTTATAGATGATTTGGATTAGTAATCAACAGAATAATCTAATTTAATTTGAATTAAATAAGTATATAAAGAATAATCAAGCATCAAAAGTTTTTTCATCAGGAGTTTTAAAACCATATTATTCATGTATTCCCTAAAATTATTCCTTTTATTTTTATTCAAGAAAATCTTCAATTTTTTAATTTTTTTTCCATTTTAGCCATATTGAGAGTAATGAATAGATTAATCCAGATACCCATAATCTTAATTCAAACATGAAACTTGAATGATACTTTTTATTGAATTTTTAGGATTCAAGAATATCGTTAAATTATTATGTACCTTATTATGCATATCTTGCCATAATATTGATTCTATTAACAAGACTTCCACATCTTTTATTGACAGATCTAACTAGATTCATATTTCTATTAACAAAGAGTAAGTCTTTAGGAAATAAATCAGTTTATTTCATCATTTCTCTAATTTCCTCTTTCATTTTTAATTATAATTTCATAACATCTTCTTTAGTAACTTAATGACAATGAACAGGTTATTTCATTTAATATGGTTTCATTAATTACATTGAAGCAAACATCTCTTCATTATTAATTCCCCATTTTTATACAATCTTTTTAAGTTTGGTAAAATCTTATAAAAATATTGAAGTCCAAAATTCAGAATAATCTAATCTAAATTGTTTTTCTAATTTAATACATAATCCAAAATCTAATAAAACAACTTCATATTGTTTATTATTTCCAGGTTTAGGTCTTATAAATATATTTCCTGGATGTGGATCACAATGTACAAAGCCTGAAATAAAAATTTATTCAGCGAAAGCACTTATAACAGTATCCATAATTTATTTTGTGTTAAAACCTAATTTTTTAATTTCATCTTGATGTGATATTTTAATTCCATCAATCCATTCAGAAATTAATATTCTTTAAGTATTTAATTCTCCATAATATTTAGGAATATGAACATCTTTTCTTCCAATTATTTATAGTGCTCTTCTACTAATTTCTGCATTTTCATATTCAATTCTAAAATCAATTTCTTTTTATAAATTAGATTGAATTGATTCTTGAAATTATAAAATTGGCATATCAAATGCATATTATAATACAGCACAAATTAAATGATGCATAAGCATATCACTACCAAATTGTTTCTTAATGTTTGGTTTCTAAACTTTTACAGCAACAACATCCCCATTTTTTAATTTTGCTTTATGAACTTAAGCTATACTAGCAGATGCTATAGGAATTTCATCAAATTCATCAAAAATCTCTTCAATACTTTTACCAGTTTCTTCTTAGATAATATTTCTGACACGATCAAAACTAACTGCTTTTGCTTTATCTTATAATAAACTCATCCATTTAAAATAAGGAGGAGGTAACATATGTTCAGATGCTGCTATTCCTTAACCAAATTTAACATATAAGCCATCATTCCTTATACAAGTTTCATAGATATCCTTAGCCACTGTTTCATGAACATCATTTGCATTCTCAGCATTGAATCTGATTTTATATTAGTATAGAATATTCAATCCACATCGAATAGTATTTATATTTCTTCTTATCATTTTACTAAATTATTCAAAAGCGTTATTACCTTTCATTCTATTCATCATAAACAAAAGCAGCGAATCCCAATCCAAAAGAGTATTTTAAGAATTTTCTCATTATTAAAGGTTTTATTTTATTAAACTTTAATTATGGTGCCTCTTATATAACCAAATACAGTATTAAACAGAACAGATCTTGATAACTCGATTCTAAAATTGTATATATTTTTAATCATATCTTTACACTTTGTAAATAATTATTTAGATTAAACAATAAATTCATTTTCTGATTTATAATTCTGATATTTTTTTTCTAAATAACATTATAAATATTTAATATATAAAAGATCTATTTTTTGAATCTTAGATTTTACATATTAAGTTTTGAGAGATTAATCTTTTTAATCCAGATAATAATGTAACATCAATTTATTTAATGTTCTTATTTGATCTGATGATAATAATTGAAAAAACAATTCTATGATTTACTACAATAAATGGAGTTCGAATTCAAAATTTAATTAAAATTTATTTTTGAGGAAAAATCTCTAAGAAATTTTAATGAAACATATTGCCAAAAATAATTGTTTAATAAGTGTAATAAAAAATGGATTGGCAACTGCTCACTTTAATAGACCTGAGAAACTTAATGCTGTACATCTTGCAATGTGTGAAGACATTATTGAAAGTACAAAAATTTGGAATTAAAATTCTGAAGTGACTATTTTAAAAGGAAATGGTAGAGCATTTTCGGTTGGAGGAGACTTAAAGTAAAATAGTAAATGAAATTAGACATGTATTAAATTTATCAGAAAGAAAAAATGATGAATCAAATGTATCTAAAATTGGTCACTTAGGAGATGAAGCTAAAAAAGCAGTTTATGCAATGAGTTCAACTGATAGCATTTTAATAACAATTATGAATGGATATGCTATGGGAATAGGTGCTGGATTTGGAATAAATTCTCATTTTAGAATAGCAACTGAGAATTCTATTTTTTCTATGCCTGAATGTAAAGTTGGTATTGTACCTGATGGAGGATGTGGTTTATATTTTAGTAAAATGCCTTAAAATTTTGGTTTATATTTAGGTATGAGTGGAGAACAAATTGATGGAGTTAAAATGGCTCATTTAGGAATTGCTGATTTTTTAATTGAAAGTTCTTTATTACCTGAAATTGAAGAAGAATTTGAACATGCTTAATTTTTAAGAGATGAAGAATCTATTTGTGAATTCTTATTATAAAGATATTGTAAAAAACATAAAACAGAATTTAAAGTCCCTAAATAATTTGGAAATGTTTTAGGTTTATCATCATTACCATCTATAATGTCAGCTATGGAAGCATAATTTCCATAATAAGCATAATAAATTAGAAAAAATAGTGCGTTTTGTGTTTATGCTTTTTATGAATCATTTATGAAAAATAAAAATGCTAAATTAACACTTAAGGATAATCTCAAAATGGAATAATGTGTCCTTGATAAAGTTGTTGTTAGAAATGATCTTGTTGAAGGCTTAAAAAGTTTATTTGTTGATAGAACTTATATACCTAAATTTAATCCAAGAACAATTGAGGAAGTAAATCTAGAAGAAATTCAAAAATGTTTTGAACCTTGCTTCAGAAAATTGTTTGATGATTGAATATTATCTATTTAATATTTTAATTTATAATTTATTTATGAAAGTTATCATTATTTTTGGTTGTCCAGGATCTGGAAAGACTACTTTATCTAAATTAATAGATTCTGATATTATAATAGAAGCAGATTCTCTCTAATAAGAATGTTAATTTCAACCAGATGATTGGAAAAAGTCTCGTCTTCAAATCAGAAAAATTTTAGAAGAATATTTATCATAAAAGAATTTTCAAACTATTTTAATCGATGATGATTTTCTTTTGATAAGTTAACGAAAACAAATCTTGCATATTTGTCAAAAATATATGGCCAGCTATATTGAAATTTTTATGAATTTAAATTTAGAATAACTTTTAATCAGAAATTCTACTAGAGATATCTAAAAGAGATTGAATGAAGAAATAATCAAACTTGTTTTTAATAAATTTGAATCCAAAAGTTTGAAAAATACAATCATTATTGATAATTAATATCATAATTTTTAGCTATTAAATCATTAAATTAAAGAATTAGATGTAATACATTAAAATGAATATATGAACCAAATTTAAATTATTCAAGAAAAGGACAATTAAATAAAATAGAACTAAGAAAATATTATTCATTAAACTGATTTAGAATTAAGAAAAATTATTTCTACTTTATGTAAATAAACATAAACTGCCAAATAAAGTAATTACGATCCGAAATTTTTGAGCCTAAAAAAAAAATAATTTTTATAGTCCAATTTATCTGAAAATGTTGAAGAAAATATAATTTTATTTTTATAATCCTTATGAGTTTTCTCCAATATTAATTATAATGGAAAGAATTTTATTAATTCTCAAAGATTATTCTTTTAGTTTGTTTGTTTTAAAAAAAACAAGTAAAGTTTACTTATAAATATAACATTTTTTTTCTCTAAAATTAGATGTAGAAAAACGTTATTTCAAATTTAAAATCAGAGGAATCAATATAAACATAGTGTATTTAAATATTATTCATAACTTACAAGGATTAGTTAAATAAATAATGATGAAATCTCTCTCTCTAATATTATTATTAATCCTATATTTCATTGCAAAATAATTTATACTGAAATTCGATATTTAAAAATAATTTAATGATATATTTGTTTTAGAGATAATTAAGATAATTTTAATCTTCAATAATTAATGAATAGACATTTCAAACTATTGTCTCAATTTTTTAAAAAGTGTTAAAGTATCATTAAAAAATCATTTAAATTTTAATATTAACTTATTTTTAGTTATCTTTTAAATGTTTTTAATATTGTGCAAATTCTATTTTATTGAAGCTAATCTAAAGAATGAGATAGTCTCATTTGATATTTTTTGGAAGTCTCAGATTATGAATCATTAATATTGGTTTATGATTAATACTTATTTTTTTCTTTTATTTTCAAAAAATATATTAAAAGATTTTCATTAACTATGGTAAATTTGATTATGATTATTCCTTTAGCCAAAAGCTCCAAAGACATCTAAGGCTAAGAAAGTTTAAAAGAAAGTAGCAGATAGAAAGAAGAATCCACTCTTTGTTAAAGATGCTAAAAACTTTAGAATTGGAAATGATGTCCAACCAAAGCGTGATTTATCTAGATATGTCAGATGGCCTAGATATATTCTTTTACACAGATAAAAAAAGATCTTATTACAAAGAATCAAAGTACCAGCAGCTATTCATTAATTCAGCAAAACACTCGACAAGAATCAAAGTAAATTGTAAATTTTAATTTAAGGCTCAAAGGTCTTTGCTCTTTTGAAAAAATATGCACCTGAAACTTAAACAGAAAAGAAATAAAGATTAGTCAAGGCTGCTGAATCAAAGGCTTAAAATTAAAAGACAGATAGTAAGAAAGTGACTGTCCTCAAATTTGGATTGAATCACGTTACTACATTGGTTGAAACTAAGAAAGCTAAATTAGTTTTGATTGCTTATGATGTTGATCCAATTGAATTAGTAGTATGGCTTCCACAATTGTGCAGACGTTAAGAAGTCCCATTCGCCTTTGTTAAAAGTAATTAAATCAATTTATCATATAGACAAGGCTAGATTAGGAGCTTTAGTTCATTAAAAAACAGCTACTTGTGTTGCTTTAACAGATGTAAGAAAAGAGGATTAAGCTGAATTTGATAACTTAGTATTAAATAATATTAATTAAAGGCTCGTGATTTAAGATAACATTACAATGAAAACCATGAATTATTGAGAACTATTGGTGGTGGATAAGTTGGAATTAAATCAAGACATCAATAAGAGGCTTTGAAGAAAGCTTTGGAATTGGAAGAACTTAAGAAGACAAGTTAATGATACAGTATATCAACATATAATAAAAATATTGGAAATCTTTTTAATTATCTAATTCTTAACTCATTTATTATTCTAATAATTTCCTAAACCATAGGGATCTTCAGCAAAGTTGTTATATCTACTTTCTTTTGAAAAATTGACTGAAAAATAAATTTTTCTATTTATACAGACATCAAAATGTCTTATAGTACACTGAAAGAAAATGCTCATTTAAATTTTGATTTAACAAAACCATTCATTATAATTTTTTGAAATTCAAAGACACTATTTTTATGACTTTCATTTACATTAAAAATATTTAGAGTATCAAATTTGCATATTCAATAATTTTAAAAACATTTATATTACAACCTTCACAAATAAATCCTTACTCTTAATTTTAAAGAATGATCAAAACAAAAAAATATTATTTTAATTAATATATAATGTAAATTATCAAAAAATTTCTGAGCCTCATGATTAATCATTTTGCTTAACTAAATCATTATTAATTGGTTCTATATTTTGAATATTTTCAGATATTTGTTCAGGTCCTTCATTTTATTAATCTGTTTAATTGTTCTTAATAATTTTAGATTCTTCATTTGAATTTATCTTTTCTTTTTTTTCTATCACTTTTTTTGGTTTAGGATCTATTCTTTCGAATGCCATGATGCAATGTTAACTTACTCCCTTGTCATATTTATAATTCTTAATTCCTTCATCCATTTTTCTAATGTTCATGTATTAAGGATATTTTAATTCTAAATCTTAAGCAATATCAACCCATTTTCTAACTGTAAACATAGGATAAGGTTTAGCAGGTTCTGCTATAATAATCCAATATTGACAATCATTATAATCTATTTCATCAGCAAAAGCTTCAACTTGTTTATTAGGAGTACATTCATAACCAATAGGACAGAAATAATGGTCATATGCATGATAAATAAATGAAATTTTATCAGTTTTTAATCCATTAGTTAATTTTTGAAGTGCAACATCTCTGTCAACACCTGGTGTTGCAAAATCTCCTTCATTCTTCCATAAAAAATAAGCTCTTCCTTATACTTTTTGTAATCTACATATATTTTTAAACCAAGAAATTAAAGACATATTTCCACTAAAGGATCCAAATTCAACATCATTAAAATGTGGTCCTACTTCGCTTGTCAAACTTAAATAGGAATTATAAATACCCTAATGAAACTATTACATCTTCTTAAGAAAGTGGATTTAAATTTCCTACTCCTAAAGTTGAAAATAAGTAATTCCAACAAGTAACAACAGATGAAATTCCACAGCTTCTTTAGTATTGTGGTCTGCTCAAGCTATACCATCTACGAACATCTAAACATCTTCTTTAACTCATTTTTTCTTAGGTTATTGTTAGATTTCTTGGTACTGTATTTTTAATTGATTTATTGTTTTGCTCTTCTGTAGATTAAGTTGTTTGTTATTATTATTGTTATTATTATTGTTATTATTATTGTTATTATTATTATCTATTTAGTAATTTAGGTTTTGCTACTTTTTGAGATTTAAACATATTAGTGAAATCAAGTAGTTATTCAGTATTGGTGGTATCAATATTTTCTGTATTTTCAACATTTTCAATCACCTGTTCAACCTATTAAATGTCTGACTCTTTTGAATTCATTATTAATTTATAACCGATTTATAGAATTTAAATTATTTAAAAAACTCAATTGATATTACATAAATCACATATTTGGCATAAAATTCCTTTTGATGCATGTCTACTCTTATCAAACAAACTAAAATATATATTTATTTTACATCATTGATATAAGTGAGTCTATCTGCACACAAATTTTTTATTCCTTCATTTAAATATGATAGTTAAAAGTTTATTTAATATTAATTCTAAGAATGTAGTTGACTATTGTTAAATATCTTCATAAATTTTGATATGTTACTTTTTTGACATTCTCTAAAACAACTGATTTAGTATAAACTGCATCTTTAGGAGCTTATTCTAATAATTTTATCAAATATTAAGCCACTTAAGAACCTGTTAAATAGTTTTTATTTTTATATGACAAACTCATAGCTGCTCTCAAAGTTAAAGAACGATGAGCTGGTTATAAATCACACATTGACATATAACATGCTAATTCTATTTATCTAGAGATTTCTTAATCTTTCTTTGCTAATTCACATTTCATTGCCATTATGTAATTTAAACAAATAGGAACAATATCATTATTCTAATTCTAAAATATTGCTTATCTTAAAATTAACTTAAATATATTCAAAGAATCTTAGAATTTCCCATCACTTGTATATCTAAACCTAATTTTAGTTATTCTGTAAATGACTTATTCACTTAGATTTTTTCTTATTAAGATTAAATTATTTACGGAGAAGCATATAAAGATGGTATTTAGGTTACTTCTAAAATAGATCTCAAAGTTATTTATTTTATATAATCTTTTCAAGTCGTAAAGCCAACATAATTATAGTTTTATTAAAGAATTTAAAGACACTATTACTATTCTGTAACTAAATATTCTACTCGCTATAGCGCTTATTTTTAAAATAAATCTTATACCTTTTTTATAATCTGGGTATCCAAACCTGAATGATTTTTAATCCAAATTTGTTTAACTTTATTCACTATTTTTTAAAAGCTCTACTTTATCTAAGTCCCATAAACAATCTTCAAATTAAGCATCTTTATCATTTAATTAATTGTCATTTTCATTTTGTACTTTTTTATCTTTTTTATTTGTTTCTAAATAAATTAAATAAATAATTGGTATATCATTCTTTATATTCATAAATTCATTTTATTTTAAAAATTTTATGTTATCACCAGATAATTAAAATTATTCAACCTCATTTATAAAATTATGAGGCCAATTTATAGAAAATAAAGCATGCTTTTTTGATCTAATTATTGGAAGAGGAGTTATGATTACTTCAGGTTTTAAGATAAAAGCCACTTTAAATTTGCTTATTTGTCTAAATTACAACTTTCTAAAAAAAAAATTCTCTGATTTAAACTCTCTATATTTAATAAAGTTTAAAATCTTAGATCTAAATTTCTTTATTCCTTAGCGATTTTGCTAATTATATCTAGTTTTTCTAATTAACCAGTTATTGTATAAAGAAATATCAATTTTTCAGATTCTCTTAATTTAGATGAACGAACCTTATAAATATTATGATTTCCTTATCTAATTGCTTCTTCCATCAATAATTAATAACATTTTGGATTTGATAGGTCTTCACATATTCTATATGCCATTTCTAAATTGTTTGAAGATAGAGCCAATTAAAATTTCATATTTTTATCATTTACTAATTTAAGAGCAAATGTAAAGTATCCTTTTTAATATAAATAGGCAATAATTAAATCACCTAATTTCTAATTATTATCTATAAAATTTTAAACATATGGAAAGTTTTTTTCAATTAATCCATATTTTAAAATATTTCTGAAAATTCGATTTTGATGTTTAATAATTTTTCCATATTGTTCATATAAAATAATTTATAGTAAAAACCTGATTTCTCTTTAACAGGTTATAATTAAATTAAATAAGGAACTGTTTTCATACTGCTAATGATTCCATTATCTCCATTCAATAAAAGATATTTCACATGAACTTTTGTCGAATAGAGTACAATATTAATTGAATCACTTAGAAACAAAACTGATTTTATGTTAATTTTTTCTAAAATTTGTGTAATTGGCAAGAGATCTCTTGTAAACAAAATAAATTCCTTTTTTAGTTTGTATTAAAATACAATAATCATTTATAATTCTTTTTTACAAGAAATCTGATTTATAATTTTATTTTAAATTGGATCTAGTACATTTATCATCGAATCTGTATAAAAGATAGCTTTTCCACCATTATAAGTGAAAAGCCGATCAGCTTTATAGTCCAAAGAAATGTAATTATCAGTTTAAAAATTATAAATTTCCAATTCAGAATTTTCTCTTGATTTTAGAATATTAGACTTGCCTATAAAAATAGCAGACTTTGCTAAAAAAAATTTAAAAGTATTAGTATTTTATTCATAGACCAGATACTTTGAAACTCCTATTGATTTAGAATGAGAATGAGAATGACTTTTCAATTTTGCAATAAATTATAACTTTTAATTCTCATAAATGTTGTATAGAATCTATTCAACATTATCTTAAAGTAAATTATCTGATAAGCATGATAATTCTTATAAATTTTTAATAGTTTTATTTGAGCCTTTTTATAAATCTAAAATCTTAATTAATTTTCTAGTTCCAAGATATAAAATATTATCATTAACTAAATTAAAAGCAGGTCTATTTTTAAATAATGTAAATATATATAAAGCAGAATAACTACCTGCAGCAAAATAATAGTTTGATTAATGAACAGCACATATCCACTAATTCATGATTAGTAAAACAATCAATTTCAATACTTTTCTTTAAATCCCAAAGTCTAAGAGTCTTATCTTCTGAAATGGAAATAAATAAAGAATAATTTTGAAAAGGATGAAACATAACACAACTCACATAATTCTATAATTTAATTTAATAAATACAAAATGTCCCTAATAAGTCTCCAATTCATAACCTCTTGTTTCAAAATATTTCCAGAGTTTAATTTTCTTATCATCAGAAGCAGATAAAATAGTTCCATCTTTTGGATTAAATGAACACCAATTTACACCCTAATTATGTCATTCTAATATTTAAACCAATTCTAATTCATTAGTTTATCCTCCCAATTAAATCTTTCTATTAAATGTTTATGATTACACTTTTTTATATAAACTTCTTTTTAAGTTGAGTTATTGACCATAATCTAATTTCCTAAACTAATGAACATGTTATCATGAAATCTTTAGATGGATGAAATTCACAATGCATTACATAATGACTATGTCCAGTTACAGTAGCTATCCTCTATCTAGTTTAATAATTCCAAATTCTAGAAGTTTAATCATCAGATCCTGATACACACCATGGTAATTCTGAGTGAAAATTTACACATCTTACAAAATCTAAATGACCACGCAATACAAATTAACATTTTTTTGTTGTATAATTCCATACTCTTACAGTAGAATCATCACTATCTGAAATGAATAAACTTAAAGACTAATGGAATTAAACTGATATCACAGGTCCTTCATGTTCAGAGAATTCATTTATTGTCTTTATTAAATTATTTTATTTTATACTCTTCCATATCTATAATCAATTATTTAGATTTCTCCTGAATAAAAACCAACTAAAAGCCAAGGTTATTTAGAATGAAAAGACAACCCTTTTATTCTCTCTGTTTTTTTGTGAAATTTTACTATCATTCTGATTTTAATTAATATTTATTAAATCAATATATATGGCTTTTTCTTATTTTATAATCTTTCACATTTTTATTTCTAAATCATCTTATTTAGATTAATTTATTGATATTAGATTTTCATTTTTTTCATATTTCCCTATTTACAAAACTCATTCCTACTATTTTATATCAAATTAACAATTAATTTCTTTTTCAAACATTAAATAAAATCGTTTCTTGTCTGTGTTGCTACTTGTTTCTGAGATTTCTCTCTCTAATTCTTCTAATTAATTATTTTCCTCAATTATATTTTATTTTAGTCCTTTGTTATTTTCAACCTATTATCTAATAGTATTAATTTTAAAATCAAATTAATCTTCTTAATTTCTCTTATTATTTATAATCATACTACATGTTTATATCCTTTATGGCTTCTCTTTTTGTTGTAATTTACTTTTATTTCAATTTTTCTTAATCAATCATTTAAATTTTTTAAAACATAAATCACATGATCTTTCATCTTTATAACTTTGATTTAAAGGTTTATTCTTTATTAATTCCTGAATAGTAATCAAAAGAACAAGTTTTGTTTATCATTTTCTAAATATATATTAAATTTTAATTAAACAACTATTTAATATTTCTATATATTGAACTAGAATATGTTTCTGTTTTTTGAAATTATAGTTTAATTCTAATATGTACAATAATCTTGTAGGTCTATTGATTTATCGTTAGTGTAATTCTTAGAAGTGAGATACTATTTTTATTTGGTGGTGAAGAAAAGATATCTAAGCAGAATAAATTTGTAATTTCGTAATAGTGAGTAAAATTTATAATATAAAATAAATAGTTATTTTAAATTTTGAGAATTGATTAGAAAAAGAATAGTAATGTTGATGTATAATGAAGAGTTAACTTTAATAATATTAATTTAAATTATTTAATATGGGAGAGAACTAAATAGTAGGAGCAATTAAAATAAAAGATGGATTGTTTATAGGTGATGAATATGCATCTTAGGTTTGGTATTTGATTTAATAAAGGATCGTGAATTCATTATGACAAATAAAGTTACTCATATAATAAATTGTGCTGGAACAGAAGTTCAAAATAAATGGACATTAATGGGTGCAAAATATTTAACTTTTAATTGGTTAGAGTAAGATAATGAAGTATTGATTAAAAATGATATATCTAGGTTTTATTTGATGAAAGAAATGAAAATGTTAATAAAATATTTACATTCATAGAAGAATGTTTTTAGTAAGGAGAGAGTTGCTTAGTCCATTCAGTTAGAGGGTAGAGTAGAGCTTGTTGTGTACTTGCAGCATATTTTATGAAAAAGTTCGTTAAAATATTTAANTTAATTTCTTTTTCAAACATTAAATAAAATCGTTTCTTGTCTGTGTTGCTACTTGTTTCTGAGATTTCTCTCTCTAATTCTTCTAATTAATTATTTTCCTCAATTATATTTTATTTTAGTCCTTTGTTATTTTCAACCTATTATCTAATAGTATTAATTTTAAAATCAAATTAATCTTCTTAATTTCTCTTATTATTTATAATCATACTACATGTTTATATCCTTTATGGCTTCTCTTTTTGTTGTAATTTACTTTTATTTCAATTTTTCTTAATCAATCATTTAAATTTTTTAAAACATAAATCACATGATCTTTCATCTTTATAACTTTGATTTAAAGGTTTATTCTTTATTAATTCCTGAATAGTAATCAAAAGAACAAGTTTTGTTTATCATTTTCTAAATATATATTAAATTTTAATTAAACAACTATTTAATATTTCTATATATTGAACTAGAATATGTTTCTGTTTTTTGAAATTATAGTTTAATTCTAATATGTACAATAATCTTGTAGGTCTATTGATTTATCGTTAGTGTAATTCTTAGAAGTGAGATACTATTTTTATTTGGTGGTGAAGAAAAGATATCTAAGCAGAATAAATTTGTAATTTCGTAATAGTGAGTAAAATTTATAATATAAAATAAATAGTTATTTTAAATTTTGAGAATTGATTAGAAAAAGAATAGTAATGTTGATGTATAATGAAGAGTTAACTTTAATAATATTAATTTAAATTATTTAATATGGGAGAGAACTAAATAGTAGGAGCAATTAAAATAAAAGATGGATTGTTTATAGGTGATGAATATGCATCTTAGGTTTGGTATTTGATTTAATAAAGGATCGTGAATTCATTATGACAAATAAAGTTACTCATATAATAAATTGTGCTGGAACAGAAGTTCAAAATAAATGGACATTAATGGGTGCAAAATATTTAACTTTTAATTGGTTAGAGTAAGATAATGAAGTATTGATTAAAAATGATATATCTAGGTTTTATTTGATGAAAGAAATGAAAATGTTAATAAAATATTTACATTCATAGAAGAATGTTTTTAGTAAGGAGAGAGTTGCTTAGTCCATTCAGTTAGAGGGTAGAGTAGAGCTTGTTGTGTACTTGCAGCATATTTTATGAAAAAGTTCGTTAAAATATTTAAATTTAATAGATATTCATGGACACTGTATAAAACTCTTGAATATTTAAATTCAAGAAGACCAGACCTTGAAATTAGAGCATCTTTCTTTTATTAATTAAATGCATTAGAAAATAGAATGACTATGTAAGGTCCTAAAAGAACAGCTTCTTGGAATGAATTAACCTCTGATGAATAGAATCCTACTTAAATGCAAGAGGAATTAATCATTAGAAATACATTTTTAAATTCACATAATGGACCTGTAGATGAAATCTATACAAATTTATAAGCTAAATAAGTAAGAATTCAATTCACTATTTTAAGGGAGTATTATTAAAAGTTACAAATTAAAAGTTAAAATGGAAAGATTAAATCAATAAAGAAAATATTTCATTAGCAACTATTGTTTATTCTGGCTCTCCTGATTTTGTTCCAGTTTCTGAAATCAATTTAAAAGCTGATCCAATAACACCACCTATTTTAAAAGTAAACTTTCATTTTTAATTAGGGAGCATAAAAGAATTAATCTCTCAATTAACCTCCTAAATAACCCTAGATTTAATCCAATTTCCCTAAGACTTCTTAAAATCCACCATAAGTTAGATCTGCTAGTAGTAAGTCTTAATAATAAGATTAAAGTGATCTTTAATTAAATTCAAACATTACATCAGCAAATCTAACTAATAATCCTTCATTTTAAAATCTTTTAATGTATTGTGCTATGAAAACAAAAACACCTTAATAATAATAAGATTAACAGCCTATTAAAAAAAATAATTTAGTTAAACCTTAAATTGAAAATCAAAACACTTTACCTATTTCTTAAATTGCAACAAACTTAGTCTAATTCTAAGCATAAGCTAATCCATCTTCCGGAATTAGAAGTAATTCATTATAATAGAATGAAGAAAAAAAAAATTAAATTAATACTAATACTAATAACAACAATAGACCAAATTCAGTTAAATAAAAAGACAATTAACCTTCTATTTTAACCAATTTCTAAGAATTTAAAAATTAAGTTTAATAATCCTTAAATTATTTCAATAAATAATAAGATACTATTTTAAATATGGATAAATAATCATAATAATCTTTAAATACTCAATTAACAACATAATCAAATACAACTTAGTAATAATAATAATTATTATCTGTTTAATAAAATAATGTTCAATAAAAAAGTAAATTAGAGTAATTAATTAGTCCATCATTAATTTAATAGATGAATTCTACAAAACATTCTGAAATATAAAAAACACTTACATAATCAATATCTTAATTACAATCTAGTTATCAAAAGTTTTAATAATTACAATAAAAAAATTAAATTAAATAATCATAATCCCAATCATGTATTTAAAAATAAAATGCTTAAATAAATGAAGTTTAAGTTGTTGCTAATCCTTCTGGAATAAATTTAGTTAAAGTATAAGAAAGAAGTACTTCCTTAACCAAAAATTAAGATAATATAGATCTAAAAAATAGACCTAATAGTGCTGAAGTAAAAGATGCCTTCAGTGGAGTTAATTAAACAAAAAAAGATAGTTTGTCTCCATTTTAAAAAGATACTGTCAAAAAAGTAACTTAATAAGGACCACCTTTGCCTTAATCTAGCTCTTAAATTTATTTAAGAAATGTTTAATGTAGGAGACAGGCAGCATCAACATTAAGAAATCAATAGAAACCTAATAATTCGTTTTAAGATAAATACTTAAATCAAAGTGCTAATTAGGTTCAAAATAATAGTAGTTTTAATAATAACAGTAATTCGGCTATTGATGCTGATTAAAAGTAATCAACTAAAGGAGTAGTTACAGATTTAAATCAATTTAAAAAACTTATATCTCCTTAAAACTTAACTAAAAGTTAAGCTTAATTTATTAAAAATTAACCTATAAGAGTTCTATAAGAATTAACTGAAAAGACTTAGTCTTAAAAATAAGTGTATGTTTATAATTTAATTATTAGAAAAACTAAAGATAATGTTTCATCAACTAGTTTTACTTTGGTCTCAAAACCATCTACAGTAAACACAAGAACTTTTTCTCCTGCAATAAAAAGTATTATTAATTTCAGTAATTTTTTAGATGAAACTAAAAATAAACCTAATAACACTAATAATGTAAGATAAAAAGTTAGGAATTCGTCTCCAGGAATATCCAAAGATTAAGATTCCTCTAATTCATTATAAAATATTTCATCAACCTTTTAAGGCAAAAATAGTTGGAAAATGCTATGATTCATTTATTTTTTATAATAACTTTTCACTATCAATTATTTAAAAAAACATCAATTATTATAAATCATAAATCATTAACAGAATTGTAAAATTCTACTTCTTTTTACATATTTTTTAATTTGTCCTTGACTTCCTCATTTCGACCTTTCAATTATTGAAATGAAATGTGAGATAAATCTTAAATATTCATATCTTCTCTTAAGTTGTTTTCTTTTTATCTAATATCACATCTATTTAATCATTTAAGTATAATTACATATCTAATTATTAAATGGAAAATTTTTCATTGCTGTTATTAAAATATTAACTATCTTATTCATTAGAATATAATAAATTTTATAGATTCTAAATTTCATTATGTTAATTTATAATTGTTTTTTATTAAGATTCAATTTATTTTTTCTAAATTTGTATAATTTGATTTAATTTATTATATTATTTTTGTTAAATATTGTTGGAAGTAATATTTTCTTTTTTTTCATTTAAAATAAATTAATTACATAAAGTTTAAAGTTCTATAAGTTTTTAATCACAAATAATTTTTTCAGATGAAATTTATTCTAATTATGATTGATAATTTAATATCTCTGTTTACATTTGAGATTTTTGGGACATAAATTCTTATTACATATTTTCATTCTATTTATCTTTTTTATAGTGAGAGGATTTATCATAATTCTACTATTACTAAGTTAGAATTGTTTCAAGTTATTATGTTAAATTTTATATGGTTTAATCTTTCTTTTATATTAACTGTTTATAATCTCTAAGCTCATTTTACATTTATTAAATTTCATAATTTTTAAGATTCAAAATCTGATCACAATGTGATTAGGTCTAATTTCTTTCATTTTAAATAAGTTTTACATCTTCTATCAATTATTAGTTTTATTATTTTAGCATCATATATTCATTATTTTATTAATCATAATTTTATCTAATTATTTCAATATCTTTGAATATATTTTCCCTTTAATTAAATAGCTTTAAATTTTCTTAGCCTAGTTTATTATTAATTTCTTATAATTTTTAGTTTTCTTATTCTTTAAACATTAATAATTACTACAAATTTAATTATTCTCTCCTTTCATCTATTATTATATTTGATTTTTAAGGATAGAAATGTAGGTTACTTAACTATTCATCCACTTATTTCACTTAAGGTTTAATTTAAATATAATTATGTGGACTCAAAGATAAATTATTTTAAGAAGCAAGAGGAATTTTATCTATTGAAGTGCAAACTTTAGTTTTAGTAGGTGTTTTTTTTATCAAATTTTCGCTTGATCTATTTACAGAATTATCAAGTCTTAAATTACTTGAACTACTTTAATGACTTTATCTGAGTATTTCTAATTTTTTAGAGGATTATTGTGAATCCATTTTGTTTTTATTATTAATCATTTCTATTCTCATATGATGCATAGGTATAGTTAAGATCTCTGTATGAGGATATTTTTATGGTTTGTCTTATGATCCAAAAATTTTGGATTGTTAATTATTCATTAACGACTACATTTAATATATATAAAATAGAAATAAAAATGCCTTCAATTAAATTTAATGTTTTCATAAATTTTCTTTCACATAGTAAAAAACTTCTATTTACAACTTTTTAGCTAATTCTGTTAAGTAATCTTTATTTCCATCAAGTAATTCTTAAATTTTTAGCATTTGTGCTATAATTTTAAGTTCTTCTATAAATTTTATATTCTTTTTTCTCCTACTATTTCAGTAAAAATTTAAAACGTATTGAGAACAAAAACAAAAAACAAATAAATTGTTCTTATAGCATAAATTCTACCTTTCTAATTAAAGCCAAATAAAAAGTAGATAATTTAAGTTTAACATTGAAATAAATAATCAACTTATTTAAATGCTTTACTTGAGATTTTTATCAGTATTTTAAAATAATATGAAATCTAAATTTAAAAGGAAGATCTAAAAAATAGATTATTATATAAAATTATAAGAATGAATATATTTAGATAATAAAATTAGAATACATTTAAAAAATAAAATTAAATAATATATTAAACAAAAAATGAGAGAGAGAATGATTTCGATTGTCATTAGACTTAAATATTAAAATAGTTTTTATAAAACAATAATTTCAATAATATTATTATAATTTCAATTAACAATGCCCCCTAAAAAGAAAAAATCTAAAAAGTCTAAAAAGTCAAAGAAGAAAGAAGAATATTTACCTTCTATATTTAATATTCCTTAATATGAGAATCCAGATATTGTAACTCCTAAAGTGGACTTGATAATAAAGTTGGTTCATCCTGTAACAGATCTTTTCACTTTGAAAATTAAAGTATATTCAATATTGATAAAAGGTGCCAATAACAACACGAGTAGAATAAATTCATGAAGAAATTTCTAAAATGCATTAAGGGGCTATCTCTGGAATATCAGTATGTCGTGATAGATTTAGTCCTGAAGATGTAAAACTTAATTTAATTATAGGTTTTGGATCCAAAAAAGACTCTTGAACAATGTGGCATCTTTGATGGAGAAATTAAGTTACTATATGATTACAAACCTATAGTTGGTCCTCTTTTAAAATGAATATGAGAGTTAACTTATTAACAATTAATTTTCATTTGATTTTATAATAAATATATAATTCCATTTTGGATTTTGAAATATTAAAATATAGAAACTGATTAGCGAAATTATTAAATATTGTATATAACTCATCAATTTTATTCTTATTAGGCTGCTTATAACTAAATATTTTGATATACTTGATTACTTCTTTTTTTAATTCAGCTATTTCTCTTTTTAATCTAATGTTTTCATCTTTCATTTTTTCATATTCTAATTTCAATTTATCCACATCAATATCAACTGGAGATCCTAAATACTTTTTTACATAGCTAAATTAATTTTAGATTTTACTCTATGGCATTATTTGGTTTTTCAGGCTCTTCATATAATCCAACTAATACTCTTGTTAATTGATCAATCACTCCTGCCTTTTCTAAATACTTTCTAAATTCTTCTTTCTTTGAATCAGTTGTCTAAAACATATGATTGTTGATACTTAAAAGCTCATCAATTTAAAAAAATAAATATTAATTATTTTTTTCATCTAATTTTATGTATTATATCTCGAAAAGGAATTTTGATTAATTATGATTAAAATTAAGATATTATAACTATTTTATTTAATTTATTAATAAAGAGAGAAGTATTAACATTATGATATTTATATCATATATGGCAAAAAAAGATCGAAATAAAAGAATTGTAAAGTTTTGATGAAACTCAATTTTGGTATTTTATATTTTATATATGCAAAGTATAAAATTTATAATATGCTTTAATATTAGAATTCTATCAATTTTAAAATATTATAAATCTAACAGTTAAAATTTAATTAAATAAAAATATATTTAATTCCATCTGTGTAGTTTAAATCATCACAATTGATTCTAATTAAAGATGAATTTTTGATCCCTATCATTAGGCTACTGATAAATCCAATGCAACCTAATAATTATGGTTTTGATAATTTATATTGTTATTAAATTTTAGTTTAATTCTATTCTAAGATTAAATAATTTCTTCTTATTATTCTTTGAAGTTTTTAAGATTTATAATTTTTTATTCTTTTTAAGTAGAACAAGAGATTCAAAAATAGAGGTCAAGGTTATCATCTCATGATAAATAGAGATTTTTCATGATAAATAGAGATTTTTTTTAAATATAAATAATATTATTATAATTCTAAATCAAAAAACTAAGTCCAATCAGAGAATGAAATACAATTTTCAAAATAAACCAATATATTTTAAAATTTTCTAGAATTTTTTTATAATTAGAATGCTTTTAAAAAAAATAGACATATATTTTTACATTTAAAAATTGTTCTCTTTTTACATCCCATATTTTTATTTTTATGCTTTGATTAAGTTTAAATGTAAAAGTCTGGAGTTATCTATCGAGGTCATGCTAGTGAGTTACTTCAATACATTAAAAATCAATAATCGGAAATGGAACAAGTTCAAAAAGGAAAAAAAGTTCAAAAAACACTACTAGTGTGAATCAAAATAACAATAATTCTACTCACGGCGCTCTATCTCATTTTTTTTTTGAGAAATAAATCTAGAAATTTTAATAATAATTCATTAATATAATGAGATAATAAATTTGTTAACCCACATATGGAGTAGGTTTAACAACTTCATTTTAATAAATTTCTTAGCCAACAATAAAAATAGTTTCTCAACCTTAATTCTAGAATTAAATTCAACCAATAGCTCAATAACCATTTTAACAATAGTAACAAACGAGCTTTTCATAGTAATATAATAGACCAATAGTACCTATCAATGGTAATGGAAATTTAAGTCGTCCTGGATGGGATTTACATACACGTTAAAGATTTCATACATCATAGTCTAATGTTTCTCCATAAAATTAAATGCAAGTTTTGGATCTCTAATAAATTGAAGAGCCTTGGAAAATAAGAGTTTAAGAGTTATAAAATAAAATTAGCATTTTAGAAGCTCAATAATAAAAATAATAGGATTAAGATGAAGAAACTGAATTATCATAAGCATATAGCTAAATTTAATAGTTAGTTAATACAATTAAAATATTATAAGAGGAAATATAATAACTATAAGAAAAAGTAGATATAAAATAAAATATTATTGATGGGTATGATAAATAATTGGCTGAGAAAGATAAAGAAATAGAAGAAGCTAATCATTATATTTCAGAGCTTCATACTTAATTAGAAGAATAAACAACAAATATTGAAGAGAAATAAAAATACTTATTTGATGAAGTAAACACTTGGAAAAAGAAGTTTATAGAATAAAATAAGTAAAGTCTTTTTAAATAATTATTAAGGGAATTTCATTAAAAATAAGAAGAATTGATGACTCTATAGGCTGAATTAGATAATCTTAAAAATTAATAGATTATACTCAATAAATCTAGTGATTATAAATCAACTAAATGATTGATAATATAAATTGGCATTTGTCAAAGATAGTTTTTTTTTGATTATATATTTAATTATAAAAATGTTGCAAAGATGCATGCAATTAGCAAAGACAGCCTAATTTTCACAGATTGTAAAGTCTTATACAAGTTTATCATAACATAAATGGTTAGATTATGATGAAACTCATAAGGTATTATAATTATAATGTAGAAATCTCTATAAACTCATAAAAGCAGAGCTGAAGAATTTATTCATAAAATTCCAGTAATTGAAGTAGATTCCGATGTAGTAAGATGTTTGGTATTTAAATAAATTATTTTTAAGGGGGGTACTCATATAAATGCAGGACATCCTCAAGTTTATATTAAATTAGATACAAGAACAGAAGGAACTCCTTAGTCTTGCAAATATTGTGGTTTATAGTATATTAAGAAAGGACATGGATCACATCATCATTGATAATCAATCAAAATATCATAATAAATATAATATTTGAGTAGAAATAACAATACTTATAATTTTGGTATAACGGTATAATCTAACAAAGATCCTGCAATAAATATTGAATTTGATATTGATTTAGAGTAATTATTCTTAAGGTATTTTTTAACTTAAGATTATTACTTCTTTATCTATGTTTTCAGAATCATCATTTTTATCAATGTTTATACATTTTATTATTGAGTATGTATTAATTGCATTCTTAATAGTTTCTATTGAATAACTTTCATAATGTTCTATTATGAATTCTCCATACATTTATTCAGCTAAATCTTATATCTATGTAATTAATTCTGATAATTCAAATGCAATGTTGCTTCACTAGCGGATCTTAATTGATATTAATAAACTATACTAGCCTAATATAATTCCACTAAATTGAGATGCCTATTCATTCAATTATTAATTAACTCTAAATTTATCTGAAATTTTCTCTAATACATTTTTATCAATCATATCTGATATGTAATCTATCATTTTTGTAATTCTATTTCTAATAACATATTCTTGTTTTAATAATTTTAATAAGAAATCACTATCTTCCTTATGGGATAATAAATGTTCAAATCCATTTAAAGCAGAATATTGTTTTGTACTTTTATTTTTGTATCAAAGTCAATTCAAATACATTCTTTTTTTTATCAACTAAATCTTATAGAAATACGATAGAAACCTCCTTTTTCATTTTAATATTCTCCAGCCTTAAGAATAAATTCTGCTAATAAACAGATACTTAATCTCTAATCAAACATTCATCTCCATTTAATGCTTTAATTAATCCTAAACCCACAAAATAGTAATAGCTACAAAACTATCAATCCATCCTAAAACGAAAACTTTAAAAGATGCTCTTACTATTGATAGGAGAACTTTTTTAAACTAATAGTTTTTCTGCAATACATTTTGTAAATACAATTTATTATAATCTATCATCTATTTCAATCTTTACTTACATTCACATTATTAATAATAATCCTTTATTTTGCAATTTATTTAAAAAAATACTACAGCATTATTTATAATATTATATTTCATTTTAATCTATTCAATCAAAGTTATTATTTTAATTTATTCATTTCTTCATATACTTTTGAATAGAAATGCTTTTAGTTTGTTTCCATTTATTACAATTACAATTAATGATTCATCAATTCATTTTCACAACAAAGTAAGCTTTATTTTTAATTGATTTCTTCCTTTGGTTAAATTTCATTTTATTTTTATTATTATTATTACTATTATTGATTCATTTAATCTTATGAACTTATATTCATTATTCCTGTAAAAGAAGTAGAATGATTTTATCTTTTGCTAAATAATATTTCTTCATAATCTGAGTTATTTCCAAAATAAGAATATTGTTGAGTTTTTAAATTAGTCTTGCTTGTATGTCTAATTTTTTATAATAAATCTGCCACTCTCTGTTAACATTAATTTATTCCACTTTTATTAATTCTTGTTTTACTAGTATTTGGTGTTAATTAATCAACCCTATTAGTTTATCTCTCTGATATTTAAGCTTAAATAATTTATTCTAATAGTCTATTGTATTTCTCTATTTTTTCTCCTAATTCTAATTTTTGTTTTACAAGTTCATCACTTTTAATCTTTAACTTTTTGGAATAATTTTTTAATTCTCTATATTTTTATTCTAACTAAACTATATATGACTGATTTAAATACTTGAAATTCCCTCTATTTCAATTTCTATTCCCATTAATTATAATAGTTTTCCTTATCTTATTTAAAATAGCTTTCCTAAGTATTCCTATTTTCATTATTTTAAACTTTAAGCTTCTAGTTATTTGCATTATTGTTAATAAACATATTTCAAATTTAATAATATAATTTTTATTGTTACATTCATACTTTTAAATTTAAAGAAGTGAATAAATAAATATAGAATTTAAAAGTAAAATCAATCAATTAGTTTTGAATAAATTAATAAATTCTAGGTTAAATAACAATAATCAATTATGAATCGATTAGTTGATTTATAAAATATAATGATAGTTCATTAATTAATTAGAATTATCAATAAAATTTTAGTTATTATTTTGAAGTTGCAGTAGAATAAAATGCAGAAACATGAACTGAACTTCGTTTGCCAATTTCATACTTTGTTTAAGTAGTTTATTTATTCATCCTTTTTAATTCTTTTTCTCTACTTACAATAAATTTCTATTTAAAATTAGATATATATTACATGTTAGAGACTTTAAAGATTGTCGCATGAGATATTTGAGACAGTTTAAGGTTTAATATGATTATATGAATATTATTAAAGATCTTAAGAGAAGTTTCTTTAATCTTTAAACATTTCATTCATAATCTTATTTAATCTATTTAATCGAATTTATTAACCAAATGAATTCACATCTTTTACTTCAAATAAGTAATGCTAAGAATTGAATTCTTGAGCAGCACTTTTTTTATCTTATTATTTGCTTGTAATAATTTAGCTAAATGCTCTTTTAGGTCTTTAATTATTAATTTTGGTATTTTCAGTTTCTTCAATGATTTCATCTTATTATTCGACTTCTTATTCATCTTCATATTATTTGGATTCTTCTATAAATTCTTCGAAAACAAATTTCTTTTCTATTTCTTTGTTAACAGTAATATCTTTAGAAGCAAAAGGATCTGGTTAAATTGGATCAATTTTAATTCCAGATTATTAGAGTATTTAATCTAATTAATCAAGTTATTCTAATTATTCTTTGATTTCCTTTTACTGATTCTTTTTATTAAGATGTTTGAATAAATCATCGAGATATTTTTATTTTTCTACAAATTCTTCCTCACAGAGAGGTTTAAAGACTTTAAATTCATCTAATATAGTAGGTGTTTTAGAGACCTATTTTAAATGTGGTATGATTTCAAAGAATCTAGTACCTTTAAATTTAACATAAGATTTGATTTCTTCTCTACTTTTCCTATAAATGCCACGTAATTTCTTAAGATCTTCTTTAAGATTGGCAATATGATACATTTTATTAATTTCTTCAATGTATCTTCTAAGATATTCTATTCTGGCTTTGTAATTATGTTTTTATTCTCCTTCATCCATGAGAACCTTTCTCATAATGTTAATATCTTCATGAATATCTGTACATATATCAGCTAATCTAGTTTTCCATCCATTATTATAATCATAGGAAACTTCTCCACCAATATTTTACCATCCATTAATTTTATTAGCATCTGGAGGATGAATTTTAAGAACTCTACATTTAGCAGGACCATCAAAAGTTTAAGTTGCATCTAATTTACAGATACGTCTTTGACTAAATGTCTTACCATTAATATCATTTTGTTTTAAAAACAAATAAGAAATAATACGATCCAAGCTACATTTAGGATGATATTATTTTTAAAACTTTGGACATGGATCAAAGAAAGGTGCCTAGATATTAATAAAATTTAATTTACTTCTTCATTTTTTGGAGGACTTAAAATAGGATGAAGCCGTGTAATTCTTGCCTGTTTCATATTGCAATATAATTTATTGAGCGAATAATTATAATAATAATATAAACATATAAATTCATTATTAAACACACTATCCTCTTGCTTAACTTTCCTCATCATCATCTCGTTTACCTCCTTCAGAATTTTAATTGAGATTATTAATATCATATTCCTTCATAAAAATTTATTACCTTTTATCAAATTTGACTTAACTTTAATAAATACATTTTAAGGATATTTATTTACTCTTATTTTAATTCAGTAGGTAATTCAACTTCAAATTCAATAAGGAAATTACCTTCTTACATAGCATCTTTATAGAAATGTACTACTTTGTTTTTGATAGTTCTAAAGCTATCTAAAAAATAACTATAAGAGATATAATTTCCTTGTTTAGTAATTATATTGAAAAGAGATACAGCTAAGAACTTAAATGTGAATTAACAATCAGTTAATGCCTTTAATAATATTATTTTTTTGCTATACAAATCAGCTCCTCTCCTTTCATATATAGAATGTTTCTTAATTTTAATTCTTATATTTAAGTCACCAGCCATTACTCCAGGATATTCAACGGGTTTTAACTGCTTTCTTTCTAAATGCCTTCTTAATATCATCAGTTTTAGCCCCTGGTTAAACTCCCAATAATTCATATAATGATTTATTATCAACATTTTTTGTTTAAGAATTAGAACTTTCTTCCTCTGCTCCTCCAAATGAAAAATCACTAAATCCTTTAAAACCTTTTGTAAACATTCAAACTAATTTAAATTTTATCTCTTTTAATCATTCATATATATATAAGATGGAAAAATTTAGATTTTTCTAGAAAAATACCAAATCTGCTAATCTAATATTAAAATATGATTGATAGAATTTCTATTTTTAATATCTCTTCACATTTTCTAATAATTTAAACTCTTCATTCAATTCTTATGTTTTCATTACTTTTATTTAAGAATACATAGCCCTAATTATTTATTGTATAAAATATTATATCATTTAATAATGAGTTTATTTTTTGAAGAATAGTTATTAAGTCACAATAAAGATATTGAAACTTCTATGAAAATACTTTTATAACTTGAATAATACACTGAATAAGAAAATATTATGTTAATTGCAAAATTATTAATAACATAATCACAATTAATTAAAGAACAATAAGCTGCTCTTTGTGAAATGGAAACTCTCTGCAAGGATTTACAAGAACAAATAGATAGTCTTTGCAATCACAAATAGTAATTAATACTTGAAAATCACAAATATAGTACATAAATATATGAATTATAAAACAATTATAATTCTATAAAAAAGGAGCTTGATTCTGAAAAATATCACAGTCAGCATCTTTCATAACTAGAATCACATATTAAAACATTATTATAAGAACTAGATTCCTTAAACTCTTATAATGCTTAGCTAATTTCTGAGAATAAAAGACTTAATGAAAATAATTAGTAACTATTATAAATTATTGATGATCATGAAACATTAATTTCAAAAATAAACAATGATTAGAAATAATTAGATTATTTTAAATAAGAAGTTTAAAATCAAATCCTAATAAACACTAAAATAACCTAACAACATGATATATTGGTAGAATAAATGAAATAAAAAATTGCAGAATATGAACTTAAATTGGATTTTTTTTAATAACAATAACAAAGTACTCTTTAAAGCAGAATGTCCTTCTCTTTAGTTGATGATTTAGTTAATTAAGAGGATATCTATTAAAAAGTTAATGAAACCATTTAATCTGAGTTTTAAAGCATCATCTAAAATACAGATAATAATGAAACTAATAATACTGAATAAGTTGATGAATTTACTTATTTCTAAAAAGAATATTGTGGACTTAAAGATAATCGATATATAAAAGAAATTATCAAAAAAGATAGAGAATCATTGAAAAAAGAATACATTTATTGTTTTAGTGATCATATTTTCAGGATAAATATAAGAGGAGAAAAATCTAAAAGGATTATGTTTATTACAGAAAGTACTTGTTATTTTTTTGAAGAACATAATTAAAATATTAAAATTACTAGATAATTTCCAATCTCTAAAGTTTAGTAAATAATATGTTGCGAGTTTAATCCAATTCTTTGTTGCTTAAAAATAAAAGGGTAAAATGACGATTATTTGATTGAAACCTTTAAATTAAAGGATTTTATAGATTTTTTAAATGAAACTTTAAATAGTTAAATTTAGATATCATACTAAAAAAATTTTTCAATCTAGTTTAAAAATTACCCAAACCCTAAAAATTTAACTGAAATTGGTAATGGAATATATGATGGAAGCGGAAAATAAGCGGCTTTCAAGGTATCACAAAAGTAAGGTTTCCTTTAAATGTAATAGAAAACACTCTTTGGATTTTAGGATTGGGTTGAAGTCTTTGCTTTAATGACAGATGTGGGATTATTATTATTTAAACAAGCTGGGGATATGCATCCAATTCTTTTTGTTCCATGTGCAGATGCAATAATAATAAAAAATCCATTGAAATGTAAGCCAAACTGTCTTAAAATAAAATATCGGGATTGTGAATACGTTTTTAATGTAACTTCATAAGCACTTCTGGAGGAATGGTTTCAAGAATTAAATAGATAAGTAGTAAGTTAACATAAATTGCAACTATCTTAATCATTAAGGAATCTTTGAGATTTAATTTATATATTGTTAATTAACAAATAAATAATTTTTTTTTCTCTGAAATTTCTATTTCATAATATTTTTCTTATATAATTTTAAATCTTAAACTTAAGACATATCTTTAAGATTTGTCTTTGGTCATTTTACTTCCAATTTATCAATACACTACAATACAATATTATTCATAAGATCCTCAATAACAGTGAAACCTAAAATTTTATAGTTTATTTATAGGCAGGGGTTTCATCTGATATTTTATTGGGATCCTTAAATAGGCGCTACACCAGCACACAGTTAAGATTCAAAAGTGATAATTTTAAATATTTGTAAACATATTCAAGTAAATAAGCATATAAAACTAGCAAGTTTTACACTAATGAAAAATTAGTTCTTATACTTATTTTGAATTGACTAATTTAAAAATTAAAATTTAATATTTATAAACTATTCATTAGTCTTTAGATTACCAAATTTATCAATAAAAATCCAAAACTGGAGTTAAAAGAGCAGCTGAATAATATGGTTTACTAATAAAGATAAATCTCACATTAGGTATTGAATATAAAATAGATTCACAAAAGGATCAAAGCTTTTCCTAATTTCTTCTGCTATTTGCTAAATAACTTCCAATTTATTAAAAAAAAATCAAAATCAACGGTAACTATCTAAAATTTTTTAATGTCGTATATTATTAGTGATTAATTTTTATGATTAACCCGTTTTTTCAGAATTTTGCATTTGTTGAAAAAAATTAAAGATTTTAATAAGCGGACTTCATAAGGAATTTGTAGTTACAACCCCTTTCTAAAACTCCTTTTGATTAATCCAATTTTTGTTAATTTGATTAATTAAAAATTGCTGTATTTAAATATTTTTATCAATATCATATTCTACTTATTGTGTGAAATTATGATTTAGCATCAATCATTATAAATTTGAGAATCTAAATCACTTCACTTATAATTTAGCCAAATTCAATTTGAAACATTTGATAAAAAATGATTATACACTATTTCATTCGCATATAGTGTGATTAAAAATACTTTTCTAATAATTATGATTAGAAAAAAGATTTTCATCTTAAAGAAATATTAACTCTTAATATTGTCGAGTCTTCATTGAAAAAAAACATATTTAATTAAATTTTCTAACAATTTTTTTTGAATTTTAGTGTTAAATATGTTTAATTTTTATATTTCTATTTAATTAAGCTAACCAATAAAATTTGTTTTAAGAGAGACTCAAATGAATAAATATTAACACAGTATATTTTAGTTTAAAAGTTTCTTAATGAAAATTCTCACATTTTCATAATAATTGTGATTTCATTATTGAATGGATTTCTTAAAATAAAATTATTAAAAATTGTTACGAACAAATATTTGTCAATAAAAAGATCAAAACTAAAATGATTAACTCTTTTGAAATTCTCATCTAATTTTTAAATTGCTGTAATATATACCAAAATAAGTTTATTATTANCCAAATTTATCAATAAAAATCCAAAACTGGAGTTAAAAGAGCAGCTGAATAATATGGTTTACTAATAAAGATAAATCTCACATTAGGTATTGAATATAAAATAGATTCACAAAAGGATCAAAGCTTTTCCTAATTTCTTCTGCTATTTGCTAAATAACTTCCAATTTATTAAAAAAAAATCAAAATCAACGGTAACTATCTAAAATTTTTTAATGTCGTATATTATTAGTGATTAATTTTTATGATTAACCCGTTTTTTCAGAATTTTGCATTTGTTGAAAAAAATTAAAGATTTTAATAAGCGGACTTCATAAGGAATTTGTAGTTACAACCCCTTTCTAAAACTCCTTTTGATTAATCCAATTTTTGTTAATTTGATTAATTAAAAATTGCTGTATTTAAATATTTTTATCAATATCATATTCTACTTATTGTGTGAAATTATGATTTAGCATCAATCATTATAAATTTGAGAATCTAAATCACTTCACTTATAATTTAGCCAAATTCAATTTGAAACATTTGATAAAAAATGATTATACACTATTTCATTCGCATATAGTGTGATTAAAAATACTTTTCTAATAATTATGATTAGAAAAAAGATTTTCATCTTAAAGAAATATTAACTCTTAATATTGTCGAGTCTTCATTGAAAAAAAACATATTTAATTAAATTTTCTAACAATTTTTTTTGAATTTTAGTGTTAAATATGTTTAATTTTTATATTTCTATTTAATTAAGCTAACCAATAAAATTTGTTTTAAGAGAGACTCAAATGAATAAATATTAACACAGTATATTTTAGTTTAAAAGTTTCTTAATGAAAATTCTCACATTTTCATAATAATTGTGATTTCATTATTGAATGGATTTCTTAAAATAAAATTATTAAAAATTGTTACGAACAAATATTTGTCAATAAAAAGATCAAAACTAAAATGATTAACTCTTTTGAAATTCTCATCTAATTTTTAAATTGCTGTAATATATACCAAAATAAGTTTATTATTAAATTTCATTAATTATTTATCTGTTAAACATAATTATATAACAATGAAAGATTCTACCAGACGTATTTTTGAAAAGGAAAACTAAGCAGAAGTTTCTAATAATATTGAAAAAAGAATCAATTAAAAATCATTTACTTAATTGGTCTCATTAAGTTTGTTAAATAGATAACCAAGTAATCTAATATCTAATTTTTTTTACAGAAATTGAATTCAAAAGCATAGATATTAAATAATAACCTCAACAATAAAATTATTTAACATAAAGAAACCCTAATGTATCAAGTCTCCATTATCGTCCAGATTAAAAGCAAAAAACAACTGTTTCTACAACAGAATAAATTGTATAAATTGATATTAAAATTTAGTATTCACCAATCACTGTAAGATAGAACACATCTATTAGTTAATGTAATCACGACAATTTAAGTAAGGAAAAGAAGAATCCCTTAAATAAATTGATTTATCTCTATGGAGATAATATACTTATAAATTATTAGGCTCAAGATTCAATATAAAAGTTTGAGTTTTTGAAAAAACATTCAATAAGCAGTAATTTAAGAGCTAAAATGGTTGATTGGATGGTTGAAGTTTTAACATCATATAAATGTAAAGATTAAACATTTTTTATGGCTGTGAGATTGATGGATACATTTTTATATTAAACAACAAAATAACATATTCCTCAAGATTTACATCTAATAGGTGTTACTTGTATGTTCATAGCAAATAAATTTGAAGAAATTTATCCTATAAAATTATAAATAGTTCATGAAAAAATTGCCCATAAGAAATTATCTAAGGATGAAATAAGAGATAAAGAAAGTTAAATTACATAAGCTTTAGATTTTAAATTAGTTGGAACAACACTTTCAGAAATTATATCAATGACATTATAACTAATAAATCAACATTAAACAATGCATTAACTTGTCATATATTTAGCTAAAATAGTTTTATATGATTATGAACTAATTAGTTAATATAATTATTCATCATTATCAGCTGCATGTATAATAATTGGATGTAATCAGTTATGTTAAGAATCAAAGGATGAAATTGTAAAAATCTATTTGCTATTAAAATTAGATTGCATAAATATTATCAGTGCTTAATGTTGATAAGGAGGAAACTATAGAATTATCAAATAAAATATTAAATTTAGCCAAGAATTTTGATAAGTTATTTCCGAATCTGGAAAACTTAAAGAAGTTCAACAAAAATTCAACGTTAGACATAATCAAACTATAAAAATGAACTTTTTACTTTGTATGTTATTATTATATATTACTATATCATTTGATGATGCTCATAAATTGACTTTCTGTAATGAAATAACTTTAAACAACTTTATTTCCAAATTTTCTATTGTTCATTAAAACATTAACTTATTTAGCAGCTTCCCATTATTTAAATACAATTATAACATTACCTTCATTTTTTTTATCAACCCAAACCATTTCAACATCTCCGTACTTTTTGCATTCATCTAAAAATAATAAGAAAATAAAAACTTTCTACTTCTTCTTTTAATTCTACTATAGCAGCTTAATTAGATATTTCTAATTCAGTCCACATATTAGTTAAAACAATAACTTTGGTAATACATGGACATGCGGGAGGATTATGTTTAAGAGGCATCCAACCAGAAATACAACCTAAAGATGGATTTGGAGATTGTATAATATTTAAAATTCTTTATACAGTTAAACCTAATTATGTCATTAAAGGTGGTAGATTAATCTATAAATAATAAGTGAATTATATACATTATCAATTAGATTATCATCCATTAACTTTTTCATTAGTGTTATTCTCATAACAGGATTTTAAACTAAATCATCATCTAATTATAAATCCATATAATTGTTGGCACCAGAAACTAGTTAAACTTTGATAGGTTTGCCATTTAGAAGAAAAGGTTAGTTATTTATAACTTCAATCATATTTCTAGCTGATTCTGCCTTTTCATAAGTAACATATAAAACACCAGTCATCCTACCTGATTCATCTTTAGGTATTTCAACAGTATCAATTGTACCAAAAGGAACAAAGGCTTCTCTAATATCTTCTTCACTAATTCTTTATAGTTATTCTGCCATTCCTGTAATTTAAACTCTTGCAGGACCATTCATATTTTATAAGTCTTAAATTGATTATAGTTTATTTTATTTGATTTACATATTCTTTTAATCTCTAGCTGCTCTATTTTTTTCTGCTTAACTCAATTATATTTTAACTGGAATTGTACCTACCTATTGGCCATCCATAATAAATAATCTATCATTTAAAGCTAAAGCCATAGGAATAGATTCTTCTTGATAAAATTCAACATACGCAACTCCCCTGGATCTACCTGATTTTTAATCTCTTATAATTCTAATATCTCTAATCTTACCACAATTGAACTATATAATGAGTAAATGATTTATAATATACGGTTTAGAAAAATTGATATATATGTTTCTCTTTTGCTTTTAACGGTAAACAATACATCAGAACAGTTAGATCTTATCTATGAGCTTCTTCTAATTCTCTTTCAACTTCTACAATCTTTCTTTCTAACTCTCGAATCTCTGCTTCCATTATTTCAATTTTCCTTTATTTTGCAATCTCTCTTTTCTTTTATATGTCATTAGTCATTAACAATTATGTAGTTATTGCTTATTATTATTATTCTTTATCTTTTTCTTTTTCTCTCTCTTTTTTACTCTTTTTTTTCTTAGAGGATTTTGATGCTGATCTTGATCTTCTACCTCATTGAATAATTATTTTATTACTTTTTTTTATCTTTTTTCTCATCCTTTTTCTTTTTCTTTCTTTCTGCACTTTTATCTTTTTCTCTCTCTTTTTCTTTATATAAATCTTTATTGTGTTTATCTTTATTTTTTTCATGTCCACGATCTCTTTCTTTTTCATTCATCTTAGAATCATTCTTTTAATTCTAGTGATGTTCATGTTATATGTATCGTTAGAATTACTCAAAATCTAAATCATCCATTTTATATTAATTAAATAATGAGATCAAATATGTTTAATAATTATAATCAAAGACCTCCAAGTACTACCAAAGAGAAAATTACATCATAAGGATTACCTAATTATCCATTATTACTTAATAAGGCATAATCAACACCATCTTAAGAAATCAAATCTAATAATCCTTATTCATCTAACACAACATTCACTTCTATTACCTAATCATCATAAGTAACTTATCATTTCCTATTTTATTAGTCTAAATTTATTGAATAAAATACTCAAAAACAAAATCAAACTTAAATGATCTAATAACAATTATAGACTCCTATGACAATATCCCAATAAAATACTCAAAAAACTGTTTCTACAATTTCCTCCATGTCATAGTCTCAACCTGAATAGTATTAAACTAAATCTATCCAAAATGTCAGCAAAGGAATATGTGGTTTAAGAAATATTGGCAATACATGTTTCATGTAATTGTATTTCCATAATATTCAGGAATTCTGTTTTGTAATGTCTACTCAATATTCCTGCTTTTAATGAGCATTTTTTAAATTCTGATTATTTAAACGACTTAAATTCTAAAAACTGTTCTGTTCCAAATGAATACAGTAAATTAGTGTCCACTATAAGAAATACTCCCAATTTTCAATCCATTGCACCTTATGGAATTAAATCAGCTGTGGGTAACATTATTTACTTATTTTAATAGAAATTGTAATGCCTTGTTTTAGAGGTTATGCTTAATAGGATGCTTAAGAGTTTTTAGTTGCACTTTTGGATGGTCTTAGTCTCGGCCTAAATAGAGTCAAAAATAAACCAGCATACAAAGAAATGAATGATAATCTTAATGGAAGATCTTTATAAGATTTAGTAATTCTTATTTTTTTATCATCTTTTTTAGAGTAAAGAATGGTGGGATTATTCAAAAAGCAGAGAAAATAGTCTTGTCCTTGATTATTTTCAAGGACAACTATTACATACAATTAAATGTTCTATTTGTGGTAGCAGTTCATATGCTTTCGATACATTTTAAGATACATCCTTAGCAATTGCAAGGGCATTTAAAATATTAGAAGATATGAATTTAGAAAGATTATTAGATAAATATGTAATTGAAGAAGCGATTGATGATTATTATTGTTCAAAATGGTATTTAATTTATCGTTATTGTATGTTGAAGCAAAAAACATTAAAAAGTAAAACGTAAATTTACAATTTGGAGATTACCTCATATTTTGATGTTTCATATCAAAAGATTTGATTTTAGAAGATTTTCCAGTGATAAGTTAAATCATAGAGTAATATTCCCATTGGAATTAGATATGAGAGAATTTGTCAAAGATTCACGTAAGATATTCTTAATTTTAGTTGACTAGTCTGTCAAAAACTGTTAATATTTATTATGTGGAATAGTAAATCATAGTGGAACTTTATATGGAGGACACTATACAGCGTATTTATTGTTAATATATTAAAAAAGTGATAGTAAGAATCCATATAATTAAAAATGGTATCGATATAATGATTCTGATGTTAGAGAATTCGATATAAAACAATAAAGATATGATACAGATGGTAGTAGTAGTCCATATATATTGTTTTATGCAAGAAAATCATTGTATTGATTATTATTATTTTAATGTAAATTTTGTTAATTTAATATCACAGTTATTATAAAAACCATCTTATCCATTAATTTACTTATTTTTAATTTTACATTTCCTACAATTTTGACTGAAGTAATTAATATTAATAAGTGTTGTGTATTGTTAATAATACTTAAGCATTCATCTCTTTGCATTCTACAAGATGAGAGATATATAATTTTGTATGATTTTAACATGCAAAACATTTACAATCAGAAATGAGAGGAACCTTTAATAAATGAATAAATGTACATTATCTTTAACATCAGAATTAATAGGAAAATTCATGTAACCTATTTTTTTATCTTAGAGTTCATAAAAGTTAATTTGATCACCAGAAAATTATTCAAGCTCATCTTTCTTAGCATCAAACTTTGGTGGTAAAAGTGCTTTAAGATCAGAAGCATATCGAAAAGGCTCTTCAACTTCAAAGCCATCGATTCCCAAACTAAAACCCCATAAAATAGATATTATATCTCCATAACCAGCCAAAATGTATTATAAATTATAACCATCAAATACTGATTAGACTACAGATAAAGCATCTTCTTTTTATTACCAATTAGATCCTTAATTAAATCCATAGAGAGTAAAACCTCTAAAATTAGGATAGTCAACTGCAAATTTTTATTCTTCTGCTGCCATAATTTTAAAATCAGTTTCTAAACCTCCTTAAATTGCTCCAAATATACCAATGTTTGTATCTTTCAATTAATCTAAACTTTCTTTTAAGAATCGTGCTGATTTTTAAGAAGATCTTTTTAAAGACTTATTACCTGCCTAGATTTCTGGTAATTCAGTCAATGAGACCAATATCTCTGGATTTATTAATCTAGCTAAATTATTGTATTATTAATTTGTAAATATTTTTTTTCCTTCTAATGAAGTTATTTTTACTCCATCTAGATTTGATAATCCTTCAACACATTTCATTTTATAAGAATCAATTGAAGTCATATATAAGATTTTACCTTCTTAATTAATATATTATCTAAAACTAATATTTGTTTCTGATTAAAGTTTTTTTAATGTATTTTCCATTTGAATGAAATCCCCTGCACTTAATAAACATGTATCCAAATTCAGAGCTTATTAATTAAATGGGGTTAAGTGATAATATGAACCCATTCTAGTTGTATATATAAACAATGGTGATTTTTTCATTTATTATAATTAATTCTTTCAAGTGATTCATGATTTTTTACTAATAAAAGCTGAAATTAGATAAGAAAAAAGAAAAAATAAAAATAAAAATATCTAATAAAATTGCATAACCTTATTTACCATGGCAGACGAATAATTAACTATTCTTTACATAATTAATCCAGATCCTATATTTTATGGTATGATGGATTAACTTATCATTGAAACCTTTCAAAGGCATAAAGTTAATGTAATAGTCACAGAACTTGAAGAATTAAGTTTTATTGTTGGGAATGTAAATATTAATCATATCTCTATATACAGGAAATAACATTCTATAGAAAAGGAGAATAAATACAATTTGATGCATTTTTAGGATATGGATATATGGCACCAAAACATAACTAAGATTATATGTATTTTACTTTTGCTGTTCATTCAGCTGGAAAAATTACATTACATAAACCGGAAACAGAAGAAATACTTTAAAATAAATTACTTCAATATCTCAAATTTAGTGAGAATCAAGTTCCTATTCCAAGATCTGGAACCTCCTTCTCAGTTAATACATTTAAATAGAATCTTAGAAGATTTAATAACAAATCTATCATGAAAGAAGTTGTAGGTTATGAAGGTACTGGAGTTAAACTTTCAGTAAATCATAACTAAAGTACAGAACTTTTTTGTAAGTCAATCTGGAATGGAGAATAAACCATTATTTAAGATTTCATTGATGATACTATTGGAAGATCTATTAGAGTTCTTGTAATTGGTGGCAAAGCTGTTTCTGTCACTGAATTCTAAGACAATGTGGTAATTTAATATTTTAAACTAGGATTTCAAGTCTAATGCATAAAGTGATGATTTTACAATTGAATCTAAGATGGATTCTGATAAAAAAAATGAATATTTTAAAATTGCTGAAAAAGCTTGTGCTGCAATTGATCCTCATTTAACTATTGGAGGTGTTGACATTTTGGATTCTAGAAAGAATGGAATTGTCATTCTAGAAATTAATAGTTGGCCTGAAATTACATTCTCATAAGATGCTACAGGCCTTCCTCTCTTTGATTAATTTGGCTAAGAATTCATTGAAAAAATTATTACCAATATTAGAGAAAGAAAAAACTCAGCTTGATTTAATATAATTGTCATTTTATATATTTATACAATCTCCTTTGTAATAGGTTAAAATAAACTTACATTTTAATGAATATTCTAATTTCTTAAAAATTCAATTTAATTATATATTTTATATTATTATTATANCTTATTTACCATGGCAGACGAATAATTAACTATTCTTTACATAATTAATCCAGATCCTATATTTTATGGTATGATGGATTAACTTATCATTGAAACCTTTCAAAGGCATAAAGTTAATGTAATAGTCACAGAACTTGAAGAATTAAGTTTTATTGTTGGGAATGTAAATATTAATCATATCTCTATATACAGGAAATAACATTCTATAGAAAAGGAGAATAAATACAATTTGATGCATTTTTAGGATATGGATATATGGCACCAAAACATAACTAAGATTATATGTATTTTACTTTTGCTGTTCATTCAGCTGGAAAAATTACATTACATAAACCGGAAACAGAAGAAATACTTTAAAATAAATTACTTCAATATCTCAAATTTAGTGAGAATCAAGTTCCTATTCCAAGATCTGGAACCTCCTTCTCAGTTAATACATTTAAATAGAATCTTAGAAGATTTAATAACAAATCTATCATGAAAGAAGTTGTAGGTTATGAAGGTACTGGAGTTAAACTTTCAGTAAATCATAACTAAAGTACAGAACTTTTTTGTAAGTCAATCTGGAATGGAGAATAAACCATTATTTAAGATTTCATTGATGATACTATTGGAAGATCTATTAGAGTTCTTGTAATTGGTGGCAAAGCTGTTTCTGTCACTGAATTCTAAGACAATGTGGTAATTTAATATTTTAAACTAGGATTTCAAGTCTAATGCATAAAGTGATGATTTTACAATTGAATCTAAGATGGATTCTGATAAAAAAAATGAATATTTTAAAATTGCTGAAAAAGCTTGTGCTGCAATTGATCCTCATTTAACTATTGGAGGTGTTGACATTTTGGATTCTAGAAAGAATGGAATTGTCATTCTAGAAATTAATAGTTGGCCTGAAATTACATTCTCATAAGATGCTACAGGCCTTCCTCTCTTTGATTAATTTGGCTAAGAATTCATTGAAAAAATTATTACCAATATTAGAGAAAGAAAAAACTCAGCTTGATTTAATATAATTGTCATTTTATATATTTATACAATCTCCTTTGTAATAGGTTAAAATAAACTTACATTTTAATGAATATTCTAATTTCTTAAAAATTCAATTTAATTATATATTTTATATTATTATTATAATATTGTACAAATTTTATAATTCTACAAGATAATATATAGGTTTGATCTTATAATTCATTATAGAGATATTGTTAATTAAAGATTTAAAACTCACTATTTGTAATAAAATAAACTTATGATATCTTTAGTTTGTATTTTTTTATTTTATCTTATATTTTTAGTAATATAATAATTTAGATTTTATAAATTAAACTCAAAGGCTTATATTCCCTTTAATTTTTTAAAGTATAAATAAAATAAAGGAAGATAAAGAATTTGAGTAAAATTTTCATTGTTAGGTTTCTCAAAATATCTCAATATTTTTAATAGTGAATTTAAGAATCTTGATTAATATTTTTTTATGTTAAAAATAATTGTCATTTTAAATTTTAAATTTCTTCAATTAATTTTTTGAATTCATTCTGATCTGTTTTGCAATTTACTATCGCTTGTTCGTAAACTATAATAGCTTCTAAATTCTTCTTTAATTTCGTTAATAAATCACCTTTTATAAATTTTTATAATTACCTTTGTTTTTATATGCTAAAGTATATGATTTGTTTATCACTATAGACTAGTCATAAGTTTTTAAGGCTTCATCATATTTATTGAGGCATTCTAATGCAAAACCTATTAAAATTAAATGATTTATATGCCTTTATTATTATACGCAGTGGCATAATTAGGATCTATTTTTATTGCCTTATCGTAGCAAATAATTTCATCATTGTATTTCTATTGATTATTTAATGAAACGCCTATTAAAATAAATTATAAATCAACCTTTATTTAGGTAGGCAGCGGCATAATTAGGATCTATTTTTATTGCCTTATCGTAGCAAATAATTGCATCATCGTATTTCTATTGATTATTTAATGAATTGCCTATTATAATTGAATTGTAAATAAACCTTTATTCAAATAGGCAGTGGCATTATTAGGATCTATTTCTATTGCCTTATCATAGCAATTAATTGCATCATCGTATTTCTATAGTTTATTTAATGAATTGCCTATTAAAATTTAAAAATAAATAAACCTTTATTTAAATAAGCTATGGCATAATTAGAATCTATTTTTATTGCATTTTCAAAACAATTAATTGCATCATCGTATTTCTATAGATCATATAATGAAATGGCTATTAAAATAAAGTTTTTCTAATAATCGATTACCTTTTCTGTATAAAGCATGGAGATTTTACGGTTCCTCAAATAATACTTCATCACATAATTAAATAGCTGACTAATATTACTTTTGATCATTTAACGCATAACCTTGAGGAAAATATTATGAAATACTTTTTGCAATTTATATAAATTTATTTTTCGGATTCTTTTATAATTCTAATTCTGAATAAACCATTAAATCTAAAAATATGGTATTATTTATTTTTTTAGCTTATTTTCTCAAAATTTATGCTTTATAACATTGATTCATTTAAAATAATGAAATACCTTAAAAAATATATAATAAGATACATTAAAAGAATGTAGCAAACGATTATTGTTTTTCTAATTACTTTATACTTTCAGATAAATGTTCTTAGGCTTATTGCCAATTTTCATTATTTAGTAATTCTATTCCTAATTTATTAATTATTGAATCAAATACCTTACTGAATTTTAATATCATAATCTTGTTTTAAATATTAGGATTATTATTATTATTAATCTTAATTAAACGCATTAATTATTCTTTTAACATTAATTAATTAAGTTCCTATAATATTCAATTTTATAAAAATACCAATTTAATTCTACTAGGTGATCTCATCTTAATAATTCAAATATTGATACCATTCCTTAATTGACTATAAGTTTTCTTTCATTTATTGATATTCTTATAATGATAAGTATTCAGATATCTTAATTAATTGTTTGTTCATTTTTTCAATTTATTTAAATTATTCTTCAAATTTAGTTTTAACTAAAGCAAAGGATTTATTCAATTAATCTCCTAAATTATTAAGATATTCTTTGGATTTTGTGATAAGATTTTAAATCGAATGAAATCCTTTAAGATCTTTTTTACAATTAGCGTGTTTTATTGGATCAGCAAAACATTGAAAACAAAACTAAGATTTTTAATCTTTACATTCAAAATTTAAACAATATCCTTATATATCATTATTTTCGTGAGCAATATCTAAGCAGATGAAATATTTCAATTTACTCATTTAATAAATAATTTATTAATAATCAAATTTAGAAAATATATTGATTAAATAATTTAAATCCAAAATAAAATACTTTTTCATATTCTAATAAACGATACTTTCTTTTTTTTTCTAGAGTATATTTCCTCTTGCAAATGCTATTTTAAAAATAAAGATCTTTTTTTTTTTCGAAAAATAGAATTTCGTTGTGCTACTTATCTGCAAAATAAATACTGAAATGATAATTTCTAAGTTGCTAAAGCTATTATAAATATAAAGAAGACATTCTGCCCTAAGAATCGATTTTGAGAGTCATGAGAGCAAGTTGTTTAAGTACAATATCAGGATTGGATAAATGCTTGAAATAATTTTTTTTAAATAAACTCAATGTTATCAATTAAAGATATATGACTATGATTTAAAAAGAGAGTATTCATGAAATAGAATTTATTAATATTTTAGAAATGATTCATAAAAAGAAATGCTTGCGATGAGAACTAAGCTAATTATATTATTTACCGAAACTTTGAATCAAATTTTAAAGCAATTTATAATGTTCTTCACCTTCCCCAAAATAAATTTTTTTCCTCTTATATCCTCCTTTTAATAATTATGTACAAGATTATCATCTTTTGTAAACCTTTCAAATACCTAATCAATGCTTATTTTCTAATAGTGCTATTTCCTTCAAAATTATAATCTTAGATTGTGGTTAGTAGTTCTTCATCTTTTAAATTTTAAAGATTAATTTTTTTTGAATATTTATATATAAATATATTTTATAATAGTTTCATTATTCATTATTTTTCTAATTCATTTTAGATTAATCTCCAGTCTTTTAAATGGAAATCACATTCATTTTCTCTTCTCATATCAGATTTAAAACTGATATTATTAATTTCAAAAATTTATTTTATCTCTCTTCTCAATATTGGTTCTATGAATTCTTTCATTTATTTAATGAATTTATATTTTGAAAACAAGAATCTTTATTAATTATTATAGCTTACGCTACTTATAATAATTCATCATAGTTATACTTTTTACATTCAATCTAATTTGATTCAGCTATAAAAACAGTTATTTTGAGTTGTAAAATTGAAAAAACTAAGAGATTAGCAATAAAACAGACGATTCTGAATGCTATCGCTAATTAGATCCTTTGAAAATACTATCATAATATCATTTAATTTATTTATTAAATTTTATTTTCTATAATGCAGAACTTATAATCCTTTTCTATTTTTGATGATATTTTTTGTTTTAATCATTACTTTTAGTGTTCAACTTTCTAAATTTTACTCTATTTTGAATAGTTGAAATTACATTAATCAATTATACTTTTATTTTTAATGAAAATGATTTCCTAGACTTCAGTATTAATTTTTTTTATTAATAAACGTTTATTTGTCAATTAAAATAAATAATAATAGATTTTAAAGTATACTTAATTATTAAAATTTTAGAATTTCTTAGATAATTGATTTAAGTAATTGACTTTGTTCATTCATAAGGGTTGCAATTAGCTCATTGTTTCTTTGATTATTTTAGAATCTTCTAATTCAAAGTTTAGTTTGATGGTTGAGTTTATATTCTGAAAGAATAGGATTGGTACTAATTCTAAAAGTAGAAATAATTGAATACAACAGGAGAGTTTGAATTCATTAGCAACAATTTGAAACCTCGAATATATAATTTAAACTTCGTTACAGCTATTGGTTGTATTAAATTTGTATAGTTTCTTAAAATCATTTTCGTATTATAAATATTTTATAAGCTATTTGAGATTCTATCATACTATTAATTTATGTAGCATTAATAAATAAATAGTTCTATTTGATTTTGGCATAAAAGCAATATTGTTAAATTAAAAAATTACAAATACGATTATTTTCAATACCTTAATTGATTTTCCTTTTTCTCTAATCATAAATTTCTTTATAGACAGAAAATCCTTCTTTATAATGCAAAATAGGAAACCAAATAGTGATTTGAATTTAGAAACTTTCTAAATATCTTTTAACATTTAATCACTTTAAACCTAACATTTTATATTTCGCTAATTTTTATTAAATATAATTTATATAGTCGTTAAAATAACAACGATGAAATCTGTGAATATTTTGAAAATGCTAGAAGCTAATAAAGAAAATAGAAACTTTTAATTTGTTTAAAATAGGTAAACTAGGGTTTAATCTACTCTCTATATTAAAGATGAGTTATCTCAACAAAATATAAAACCAAGAGTAATAAGAGTATCAAAATGGAATAAATCATAAAATATTAGAGACAATACAAAAAGAGAGGATCAAAGACATATAAGTTATGAAATGCCAAGATAAAAAACTGATTAATATTAGCATATATAAAGAACTTTAAAAAATAGAAGTTTAACCAACATCTAGATTTCTATTCTAAATTAAGCTCAGAATAATAACAATAATAATAATGCTTCAATATCATTACCTAATAGCAATAAATGTAAGAATTATTATTATATTGATAGATCTAGTTACAAAAGGATAAGATAAATTTTCATCAACAGAAAATTACAGTAATCCTTAATTAGTTTAAACTTACAAGCAAGATATCTATAAATATCTTCAAGAATTGAATCAAAAGTAATAATAACAATAATAAAATGCTATCTCTTATAATGCATTTTACTCGTAAAGTTAAATAACTCTAAAAATGAGAAATATTCTTATTAATTGGCTTTTTGAAGTGCATCATAAATTAAAACTGTAATTAGAGACTCTTTTATTGACAGTATGGTTAATAGATAAGTAAGTATTTAGAATAATCAAGATTTATTGAAACTCAATTAGTATAAAAAAATAGATTTTAATTATTTGGAATAGCTTGTTTATTTATAGCATCAAAATATCAAGAAGTTTATGGTGTTCCAAAAAGTGGTTAGTTATCAAAGTTATGTGATGAGGTGTATAGTAAAGAAGATATTTTGAAAGCAGAAGGGTAAATTTTGTAAAATTTAAATTTTAATTTATCTTTCATATCACCACTTCGAATATTTGAACATATAGCAGAAGTGGATGATTAAATTAGGTTGATTATATAAATTTAATTAGTTGATATCTGATATAATTGGCTTCATTTAGTTATGGATTTGCTAATGGAGATCCTTTTTAAATAGTGGCCATTATTTTAAATATTGTTGAAAAAATCTCGAATAAAAAAATTGATACTTCAATGTTAAAGGTAACATTATTACCTTAATATTTTAGATTGATTCTAATGAAATTAACAAATTAACAAAAGAGTTAATATAAACTTGGTTTATGGATGAAGTTAATTAACCATTTCCATCCCTTATTAAAAAGTATTAACTATCTCATTATAATCATGCTTCAACAATTAATTTTAGTTTAGATCTATTTTTTTGATTTGAGAATAACACTTTATAGTTACTAAAAATTATAAAAATACTAAAATTAAATTATTAATATATATTAAATTCTAATGAAACGACCCAAAAGTGCATAAGCCTAAAAGTTGTCTGCTAGGAATAAAGAAGAAATTTTAGAACAGAAACTATCACCAAATAGACCAACAGATTAAAAATAATCTTTAACAAAAACAATAAAACTAAAAGTATAATTAATTTTTGTTATGCAATCTAATTAAATAGGTATAACACAATAACAATGATATCGTGGATGATAATCAAATGACAAAATCAGATCTCTTTAATAGAAAAAAATCCGACCATTTTATTTTGTTCACTTCTTTCTAGCACAAAATTCGATTGTAATAAAATGAAATTGAAATCTTGAAATAACAAGTCTAACTTTAGTAAAGAATAGCTGAAAATATACCTAATGATTTTTAATTTCAAATTCAATAATATGAAGAGGAAATTAGTCGTCTATAAGCCTTTCTTGATGAAGCCTTATAAAGAGGATCTGAACCAAAGAAAAATTAGATTCTAAGTTATTTATCTAAAATTTAGGAGTAGAAAGGGGAAATTAATAGAATAAGACTTTTAAATGATAATTTATAGAGAGAGCTTGAAAAACTTTAGGTCATAGTCAAAAAACAATAAGAATAGTTGATGAAGGGCAATTAGTAATTCTATAAAAAATAGATAAATTAAAATGATAATTAAAATGATGAAATTAAAACTATTCAACATTAATTTAATTAACAATTATAAGAGAAAGATAAAAAATTATTAGAATTAACAAAAAACCAATAACAAAATTAGATTAAGTTAAATTCTTATTTGTAAAATGTAGATTAATTAAATTCGCAATTATAAGCTAAATAAAACGTCATGTAATAATTAATAATAATAAAGTAAACTTTTAGAAGTAGAAAATGATAAATTAAAGGAAGAATAAAAATATTTAGAAGATTAATTAAAAGAATAATAAGAAAACATCAATGAATTAACATAAGAAAAATAACAACTTGAAGATAATTTACAATAAAAAGAATAATTACTTAATTAACTTGAAGAGAAGGAAGAATTATATTAATAAAGGAAAAACACTAAAAAGAGTTTGTCAATTATAAAATCAATATCTATATTTGATTATTATGAATAGCCGTAGAAACTAGTAATCAATGAGTAATATAAAGTAAATTAATTTTAGGATTGAGAAACCATAAAAAAAATTGAATATTTAAAAATTGAGCAACTTGTAGATAATTAATAAAAATTAAATACAAAAGTATGATTTTGAATGTTAATGTGAACTTATTATTAATACTTTGCCAGAAGAAAGAAAATAAATAAATTAGATAGAAAATGATGTAGATGAACATCAATTATTAATTTAAAATTCATCATTTTAAGAGTAAAATTAGGAAATTAAAGAAGAAAAAGACAATGAAATAATTTCTGAAATAGTTTCAGATTATTTATCTTCATTCGTAACCAACATTAAGGATTATCAACAACCTAATTAATACTATTAAAAAAATTCTTAAGATAACAATGAATTAGCAATTGCATAAGAAGTTTCTAATTATTATTTAGATACTTTTATTAAGAATTTTTCAACAGAAGAAATTTTAATAATTCAATAGGAGGTGGAAAATTATTTATAAAGTTTTATAGAAAAATCAAATCTATGAAAATTGTAATGAAGTATAATATTAAATATTTTTAATTATTATTCATCAACGTGTCTTTTTTAATAACATTTATTCTATATCTAAAAAAGATTTTAACAATTCATTTTTCATTTATTAATACTATCCTAATCCTAATACCATTTGAGAGGAATTAAAATCAATTTATTAAAAATCGTCCTTTCTTTCATTAATATCTTTATTAGTTTTTGTTTTTGTATTCACAAAGTTAAAGTAGTCTGTATTGAGTGTAGATTATGTATTTGATTAAGGTTTTTAAGTATTTTTGCAAATCAGTTCGTAATCAGGAACTAATTCATTAATTTAAAATTTAGAGCAACTAAATGTTTTTTTTTGCTAAGATAATTTCTATGTAGATGATTTTGCTACTGACATTTTCATTACAGACTATGGTTTAGAAATTTTTTTGTTTTGAATTCTGTTATTTTAAATTTGTTAAAGATCTTTTTCCTTTTTTACTTTATCAATAATTTGTTAACGCGTCAAAAACATTTTAGTATTTGATGATTTGTTTGTCAACAAGAGTTAGAATTAAGAGAGGGAATTCATTTTAACGGATTTAAACTAAATTCTATATTAATTTAATTAATTTTATCTGAGACTTTACGATCCCAAATGCCAAACTATGATATCATACTTAGAAAGCTTTTAGAGTTCAAAAGAAATTTATTGTTTAAGGTCATTCTTTTCTTAATATATATTTAATTGTATCAAATTTTATTTTATCGATTATCTTAAAAGTTGTTAATAAATTTTTTTTATTTTAATTTGCTTAAAGGAAATTTTGTTTTGCTTTAAGGTTCTATGATGCAAATCAAGTTATTTAAAAATAAAAAAAGGTATTAGTTATATATTTGTATGTGATATATTTATGTGGTCCTAAAAAATATAATTGAGAAATCAACAAAGCTTATATTGGTTTAGAAGATTTTAAACTTAAGATATATATAACAAATATAAAATCCATAAAAATACAATCTATATCAAATTAATTATAAACTTTTCTTTTTTTCTCAATTTAAAATAGAAAAATTAATCTTAAAATATTGTCTAAAAATTGTCATTCTATTATATAAAGGCTGAGATTATCATATTTGATATTGATGTTACTTCTACAATCTTACTTAATGTTTATATTAAACTTAAATTTGAATACAGATTAAAAGTCAATTCTTACGAAAATAAGAACTTTTATTCTAATACTTGCATTCTTTTCATCAAAAATTCTCTAACCTTGCATATTATTATATATAAAAAGTCTAATTATAATATTTTGTATTAAAAAATAAAATTTTTTAATTAAATTATATTTAAAAAATATTTATTTACAAAATATACTTTTTTTACAAAAAGTTATTAGAGTTTTTTTTGTTTTAAGATGAAACCAATAAATCACATTGTTTTGTAGTTTTTACTTTATGATGAATAAATATCATTCATATTCATAGATTTTTTCTTAAGTTAATACTTTATGAGTAAAATGGATTACTAGATCATAAAATAATTTTCTTAATATACGAAGAATTTGCTTTTACTGTAGCCTCAATAAATAATAGTATCAGCATAATTTGATTTTTAACTTCAGATTGAAAAATTAATTAAGATAAAAATGTGAATGTATGAATAAATATTCATTCTCATTTAATATTTTTATTGAATCCATTTATGTTATAATAAAGGCTTTTTATTTAAGTTTTTTTAAATTCTAGATCACTTTTTTCTTCATTTATCTCCCATTAATTATCATAATCAATTTATTTGCTGTTTTACCTATATTCGAATATAATTTATGAGGTCTTTGTTTCCTTCATTTATTTTTAAGGAAAATTGTCAAGCCATTAAACTTTTTTTTTCCTTTTAAAATCAGTTGTATTTTTTCTATGTTCGGATGATGTTTTTTCTGTTATAGCCTGCTAATAATTACTTTTTTGAGTATTTTCTTCAAAGCAATTCATTTAACAATTATATAGTGAATTTAAACTGTCAGATACCTTAAAAATATCACAACCTTATTTTTAAAGTAATTCTTCTAATCGAATTGTAAAGATCCAAAGAATGATATCTTAAGATCTAGGTTCTTTTACATAACTTTATTAGAAATCATCAAAATTATATAGTTAGGACTTTTTAAACTTGACAATCAATTCAACTTCTTATTCAGAAATTTTGACACATGAATGAAGTACATTATTGAAATATACTCCATATTTCGGTTTTGATTAAATGATTTCTGTATTTTATTACGAAGATTTGAAACATTTTGAATAATAAACTAGCATTCCATTATTTAGTAAGGTTATCATTCTTGTATTATAAAACAGGAAGCTATTGTTTAATTTTTTTGCTTAAAACATTCTTGCTTGTAGAAAAGATTAGATTTTAAACTATGATTTGCCTTAATGAGATTAGAATTCATTGATCATATAAATTATAATATCATTTTACTAAATCCAATTGACCTGTAATAAATTCCTCCATTTATTCTGGTTTATTTGCCTAGCAATAAAGATCATAGAGAACTGAAATCATTTCATTTCTTCCAGGATGATCTTAAGGTAATTTATTTTTTAATTGAGTAGCTAAATCAAAAAATTTTCTTTTAAGTGTTTTTTCTTGTTATTAATTTAATGGATCCATTTATTTCATTTTTCTTTTGGTTGCCTTCATTGCTTTTGCCATGTAATCATATAGTTGTATAGATCCACAATCTTCCTATGGTATTTATTTAATCAAATTCTCAATTTTATAAATTATTGTTTTAACAGTTTGGGCATCATTTGCAATTAAAATTTGATTCAAATTTGAAATCATATCTGATAATATTTTTTTGGAATAAATAAGCTATTACTTATCGAGTTCATCTTAGAGCATTTATTTAAGCTTGTGAATTTTAACTTCCAACTTATCATCACTATATTAATCATGTTGATAAAATGTTTCATCACATGGAATTTAATGCATGATAGTAATATCTAAAGGTTAATTGGAATTCCTAACTCTTGATTTGGCTAATTTTTATTCTAAAACTTATGAGACATTTAGAACTGGCTGTTTTTACATATCAAATTTGTTCAAAAATTCAGTAACCAAATTGGACATCAAATTTAATTCTTGTTCCTGAAAAGAGTAAAGGAAATAAGAATACTTTTTTGACTTGATTTTAGGAAATATTTAATTAAGATATTTCAGATTGATTAACCTTCTCAATAATTTAAGAATATTCCTTCAAGACTTATTTAGCATCCACTTAGATTTTAGATTTAATGGTAGGATCATTATTTGATTTTTTAAGGTCATCTGCATATGCTTATAATAATCCCATAACCTTATCTTTTAAAACGGACATGTCATCATATAGATCTTCTTCAATGTAGCTTTTTTCAATAATTTCTGTAACTTCAGACTTAGGCTGAAAGAATGGATTCTTACCAAAGGTTCCTCGATAACTTTAACTGTCTTGAACTTATTCTTATTGTTTTTATTAGACGACCTAAGTTGGTTATACTAAAAGGTTAGAAATTGAATATACCTATTCCAATAGGATTATTAAATTAATTCTGACATATGGATTCTTCTTATTCTGAAACAATGGAAAAATCACTAAGCATTTTTGAAAGATTAGCCTAATCAATATCTCTAAGGATTTGAACTTGGCCATTTCTTGGTTAGGTTTGTTTTCCAAAAGTTTCCCTTGGTGAATTTGGTCTTACTTAAAATGTAAATCTATCTTCATTATTATTTTGTTCATATTTGTTTATGATGTTTTGTGCAGATTACCTAGAATTAGAATTTGAAGAATTATTCATACAAATATTTAAAATAAATTATGTCTAAATTTAAAGATTAAGCTACATCTTCTCAAATAGGATGTGGTTGCTTTGGTAGTTCCAAATAAAAAAACATGTATATATTTACTTTTGTTTTTAGGATAAAGTTCTCTCACATTCAAGTAGATGATGAGATTGTATCTGCATAAATTATTTTGGAAATGATATACAGAGGCTAAAATGCTGGATAAGTTTTGTCTCGTTGTAGACTTAATCCTAATTTAGTCTTACTTTAATTTAGAAATGATTTAGAGTACTTTATCCCATAACTAATCAACCAAATTTTATTAAAATAGCTTGAATATTTGCTTAAATTTATTATCAAAGCTGCAGAAGTGGATTTCTTCTTTGCCCATACCTTCTTTTTTGCGTGGAGATCCATTATAAATGATGCCTTTCCTGAAAATGAAAATTATTTAAGGCTATTTTTATCAACTTTAGATAGAATTTATAAAAAAACACTTTTAATTGCTGCTTATTTTGAGAACTATTAATTTAATGATGGTATAGAGTAACAAGTGTCTAAAGGCATGCCTATTGTATAATAAGTTAGTAAATTACCTGATAGAATCCAAGAATATGGCACACTATTTTACTCTAATCATGTTTTTAATGATACATTAAATCTAACTAATTATGAATCAAATTTCAGAGAAGCTAAATCATCAGGATTTTGTTCAACGATTGATTTCTGGGATGATATTATCTATATTTCCTAAAAGTAATTAATTTAGTAAAGCTTTATAGTTTACATTTGGCAAATCCTAAAATAATCTCTCTTAAAGCAGATATTTAAAAAATAAATAGAAATTTACCAGCTGCAGTTTATATTCCATTTTAAGGAGTGAGAAATTATGTAGTTCTTAATATAGTTGTTGATGAATGCAGAGTATTTGAAACAAAATGTACATCCCCATTTTACTTGTGTCTTGAAATTTATAGACCTGAAGAAGAAGCTGAATTAATTCCTAATCCTTAAAGAAATAGTCTTATGTCTATGGCAAAAACAGTAGGGAAAATGGATAATAAAAATTACAGTGAAAATAATGAAACTTAAGATTGTACAAGGAATAGACCTACTTATCTTTGTAAAATAATTGAAGTAGAGGTAGATGCTGAAGAAAGTAGGGAAGATTTTTCATAATTCAGCAATATCTTAAAAGATAACGAATTCACTCAATCATACTATTAAGATTTAAATAATTTAGTATCAATATATAATAATACTGATAACGCTAAAAAATTAAATAAAATGTCAAAAAAAGAATTAACAGATACTATTTATGGATGTGACAATTCAGATAAAATAAGATGCAATTCTCCATTTCGAAATTTCAAAACATGGAAATTAGTACATCTTATTGTTAAATCGGGGGATGATTTAAGATAAGAACAATTTGCTATGCAATTGATATCAACATTTGATTAGATATTTAATATAGAGTAGCTAAAACTATAATTAACAACATACGAAGTCATATCATTAGGTCCTGGTTATGATTTAATTGAAGTAGTAAAGGATGCGCTATCGATCGATTCAATAAAAAAAAAACTTAATGATATTTTACAAATAAAGAGTTTGAGTTAATATTTTAAGTAATTAATTGTTATAATTAGATTAAACTCATCACAAGCAATGTTATCAAATTTTTTAAATAGTTTAGTAGCTTACAGTTTGGTTTGTTATTTTTTATAAATCAAAGATAGAAATAATGGAAACATTTTATTACATAGAGATGGTTATATAATTCATATAGATTTCGGATTTTTGTTATCCAGTGATCCAAAAGGTAATATAGAGAAAGAAGTACCTTTTAAAATGACAGAAGAATATGTAGATATCTTAGGAGGATTTGAATCTAATTTATTCATGAGATTTAGAAAAATGTTTTTTGAAGGATTCAAAGCAATTAGAAAGCATAAGGACAAAATAATATTGTTGGTCAAAATGATGGAGAATTCCAACTTGAATTGTTTCAAAGACAAAACTATAACTGATTTAGAGTAGAGATTCTTACAAGATGATCTCTCGGATACATAATTGTATGTTTAATGCTAAAAGTATATATCATTTATATAATGAAAGATTAATTGATTTGAGTAGAACAAAATGGAGGGCTAATTGGTATGATAAATATTAATACTATTTTTAAGGAATCATGTGTTGATTTAAATAAATTTTTAAATTTTTATTATTTATATATAAATTATAATCCATAGATAATCTAAGTAAAAATTATGTTTAAATCTTCTTATTTTGATACAGTAATTCATTAATAAAAAAAATGGTAAAATCATTTTTGTTAATCTTTTTATTGTGTTGTTGTTCTTTGAATAGGTTTTGTAATTATCATCCAATGGATCCTTTAGCATGCATAAGTTAAACAGAAGGAATAATGTGTAATTACTAATTTTAAGTAAAAGGTCAATTTAGTTTATTTGAAAATGCTTGTGTGCCTGCTCAAAGTACTAATTTAGGATGTAGTTCATAATTGAATAAAAATGCTTGTTTAAATCAGCTTAGAAACATAGATGGAAATGAAGCAAAATGTAAAAAATAAATATAAAAATAGGTTATTTTGGGACAAGATGCGTTGAAGCATAAGAACATTATTTATAAAATTTAGGTTGTTCGCCATTATTTAATAGAAACTCTTGTGTAAATGTAAAAGGTAAAACGTGTTATTGGGATGGAGATTAGTGTAAAGAACTTATGACTTAATAAAGAGAGGCAGGAAATTGTAAATCAGCATATAATGCACCTGTAACACCGAAAGCATGTGCATTAATTGTTGGAATTAAATGCAAGAGTGGATTATTTGAAAATGATTACTAATGTTTAGATATATAGGATACAGAATTGAATATATTAACTTGTAAAACAGAAGGTTTGAATCAAGAGACATGTTTGTAGATTGTAGGATAGAAGTGTAAATTTATAATTATCATACTTAGGTATATTTAGGGATAATTAATGTGATATAAGTTCTGATATAAATAGTTGTGATGATTTAATTAATAAAGACTCATGTCTAAGTATTGTATCTATTGATATTACTTGTGTTTGGAGGCAGAATAGATGTTAAATACTAGAAATTGATAATTTGAAAATCTGTGAAGATTATGTCAATGTCAGTCCAAGTGTATGTACTATTCAAGATGGATATTGCTAATTTAAAGATGGAAGTTGTTTTGTGCCATTATTACATAATTAAAAATGCAATGACTTAGGATTAAGTAGATTAAGTTGTTTATCTATTAAAAATGATAATTGTACTTTCATTAACAACAAATGTGAATAACTTAATGTTGATTAATTGAATTAAATATAATGCATTGAATTAAATGAAGATGCTTGTGTTAATGTGAAGACTTAATTTTAATTTTGTAAATGGACAGGATAAGAATGTGTTGCAATGTTTATTAATCAGGATTTTGATTGCCCAATTTAGGATGACAATCATATCTTTAAATTTAATGGAAATGTATGCTAAGCAATATCTAAACCAGGCATCAGATGCAAGTACAATGCTCAAACTCATTTATGTGAAAAAACAATAGACAGTGACACTTGTATAACCGCATATTTAAATTTAAATGCTTGTGTATCGATTTTAAAATAAGCTTGTTAATGGACAAACACTGGCTGCAATTATGCTACTATAATCCAAGAAAAAACAAAATGCTTAGATCTTGGATATGCAAATTTAGTAGCTTGTTCTTAAATATTAAAATCTGACGAAGATGGATGTTATTTTGATTTTAATGCTCAATAGTGTAGATTAATTGATGATTAATTGGAAAATGAAATAAAATGCTAAGGAATGGGATTGAATAGAATAGGTTGTGCATCAGTTTTAACAGCTGGTCAATTATGTAGATGGAATAACAATTAATGTCAACAGATTAAACATAAGAATGATGTATAGGCTATATATTGTTTATAAATGTAATATGTAAATCCAGCTACTTGTGCTTTAGTAGAAGCTGGTAATGAAGTTTGTAGATATGAAAAAAATGCTAAAGGATGTGTAAATAGTTTGGATACTGAGACAATGACATGTTCATTTCCAGGATTAAATGCATATGCATGTGCTTAAATCTAATTAAGAAGTTGTTATTACGATAAGGAATTGTGGAAATGCAAATAGATAACTGTTTTAACTGCAAGCACAATAGTAAAAAAGTAAACAGAAAAACTATTATTGTATTCTGATTGTATTACAAGTTCACCAACGCCAGATGTATGTAGATCAATAACAAAAGCAAGTGCTAAATGTACATGGTTATTTAGAGAGAGTAGGTGCTCTGATTAGTATGTTACATACGATGAAAGTTGTTTAGATTATAATTCAGCATATGTTGGTAAGAGTATATTAATTAATGCTAATGTATGTGCTTCAATAGAAATGGAGTAGCCAGATTATGATGCTTTAAAAGGACCATTAATAGATAAAATGAAAGGATATTGTATATTTGAGGGTGGTAATTGCAATGTTTTTAAAGGTATATGTGGGACTCCATGTTGTACAGAATTCATAGGTATTAATTCTCATGTATGTGGACGATATTCTACTGGATAATATTGTTATTTTAGCAATGAATTAAAATGCACAGAACTTACATTAGATGTTGTAGATATTACTATTGAAAAATAAGTTAAAGATTATTACAATTCATTGTAATTGAAATGCTCATAAATGAATAAAAATTCTTGTCATATGATTGAATGGTCAACTTAATAAAGATGTTACTTCAATGAAAATATATGTGTTAATGTTAATTTCAGTTCTTATCCTAATTTAGCTATTTTTACAAATGACACTGCAATCCTTAATAAATATGCTTGTTTGTCCATAGAAGCTGTATTAACTTAAAAAAATTCTTCAATGTTTTTTGGTTATGAAGGAAAACATTGTAAATTAGATCCTGATATTAAAGATGTAACAGATTGTGAATCAACAGAATTAAATAGTAATGCTTGTTAAATAAAATATCCAGATATTTATTGTAGATGGTCTAAATCAGAATTGAAATGTAAGAGTGTAGATTCTAATTACATTCAGAATTTAGAATTTTGTGATTAAAATTTGAATGAATTTGCATGTGTAAACATATTAAAGACAAGTTGTTTCTTTTCTTACAAGACGCATAAATGTACAGAAGCACCAACTTTGGTAGAATGTAAATATTTTGGATCTGAAATTGGAACAGTTAGTATATTAGCATGTATGAATATTAAATTAGATGGTTAAATCTGTGGATATGATGATAAAAAACATATTTGTACAGAAGTTAATATAGATTCAGAATCATGTGATTTACCTGATGGTAATTCTATAGCTTGTTATGCTAAAACTAAAGGAGATTGTAGATGGGATGATTAGGAAATGTTATGCTATGAAAATGATAAACCTTTAAATCATTTAAAATGTGAAGACAATGTCAATAAGATTATATGTCTCAAAATAACTATTGAACCATGTGAATGGGATATTCTTAAAATGAAATGTCTTAAATTAAAAAGTAATCAATTCTAATTAATATTACCTAATAATTTATATAATGCTGAAGCTTGTGTATAAGTTTTTGGAGCTCCTTATAAATATGATCCAGATACTCATTTATGCACTCTTATTACTCCTGATGATTTTTATAAAGAATAAAAAGATCCAAAAGATAAACTTGAACCTAATATCTTATGTGATGGTACTATGACTCTTAATGTTGATGCTTGTTTATTTACTACTATGTTACAAAAATGCTATTTCGATAAATCTTAAAGTGCAGAAAAAAGATGCTCAACTTTTACTGGAATCTAAACATCTTGTGATTCTCCTTATCTAATAAGTTTATAAATGTGTGCAGATGTTCCACAATCATGTTATTTTATTAAAGCTACCTATGAATGCAAATATATTAGAATGGAAGATTCAATTAAATGTAGTGATTTAAGAGATTAATCAGATTTATATTTATTTAATAAAATATCTTGTTCCTCTATTAATTATGAATTTGCAGAATATGGTGGAGAAAAGCAATGTTTTAAATCTGATGATGATAAAGTACCAGATGAATAATTTAAGCAATAATGTTAAATAGAAAAATATTGTAAATGGGATCAAGAAACTACTACGTGTTCACTTATGTCTTTGAAAAGTTTAGTTTGGAAAGAAAAAGAAGATCCAGAAAAAGGATTAATAACTTGGTGTGAAGATGATCCCATTAATTTTGAGGATGATTGTTCAAATATTTATAGTAAAGCTGCTTGCTTATAACTTTCATCTATTTGTGCATTTAATATTTAAATGGGAGGCTGTTATGAAATTGAAGGAAATGAAAAATAAATCTTATCTTGTGAAGACATCATTGGTGATAATTGCACTAAGTCCAAAAATCCAAACGCACCCTGTATCGTAGATGATTCTAAAAATGTTGTATTCCCTGATGTTGCCGAGGCTTGTTTGAATTATTCTAATAGTGAAGAATAGATTTGTAAATAAACAGCTCCTTCTAATTGTGCAGATGCTGAAAAATTAGGAAGTGTAAGTCCTATTGTATGTAGTAGAGTTAGTGATAAATGCTATTATGATAAAGATAAAGATTCTGGTAAATGTTCTTCGGATACAAAAAAGAAAAAATGTGATGAAACATTTAGTTAACTTTCATGTCTCACAAATGGATGTGATTTTTCATTAGGGTTTTGTTAAGAAGTGTTTTCAAATCCATCTTTTGATATAGAATCTCCATTTTATCTTTACTAATGTTAATATATAAGTAAGTTGAATACTACAAGTTTAATTAAAAGAAAAGTTTGTGTAAATATGAATTTTCCTTGTGCATTTTAAAATGAATAATGTGTTCCTGCAGCTTAAGCTTTATGTTCAACTCTAAACTTATTGCCTGTATCTTAATTAACATGTCAGTATTGTTTAGGAGGATCATATTCTTATGATGCTTCTACAAATTCTTGTAATATGTTATTAACATAATAATAAGGGTGTAATAATATAAATAAAGATGGTTGCTACTTAATGACAACAGGTAAGAATTGTACATGGAATAATAATTAATGTATTGAATAAAGTGATTAAGATGTAGAAAAATTAAAAGATTGTTCATAAACAAATTTATTTGGTTGTCCTAAAGTTTCGAATGCTTGTTGGAAATCTCCTTCAACTAAATTTTGTACTATGGTAGATATATACTCAACTTGTAAATTGATAAAAGAATAAAATGGAAATGAAAAAGCTTGTATAATTAGTAATTTGTAATCTTGCTATTGGTAAAACAATGGATGTGAAGATTATAATTTAGATAGTGTAGATTGCACTGTTGCAAACAAATTTGGATGTTTAAATTTAAGTAAAGTCGCTTGTGGATGGTCTGATGAAGATTAAAAATGTTTTCTAATAAAATATTAAGAGGATGTGACAAAATGTACAGAGTTCTTTGATTCTAATAAGAAACTTATAAAATTTAATTCTTATTCTTGTTAATAGATAATTGGAATTCCTTGTTTTAGAGATAGGACATAAAAATGTAATGAAATAGGACTAAAAGATAAAATAACTTGTAATGCTAGTGGTTTAAATTAATTAGGTTGTTATTTAAAATCAACTGGTTATTGTTAATTTATTAATGGTTAATGTTAAACAATTCCCGATTTAAGCAAAGTTAAGTGTACATCTCCAATAAATTAAGTAGCATGTTTTAGTTTAAAATAAACTTGTAAATTTGTAGATAATGAATGTTAAGATTATGATGTTAGTAAATTTACAACAATTGCAGAGATTACAATAGTCGAAACCTTTCGATATTCTCCATCAGTTTGTAAAGCTTATAAAGAATTGGAAGGGAAGGCTTTATAATTATTATATGATGCCGTTAATGGATGTTGTATAGATGGTGATTAAGAAAAACCTTTTATTTAAAGTTGTAATACAAAAGGATTGAATGAATTAACCTGTTTAAAATAAACAAAACCAGTTTGTTAATATTTAAATGAAGAATGTAAGACTTTAACAAGTAAAATGATCAGTGATTCTAAGATTTGTGATCCAACATTTAATTGGAAAGCTTGTATTTCATTAACATTAAAATGTAAATTTTATTAGAATAAATGTTAAACAGTAACTGATTCTGAAACTTGTGCTTCTTTAGCAGATGTTATGGCATCACCATCAACTTGTTCTAGTAGATCTAATGATTAATAGGGTTGTATCTATGATACTCTTACAAATAGTTGTAAAATATCTGAATCTACAACCTTGTCTTGTATTTAGATTGGATTGAATAAATTTGGATGTACAATGAATACTGATGAAGAATTCTGTAGATATAATAATAATACAAATACATGTATATCCACTTATGAACCAAACTTAACATGCCAAGATATTATTAATAAAAATAAGTGTCTTTATATCAAAACTGCTAAATAATATTGTAAATTTGATAATGGATGTACAGCTATTAATCCTCTTGAGGTTATCTAATGTTATACTGCCACTAAAACTAATCCTATCACATGTACTGCTGCAGAATCAGTTGCATGCAAATATGACAGAGCTACCTAAATGTGTGTTATTGTTGAGTCAGATATGGATGAGAATGAACCTTTAACTAATATGATTAGTTTCAATAAATTAGCATGTATGAAATATCAAACAAATAATAAATAAGTTATTTATACAACCTCAGGATGTGTAGAAGTGGATCCAGAAGAATTACCTAATCTTACATGTGATTCACCAGTTAATTAATTTACATGTTCTTAAATCACTAATCCAACTTAATATTGTATTTATAAAGATTATAAATGCTAATTTATTTTACCTAAAGATATCCCTATTAAAACTTGTGCTGATATAGGTTATGTTAATTAAAAAGAATTTTGTGAATAAGCTGAAGATGTAAAATGCAAATTTAATTCATTTACTAAATAATGTGAGGCTTTTGATGAACCAATAAGTTCTTGTGTTAGGGGAATAAATAAAGTGGCTTGTATAGAATTATCATCTTGCAGATTTGATTAATTTTGTTTAGAAAAGACTGAAAGTTGTGCAGAGAGTTCAGATTGCATTAATGTTAAAATTTAACCTTGTACATAAATTAATGATGTTTGTTCTTTGACAACTGAATTAGATACTCTTAATTGTGATTAAGTAGTTAATAAATTTGGATGCATATATATCTCGAAACCATTTTAATATTGTAGATTTTCAAATTAAAAATGTTAATTAGAAGATTTAAATGAATTCAAAAATGAAGAATGTGAAAATATAACAAATATCAATTCAGCTTATTTTTGTGAATAACCAACTAATATTGCATGTCGATATGATCAATTCCAAAACAGATGTGTAGAATCTTTACCTACAGATAATTTAGATTGTATAAGAGGTTTAAATGAGTATACATGTCTTAATTATACAAAATAAAGTCTTAGATGCAAATTTACAGATTTTTGTTATGGACCAACATAACCAATGTTTGAATGTGATAACACTTTATTTGATTGTTGTAACAAAGCTCCTGATTTGAATACTTGTTTATTGTAAGATATATTAGATTGCTAATGGAATGGAAATAAATGTGTAAAATATGAAGATCCAATCACAACTTGTACTCTTACAAATACTTCTAAACTCACATGTACAAAATCAACAGATAAAAACTGTGTTTTAGATTTTTCTATAAAATAATGTATTTAAATATTAGAACCTACATCATGTGATTAATTATAATCTGCATAATAATGTTAAATGGTACTCCAATTACCCTGTGTCTGGATAGATGAATAATGTAAATATCATGAAATAAAAACTTATGAAGAATGTGCAGATATCACTTCTGCTTTTGGATCCATGCGAGCATGTCTCAATATAGAAAGATCTGGATAAATGTGTCAATTTAAAGATGGATAATGTTCTTCGTATTATCATGATACTGATTAATGTTTAGATAATATAAATAAAGTGGCTTGTATTAGTTAAGCTACTATTAAATGCTTTTGGAAAGTTGAAACTGTTGAAATCAAAAAACTTAAGACTTCCTAACCTATATCAATAGAATTTGGCACTTGTGTTCCTTTTATTGATCATATACTTACTCTTTGTAATGAAAATCTAAGTTATCTATCTTGCTTATCTATTACCACTCTAAAATAATATTGTAAATGGTTTAATGGCAAATGCATTTCTTTATCTGAAACCAATTCTATTGTCACTCCTTAAACTCATTCACTTGTCAATATTAATGCATGTGCTCTTGTCAATACAGAACCTGTCTATTATGATTCTAAATAACAACTTTGTCTCAAAGTTTAACCTACTCATTCAATTGCCTGTTTACCTCCTACTCCAGGATTAAATATGAAAGCGTGTCTTACTATCACCAAATAAACATGTAAATGGAATTTCGATAAATAGTAATGCGAATTTTCTAAATCTAAAATTAACAAGCATCTTTGATTTAAATTTATCAATCTTTTACATTTAAATTTTATTTTTATTACCATTATATAATATTATTCAAATAAAATAAAATAATATAAAATAGAACAACATTTCTTAAAACCATAACTTCATTATTCCTATTTTTTCTACATAACCATTAATATTCTCAATCTTTATTCTAAACATTTTTTCATTAATATATAATCTTATAATAATTTTCTTTTGATAATAAAACCCTACAAATACAATAAAATATTAAAACTCAAACTCTATATCTATTTTTATTTTAGCTTTTTCAGTTTTATTCATTTAAATATATTCGTATCCTAGAATTAAATATTTCTATATAAGGAAATTTTGTATTTCTTCCTTATTAAACTTAATACTCAATCAGAAAAATATATCGAAGTTCCCTACTACTCTCCCATATTACTTAAAAATAAAACTATAAAAATATACCCGAACTTTTTCAATATCATATTTTGTGCATTCATAAACTACCTTAATTTAGATAAGTATATTATTTGTTTTACTATATCTATAACAAACCCATAAAATAAAAAAAATTCTTAAAAAAAAAGGTTTAAAAATATTTACTCCCTTAATTCATTATGTCATGCTAAAGAGTTACTCCGTCCTTATTAGACAATTAAACCTCATACTCTTGGCGCTCTACATAATCCTTTTTTTTTTGATTTGTTTTAATTTAAAGAAAAAATAACCATATTCAATAGGCCTTCTTAATATTCTTTATAATCTTATTAAATTTAATTTATATTCATTTTCTTTCATAATTCAAATAAATTTATTATTATAATATGTCAACTTAATTGTTCATAATTTTAATAATGATCTTAACTTAATATTTCAAACTAAAAACTGTAAAAACACTCTAAAAAAATAGGATATTTGAGTATAATTAGATAGGTTTGGTCAGTCTTTCTTTAAATATTATATTGGTTCGAGTTTTTCAGGTGAATTAATTAAAAAATTTTAATCATGAGATGATTTTAAGATGATCTAAGCGAATATTTAATTATCTATTAATATATTAATGCTTAATTAATAAAGACAACCAATCATTTAATCTGATGACTTTAAATCATTTTTGGGTAGTTAATGGTTTAAGATTAATTATTTGAGTTAAACTCAATCAATTGAATGCTCAAATGATTTTGTAAATTATGATGAAAGCGAAAAAGAAAAAATATAAATTGACCAGGAACAATTAGCTAAGTTCTAAACATCTAACTAGAAAATAATGATACTCAAATTCTTCATTTATGGATACCATATCACTTATATCGAAAAATAACAATTTCATTATAATTTCTTCAAAAAGTTTATCCAGACTATTGATAAAATAGAAAAAAAAAACATAGAAAACTTGTAACAAATCATAGGAGAGCCCCAACATCCAATTTGCAAGTTAATTTTACTTGAATCCATTTTTATGCTTCTTCATCAATCAACTATATTATTAGAAACGAAAGAGTAAAATCATTTAGAAGAATGTGAAGAAGACTATAATACTCTTACTGAAAGCAAATTATATTATAAATATGCTTATATACATTTGGTTGAATAATTAAAAGGTGTTTTGTTTAAATGCTACAATGAAGGAATAATCTTGATAACAATATTTACTAATTAATTATTTTTGAGTGATGATCTTTTTGAAAAGATACCTCAAAGCCATATAAATAAAATTCGGTATTATGATACTAAGTTTATAATTGAATTGATGAAAGAATTTCTTGATTGTTCTGATTAATCAATCTATGTTACTAGATAATAGATAAAGCAAACGTTTCAAAATAATTATGAAAATTAAGGTAGATTATCAAATAAAATATTTTATAATTTAGAAAGATTAGATGATTAAATCATATTAAGCCTTTAAGCTATAAGAATTTGGTTGAATTCTAAGAACCAAACCGTCTTTTAGTAAATAAGATAGTTTTTAATAAATAAATTTTAGAATTCTAATTTTAATTTTGAGTATGCTTAAGAAACCATCGATTTATCTTTTGAATTACTAAGTAAACTATATTAGTATATTAGGTTATATTTAAAATTCAGCATTTATTAGTGGTATTAATTATTCTGAATAATTATTAGAAGAACTCATATTTATTTTTCATAGTATATGGAGTTCTTTAGAATAATAAACTTTTGATTAACTCTATGATTAAAAAACAGAATTTTGGTTAAATTATATTCATAAACTAAATTTACTATTGAATCCTTTAACTCCTGTATTAAAAGAATCAAATGATATTAAAGGATGTGCAGGTCTATATCTTATTTTACATGACCATCTTAATATTAAGAAATATATACAATCTACTACAATCTTATTTCATTTTATAGATCAACTTTACCCATTAGAATAGAGTTTAATTAAATCATAAAGTCAATTGATATAGAATTTAATTAAATCATCCATAGAGTGTATTGTGGATTAGAGTCTTTAAGAAAATGAAGGAATAATGTAAACGATAGAGAAAGTCTTAAAACAAGTTCAATTTATTAATCCTAAATTCAAATAAAAGATCTTTCAGTTTATATGGACTAAAATGATACCAGAAAATTAGTTTTATTTATAAATATTGCAAATGGTTGTTAGTTTATATTTGGAGAATGAAGATTAGTAATTGGGGACAAGAAATAGCTTTTTTATTTCAATTTTAGATATGGAGAGTCGAAAGAAAATTGTTCATCCATAGAAATTCCATGCTCTTCTTTAAATTTGTTAATATCTTTGTCTGGAATAAGCTCCTATAAAGATTGAATAAATATTTTCTTAGCAAGATTCTAATGCTAATTGTGAATTTTTAAAGTAATATAAAATAAAGAGAAGCTTCTAAGAATTCTTTTAAGTAAATAATTATTATAATTTAATTATAAATGTTATTTCTGGAATAAATAATACAACTAATTTAGTATATCAATTAAAAGAGTTTATTAAATTATTATGGTTATTAACTGAAGAGCTTAAATTATGTTAGATTGATTTTGCTGATGAGTTTGTTACATTCTTAGAATAAAAGTTGTACTTATTTTCAGATGATTAAATGAGAGAACTAATTGAACTTCTTTTTGATTGTTCAGTTTCTATGATAAGTAGATATATTAGATTAAAGAATGCAACTAATACGGCTGAGTAATATGGAGAATTGATAATATAAAATGAATTTTGTTTAAAGGTAAATTATATATCATAATATTTTAGGTACTTGTTGAAACTTTCTTATTTAACACAACTCCTTCAGAATAATTAAGACTTAAATGTCTATAATTTTTAGGTATATTAATTTCAATGAATGATTATAACAAAATGATATTTAGAGAGGCAATTAGATTATCAGTATACAATCTTTTTTATATTTAGAATTTTTTATTGTGTATGAGAAATTAAAAAAATAAGAGTTTATAAAAATCAATGGAAGAAGTCTTAAAAAGATCTTTGTCATTTATAAGAAATGATTAAATTTAAAAATTAATTTAAAATGCCCCAAAAGAATCGTAAAAAAATAAAGTATTTAAACAATCTGCATTTTCATAATATGTAGGTACAACTTTAGAAAATCTTTCAAATAGTGGATCTGAAACAAAATTTAAAAGATAATTTTAATTATTAGGAAAAGATAGTGGAATTATAATAAAGAATTACAAAGATTTATGTATAAATAAATAATGGAAATCTTTTTCAATTTTAATTGAATTTAAAAGAGAAGGTTTTTATTTCATAAATTCAAATGCAAAATCATTAGATGAAATATATAAAAAAGAATAGGTTTTATTTGCATATAGTGGTCACTTAGAGAGACAAGAAAAATAAGATAAAGGAAATCCTTAAACAACATCTTAAAAATAAAATATTCATTAAGTAGATTTAATCTAAGTTTCATTAATTAATTAATAATTATTAAAATAAGAAGAAGAACAATAATATTTTAATCACCTTGATAATCTCATAAAAGTTTCAATTCTCAATTCAGAATAATAAACATCTGAATTTTAACTCACTTATACCTAATAGTCAAAGGATGAGACAATATTGATATTGTTTATGTATGATGAAAGACAAAAAGGAAAATTTACAATTAATATTTAAAATTAAGTTAAAAAGTCTTTTTAGATCAAACCATTTTTACAAGAATATATTAAAAAGCATTCTGAAAAACATCATCTTAGTGTGCATATAGGATCATATTATTCAAATTAATAATTTTAAAAAACTTTTTAAGGAATTATAAATAATTTTATTCTTATTTAAAATATATTACTAGAAAAATAAATTGAAGCAATATTTTCAAGAAATTAAAACAATTTAGTGGAAGTAGTTGAAAAAGAAACCATGAATTTTGGAGTTGATGAAATCTAAAGTATAATATCTAATTTAAATCATTAGGCAGGGAAATGCAATACTTAGATTTTGAAAAATTTAAGACCAGTTTTTAAATTGTTGAAATTAAAGATGTTTTGAAGATTATAAGAGCTTAAAATATACAGGATTAAAATTTCATAATGACAATGATTAAGAAATAAATAAATCATAAAATTAGCTATGAATTAAATTAAGAAGCAAGAGTGATTTATCAAGGGGCAAATATTATTGAAGATGCAAGTTTGGCTGAAGTTTTTTTAAGTCTAGAAAATATTGAAATCATACTCTTTATAATATCAATTACTACTTAAACTTATTTTGATATAGAACCATAAGAAAGAAGATCATGTAAGATAAGAAGTGTTAAAGTTGTTTTATAAAATGGATCTACTACAAGTAAAGGAGTATATAAAAGAACTAATTATTTTGATTCTTTATAAAGATCAATATTTTTTGTAAAAGACTTAAATAAATGCAGAGATGATTATGTTAACTATTAATAATTTCAACATAATTTAAATAGATAAAATAGTTCTTTAATTTCAATAGGAGAATCTCCAGGACAGTAAAGATAAAATTTTATTTAACTGGAATCTGATCGATCAAATTCTAATTCAAATACTAATTCAATAAAATTAGCAACATAAAATTAAATTGTTCCATAAGGAAACTTCGATTTAATAGATTAGACATCTTTATTCAATATTCCTATTATATAGGTACAAACAACGTTCTCTTAAGAATTATAATCTCCTTTTGTAATTAAATCAAATGATTCTGATTAAAAGTAGAATTAACCTGCTCCTAATATATCACATTTTGAGAGACCTTAATTAAATTCTTAAAATGAGAAATTTACAGTTGAATAGTTTAATTTAGATAGAAAGGTTAAATCTTAATTCACTGGAAGAAAAAATACAAGAAATCTTACTTGTTAAATATCAGCTAAGAATGCATAATAAATAACTAAGAATCTTTAAAATATGGCTGAAATATAGAGTGATAAAAATATCGATTTGCATTAATAAGAGACTGAGTCAAATATATTTGATTCCAATTCTTATCATTGTGAATGGATTAGAGTAAAGATGTAAATATTTGGAGAATTAAAAATATTAGAAAAAGGCAAGATTGTTTAATTTTAGAGTGAGGGTTAAGAACGACCAGATAAAGAACTTTTTACTTATGGAACAATAGTATTATAATAAATAATATTATTAGCCTTATAATTTAAAAAAAGTAAAGAAAAAAAAAACAATAAGTACTTCATAAATTATAGAAATTCAAACTAGGAGATACTCCCATAAAGAAATTGCTATTGAAATGTTTTGTAAAAACTCTAAGTCTTATTTTTTTGTTTTATATGATTAAGATAGAAGGGCATAATTTTTAAATTAGATAAAAATAAGTAATTTTATAAACATTGTGATAGACAAAAGAGCAGGTAATAATATGAATTAATATATATATTAGAATTTTAAGCAAAAGAGTATACAAAGAAATGGATAAAAGGAAAATTGTCAAATTTCGAATATCTAATGTTAATCAATAAATATTCTGGAAGATCTTTTAATGATTTAAATTAATATCCAATATTTCCTTGGATTATTAGTGATTATAAAAGCAAGACTATAGATTTGGTAATTAAGATTAATTATTATAATAGAACAATAAAGAAATATATAGAGATTTAGAAAAGATGATAAGTTCATAGAATAAAGAGAGACTAGAAAATTGTAAGATAAGAGCCGAATCTTTAAAATCAACTTTAAATGAATATTTTTTATTTGGATCTCATTATAGCGTAGCTGCTTAAATCATTAACACTTTAGTGAGAATAGAACCATTTACTACATTATGTTGTGAATTACAAGACGGAAAATTAGATTAACCAGATAGACTATTTTTTTCTATTCCAAATATTTGGGAATCATGTTAAAATGATAATTAAGATTATAGAGAATTAATTCCTGAATATTTTTTTCTACCAGAATTTTTGAAGAATATTAATAAAATATAATTTGGATAAAAATAAAATTAAGAATTAGTTGATGATGTTGTATTACCTCCTTGGGCATCTAGTAATGAAGAATTTATTGAAATAAATAGATAAGCTCTTGAATCAAATTATGTAAATGAGAAATTACATTGTTGGATTAATTTAGTTTTTGGAGTTTATGCATATGGGGAAGAAGCAAGAAAAAAGGATAATTTATATCATTGGCTTACATATGATTCTTGTTTAACTTATATAGATAAATTACCAAAGGAAGAGAAAATGGGATATTTAGCTTAAATATAATAATTTGGTTAGGTTCCATTTTAACTGTTTACTAAACCACATTGGTAAAAATAAAAATGGGATTTAAATTTATTTTCACCTTTAAATTTAATTAAACTTTTAAGCGAAAAAAAATCCAAAAATAGTAAAAGAATTATGAAATTTGATAAAAAATTTGCTATAAAAATATATAAAGAAAATGAAATTTTATATGTTCTTCTTAATAATAAATAAGTTTACAAATTAAAGTATTAATCTTTATTTATATTTTAGATTGAATAGTAATTAAGAGAAAAGAGATAGTGAAGAGAAATTAGGAAACTCTTCAATATTTTCTATAAGAGGAAATGAGAAACTTCAATCAAAAGGATTGTAATATTAATTTGATGATCATTTCTTGTTTGTTTGTGGATATTTAAGTGGAGCAGTCTATATTTATAATTTATTCTCAGATAAAAGTTAATAAGCTTAAATTAATCATAAAATAAAACTACATAAAAAAAGAGTAACTTGTTTATCATATTCCCCAAAATTAAAAATTTTATGTTTAGGAGCAAAGGATAATAGAGTAACTATTTGGAAAGCCAGTCATTCTTCTGAAAAATAGATATACTTTTCCTCGACTCCATCATTAATATTATATGGTCATGATAAAACAATAAAATGCGTTCATATTGATGATACATTATAAGTAGTAGTAAGTGTAGATAAAAGTGGAAAGTTATAAATTCATTCTATTATTACTGGATTATTCTTGAATGATATAAAGATTGATTTAATAAATGGTGAGAAAGTATAAAATATTGTAACAAATGGAAATGGATTAATAGTATTATATACTAATCGTAATTAAATTATAGCAACCAAGTATTTTGAATAATTATTAAATTACTAGAGTAAATGGTTTGAATATTTAGAGATATTCATACAATAATATTGGTAATATATCTTAGATAAGTTCATATTAACAATCGCATTTAATGTTATCAACTCTAAAAGGTGAGATACTGATTGTTTAGAATATTGCTAGCTTAACTGAATAGCCCCCTATTATATTCCATTTGTATCAAAATACAGAAAACATTGGTATTGTAACATTTACTTAATGTAATATAAATATATCTATTTAAATAAATAGTTATGGAGAATGAATCTTTGATTTTACTAATAAGTTTAATTGATGGGTCATTATATCGATATGTCATAAGTTGCGAATAAAGTAAATTTTTTATTAATCTGCGTTTTTAGTAGTTGAATTTTTCCATTAATTGGTAAAATTGGGAGTGTGAGGGGTTAGTAAATTGTAAATTTGATTTATTAACTTTATCTTCAAATTTAATAATCATCTTATAAATCTATCTAAAATATATAAATAAGATTGTTTCATATTATATTAAACAATTTTAATTAATTAATACGATATTAGGAACAAGTAAATTTAAAGCTTAATAAAATAAATATCTATTAATTTATATCCAAATTATATATCACTAATTAAATTATGGGAAATTCTATAGAGATTAATCAAACTCTATCTTATACCACTATTTAAGGATAAGAGATACTTCTTCCTTTTAAGGAGCTAAAAGGAAATTAAAACTTTCCTAAAGTACCCCAAAGAGAAAAAGATATTGAAATAATGTTTTAAAAATGGCTTAGCAAAGTAAACTATATAAATATTGTGACAGATTGTGATTGGAAGAAGAGAGAAAGAAAAATTAAAAGGAATTCCTCTGAAATATAAATTTAGATTATGTTGCAAACATGACTAAATCATTTAAGAGATAACTAAAGGGGAATAATATAAATAGAAAGTGGTATAAGAAACAGAATAATTAATTTAAAAAGTATTAGCATAATAAGATATTGTTTCATTAGAAGGTACATCTTATATTATATAAAATTTAAGCTTTGTAGAGAAATTTAACAAATGATGAATTTCTTGAACATAAAATTGTTTTGCTTGCTAAAGTAGATCTGATTGCTAAATTAATTGTAGAATTGAAGACTTAAGAGTTATTATCTAGACATTCTAAAAATTTTAGGGATCAGATTGTTATTATTAAAATTTTCGAAAAGCTACTACATCATGAAACAGGTAATCTTTAAAATTCATTTATTTAATAGGTGTTTAATAATTATGTGATACTTCTAATTTTTTCTAAATCATGTTTAGTACATTCCATCCAGTAGAACCTGAAATTACAGGATTAATGCTATAAGTTTTAGGTGGTAAGTCTGGTTTATGTTGGCAACCTGAATGTTTAGACAATATTCTAGATGCCATGACAGAGTATTAAAATAATCATAGATTATAAACAAAGTAATTAATATTTTTTATGTTAAAGATTTGATGTAATAATACGTAGTATTTATTATACTAAGAATTTAATCATTATTTATCATTTACTTTAATTTTTGTTTAATTTTTTATTTTCAGTTGAAAAACCTGAATCTGAAACATTACATAAAGAATTATTAGAAACAGTAATTAATGGTAAAAGGATTGATGAAATATTTTAATAAGTTAAAATTAGAATTGTAAAAGATTACTATTAAATTGAAGAATCTACTTATTCAGGTGTTAGATAAAAACTTGCTTAATTCTAACATCCTCTTGTTGAAAAATAATCTCAAGAAAATGATTTTTTTTCAATGTAAAGATTTAAAACAATTACAGAAAAGCCTCCTAAAGATTCTATCAAACCTAATATTGAATTTGATTTAGAAGAAACAGGGAAAATTAAATTCGAAAATTGTTTTTATTTTGAATAACATGATATTAAGCTTTTTAGTATTTTAAAAGTTCAAATTTTTGAATTAATGGATGGAATATTAAATATTGATTCTATTTTAATTTAAATAGAAAATGATGATAATGAACAAACTGAAATTGTTTCTAATCCTAATGAAGTTTTTAATGAAATGCAAACCTTGGCTGAAGTAGATGAAGATGAGGAAGAAGATTATGATAATAGATTAGTCAGTTTCTCAAAAATAAAGAATAATGATTAATTTAGAAATTAAGGTAATATGATCAAATATGCCAACGCTAATTTGTAGTAAGAATATAATGCATTGGAAGAAAAACATTAAATTCTATTTTCTAAATATGAAGAAATTGAAAAATAATGTAGAGAATTATCCTTGAAATTAATTGATGAGTAAGAAAAAAACAAAAAGCTTGAAGAATAGAATGAAAAATTATTATATCATACTACAAATTAAAATTAAGATTAAGTGAATACATTAATTTAAGAATAAATTGAATTTTAAAAATAATAACATTAAGTATAAATGAATAATTTGACAGAAGAAATGATTTCATTAAAAGATTATATTCAAAATTAAAATTTAATGGAGAATTAATTAATTAATTAAATTGAAATCGAAAGAACAAAAGTATAAACATAGAAATAATAAATTGATTTATTGTAACGATATATTGATTAATATGCTTCCCCTTCAATTTTGGATAGAAATGATGAAAAATAAAATGAAGATTAGAAGTCATAAACTGATAGGATTATAAATGAAGATAAAAAATAAAATGAAGATAAATAATAATTAATATTAAAGGAAGATTTTTAATAAAAAGAATAAAATGAAGATTAAAATATTGAAAAAATAATAGTGTAAGAATAATAATAAACAATTTAAAATGAAAAAAAAATTGAAAATTAAACTATAACAGAAGATATATTACAGAATGATTAAAATAATTCAAATAAGTAACTTAAAATTGTAAATTATAAAATGCAAATGATTGATAGTGAATCATAGACTAATCAAAAATCCTATATAACATAAGAAGTATAAACTATTTTTGAATTTCCTACTAATCCTTCTACTTAAGTAACAGCTTAAGAATAAAAGGATAAATAGGCAAATTCATCTCAAACTACTATATAAGTAGCTCAACCTCCTCTACCACCATCACCTCAACCTCCTCCAAATTTAAATACAAATAGACCTCTACCACCACCACCACCACCTCCACCACCTCCTCTAAATTCAAAAACAAATGGACCTCCTCCACCTCCACCTCCACCTCTTAAAGGAATTTAATAAACACCTAAAGCATAAGAATCTCCATTTCCATTTAATAAAACTGAACTTATTCCATCTGTTCCTACTAAAACTTTAAATTGGATTTTGATTTAACCGTAAAATCTGAAAAATACAATTTATGAGTAGATTTATAAGGAAACTTATGAAATAGATACAAAATATTTAGAAACCTATTTTTATAAAATTTAAACTTCATCTTCTACATAATAGTAAAATAGTGACAATACTGTTATAAAAAAAGTCGTCTAAACTAAAATATAATTGATTGCCACAGATAGATGTAAAAATATTGAACTAGTCTTGGGAAAAATAAAGGTTCCAAATGCATTAATTATGAAATCTTTATTATCAATTGATTTGAACATACTTAATGATTCAGCAATAGATTCATTAGATACTATAATTCCAACTGATGAAGAAATTAAGATTGTATAAATTATATGATTAATTTAAGGTTAGTGAATTTTCAGGTTAAAGAGATCTATTGGGAGTTGTTGAAACTTTTATTGATAATATTAAATAAATTAATGGTTTTTAATATAGAATAAGATCATTAAAATTTAGATCTGTTTATGATGATTATAAATAAGATTTGATTGATAAAATGGCAATTTTAACCTCGAGATTTTAAGAAATAAGAAATTTGTAAGGATTATAAAAAATATTGTTAATAACATTAAGTATTGGAAACTTTTTAAATGGTACACATTTATATTTAAGATTTCAGCCAAGACTCCAAGAGGTAAAGCTTTGGGTTTTAAAATGGAGGCACTTGACATTTGTGCTGAAATTAAAACATCTGATAATCAAAATAATAATTTATTATTGTATATTATAGAGAAGACAGAGTAAATAATAGGCAATGAAATAATTTCTGAAGAAAGTAATTATAATATTTATGATTAGAAATAAAATCATTTGAAATTCTTCAAAGAGTTCCAGTTCATCAATTAGTAGTTGACTTAGGAGACATCAAAAAAGGTTGTAGTTTTATAAAAAAAGCTATGGATTCATAAACAGATGATCCCTAAGATTTAGTAGAATAAAAATTTAAGGATGGTTATGAATCAATCACAAAAGACATTGAAGAACTTGATAAGTAGATGAATCGTTTAGAAGAAGAGTATAGAACTTGTGCATAATATTATGGTGAAAATCCGAAAGATTCATCAGATAAATTTGGAGATAAGATTTTGAAAATATTCAGACAAATCTTAAGATAAAAATTAGAAAAACAATAAAGAGATGAAAGATAAAAGAGATAAGATGCTTTAAAAAAAAGATAAATGTTGAAAAGTACACCATTAACAGCAAGAAGAGCAGATGAAGGACCTAAACCACCTCCAAAAGAAGCATAAAGATAATCTGTCCTTAAATCAATTTTACCAAGATAATCAATCAAAGATTCAATTAAACTTGAAGTGCCTGGAAATAAGGTTCCTAAAAAGAGTTTTATAGCCAATGAAATTAGCTAACTTCGCCATATGAAATAGGTTAGAGCTAGTATATTAACAATTAACAAAAAATGAAATCCAATGATCAATAGTTATCTGAGTATTTTATAAGTAAATAATTAATAATTTCTTATCAAACACCATTTTAAATTACATTAATCTTTATTTCGTCTAATATTCCTTTTATTCTCAGATTATAATTAGAATTAGGTCATGCATCAAAAAAAAGAATAGGGTTTTAGTATTTAAAAAAAAAGTTGATGATACTACTTAATTTGAATAAGAATTGAACCAAGCCTTATATTCAAATTTAAAATGAATTCAATAAATAAAAACTCATGAGATGAAACATAAACAATCATCAGCTCCTGCTTTTCCTTAATTTACATTATAAATTTTCCAATTTTCAACTATCTAAACATCAACTAGACCTTCTTTTGGAAAAATCTCATCTCTAAAAGTTATTGAGAAGTTTTTATTCTAACCACTGATTTCATTATTATTTTTATCTATTCTTATTTTAGTTTCTTGTCTTTTAGCACTAAGTTCTGTTTAAAGATGTTCAAAACAATTAATAAATTCATTATCTTAATCAATACTTTGATCACCCTAGCAAGTTTATATTCTAATCATTTCTTAAAAAAAATTTGTTTTTAAAGGAACTAAAATTTATGAAAATAAAAATCGTAATCAATGAATAAATAAATAAAATTTCTTAGAAAAAGATTCTTTTTTCTTTAAAGAATAATAAATTATAATTAAGGTCTTTTTTTTCATTATTAAAACCTTTATTTATTTTTAAGATAGGATTAAAAATAGTAAAAAATTTACAACACTCGGTATTTAGTAATTTCCTTTAATCTTGTAAACCATAAATTAGATTATCTTAGATCCTTACCTGAGATTTCAGCGAAAAATACTAATTAATAAGAATGACTCTGTAACAAAATAATCTTAAGAATAAAATTAACTACTTATAGTATGTATAAATTTGTTTCAAAATTTTTAAGTAATAACTTATTTAAATAAATAAGAAATAAAATTTTGAATAAAGATTATAATGAATGCAATATATTTATATATCTATCAAACTCCTTACATCTAGAGTTTAGATGCAACATCTAAGTCTTTGACCATCTTTTTAAATTCAGCAAATGAAATCTTAGAATCAAAATCTTCATCTGCTTTGATAATGGTTCTATCTACTAATTGTTGTAATTAAACATCAGTTAAATTATTTCCTACCATCATTTAAAGTACTTTGAATAATTCTCCATTTGTAATAAATCCATCTTGATCTATATCATAAATTTTAAACATAAATTTTAACTTCTCTTCTTCATCATTACCATACAAACTAGACAGTCCAGTGATAAATTCAGCAAAACTTATCTTACCATCATTATCTTTATCAAATATTTGAAACACTCTCTTTACTAATGGATTTTGTGATAACTCTGGAACATCAAACAATTCAGCTGGTTCTAATTGACCGGACCCATCTTTATCTAAGAATTGAAATCTCTTGTAAAGTCTTTTAATCTCTTGAGGTTAGAATGTACCCATTTATTCCTCCATACCTTGACCATTTCCCATTTTTTTATTATATGATTAATAATAAAAATAATACTTATATTCAATTTATTTGTTAGAAACCCCTAATTCCTTCAATATTCACAAATTAAAAATTTAGAAAACTTAAAATTTATGATTACGACTGTAAAATTATAACTATATTGAACTATATCATCAATGAAATTAATTAATTATTTTATTAATATTTATTAGTATCATTTTTGCCCCTTTTTTAATTCAGTTTCTCTTCTCTATTTTTTATTTATCAATTAATAAATGTAAACTATTATAACTTTTATTATAAGCTTATGGTCTCATTCGAATACTTCAGAATTTATTAATTCTAAGTGTTTACTTTCTCCACTAAACCATATTTCTAAATAAATCCAAGCATTTTCTAATTTAATTAAAGATATTTTTCCTACTCTTTTGTAAACATCTAAAACCATTAATTAAATAAATATATATCATTGACCAATACTCTATCCATTAATTTTGAAATAAATAACTTAAATTAGTGTTTACCTATTAATTAAGGAGCTTCTTAAAATAAATTAAGTAAATAGAAGAAAATTTATTTATCATCCCTTTCATAAATAAGTTTTATTTTCGAAAGGTTTTATTTTTAATAAATTTATATATTTCAATCGGTTATCAGCGTTTACATTCTATATAATTCTATTAAAATTATTAATTAAAATATAAAAAAACTTATTAAAAATAAATGAAAGGATGGTAGAATAAGTTAGAAATAATTTAAAAAGTAAAAAGAAATGATAATTAAGTCAAAAGAATACTAACCTTTGAAAATTATGATTATTTAATAACTAAAGAAATAAATGATCCTCTTAAATATAAATTCTCTTAAAGTGAATGTTTGAGCTTAGCTTAGTTAATTGAATCAATTGTAATATTAATTATAATTTTAGAAATACAATTTCATTAAGATCTATAAAGGATAAATATTAATTATTATTTAATCAATGTTAGAGCATCTATTAAAATTACATTATAATATTTAAATATCACATGGAAAATTAATACCTTAAAATATTATCATCAAATTTAAATATGATAAAAGTAATTAATTAACAATCATGTAAACTAAATTTTAAATTGAAAAAATTCATTTTGTGAATTATAGACTTATTGATGATATTAATTATCAAATAAATAATTACTTTCAAGATGTTGATGATATTATTGATTGTTCTATTGCACTTATTCAACCATTTTCAAATTAAAAATGTTAATTATTATAGTGTATTCTAAATACTTTGAACGATTGTAAAAAAGATAAAAAGATGAATGTTTTATATTCATTATTTGAATTTATTTAATCTTCTATTTAAGAGTATTTTATATTTTAATTTTAGATATGTAGATAAGGAAAACTATAAAGTGAAAAACAAAGAAATATAACTATCTGTTAATATAAATAAATCGAACCCTCAATCAATTAAATGTGAAGAATTTGAAGAATATGGTATGCTATCTAAAAGAAATAGACTTTAAAAACCTATCGAAAACTTGATTGAAGAGATTTAATTTCATGATATAACTACCAAATTAAATTTACCTGGTAATTAAATTAATTAATCAGTTTCAATCTTTGATTAATCTTAATTAAAATCTTAGGATGAAATAAAGATTTTTGAAGTTTTTTTAAAGATAATATAATAATAAATGATGAGAATTATTTGGGAAAAGTATGGAACCTTTTTAGAATCTTGGGATTCGGATACTGAAAAATAATAAGAATAATTGATTAAGGACATAAACTTAAATAATGAAGCGATCTTAAATAAACATTTATCTAAGGTTTTATATGAATTTAAAAATGTTTAATCAATAAATAATGAAATAAAAGAAGAAATAGAAAAGAATTATAGATTTGATATTTTATATGATGAAACAAAAGCAAAAGAGATATTTATTTTAGAATTAATGATTGAAGCATAGAATTACGATTTTTAGAATATTCAAACCTTTATTAAATAAGTCAAATCCAATGTGAAATCAGAATTATAAGAATATTATAATGATATCCTAATGTACGAAATATTTAATCTTGAAAATGATCTTATCTGATAATTATTAATATATTCAACGTAATTATGATTAATTATTCATAAAAAGATTGTTATTATAAAGAATGATAGAATAAAAAGATAAAGTGATATAATTTCAAAAATAGGATAAACTCATTCAGCTTTATCTGATGGGATTGACACAATAGGTGCTACAGAATATGCTTCCAATTGCAATTAATTTTAACCTATAAATAAATAAAATAAAGATACCTAGAGCAACATAAGCTAAACCTTTGAGACCCCAAGAATCTCCCCATGAATTTTCAATAACCCAAAAATTAACTCCATCTTATTTACCCCAACCAATTACCTTAACTGCATGTCCATATTAGAATCTAAATAATGAGATGTATGTATACTTTGAACTTCCTTCAACAACTTCATAGATTCCTCCTTTATAGACAAGAAAGTCTTTGAATACTTAAATAACTGCAACAACAGGTCCATTATTTAAAATTTCTCTTTTAATATTTTCCTCACTAGATACAACACAATAATCTTATATCTTATATTTTTCACAATTAGTAAAGAGAGCATCACAATTATCTTTAACATCTTCAGTTCCAGAATATGGTAAACAAGAAGTTGTAACAAATCCTTATTTTTTACCAACTTCCAAGACTCTAGTAACACTTCCTCCTCCACATCTGTAATTCTTATTATCACATGAAATTGGAGATTATGGTGATAATTAATCTTAAAATTCACCATTTCTAAATTTACATAATCTATCACTAGTAGCTGAAACAGCAGCTATAGAATAACTGGATGAACAATTTCCTATTGATTAATCTATTTATTACCTTAATTATATATTGGTTAAGCACATTCAGGTTAAGCATCTCTAAAATTATAACTCTCTGGAATTATTACTCCACTCTCTGGACATTATGGAATCTTTCCTTTAAAGGTTAAATGATTATTAAAAATAAATTTAGCATCACTAAATTTCCAATCCTTAAAAAAATCATTTGGTCCTTGCTAATAAGATCCTAAAGAATTATGACTAGCAATTTCTTCTTCATCAATTACAGGTGCAGTAGTCAACTTTTTAGATGAACGTGTTAGTATAGAAAATAATGCATAAACACACACAAATCCGAATGCTCCTATTACCAAATGATATGCATATTTTTCAAAAAAGCTGGGTTATGTTTAGTTACGCCTTTTCATTGCTTATGCTGCCTTTTCTCTTTAAGCAACTTTTTCTGGAGATTAAGGAGATGGACTTCTTTATCTTTAAGATACTTAACTCATCTTTTAATTTAATTATTTAACACGTTTATTATTTTTTAATTTAATATAAAAATTAATAAGCATTTTTTTATTAATCTAATCCATCATCAACTTTTCATGTTTGTAAAATACAACTAAATAAAATTATTCATATTATTTTTTAACTAAAAAAATTTATCCTTTAATTATATTGTTATTCATATATGATTTTTGGAGTTATTCACATGCAAAAAAATCTCTCCATATTATACACAAGAATAGTCATTCATTTAAATACATACTTCTATATGTATTCTACAAAATAATTAATTGTTATCAAAATAATTTCATATAATATCTGCATAGAATTATCAATTATTTGATATTAAAAATAGCATGAATTATTTTATTATTATTTTTCGATTATAAACTATTTTTAAGCTATAGTAGAAAATCCTCTTATAAAATTCTAAATTTTTTTTTTCCATTAAAATGTTCTTATTAAGAGAGAGGAATTGAATTAAATAATTTAACACATATGACATATCAAATATAATCATATAACTAAAATCCTAATGTATTAGCTAATTTATTGATTTTAATGCAATATAATAGTGTAACGAATGTAATTGTTATTAAAAGCTATTTATTATTAATTAAATTTCTTTTTGTTTAATATAAATTATATGAAAAATAGTGAGAATCTTTAAAGTTATGCAGTTGAAAAAAGAATTGGAGAAGGAGCTTTTGCTATAGTGTAGTGAATCTTATTATTAATTTAAGTTTTTTAGCAACGGTTTAAGAATCAGGTGAAAGGGTTGCAATTAAAAAGGCACCTCTTGACAAGAAATATAAAAATAGAGAACTTGCTAACTTAAAATTAATTGGAGATCATCCAAATATTGTTTCTTTGAAAGATGCCTTTTATGTGGTTGGTTAAAAGTATAACGTATTTTATTATATAAAAGCGAAGAGGTTTATATAAATTATGTTATGGAATTCCTTCCTGAGAATTTATCAGATTATATCAAGAATTTAAAGAAACAAAAGAAACAATTAACATAAATATAACTCCAATGCATAACATATTAATTGCTTCGTGGATTAGCTTTTATCCATGGAAAAGGAATGGCTCATCGAGATATTAAACCATAAAATATTCTCATAGATAAAATGATTGTTAAATATTGTGATTTTGGTTCATCAAAGATAATATCTGGAGGATAAATTAATACTTCTTATTTATGTTCCAGATATTACCGAGCTCCTGAACTTATTTTTGGAGCCACTGATTATTCTATAAATATTGATATATGGTCTTTGGGTTGTGTTTTTGCTGAATTGATTTTATTGGAACCTCTATTTCCAGGAGAAAGTTCAGTAGATTAATTAGTAGAAATTATGAAAGTATTGGGAACACCTACAGCTGCTGATATTGCTGAATTCAATATTTCTAATACAGATTTTAAATTCCCTTAGGTTAAAGGTCATCCTTGGTCTAAAGTTTTTCTTAAATATAAACCAGATCCATTATTTATTGATTTGATTAAAAAAATGGTTATGTAATTATCTATATTTATAACAATAGATATTAACCATAATAAAGAATTAAACCATTTATGGCTTTGATGCACCCTTTTTTCAATGATCTAAGAAAAATTTAAAATGAAGAAGTTCCAGAGATCTTATGGTAATTTACACCAGAAGAAGAAAATATTTTTGGAAAACAACCATTAAAACATTTATTGCCAACACGCTAGTAAGCATAAAAGTGATTTATATTTTTCAATACTAATTATCTGATTATTATTGTGAAATTATTTTCATGTCATTATAAATGTATTTACATAATTTATTTTAATATTTTATGATATAATTACACTATGTTTATTTTACAAATTTTAGAATTAATAATAAATCTTAATTAACATATCCTTACTTAAAATTATCCATTTGTAATTAATTAAATGGTTGAATAAGAAAAGAATTTAGAGCCTCTATAGAATGTTCCAGATTAAGAACCATAATTATTAAAACTTGACTTAATAGTATGATCAAGATGGACAGTAGTAAAAATAAAAAGATAGTGAATTAATCCTATGAGCTATGTGATGAATCAGGGTTATCAAGAAGAAGATCCTAGGATGATGAGATAATATATTATAAAATAGAAAGAATAAAAATTGATTTCAACAAGAAGACTCAAAAGATTGTTAAGTAAGAAATCTATTGATAAAGTGAGATTAGCATATAAAGCTTATTTTTATATGTAATTATTGTTGTATTGGCATTAATTTTTTCATCTTAAAGGGATCAATCAGTTTAACAGGGTGATTATGAATAATTTTTAGATAATATGGTTTCGGATTTAATAGATGATATTCAATTTACTTATACATATAAATATTGTTAGAGTTAATTTGGAAAGTGAAGTATATGATAAGATTTAAAATTTTAGTATCCTTCATTATCTGAATATTATTGGGCTTGGAACTTTGATTTGATGTGATTGTAGTTAAGAATTAACTCTACATTAGAAAATGTTGTCAAATGGTTATATTACTGTGCATGAATAATAACCAAAAATTTTTATTTCTTGAAATGATGATTCTTATGAAAGAGGTAAATGAAATAAATTTATTATTATCGCACTTGTTTTATATGTTAGAAGAAAGATTGAATTAAGTTTATAAACTAATTAAAGTTATTGTGAATCTGAATAAGAAACTATATGTGGTTTAGGAGAAAATAGATTGTGTATTCAATCTAATATGAGTTGTCCTGTCTCTCAGATTAGATTTAGTATAAATTTTAATTACTAAAATTTATCAAAATTAAACAATACTAATCTCAGATATTTTTTTGATTTAGGAAAAGGTTTTTATTTTTATTATTTATAAGATACATCAACATACCTCATTGAGTTTAGAGTTACTGAAAGAAGTAAAGTTTGAAGAAATTTAGATATTTCTCAAAATAGAGTTAATTATCCTCTCATGACAGATAGAAGAAGAGAATAAAGTGAAAATACATCCTTTATTATGAAATTCTATAGATGAAGAATAATTTCATTTGTCCAATAATGTCATTTTTTATCAGATGAATTACCTTATTTTAATATTAATACCACTTATAATTGGTTTATGCATTCTAAAACTTATATTCCTTGGACCCCTAATTGTTGAGTAAAATTATTTGATAATATTATTCATGAAGGAAGTACATTATTTTTTTTAAATATATTTTTAAGAGTTAAATAGTCAAAATAACACATTTAATTGTTATTAGTCTTATTTTTAATATTGTTGGAACTATGACTGCTTGTAATTTTGCTTGGTTTTGTATGGCAAGTAATATATTTTTTAAATTATTGTTTAGCTTGTCCTGAATCTTAATATAATTATATATTCTTAATTGAAATTGCATTTAAGATAGCTATATAAATAGCTGAAATCATTTTCATTTGTGTTTCCTTTGATATTTTTTTATTAAAAAAGACTTTTTATTAAAATGTTTATGATAATAGATTTGTTTCAGATCCTGTTAGTGATTCCTTTTTCACAAATCTAGAAATATAGATTTAACTAGCAAATTGATTCATATTTGCAGTTACTTTTAATATTAGATTTAATAATTATTAATCACTCTTGAAATCAGTTGCATCATAATCATCATGCAATAAAATTAGATTTTGGATCACATGGAGAATATGCCAATTAGAAAATAATTAAAATTTATCGAAAATTATAAGTTAAAAGGGATATATTATAGTCTTCATCATGATAACATTTTTTATTATTTCATGTAATATATCAAATCAAATCATTTATTAAATTTAATATTTCGTACATTAGGATATCATTATAATATTCTTATAATTCTGATTTCACATTGGATTTGACTTTTTTAATAAAGCTTTGAATATTCTAAAAATCGTAATTCTATGATTCAATCATTAATTCTAAAATAAATATCTCTTTTGCTTTTGTTTCATCATATAAAATATCAAATCTATAATTCTTTTCTATTTCTTCTTTTATTTCATTATTTATTGATTAAACATTTTAAAATTCTTATAAAACCTTAGATAAATGTTTATTTAAGATCGCTTCATTATTTAAGTTTATGTCTTTAAAAGTTTATTCTTATAATTTTTCAGTATCCAAATCCCAAGATTCTAAAAAGGTTCCATACTTTTCCCAACTAATTCTCATTATTTATTATTATATTATCTTTTAAAAAACTTCAAAAATCTTTATTTCATCCTAAGATTTTAATTAAGATTAATCAAAAATTGATTCATTAATTGAAACAGATTCATTAATTTAATTACCAGATTTATTTAATTTGGTAGTTATATCATGAAATTAAATCTCTTCAATAAAGTTATAGATAAGCTTTTAAAGTCTATTTCTTTTAGATAGCATACCATATTCTTCAAATTCTTCACATTTATTTGATTGAGGGTTCGATTTATTTATATTAACAGATAGTTATATTTCTTTGTTTTTCACTTTATAGTTTTCCTTATCTACATATCTAAAATTAAAATATAAAATACTCTTAAATAGAAGATTAAATAAATTCAAATAATGAATATAAAACATTCATCTTTTTATCTTTTTTATAATCGTTCAAAGTATTTAGAATACACTATAATAATTAACATTTTTAATTTGAAAATGGTTGAATAAGTGCAATAGAACAATCAATAATATCATCAACATCTTGAAAGTAATTATTTATTTGATAATTAATATCATCAATAAGTCTATAATTCACAAAATGAATTTTTTCAATTTAAAATTTAGTTTATATGATTGTTAATTAATTACTTTTATCATATTTTAATTTGATGATAATATTTTAAGGTATTAATTTTCCATGTGATATTTAAATATTATAATGTAATTTTAATAGATGCTCTAACATTGATTAAATAATAATTAATATTTATCCTTTATAGATCTTAATGAAATTGTATTTCTAAAATTATAATTAATATTACAATTGATTCAATTAACTAAGCTAAGCTCAAATATTCACTTTAAGGAAATTCATATTTAAGATGATCATATATTTCTTTAGTTTTTAAATAATCATTATTTTCAAAGGTTATTATTCTTTTGACTTAATCATCATTTCTTTTTACTTTTTAAATTATTTCTAACTTATTCTACTATCCTTTCATATATTTTTAATAAAATTAATATATTTATGAAAAAAAATTATAAAGTAAAAACTTAAAACCTATTAAAACTTATATTTGAAATTTATTTAATATATATTAATGAAATATCCTAATAGATTTCTTGATATGCTAAGAGTAAAAATTATTTTTTAAAGTTATTAATAGAATTAGATGATATTATTAAAATAAATTTATAAATAAATTGGAATGCCGAAATTTACATAATATAAATCTTTAATGAATAAAATATCTACATGATTAATTATATATGTCTCTCTGATTATCTTCTTATATGGATATTTTTATTAATATTTGATTGATATTTATTTTCATACTAATTTATGAATGAACTACTACAATTTAGTATGAAAATAGATGTTATTATTAAGGTTGATTGAATGTTTGTATAATACATATATTAAAAGATAATGAATAAATGAAAGAGAGAGTGATTAAGGATAATTAAATTTTAAAATTAGATTTAAAATTAATTAAAATATAATCAATGCCTGGTAAAAAGAGAACTGTGAGAATTGGTAATTGGTATAAGAGTGATGATGAAAAAGTGCATTTCGTTAGAAAGAGAAAAGTATTGTGAAATAAAATGAAAAAGGCCCCAAGACCAGCTAAATTGAGAAAGATTGTACCAGGACAAGTATTAATCTTGTTGGCTGGAAGATTCTAAGGAAAGAGAGTTGTATTCTTGAAGCAGCTTAAATCAGGATTGTTGCTTGTAACAGGTCCATTCAAATTAAATGGTGTCCCACTCAAAAGAGTTAACTCAGCATATGTCATTCCAACATCCACAAAAGTAGATGTTAATGGAGTGAATGCTGGTTAAGTAGATGATGAATATTTCAAGAGAACATAAGCTTAAAGACGTAAAAATGAATAAGGATTCTGGGCTAAGAGAGGAGAAGTAATAATATTGTATAATGTATAGCTCACAGCTGAATAATAAACAGCAGAAAAAACAAGATTGGAAGGTAAAAGAAAGACTTAAAAATCTATTGATGATGCATTGGTTGCAGCAGTCAAGAAAACACCACTCTTGAAATAATATCTTGGTGCACGTTTTAGCATTGGCAAAACAACAAGACCCCACGATTTAGTCTTTTGATTATTCCAAGATATTATCGTACAATATAAAATATTATAATTCAAATTATATTTTACATTTTATATAAGTTGTTAATTATATTTAATTAATAGCTTCTATTTAATTAGTTTAATTCCATTTCTTTCTTTAATTTAGAATATAGATTATGTTTATGCTATTTTATATACCATAAATAATGAGATATTATTATGTATGTTCAAATCAATTAGTTAGATTATTTGCAACAAAAAATTTGGAATAAATTATTAAAAGATTTATTTATTATTTTGAAATGGGAAAATTGTAAACTATAGTAATATAGCTAGTTTAAAACCAGGTCGTCTAGTAGTTATGCTTGCTGGCAGATATGCAGGAAAGAAAGCTATTTTGATTAAAGCAAATGAAGAATCAACTAAAGTATATAGATTATTGATTTCTTTTTAGGATGCAAAATTTCCAAATGGTTTAGTAGTAGGTATCTAAAGATATCCAAGAAAAGTGACTAAGAGAATGGGTTAAAAGTAAATTAGAAAGCGAACTACATTGAAAGTCTTCATTAAATAATTAAATCTTAATCACATAATGCCAACTAGGTAATTAAAAAATCAATTTTTTTTAGATATAGATTAGAGGAATCAACTTTAAAGGAAGTCAGAGATAGAATTGAAAGAGTTAAAGAGGCTGAGTTAAAGAATGTTGAAAAAAGAAAGGACTTGAGAAAGAATTTAAGAAAATATTTAGCTGAGAAATATAGAACATTACCAGCAGGAAGTTTGGCTGATAAGAAAGCTTAATCAAGATTCCTATTCTCAAAATTGAGATTCTGATATATATTAGATAAGTATAATATAAAATAAATAGATATTTTAACTTCTTTTTTATATTTGTTTAACTATATGCTTATTTAATAATTACAAGTTTTTAGAAAAAAATAACCATATATAAATTAAACATGAAAAAATGTATATTATTTTATGAATTAAATTAAATATAATTTTTGCAAAGTCTTAAAACTACTCTCTTAAAAGCTAAATTAAGATTTTAATCCTTCACATTTAAGTATAATAAATGAAAGTAACCTTCATTCTGTTCCAAAAGGTTCAGAAACTCATTTTAAAATAACAATTGTTAGCAATGAATTTGAGAATAGAAGTCATATATAAAGACATAGAGCAATTTATTAATCAATTGATAATGTTTGATTTTTTATTTATGATAGCTGAAAAATGATTATAAAATTCATGCCATTTAAATAACAGCTAAAACAACATGTGAATGGGAGAAATCCACAGAAGTAAATCCTACTCCTAGTTGTAGAGGTGGATCTAAGGTGAAATCCATTTGAAATATAAATAGTATATGAATTATAAATAAAAAAATCCCATTAAGTTTTTTATCAGGTTGAAGTAAATACACCACAAATATAAAAGAATGAGAAATAAGAATCAAAAGAATTAATTAATACTGCCATTTTGCAGAGAATGAACAAATTAATTTCTTTTAATTGAGATATTATTTAAAATTATGTACCCTTAGGTAACTCAGTATCCAAATTCGAAGTACAAAACACAACTCTGTAGACATTTTAGTAAGTATCTGAATAAGAGTATAGCATCAAATGGTGTTTGTGCTTTAGGTTAAAGATGTTAGTTTGCTCATGGACCATAAGAACTTAGAGCAAATAGTATATAAACAGCATATGCTGAATAAGTTATGCCTGTCAATAACTACAATAAGGTTTAAGGAATCAACCCTATGATTGTTAATTATAAAAGTAAATGATCAAGATCATTAAATTAGCATAATTATGCAAACATTTCAATCCGTAAACAGGTCAATGTAAAAACGGACCAACTTGTACTTTTGCTCATGGGGAAAGTGAATTAAATACAATGCCATATTTATAAAGTTAATACTAGTAAAGCTTCTATATGACTATCCATTAGATAGATGTAATAATAAATGAAATAAATGAATTAACAATAATTGCAGGCAGATCTCACCTAATAGATTCTTATAATGATATTAACTAATATGGAACATATCTTTCCTGGATAACAAGTACTTTAAACTTTTATTTATTTTCAGCAAATTCTGTACCTCTTAAAATAAGGTCAAGACAAAGCTAAATAAGGAGACACTTAGGGTGCTAGTGATATCATTAAATAAATTATACATGATTAAGAAAGATCAAAAGAAGAAAAATAATAATATTAATAAATCTATAATAATGCTTAAAGGCATTATGATTAAAAATTGAAAGAGATTTAATCTTAATAGTAATAACAGCTTTATTGAAATATATTATTATATATATATATACACATATTATTAATAATCACTTATATATACATTATATTTTTAGGTAATAAGACGAACACCAAGTGACAAATCAAGGATTAATACATTTATTAATGTTTATATAAAAATCATAAGAATTTAATAAATTGTATCATTTATATTTATTAAAATTATTCTCCCTCATTAAAAAGGATTTTTATAATATCTTTTCATAATTTGAAATTCTATTCATAATTTCATTCAATCATCTTTAGCTTTCATTTAAACTTTTATAATTTTGATTCCCCTAAGCAATTATAACAGGATTTTTTATAAATCTATTTTTACTTTTTTAAAACACTGCAAATCCTTTGTTTAAATTTGGGCAATCAAGGTTTTTTATAGTTTCCTAGATTGGTTTCAATTCACTAAAACTTTTTTTAGCAGAGTTTATCTTTAACTATAAGATTTTAGTATGTTATCAAAATATGAGTTAGGATCAAGTAATTAGTTGATAATATTTTTTTACATGTTTTTATAAATCTCAATCATAGATATATTTAATACTTATACTTTGAGTATTTCCATTCTGATTTTATGAGATTATGTAAATTACATTAAATCATAATAGTCAATACTCATTATTTGAAAGATGGATTGAAATTGATTTTTTTATACCATAATTTAATGATCTAAAAAATTTACCATCAAATTCACTTTGATACTTAATATTTGGATTAATGGAACATATATTTATTAGCATTTTCCCAAGGTTTTTAATATGCAATCTAATTTTTATTTTTTTAGTTTTCTCTGATAAACATATGCTTATAATTTTTGAACGATTAAACCAACTAAAAGTTAATTATCTATTTTTCATAAAAAAATTATGCATAAAAAAATAATTGAACAAGTTCAGTAACTCTTAAATTGAGGAAATAAACATATTCTAATGTTTGTATTTTATAATCAGTATGAGATATATAAATCAGGGAATAAATGTTCGACTTACATTATTTAATTTAAGATTTAATTACAAATGAAATTTGATGGCTCTGATTAACAAGGTGAGGATTATCTTGATCCTACTGTAAATACCTCTAAATAACAAGAGGGAAATAATTGCTCATAGTAACGAACTGGTCATTGGGACGATCAAGAGCATTATATATATTTAGAATTTTTATAAAATGTTAGGGGTGCTGATGGGTCATACAAAAAAGGATAACCTTTATTTAAAAAAATGAGTGAAATTATTGGAACTAGATCGCCAAGCTAATGCAGGTATTATTTAAAAATAACGTAGGTCTCATCATTAAAAATTCAACCCTTATAACTAACTTATAAGGAAAAGCAAAAAGAAAAGCTTTAAAAATAGAATAAAAGTATAAAGCAAACCAATTTTACGAAGTAAATAAATTATGAGGAAATATTTTGCTTTAATTAGAGAAACAACTGATGAAGAATGACACTTTTGACTATATAAAATTTATATCATTTAATAAAAACTAATTATAGAAATATATTATTATTTATAAAATTCATCATTTTGCATCTTGCTTCAAGATTCAATTATGATACTTTATAAATCTTTTTGTAGTATTATCTAATTTGCAGAAGAGATCTATGACTTTAAAAAGATATTCCATGAATGGATTGAGAAATAATTTAATTTACTATAATTCATTAAATAATATAGTAAAATTAGTTAAATATTGAAAATAATGATTAGTTTTATTTTCTCACTTGCTAAATGTATTAAAATATTTTGTTTAATAGTTATAAGTATCATAATAAATCATTGTTTTTAATGTATCACCTATATAATTTAAAAAACTTTAAAAATAAGAAACAAATGAAAATTAAATTGTAATTTTTATAAAAAGAATTTGGGAGATAAATCATCATAGAGTGAGAGTATTTCAAAATTATTGTATAAAAAAGTTAATTATAAAAGATTAACTCTATATAAAGAACGAAAAATAAGGATGAGGAATTTTATAGAATAAACTTTTTTTAATTGAATTACCCCTTAAATTTCTTAAACATTAAAAAAATAGAATAATAATTTTTTTAATCATTAATTATATAGTCAATCGAAAATTTTTGATCTTCTTAATTTTGATTATGAAAGGCTTTAACTGGATGATTTATACTAATTTAAGTCTAAATTAAGGCCTGGTCTTTATTTTGGTGCATTGTAATGCTAAAAATGAATAGTATGAATTACAATAGTTGATTGAATAATAGGTGGTTTTGAATCATTCATTTATCTTCCAGTTTAATCATTTAAGCTTTTGGATAATAATGGTTAAAATTATGCTGTAGTTTAATATTAAGGATGCAAACTCTAAGTTTAAATTGGAGGAATAGGTTAATTGGCAGGAAGAATCTATTATTAAATATAATAATCTTTTTATTCTAGTATTTTTGACTATTAAACATTTGTTATAGGATATTATTGGGTAGTTTATAGTCTTTAATCAATTTAATCACTAATAGATTATTATTAAATGGTTTAAGGTGGATAAAATATTCTTGCTGATTCTGATTCTCTTAGATTTTTCTGTTAAACAGATTAAATTTAAGGTTCTTAAAATCGTTAAGTATTTTCTAATCGATTTATTTAAAATTAGACTTAATGAGCCTCATTAGTTTATTATCCATATGTTTAAGGTGGTAATTATTAAGAATAATTTCTAACTCTTGCAGATGAAAACAAATAGGGGTTGTTATCTAAATTGAAAAAATTCTTTTTTTTTTATTTTTGAGGGTTTTCAATTTAAACAGTCTTTGGCATTTATAAAGGAGGGTATCTTTCAATAATTGTTTCTTTGGGATATATAATTGTAGATGGTAGAGGCTCATTGATTGGAATTACATTTGATAAAACTTAATAGGGTTCAAATGGTGTTTGGTATGGTTGATATTGTTCATAATACATGGGATATCCTTATGGAAGATAACTGAATTATAATTGATAAAGATTACTTTAGGGGTTATTCATATCGATTTTGAGAATAGATCATTTTTAAGTTGTTAATTATATCAATAAAATTTTATTAAATATTATCATAAAGTGATTATCAATCATTTTTGATATTCATCATATTTTAAGGATGATCCCTTAACCTTATTAATAGGGTACTTAATGGAATTCTTCTGAATTTTCATTTGAATAGCTGTAACAATATCAATATTACACCTATCACAGAGACGTATTAAATTGTGTAATATATCTGCAATTTCTTCTCCTGTGTGATGTTTTTATTGTTAATTTAATTCTGGTAATCCAGGTTATAATTCTCCGTCTATAAATATTTCACTTAATTCTCCAACTTCCCCAATCAAAGCCATAACTATATTTTTAGGAGTGTGGTATTATTCCCAATCTCTTTGATGACACCAATCATTTATTTATTTTCTTAAATCTTCAAATTCAAGTTAATTGAATTTAGTATTTACCTCTGGTAGAATAAATTCAACTATTTAATTTTAAGTTTCCTCTTTCAATTATTATTCTAATTCTAGGATCAATGATTTTAATTCATTTAAAATCATTTAAGATTTTTATATTTCTTATTCATTAATATTTGGATGGTTTCCCTTCCATTGAAATACTGTTGAAAGTAATCCTGTTTTATGGACAATTTTAAGTATAGTCGATCGACAATAATATATTTGTGGCATTTTAATTAATATTTATATTAATAAATGCTAGAATAAATTTAGTGAAAACTCATTTTGAATCATATTTTTATTTTAACAGAACTATGTTTAAATCATATATGTTTTATCTCTTTGAAGAATTTGAAGGAGATAAAATATAATTATGATTACAATATAATATATAATTGAACTTTATATGAAACTGAAAAATGAGAATCCTCATCATTAGTCGTATAATAAAGTATTTAAATACTTAATATTAAATAAAATTAAGATATCTTTGATTATGGTAATAGAATAAATGAACTAATAAATAAAAAATTATAAAAAACTGTTTAAGAGATATTAATAAATTATTGAATTAAAATGGATATATGTGGAAGGGTAGTTTATTATGTTAGAATAAACTGAATATAAAAGAATGTTATTGAATGAATATATTTTTTTTAGATAAAAATTAATTGATTCCATATGGAGACTTAAGCGAGATTTATGATTTGAAAACTATTTTTCAAGAGCAATTTTTTATTGAAAATTTTGTTATTATTTTTTTTATGTCAGAAGTGTTTTTAAACAAATTAAGGGATTAAGCAATTTAATTGATAGCATAAGGTAATGAGAATATTGAATGTAGGGAAATCTGAGTACTTATCAGGAGCTACACTTGAAGCAAAATAAGGAGGATATGATAAAATGAAATTGGGATGCTAAGAATTAGTAAAATATGCTAGACAAGAAACAAGTCAATAGTTGTGTAAAATAGCTAGTGATAAATTAAATGAATTTACAACAGAGATGCAAAATATGAAAGCTTATTTAGACAATTACAGAGCAAACTTATAAGGTTAAACACAACTTCCTCCTTAATAATAATAATAGTAATAATAATAATAGTTGCCATAAAATGCTTAAGGATAATAATAAGCAAAAGGTTCAAATGGTTAGAGTGAATTGAATAAAAGTACAAACTCAAAAGATGGATAAGAATAAGGTAAACAAAAGTAAATTAAATATCTAATAATATAAAATTAGATTAATAGAAGGATAATAAGCTTTAAGAAATAATCTTTCAACAGCTATCGTAACTGAGAAACCAAATGTCAAATGGGAAGATGTAGCTGGTTTAGAGAATGCAAAGAATTCTTTAAAAGAAGCTATAATAATGCCAATGAGATTCCCAGAATTATTTTAAGGAGCAAGAAAACCATGGATGGGTATTCTATTATATGGAGTATAACAATTTTTATATATAATAGCCACCAGGAACTGGTAAAACATTTTTAGCAAAAGCTTGTGCAACAGAATGTGAAGGAACATTCTTTTCTGTATCTTCAGCAGATTTAATATCAAAATTTGTAGGAGAATCAGAAAGATTAATAAAAGAGTTATTTAATATGGCAAGAGAATCAAAGCCTACAATTATATTTATAGATGAAGTCGATTCTATGACTAGTAATAGAGAGAGTGGAAGTGGAAATGAAGCATCATCTAGAGTTAAAACTTAATTTTTAGTAGAAATGTAAGGAGTTGGCAATAATAATGATTCAGTATTAGTATTAGGTGCAACCAATTTACCATGGGCATTAGATCCAGCTATTAGAAGAAGGTAATATCTAGTTATATTATATTTCAAGATTTGAAAAGAGAATTTATATACCCCTGCCTGATTATCAAGGAAGATTGTAATTGTTGAAGAATAAAATGAATAATACTCCTAATAATTTAACATCTTCTGAATTTGAAGACATTGCTAAAATGTTAGATGGGTATTCAGGATCTGATATGAATACTCTAATAAGAGATGCCTCATTTGAACCATTAAGAAAAACTGAAAGGGCTACTCATTTTAAATATACATAAACTCCAGAAGGAATGAAATTTATGGCTTGCTCTCCTTCTGATCCTTAAGGTAAATAAATGAGAATGTATGATATCAAAGGTGGATAACTCTATTTACCATAAATCGAATATGTATCAGATTATTCTTTATTTTTTAGGATGATTTCTTAAGTGTACTTCCAAAGTGTAGACCATCAGTTTCTTAAGGAGATCTTAAAAAATATGAGGATTGGACGGCTGAATTTGGTTAAGAAGGATGATTGATTATCAATAATAATTCTAATTTGTTGGAATTGATATTTTTAAGAAAATGTTAATAAAATCTGCGTCCATAAAATATTAATTAATAAATCAATAAAATATAAAATAAAATGCTTTTTATTCTTGATACAATGGATAATCCTGATGAGACTCCTATCAGTGCCTCAACATTCTTTGGTTTTATGGGAGTATCAATGGCATTAGTTTTGGCAAGTATTGATATATAATGAATAAATTATTATAGACTTGGGAGCAGGATATGGAACATTTAAAGCAGGTGCTGGTATAGCTGCTATAGGTATCTGGAAACCAGAAATTATAATGAAATCATTAATTCCTGTTGTTATGGCAGGTATTTTGGGTATCTATGGTATGATCGTAGCTGTATTATTATCACAGAAAGGTAATAAAAATTGAATAATTAAATATAGTTGGAAATCCTTCAGGTTATACATATAAAAATGGTTTTGCTCATATGGCATCAGGATTATGTTGTGGATGTAGTTGTATTGCAGCTGGATTTGCAATAGGAATTGTTGGAGATGTTGGCGTCAGAGGAAATGCATAATAGGAGAGGTTATTTGTTGGATTGATTTTAATTCTAATCTTTGCAGAAGCATTAGCCTTGTATGGTTTAATTGTGTCATTGATCTTATCACAATCATGAGTATCAATTATATAATTATTAATAATCAAAAAATTATCAGCTCTAATCCTTCTTGCTAAATTACTATCTCTCTAAATCACTATTATTCTTTTTGTATGATGAACACAAATAACACTATCTTCTAAAATATTTATTCTAAATCCTTCTGTTGTCTCTTATAAAGTAAAATGGTGCTGTTTTACAATCTTATCTCTTTTTCTGAAAATCCAGCAACCTCTCTTATTAATCTCTAAAATGGTAATTTCCTTATCAATAACCTAGAACTATCTTAATATTTTCTTATCTCCTATAAAGCAGCTGTTCCTGGTCTATATCTAAATTATTTTCTAAATTCTTTAATTTCCTCTATTCCTTGCCTTTCTTTGCTATATAATTTTTAGATAAAAAAAAAGTCTTTCCTTCTTTGGTTCTTGTCATCCTTCTTATTAGTTTAGTAACTAATATTTAAAAATATTAAATAATTTTTAAATATTCATAACTTTTAATTTAAATTCCAATTCTTTTTTTATTTCATATCATATTATTTGTATGATATTATAATAAATTTAGATCTTTTTATTATTATTTTAAAATATAATAATTAAACTAATCAAATTTCATATTAATACAAATATTTTTTATTTCTACCTCAAAAGTCAATATATCTGCTTACATTTCTCAAATTATTTCCTAATCTATAATGTAAACTTTTTATTTATGAATACTAATATAATTATTTCCTTAATTTCTTCTTAAATAAAACAAAATCTGAAATAAACTTTTTATCCTTCTCAGTTCTTTTTTCCTGAACTTTTTCTTTCGAAATAGATTCTAATTTATTACTTCTCTTTTTTAAACTTAAAGATTTAAAAAAATATTATGGATTGAAAAGTAATTTATAAATATAATAATTCATTTGAAAAATATGATATTAATCATTTATTTATATTTCAATATTATAAAGTATTTTATTATATTTAGCATCTTCGATTTATTTCTTTTATATAAATATTATCACACTAAGGTTAATAAAAAGGTAACATCGACTTAATTTTTGAACGTGGGGTAATAGCTCATTTGGTAGAGCGTATGCTTAGCATGCATGAGGCGCTGAGATCGAAGCTCGGTTGCTCCATATTTTTTTTAATTTTTATTATTAAGTTTCTTAATTTACACGTATAATTATAATAACACATTGTTTATTGATAATTAGAAAATAATTAAAGAGATTTTATATCAATTACAATAAAAGGAAGGATCATTAAAAATATTTTCTAAATAAAGTATTTTAAGACTTTCTTCTTCCCTTTTTGATAAAAAATGAAATCATTATTTATCTCAGCATTTTTATAATAAACCAAATCGTAATTATGCTAAATCTATAAAAGTAGTCTTTAAACTTCACATTAATATACATAAAGATTAGAAGTCAATACACTTTTTGGATTAACCAAACATTTAAATGCTAAATATTTATTTTCTCGTTCTGGTAGACTTTAAAAACAGAAAACTTATAAATCATAAATTAAGCATTGTTAAAAAATGTTTAAATTTAATAAGGTTTCTCAAATGAATTTGCATAAATTTTCTTCTAATTAAAATTTATTTGTCTAATTTTTATTATTTATTTATTTGGAAATTAAAATATAAGTTTTAATATATAAATAGCATATATCATTGAATTTAGAAATAAAATATTACAGGAAACAAATTCTTATAAGTTTGGTTATAAGGAAAAATTATAAATCAATGATATTTTTTAATTGCCTTAGTTTCTGAGTTATAGAGTCTTGAATATCAATACTAATTTATACAAAAGACAGATAGTTTAATTTTGAATAAGTTTAAATATATTAGCTTTTAATATCAATTAAGATTAAAATTTTTCTATTTTGATNATAATTATTTCCTTAATTTCTTCTTAAATAAAACAAAATCTGAAATAAACTTTTTATCCTTCTCAGTTCTTTTTTCCTGAACTTTTTCTTTCGAAATAGATTCTAATTTATTACTTCTCTTTTTTAAACTTAAAGATTTAAAAAAATATTATGGATTGAAAAGTAATTTATAAATATAATAATTCATTTGAAAAATATGATATTAATCATTTATTTATATTTCAATATTATAAAGTATTTTATTATATTTAGCATCTTCGATTTATTTCTTTTATATAAATATTATCACACTAAGGTTAATAAAAAGGTAACATCGACTTAATTTTTGAACGTGGGGTAATAGCTCATTTGGTAGAGCGTATGCTTAGCATGCATGAGGCGCTGAGATCGAAGCTCGGTTGCTCCATATTTTTTTTAATTTTTATTATTAAGTTTCTTAATTTACACGTATAATTATAATAACACATTGTTTATTGATAATTAGAAAATAATTAAAGAGATTTTATATCAATTACAATAAAAGGAAGGATCATTAAAAATATTTTCTAAATAAAGTATTTTAAGACTTTCTTCTTCCCTTTTTGATAAAAAATGAAATCATTATTTATCTCAGCATTTTTATAATAAACCAAATCGTAATTATGCTAAATCTATAAAAGTAGTCTTTAAACTTCACATTAATATACATAAAGATTAGAAGTCAATACACTTTTTGGATTAACCAAACATTTAAATGCTAAATATTTATTTTCTCGTTCTGGTAGACTTTAAAAACAGAAAACTTATAAATCATAAATTAAGCATTGTTAAAAAATGTTTAAATTTAATAAGGTTTCTCAAATGAATTTGCATAAATTTTCTTCTAATTAAAATTTATTTGTCTAATTTTTATTATTTATTTATTTGGAAATTAAAATATAAGTTTTAATATATAAATAGCATATATCATTGAATTTAGAAATAAAATATTACAGGAAACAAATTCTTATAAGTTTGGTTATAAGGAAAAATTATAAATCAATGATATTTTTTAATTGCCTTAGTTTCTGAGTTATAGAGTCTTGAATATCAATACTAATTTATACAAAAGACAGATAGTTTAATTTTGAATAAGTTTAAATATATTAGCTTTTAATATCAATTAAGATTAAAATTTTTCTATTTTGATTAAAAAGTAAAGGATTTTAATAAAGGGTACAATTGAATGTTTGATAAATAAATTTGATTTGAAGAAATTAGGATAAAAGGATTAAATGATGGAGAATGAAATTAGAAGATTGAATTATAAAATAATAAAAAAATTAAAGACATATGGCTTTAGGTGTAGGAATTTTGAAAGCAATTACATGAAAAAATTTCCTTTGATATTAAAATTAGATATTTATTTTTTAAATAAAAATGAGCACAGCCATCTAATAGCAATAAAGAGGTTAAAAGTAAAAACTCGATCCAGTTGATAATCAATTGCATATCTCATCTAAGAAAAACGCAAGAGAATTCATATTCATTTCAAAAATATTTTTGAAGAAATTCCAAAATGTTGAATTGCATGCATTAGGTGAAGCCACAAAAATCAGTGTTAGAGTTGCTGAAAATTTATAAAGATAAGGTATAAGTTTAATATATTTAAAGGTTTGGTCACAATAACTAAAATTAATTCATTCACAGCTGATATTGAAGGAAGAAAGAGAGTGAAATTGGTTGTCAGCTTACAACTTACCTATGATGGAAAAGCAAGAATCGATTAAGAATTATAAGCTTGAGTGATTAAATGATAGCGCAAAATAGTACACATATATTAAATTTGTTTTATAATTATATTACGATATTCTGTTCTTGAATTGCTTTTATTGATCTTATATAAATAGTATATAAATGATTAGAGTTACGAAATGAAAATATTTTACTTGTATTTAAGACTTAAAGGAAAGAATACCACAAAACTATAGATAAGATATCAAAAAAAAGACAATCATTTAATTGAATTCATTCCAGCTATAAGAAGACTTCTTTTTTCTTTTTATTTTACATAAGAACCTTGATTTAATATTTCTGATTTGATCATGGGTCTATCTTATTGTAAATCAAGGGATTATGATTTAGAGTAAAATTGTCTTGAAATATTAGGCAAGACAGTTTATTTAGGTTAATCCCCATCTGTATTTTGGACTCTAATTCCAAATTCTAATTATTTTAAATAGTAATACACAACACACTTTTTGGTATTGCAATCAATTCATAATCGTTTAAGTTTACTGATCCTGTTTTCGAGAGTGGAAATGAATACATATCCTTATCGGGAACAAATTGTGATCGATACATGTTTGACATATTTGTACCCGGTTTTAATGGAGAAGCATGTGATAATTTTCTATTTTTGTTAAATGTTTTAATGTTAGTGATGACCTATGGATCTTTGCTTGTAGGAGTAACATCATTTGATTGTTATGATTGTTTTTCAATATCTGAATAATTATAAGCAACTTAATTGGAAATGTAGGAACTAAAAGTATATGAGCCAGGCATTTTCTCAATTGGAGTACCATTTGATTAAATGATTCCTGTGACACCTTCACGTTTATTCATTGTAGAAGTTCTCCCTTTAAAACGAGTCAAAAAATCCACTTTCATATTTATGATTTATTAAAATATTTAGTAAATATATCATAGAATAATATATTAATAGCAATGAAGTTAATGCAAAAGAAATTCAAATTAGAAAATGAAGAACAAAGAAGTAAATATGAATTTTAATTGAAAATATATGCAATTAAAATCTAATTATAAATATGGATCAATATTATGATGATTATTAGCCAACAACCAATAATAAAGATGTAGGATCTAATATTAAAACTAGCTCAAAATCTATCGTAATGGGAATTCTAATTTATGTTGTACTTTAACAATAAGAGATAATACTAAATTTAGTGAAATACGTAAATCTTTGTAATAAAAATGGGACACCTAATTTAATAGATTAAGATTATTCAATTAGGAAGGAGTAGAAATAACTGAAGATGATTTGGATTATATAAAAAATGGAACTGTGTTATTTGCATCAAAAGGTAAGAGAGAATATATAATTAATTTAAAGGTGAAGAATTTGATGAAAGTTTTTAATTAGCAGAATATGAACAATTATAAGATATAGGAGAAGGAGGATTTGGTAAAGTAGTTTTAGGTAGACATAAATAAACAGGTGAGAAAGTGGCTATAAAAATGGTTAAATAAATGATGACTAATGCTTAAGTATAATTTCATTATAATGAGGATGTTGATATGATATTCAGGGAAGCAAGGGCTTTAAAGTCTTTGAAACATGACAATATAGTAAAGATTTATAATGCTTTTTTTTTACAGAATTTATAAACAGTTTATATAATGGAATATTTAGAAGGAGGTGAACTACTTTAATATTTATAAACCAAAGGGAAATTTGAAGAGAGTGAAGCTAGACATTATTTTAAATAATTAGTGAGTGCAATAGCATATTGTCATTAGAAGAAGATAATTCATAGAGATTTAAAATTAGAAAATCTATTATTGACAGGCAAAGATTCTGGCATAATAAAATGTATAGATTTTGGTATATCTGGTTTTGCATCAAATGATAACCCAGAAAATGCCGATGCAGGTAGTCTGAGATATATGGCACCTGAATTATTAAAAGGTATATATATCTCACTTCTAATTATACTAGGAATGGATAAAGCAGTTTCTCCTTTAGTAGATGTATGGTCTATGGGTATTATATTATATGGAATGTTATTTGGTACATTACCATTCACTGGTAATACTAATAAAGAGATTATCGCTTAAATATCAGAAGGAAGACTCAATATTCCTCAAGAATGCATTAATAAACTTTCTCAAAATTGTTTAGATTGTTTATCTAGAGCCTTAGAACCTGAACCTAAAAAAAGAATCACTTCTATTGAACTATTAAATCATCCTTTTGTTACTAATGAAAATACTCTAAGCAATAAGTAAATTATATTCTAATTTAGACCTAAAATATAAACTTAATTATAATAGATAAATGAAGATGAAAGTTAAGCTGTTTAACAATAATCATAATCAGCTACCAATAAAAAATAAAATGTTCAGTTTTCTAAATAATTTGCTAAGTAACATCCTTAATCTACCAGACAATTAACTTAAACTTAAAAGAAACCTCCTTAATAATCACCATTATTATAAAAATAAACTTAATCAGTAGGATAAACTATTAAATAAACAAAATTCAGTAAAAAATGATGTATTTTATTATATTATATTCAATTTATTTATTAAATTTTCATTATGAAGATAATAAATTAAAATATAAATACTCTTATTTAAATATAATTCAAAAGTATATATAATTTTATATTCATTATCTTTGACTAAATGATCTTAGAACTGTATCTTAATATTAATGAAATAACATTTTTGGGGGCGATTTCTTTATAGGAATAGGATTAATCTTTTAAGGTAACTAGGCATATTTTGCAATTGGTTATTCTTAACTAAAATTGTACACTCAAATCATACTTAGATTCATCAAATTCTTTCTTAGGTGTCATTTCTTGTCTGAATTTAATTTTACTATATTAAAATTATAAGACTTTAGGTAATTAAACAGGATAACTTGTATTTTGTTAACTTTATTAGTATGAATGTGAGATTCCCTATTGAGATTAATTAATTTATTTTTAAGATTAATGAGAATTCTTACCAGTGGTAGATAAATTCTTCTTGCTATCCAATTTTTCTAAATATGAGAAATGATGTTATTAAGGTTAAGTTTGATTATTAATTGAACTCTCATTCTTTTCTGTAAAATTTACAACAATATGTTTGGGAGATGGACTTGGGGATAGAATTTTCTTAAAAGTTTTTAATACTTTTGATGGTCGAAATGAAGGATACTTTTATAAATCTTCATTTAAGTATATTTGATTATCAATTTATTATGGTTTCCTTTCTTCTCTTTTTTTATGAAGAACAATTTATTCTAATTTATATTTAGGTAATAATTTAAAAATATCTATTTTCTCTTAGCTAATTAAAGCTGTTTCTGCAAATGTTCTTATAGAATCAATTGTTGGTCTTAAATCAGGATCATAACATAACATTATCCTTAATAAATTATTCATATTCAAACTATATTATGGATTGTATGTAAATTTTAAACCTTTTAATATTTATTTATGTAACACATTAATGTTATTAGCTTTAAATGGAGCTTCTTTAAACATGAATTAATAAATCAAAAAGCCAAGCATCCATATATCTGATTTACAATCATATATTTTTTATTTGGCAAATTCTGGTGCTAATAAATAAATATCTAAATATTCTTCAGGATGTAAATAATATAAAATATTCATTTCTCCCAATATAGCATTCTTATCCAAACTAAATAAATTTGATAACAGTATTTTTGCATGTGGTCTTTTTGGATGAAATAAACTAAGGGCTGAACATAACTATATTATTCATATCCTTTTACTTGTATTAGAATTATCAATATTTCTTTCTCTTACAATGGACATTAAAATTAACATTCTATGTATTCACTAATAACCCTTCAAAATATTATTTAATGCATACCCTAAATAGGTATTATCAACATCATGTGATGCTTCATAAAATTTTACTACATGAGCATTATTCTTTCTAGACAGTTTATTCAATATTTTTATGATTGAGGTTACCTTCTCCTTATTTATACCTTCCAAATTAAATAATCTCAATATATAATTTTTGTTCCCTCTTCTCAATATTATCGTTTTCTTATATACATTCTATCTTAAAATTTCAGTGACACTGAACTATGGATAGAGCGATTCAATATTCTTCTTTAATAATTAAGTCATTTTTATACAATATTTATTTTACTTATTATTATATTCATATAGAACTCAAAGGACCTATTTTCTTATTTTAATCCAATCCTCTCTTTTTATATATTTTAGATTAATCAATCCTAATCAAACTTATTTACATTTTTAATAGATTATTAAAATACCAAAACAATTTGATCTCAAAACCTTTTTTATTATTTCTATTGAGTACCACAATTTAGTTCAGTTAATCAAATTATCAAAACTTTTAAAATAATAATTAACATCAATCAATATTCTTATGCCGCTTAATTAGAATTAATCTTCAATTCACTCTAAATTCTATAAGCTTTTAATGGCATTCTAAATACAAATAAATCATAATCTAATGATAATCATTTATTAAACAATAGATTGATAATCATTTATAAAACTATACATTAAATATATATAGAAGATAAGTTAATATAAAAAATTCAATCTTCAATTTTTAATAATGAACAAGAAATTAAGATTTTATTTTATAGATAATTCATTATTATAAGAAGCTTTTAGAAAAACTTCAATTTTATTTGAATTTATTAAAAACTATTTTAAATCTGTTTAATCATAATATATACATTTCAGCTTCAATTATACTCAAGAACAAGTTACTAAAACTAAAATAGAATGAAATATTATTAGTTTCTATTTATAAATATATATTTTATGAAAAATTTATTAAAATGCCAAGATAATCAGATATTTGAAGATGATGAAGAAGAACTCGAAAATACAGATACTTAAAAAAAAAAATTACAATTTATTAGTAGGTTATAAAGAAAAAATAATAAATCCTATGATCAAACTTGGCTAAATGCTATAACTCAGGAAAATAAAATTGAATTACAAGATTAAATTAAGTAAGCTGTTGGAGATAGTAAATTTAAATTTAAGTACTTATTTTAGATTCCTTAAATTATTAATAATCCTAAATTAGTATAGAGAAAAAAAACTTATGAAATATTTACTAAAAATTCTTAACTAGAACAATATTATTTATAATTAAAAAAAGCATCTTCAGGTGCTGCAAGATCAATTTCATCTAAAGCTGATTATAAAGATATTTTGAGTTAAATTTCTAATAATAAAGTTCATGATACTTATTAGCATTAATTTAAATCAAATAATGGAGTCATCTACACTAATGAATTATGGTCTTAAAAATTAAGAAATTAAATTTATGATTAATCTAGATTAAAAGAATTATCAGAACTATTAGAAATGAATAAAATTAAAATGAGTTATGAAGAATAAATAATGAATTTTCAAGAATATTTTATAAAAAAGTTAAAACCAAAAAAAGAATCAATTACGGAAATGAAATAAATAATTGAATCTGCTTTTTTTTCTGAAAATCTCTAATCACATTAAAATGAAATTAATAAAGAAGTTAAATAATCACACAAAAGTTTGATTTCGTATTTTAAATCTTAAAATGAAGAATAAACTTAAGAATTTTCTACAAAACATAGTAGAATGGCATCTCGAAATTAAAGTTAAGGAATAAGGCCATAATCTTAAGAAATGAGTTTTCTAAGTAGAAGAGCTTCAACATCTCAATAAAATCATAGAATGATAATGATCCCATAATTTTCTGCAACAAATTCGCCAATCAACTCACCAGTAAATAGATTAGAATAAATTGTTTAAGATACTAAATAGGAAAATTAATCTACAAAATAAGCAATAAAATAAATAAATAATTTTATGAAGAAAGAAAATGAAATTTAAGAAAAGATACGTGATGATAGAATGAAAAAATATCGAGTTCAAGCACTAAATAATGCAATTAAATTAAAAAAAAATCGTGAAACAAATTCTCACATTGTTAATAGATAAGAATGAATATTGGATTGACAATAATCAATTCTAAATATATAAATATTTTTAGAATATTACTAATATCTAAATTAATTTAAATAAAATATTTTTATTCATTATATAATTAAATATTGTAATAAAAGATACTAACATAAATTATGAACTATTAATATTGTTTTTGAGTAATTTCTTTTGTAAAAGAAGGTCTGTAACAAAATCTAATCTTATAAGTCTCTAATTTATAATATAGTAAATTTAAATTAATAACTTCTTTAGATTATCATAATAAAATATATTTCATTATAAAAATGATGTCTTTAGATATTTAAAGTGATTATTTGGATTATGCTTCAGTTTTAGATGATAAATACTATATTATTGATACAATCGGAGTAGGTAGATATGCCAAGTAATTATAAAATATTGATTATTATAGAGTAAAGTTAGCAATTGATATTGAAGATTAGTAAAAATACGCAATAAAAATAATGAAGATAGATCCAACTACAAATCAAAATAAATTATCACAATTTATAAATGAAGTATCTCATTAAGCTGAGTTTGAACATAATAATATAATAAAGATTATTTAAGTATTTGAGATCTTAAATAATAGTGCAGCATAAATGGAAAATATAGAAAAGTGGATGGTAGATTATGTTAAGTTTCATATTTTGTGATGGAATTAGCAGATTAAGGGGAATTATTTGAATTGCTTGAATAAACTCATTAATTCTCCGAGAAGTTTTCAAGGGGAATATATTCTTAATTGATTAAGGGTAGTTTGATTTAACAAAACTTAGTATAGGCATTGAATATTTACATGAAAGAGGGATAGTTCATAGAGATATAAAATCAGAAAATATATTATTTAGTGATGGAATCTTAAAATTAGCTGATTTTGGATTTAGTGCTAAATCTGTGAATGAAACTGGGGCTAAAGTATAATTTGAAGTTTTGTAATATTTGGGATCTCCTGAATATAATCCACCTGAACTATCAAATGCAAGTAAAATAGTAATTTTAAATATAAGTTGGAAAATAGAAATATTATACACCTGAATCAGCAGATATATTCTCTTCTGGAGTTATTTTATTTAGTATGGCAATGAGATCTGCTCCATTTAAAACTTCTAAAACTACTGATCCTTACTATTCTTTATTAAAATAGGATAAGTAAAAGTTTTGGCAAGTATTCTAAGAATTAAACAATAATGTTTCTATTCAATTCAAAGATCTAGTTGAAAAAATCTTAGAAGAAAATCCATTAAAGAGAATCTCATTAGAATAAATAAAAAAACATCCATGGATGTAAGATTCTATTTCTAATCTTACTGATTTTAAAACAGAAATTATGAACAGATATGAGATTGTATAAAATAAAATGAAAGCTAAAATAACTTTTAAAAGATAATAAAAATTTACTAACAGAAGATATTCTAAAAAAATAGAAATGTGCATCCCTCATTATATTTAACCAAAATATCTTTAAGAAAGTCTTGTGGTTATAGATGATGTATATTAATATTGTATTTTAGATCAATGTAAAATTACAAAAGAGATTATTATCAGAATAAAATTAAGATTAGATAAGCCAATAAGCTCAACCAACAACAGAATTTAATATCATTGAAATATAATAGATAACTAAATCTAAAAGATAACCAAAAGGTTCTATAAAATCTAGTCCTGCTACTCCACCTAATGATTCTGATAATTGAATTAACACATAAACTTTTAAATTTTTATTGAACTTTTTAATTTATTTTTTACATTATTTTTATTTATTTTTTTTGAATGCACATATTGAATAAATTGAAATCTCTTAACAAATTCCATTGTTTTAAATTGACTTTAGGAATATTTAAAATAAAAATTCTAATAATAAATTACTTTTAACAACATAATTATTAATATTAAGATAATATAATAATTAATTTCACAAATCTGTTTTAACTTTGAATAAATTTCCGTAATTACTTTATTCACTTAACCATTGAGTTAAACTCTCTTCTGTTTTTTGTTAATGTAATGTTGATGGATGCTCTTTTCCAGCAGCATATAATTTAACATGAGGATAAGAATCAATATGAAGATCATCAATTTCATTATTTTCAATATCACATCTAGCAAAAATAACTTTTCCTTCAATTACTTATTTATGCTAAAATTAAATATATAAATAATATACTTTCTTAAATACTTCATTATAATCTGGTCTAAAGTCTTTACATGGTTAGCATTTCTTAGCAGTAAAAGTTACAACAACATCTATTCCTTTATCATTTTATTCTTTAATGAATGGATAATAAGTAGATCTTGTTAGTTTGTAGATTCCTGCTCCATCATATAAATTTTGTAAAATGCCTTCATCTCTATAGAATGGTTTTATTTATCCTGATTAAATTTATTCATAAAATTGAACTGGATCTAATGGTCCTTTTTTATATTTATAGAATCTATTATCATCAATTGGTTTCATAGCAATCAATTATGGCAATTACGTTGTATTAACATTTATTTCATAAACTCTTTCTAATCTTTCTTAACAATCTCCATCAACATCAAGAACACCAAGAATAGCTTTATTTAATAGTGTATATCTAGCATCTTACATTAGTTAAACATATTTTTCATGTTCAGGGTCTTATTATAAATATTAATATTAAAAATACTTGTTTTATTGTATAATAAAATAACTGAAGGTAATAAGTCTACTCTTCTGGATAATTTCTAAAACTTAGTATCATCTACATAAACGAATCCTTTTTTAAAAGCATAAATTTTTAAAAATTAAAGGATTTCATCAGTATTTTTGACATCTCCTTTGAATCTATATAAATAGGTTTAATATTTTTTGGTTTTTTCTTCACTAATATCTTCTAGATCTTCTAATTTGCTATAAATAACAAGACCACTTTCTTCTTTTTTCAAGCCCAAATGTTAATATAGATCTGGATTAAAAATGTGACAAAAGACATACTAAGAATATTTATATATTAATATACTCCTTAAGGTATTTATTTGGCAGCCTAAACAAAAGCTTTTAAAGGTGAAACTCTATATTCAGGAGTGGCTAAGAAAGCTATTAATTAGAAACTGTTGATTTTATTAACAAATTGATCCCATTTTTACAGAAGAGAGGATGGATAGAATTCATCTATAATTAGATTAATTGAATACTTAATTCTGGAGAATCCCTATAAGTTTTTTTAAGCCAATTTAAAAAGGCTTATGCATTAAAGGCACCAGAATATTTTTATTTTTAAGTGTCAGCATAAAATAGAAAGATAGATGGAGTGACTTAAATCTATGTTTTTTCTATTAGTTTTTTTTCTTCGACTGCGTTAACTAATCCAAAATTGATATTTGTAGGATATGTGCCTGTTTTTTAAAGACTATGAGAGCCTGTGGCGATAGCAATAAAATCATCTAGAAACTTTTTTGATTATTTATCATCTCCATAATAGAAGACAATTAAAGGTTAATACTCTTTCTTTGCCATTGTATAGTTCTTAAATCCAAGATAAACTAATTCACTCTAACCTAGAGAGAATAACAAAGTGAATATCAAAAACATTTTCTAAATAATAAAAATATAACACGTAAGTAATATATATCTCAATTCCTTAATTTATTATAGGCATGCATTTCATTTTCAATAAACATAGTTTTATATTTGTTTTATAATCCTATTACTATTTTTATAGAATTAGAATCAATAGATAATTTTTAACTTAGTATTCTTAAGCATTTCTTCATAGATCTTATTATCTATTGGTTGGGCTTAAGACTTCTAAATAATTGAAATCATTTGAAAATTCAATCATTTCTGTCTAGAATTTCAGTTAAACAAAGTACTATAAGTATAATCCTTTTGATTTTCCACTTAAGAATTATTGAGTTACTTTAAATAATATTCATTTTATGGCTAATATTATAGTGTTTGGAGATAAATTGTCAAATGCTTTATTTTCAAAGTGTCTTTATTATGGAGCCTTCAATAAAAGATTTTATCCAAAGATTGATCAAATGAAATTAACTGCTGTTGAAAAGAGAATCAGAATTTTAGCAGCAAATTAAGTCGGATTAGAATAGAGTTTATTCATATTATTACCATAAAGTTCAAAAATGATTCCATCTGAATATAAAGTGATAATAAATCCTAAAATTCTAAAGATTTCTAATGAAATCATAGAGAATGTTGAGGAATCTATCAGTTTTCCTTAATTTTAAGCTAAAGTTGATAGATATAAAACTATCTTAGTTTCTTATGATGATAAGAAAGGTAAAACAGTTCAAGAAGAGTTAAAGTATATAAAATTAATAATTTTAGAGGATTGGAATCAGTTTGGTATCAATAAGCTATTGATTAAGTGATGGGTATTCCATGTATTAGTTGGATTGCATCAAAAGGAAGAATTGAATTGAAACCAGAATATTTAAAATTAGCTGAATAGAATCCAGAATTTCTTAAGGCTTTTAAAGAATATGTTGAAGTTGGATAACAATAGATATATTAAGAAAGAAATCTTTACAGAGTTAACCCCTAAGATGAAAGAGAAGATTATGCATTACAAGGACCAACTCACAAACCTAATAATTATGAACTTTATGTTCAATTATTGAGAAAAATGGAGAATGAATTATTTTATACTTTTTGATGTTATATTAAATCAGATTTTAAGTTTAAAATCAATTAATCTTAATTTATATCTATTATATTTTCTTACAACTTCTTATTTATCCAATCAAATAGGATATTATTAAAGGAATCTTAATCTTTATCTTTTCGATCTTATGTCCATTCTAAAATTGGAATACCATTTTCTAATAGCCTAAAAGAATGTATTAGATTGTCTATAACAACATTTACAAGAAGTAATAATTGATTGGGATTTTTATCATCTATTTTATAGTTTTTAAATTTGTTCAATAGATATTGAAAAGTATAATATAAATAATTTCTATGTTTAATTAATCTTTAGAATATGATCTTAATTTTGAATTAATAACTACAAAAAAATAAAGAAACATATATATTTCAAAAGCTTAAATAATTGAATATGAAAATTTTTATTTCAAATAATTTAATATTACTATAATTATTTTTGAGATGAAAAAGAAGATGATAGCTAAAGTAGTTTATATTTAGAAAGAGATATCACTAAATATTTTAAATACTATATTTATTTAACATATTAATATTTATTTCATGATTTCAAATAACCAACTGACTGAATAATTTTTACAGTTCATCTGCTTCTTCCTCATCTTCATCATCACTATCAAAGGGTCCAAGAACTTTTTCTTTAGTAGCAAATAATTCCTTAAACTTTTATTTAGTAGCCTTTTTGAATTCGTTTCCTTTCAATTCCAATTTCTTAGATGATAATAATAAATTAATACTGTAATATTTTCAACTTATTTAGCAATAGTTTCATACAATTCATTTCCTTAAGCATCATTCAATTCTGCATAATTATATCCTAATCTTTCAATTTTAACAAGTTTAGTTAAAGCCTCCAAAATTTGTTTATTTTATTTTCCTTAAATATTGCAATCAGATATATTGATAGCTGTCAAATGAACACAATTTACAATAAGTTCACTTAAAACTTGAGTTGTTGCTTCATGAACAAAGTTATCTCTAATATCAATAGTAGTTAATTCAGAGCAGTTTTTATTTAATGATGATAGTAATTCTATCATACCTAACTATTTGATTCCATTTTAATAGATATGTAATTCTTTAAGTTTTTTACATGTTGGGAATGCTTTTGATATTTCAATAGCACCATCACATTCAGCTCTATTTCTTGCAATAGCTAAGATTTGTAAATTATGTTCTCCTTCTTATAATCCTTCTGAAACTTAAGCAACTCCTCTAATTCCTAAACCACAATTATTTAAGAAAAGTTTCTATAATTAATGGGCTTATTTAAGAAAAGGTTTTAATGCCTCAGCTCCAAAAGGATTGACTGCATTATTAGATAAATCAAGACTTAAAATATTTAATCCTATTAGACTATTTCCTAATATCTAAAATTTAGATTAAATCATACTTATAATGATTGAGGAATTTCATCTTTTCCTTTACCAACAAAGATATCATTTGCATTGATTTTCTAATTTATTAATTGTTTGTTACTTGTAATTATTTGGCGGTTGAAATGTGTTCTGCAAATTGATTGAAAAATTGTTTTGAGTAACTATTGCCTTTCAAAACAATAATTTCACATTTGTCAGCATTAGCTTTGAATTCTTATTATTATTCTTCAGTAAGAGCATCAATATTTTATTTCTTTGATTCAATTGTAAATGTATATGTTTGCTCCATTTTTAAATTATTTAAAATTTTAAATTTCGTGAATTAAAACTGTGAATTTCATAGAATTTATTGTGAATAAGATAAATGTATATTTTAATTAAATAATATCTCATCAATAGATAATGATCAATTATATATATTTATAGAAGCTAAAATTGCTTTTAAGTTTAAAATCTTACCTAAATATTGTGAAAATATTTTCCTTTGATTTTCAATATTAAACATCTCATGATGATAGTATACTAGATATATTCTATAATATAAATAGATTAATATATAAAGTGGACACATTAATCTAAGATTTTCTTCCTATGGATTTTATAAATTAGATTTTGTGTTTATTTTAATTTTTTAATCTCACTTAGTAAAATACTTAATGAATGATAAAACATAAACTTTAACAAATTTGAGAGAGCAAATTTACATTCCAAAATTCTTAATGTATATTAGTATTTATTGATTATTTTGAGATTTCTTTTTTGACTGAATAATATTATGTAGATTTAATTTTTGAAGATTTTCTAAAGAGATTATAAATTTAAAAATAGGTTATTGAAATATGGGTGGTTAGCTTAGAGATTAAAAATAGAAAAAGATGAAAATATTAGAGATAAAAATGGATGTTGTTGCAACATATCTTGAAATATATGTTGTAAATTTTTATTTTATTTATTATTTTAATAATCATTGCCATAAATTTTCATGTTTTGGACTTCCAATACGATGCTTATAATCAACAAGGAATTCGTCCAATGTTCTTGCTTAAGCAGTTGATGAGTAAAGTGCATATAATTTGTAGTGGAAGAAATCAGTCAACAATAAAAATGGAATCACTCCTCTATAAATACTAAATGGGGTCTTTTAGGCAAAGAGATTAGCAGCTATTCTTCCTTTTTAAGGAGTCTCTTAGAAACTTAAATCAGTGCTTGCCAATTATAATCTAGTTTTTATTGTTAAAAATCCATAACCAATAGCCAACAATGGAATTGATACTAACTATTATACTAAATCATTATTTACTTATTGTAGATAATCTTCTTCATAAACATTTCTAAGATGATAAATTAATGTTCCATTAAAAGCTAACTTAAATACTATACCTCTGTAAAAATGACTGAATCCATTTCTTGCATAAACCTATTTATCATTTTTTATTTACTTATTCAATAACGTCAAATGCTCCTTTGTATCTGCCTTAAACATCAGAATAAATTATTGTTTTTATTGTATCAATTGGATATGTAATTAATTCGAATAAAGAGGAATAAAGATAATGAGAAATATATCCATTACCTCTACTGTATACTAATGGATGAGCCCATACAGTTACAAATTGAGCAGCATTCAACAATGCTCCTCTAAAATATCCTTTAAATAATCCTTGATTAAATATTTATTGTAAACATGCTCTATTGATATATTTAATGTGATTTTACGTATTTGAATCTCCAAAAGTAAATCTTGTCTTTAGTCCACCATAAGCTTGTCTTAATGTAAGTAACCTCTCAACACCAGCAAGTAAAGTTAAACGATACAAGTTATCTGTTAAGACTTCCCATGTTTTTGGCTCTTCATTGAATTATTTTTCAAATTTAGCTCTTGGTCCCAAGTATCTAAAGGAATTATTAATATTAATACTTTTATTGCTCTACTCTAACTGACTTTGCTAACCAATCATGTCCTGGACCACCTCCAACAAAGTATTCAAGATCTACTAATTGAGGGTCTCTTAAGATTTTGTCTACAAATGTCCAATTAGGACTGTACAATAAACCACTCAACATTTCAATATCTAAAATATTTATATTAATGAACAAATAATTGCTCAAAGAATAAATTAAATTCGGACTATGTGATCCTAATCTATTCAAATAATTAAAAATAGTTGATGATATTGAAAGTGATGTTGCATTTCAATTATTATCCAAAAGAGCAACATTAATAGAAATCAAAAAAGATGATATCATAAACATAGACAATCAATTTTATTATAAATTATTACTTGGTGATATTCTTATTAGAGACAATAAGATTATTGCATTACAAAATAGTGATGTAATTCTAATTAATAAAGGATTAATTGAGTGGTTTTAATAAGAAGAAAAACTAAATAAAATTGAAAATTGCATAGACATTCTATTTGAATTATAGATTTTCAATAGTTTGAGTTATTATCAATTGAAATAATTGGTAAAATAGAGCATTTATATAACCCTTAATGAAAATCGGATGTTATTTCATTAAGGAGAAGTACCAACAGATGGAATTATTCTTGTGAAAGGATAATTGTAATAGTTCAAAAGTACAGAAGGAATTGAACTGGTTTTTAATTAGAATAGGAAGCATTTTGCAATATATGAATGTATAAACTCAAAACCTATGTAATTTAATGTAAAAACTAAGTCAGAATGTGCATTAATAAAAATCAATAGAAAAACACTACTAAAATATGAATTAGATTTAAAAGTGAAAAAAGAGTTGAATATTGATTTAAATTAATTCAAATTAGAAATCATTAAAAAAAAAGAATGGTAGAAATTTAAAACAAGTAAGTGATTATCAAAGATTTAATAGAAGTAATAGAGGAAGTAAATAAGGATTTGGAAAGAAAAAGATAATTACCTAAACTTAGAACTCAAAGTTAATATTGATTTTGGCTTATAATAATTTATTTTTATAATTAATTTTGATTAATGTCCAACAGAAATAAGAAGTCTAAAAGTCCATAGATGCAATAACCAAAAAATATTGACAAAGATTTAATGAAATATTTGATATTATAGAAGATAGTTAAACCATAAGTGCCAGCAGAATTGATTACAAAAACATAACCAGATGAAGATTCTGAAGTTGAAGATTTCAAACATGAGATTGAATTGAAGTATTTAAATAATAAAGTCTAGGTTTAAGAATTGTAAAATTAATCATACTTTTAAATTCCCAAAAGAGAACTACGAATCATCATCAGATACATCTTTGCAATCCTTAAAAGATATTACATCATATAACCTAAATTGTGATAATTTGGATAGATTAACTGATGCTACTTAACCTCATTTTATAAAAGCACTAAATGAGAGATTAATCAAATTAACTGATCTCATTGTTGATGAATCCCAAACTAAAGCTAAATAATTCAATTATGCCCCTAATTTAAAGTCTTCAAGGTTTAAAATCTTTATAATTTAGAATGTAGAAATTACGTGGAACCAATATATCTAATACATCTATTACAAAACCTACAGAATTATCTGTCAATGGAACTAGTTAAAGTTAAGGGAGAGAAAGTGTGATTACAAAACCTTCATCAAATCTAGGTTTTAGAGCTACACCTACAATATCATCTGAAAAAAAAAATTAATCAAGATAAATTCAATAAATCTTGAAAATTACTTAATAAAAATATATGAATAATTAAAAGTAATTCCATTGTAGATTTATAGCATAGGTGGAACTTTTTATAGAAAAACTCCATAGGTCAACAACAATTACATCAATATTAATTCTAATATTAATAATAGTATAGTGGTTAATGGAAAAAAGAATTTCCAAGAAATTAGAATTAAAACTGAATAAGATGAACCTGAAATTAGTTTATAGTAATACTAGGTAATTCCAAATTCTAGGTATTTATTTTTATATTAAATCAGACCTAAAATGAGAGAGTCTACTATAAAGGGTAAAAAATTGGACATTTCAATTGGTTATAAAAATCTTACTTTAGACAGCCAATATATGGAAAATTGTAGTCGTCATGCTAAAAGTTAAAATAAGAATTATAAGGTTTGATTTTTAATATAATTATTATATATATTTTATTCGTTTTTAAAGGTTGTGAATGTTATTGAATGAGATTTCAAGAGATGATGAATAACAATCGTTTATTAGTATCAATGAGAAAGAGCAAACACTTCAAACATAAACTAATTTGAAATAACAAATCAAGATGTTGCCACCAATATATTTATCAATGTCACTGATAGTTTTGTCTGCAGCAATTTTAAGTCAGTTTTAATATGCAAGAGCTTAAACATTTCCTTTATTTTTAGAGTTGCCTTTTTAAAAGAATTAATTATTTACGGTATTATATTTAATAAATTATATTTTATAGATTGGAAATGCTTTAATAAGTTTAATGGGAATTATTATATATTATTTGGTTTATTAGGCGAATCAAACTAAACCAATAAGAAAGCGTTATTCGACTAGATCAATTCCACATAAAGTCTTTTCATTTTAGATATTTTTAAGTGGAGCATTATCACATTTGGCTTTTTTAGCATTTGCTTTACTTCCAATTGAATACAAAAATCAATCCAACTTTTTATGTATTTAAATTAGAAATGCTCTATTTTCATTATAATTTTAGATACCGAAGACAGAGTCTTGTTAACTTTTTCATTTATAATGAATTTCTTTTTCACCAGCTATTATATGTGTTATAAGTAGAATTCTTAAACATCAAAACTTAGAAATCAATTATAAGCATTTTCTTTGAGTTAATAAATAAAAGCTGCCTTATTTACAGTAATTTGCTTTTTATTTACAGCTTGTATTAAAATAGATAATTAACTTTTTAGTTATATCAGTAAATTTCATAAGTATTTTTATGGGAATGCCAATGGCTTAAGGAGAACCAAATTTGAATGATGGTTTGAGTGCTTCTGAAGATTTTATAGCTAATATGGTTAGTGAGATATATTCAACACTATCATATAGTTTATATTTGATGAATTCCTTTTTTATTGGAATGTTTTATTCTGACTTATAGAAAGTAAGAGAAGTATTTTGATAGTAGATAAATTTGCTAATGAGTGTTGATTAAGAAATGATGGTAAATAGGAATGAAAAATCAAAATGATTAAAAATAAATAATGGTATATCACATTTAGAATTGTATATAAAAACGGATATATAATAAAATAAATGAAAGTATTCATCACATTATCTCTTTTGTATTTGACATTAGCCAAGTATATACGACTCATGATAATATAGCTAAGGAATTTTGTCAACAACAGGAGAATCTGTACATGCATTCTAATCAGTTATTGTTGGTTTATCAGAAGTGGCATCAAAGGACTTCAATTTCTAATAGCTATTTGTTGCTCTTGATGAATTAGCTGAATCCTTTAAGGCAAGAAAGAACGAAGAAAATGCATTCTATGAATAAGAATATCAATAATATTAAGCAGATGTTCAATACTATTAAAATCAAATAACAGACTTTAAAAACAAGGTAAATTTGGAAACCTATATAAATTCAGATTGCCTAATTAGAAATTGATGTTAAAGACTTAACAGATGAAAGAAGCAGATTGTAATAACTTTTGACTGAAGCTAAATAAGATCTTTATGATGCAACTAAATTATTTAATGCTAAAGAAGCTCAAATCAATTCAGATAAATCAACATTTACAAGATAATTTAATGAATATGCTGATACCATTGCAGTCTTAGATTAAGCTATTGCATTATTGAATGAAGTCAAAGATGAAACTTCACTTTTGTAAAAAGCTGACAATATTAAAGAGATTTCATCAAAAATGCATAATCAGTATATTATTAATCATTTATTCTTAGTCTTAAATAATTATCATCTAAAAGAGTCTTTTATTAACCATTAGTCAAGGCTTTAACATAAATTGCTTAAAATAATTATGTTGATTAAGAAAACTTAAATAAAGTCATCAATTACATGAATTAATTAAGACAATCTTTGATAGATGGATAAACATCTTTATAAAATCAATATGATTCTTAATCTAAATTACAATAAGACATTTTATCAGAAATCTAGGCTAAAATTACTGGAATTAGAGATGTCTTGATTCCCTTATTATCATCTGAAATTGAGACTAAAGATGGAGAGATCAAAGCTCTTAATGCAATTTTAAATGATGCTAGACTTAATTTAGCTGAAGCTGAAGATAATCTTTCTGCCACTTAAAATAGATGGATAGAAAGGTAAATCATTTCTTTTATTTAAGAACTGCATCACATAATACCTTAATTTAATAATATGACAATGAGTTATTAGCCATTAAGGATGCTGAAAATGCTTTAAAAAAGGGAGGTATATTTAGATAGTGATATAAAACACCTTCAAAATATAATATATTTATTATTAAATTTCGTTAAAATTTCAATGTTATATTCCATTAGGGAAACAGATGCAGAAGCAAATTTATCTTCAGATTCATATACTGCAAGAAAATCTCTAAATTCTGATACTTTTCTTTAAAAAAAATCATATAGTCGATCATTACCAAGACATCAACAAAATTTGGATTAGGAAATATAAAAATTAAACGATATTATTGTGCAATTAAGAAAGGTCGAATAATTACTTCTCAATTAAGTAAAGGATCTAAAAATTGAACTTGAAGAACAATTTAAAAATTCGAATAGGAATCAAAAATATATTGATGAATTGAATAAGGAACTATAATAAATGTCTGACAAATTGCATAGTGAAATTATGTATAATGGTTAATTACAAAAGATAAATATAGAATTGAAAAAAACTATACTTAAATTGGAATAAGATATAATCACAACAAATAAATTAAATTAAGATGTATCAGAAGAATTGCAAATTTTGAAGTATTATTATATTAAGGAAGATCTAAATATTCCCATGAACATAAATTTATTGAATCTCTTTTGCATATGGTGATTAGTTGCCATCCAGATAATTCATTTAGAGAATAACCTTCACTTAAGTAGACTTGGAAGTGGCTCAAATTGATACTTGCTGACTATATGACACTTAAATAACAGAGTAGAAATTTTTAAGAAAACTCTGGTTAAAGTTCAAGTTCAACTAATAAATGAATTTATATTTATATAATATATAAAACCATTTTTCCATGAAACAAATAATAAACAAATAGTCTAAATAGTCTATTCATATTTATTTGCATCAATCTTTATTATTTTATAGTTTTTATATGAATATGAATATTTTTATTTAATTTTATTTTATAGTTTTTGTGTGAATATTTTTATTTAATTTTATTTTATAGTTTTTGTATGAATATTTTTATTTTTATTAGGAATCAATCAAAAATATACAATAAATTATAAATCATTAAGAATTATATAGATAAAGATAGGAATAACAAATGCAATATAAAATTATGAGTAAATTAATATTAATTTATGATTAATTGTATAATAAATATTGATCTCAAGAATTACGAATTAAAGATATTTTAATTTAGACATTAACAATATTTTTGAAATACAAACAATAAATAATACTAATAGCGCAAAATAGAAAAAAGAAATAATCTATTTATTATAAGTAAACAATTTTCAAAAAAAACTATAAATATAAACTACTAAAATAGAATATGGGAATGGTCAAGCTATCAAACCTCAAATATAGAAAATAAGTGAATAAATTAATATTTGAGAGTGTTTGTGAAATAGCAATCATATTTGAAATAGGTATATATAAAATTAGTAATTTTTAAAAATTAAAATATTAAACTGAAAGTACTGTTAGAATTAAAGAAATAAGAATCAAATATATAACAAATAATTAATAAAAGTATTATGAAGTAATTAATAAAAAATATTGTGATAAATTAAACCAAGTTATTAATAACGTATTATTTGAAAAATGATGGAATATTAAATTTTATAGAATATATAATTTTTATATATTGTTGTTCATGCTCCAAGATCTTCCTTTTTAGGTAAGGGTTTAACGTAAGGAATAAAATCTTTGCCGACAAATGGTTACTAAGAAAATAATAATAAGTTATTACTAAAACAGCAGGAACTTTAACTCCAGTTTCTGTTTAATAATTTTCCAAAATACAACATAAAGTTCTTTCAGTAGCACATAATGTTGCATTAAGCATATGTACATATTTTTTTTCCTTATCATCTCCCTTTTTAGCACCAAAACGAATTTCTAGAGCTCTAGATTAATAATCTAGACAATTAGAACAAGATTATAATTCTCTATAATCTTTATATCCTGGGAACCAAGCTTCTAGATCGTACTTTTTGGCTGCAGCATCATTTAATGCTCCAGAGACAATATTTACAACTCTATAAGGTAATTCTAAAGATTTGACAAAATCTTATCCAGCTGTAATCATTTCTTCATGGAATTTCCATGATTCTTCAGGAGCACAAATGATAAATTATTCAATCTTTTCAAATTGATGAACTCTGAAAATTCCCCAAACATCTTTACCATGAGCTCCGGCTTCTTTTCTAAAACAAGTAGAACTACCACCATATTTGATGGGTAGATCTTTAGGTTCTAACCATTCTTTTCTATACATAGCAGAAATAGGTTATTCTGATGTAGCAATCAGATAGAGTTCTTCATCATCTTAATTACCAGTAACCTAGTAGTAATGAATAGAAATTAATACCTTATACAATTAATCATCAAAATCAGACAATTAAGCAGTCTCTGCCATACATGTCTTTTTCATAAAGAAAGGTGTTTAAATAGGAGTATAACCTCTTTGATTAAGGAATTGAATTCCATAGCTTACTAGGGCTTAATTCAAAAGGAGACCTGGTCCTTTAAGGAAATATGCTCTATGACCTGCTATTTTAGAGCCTCTTTTAAGGTCAACACCATCAATCATAAATAAGATTTCATGATGATGACATCTACCTGGAGTACTATTAACTTAGATGTTAGGGATTTAGCCCCATTCTACTTCTGTTTTATTTTAAGCTTCATCTTTAAATACTGGTACTGATTCATGTACTACATTTCCAATTTTATTTAATGTTGTGGTTAAAATAAATTCTTATTCTTATTCAATCTATTTATTACATTATATTTCTTACTTTTTAAGCTTCTTTTATTTTAAGATCTATTGCTTTAGCTTATTCTACTTCTTCAACACATGGATCTTATTTATCGGCCTTCTTTTTTTCAGCAATCTTTTTATTTGCTATTCCATACTCTTTGTTAAGTTAATCAAGATTAAATCTGGCTAAAAATTATTTAAAATTTTAAGTACCTTTCCTCCATTCCTGATCTAAAGCTATTACTTTATCTACTATTGATGGGTCTTAAAACCTTTTTTAACACCATTCCTTTACTAAATTTGGATTTCCACCTTTATCTTCTCTTAATAGATTTATATCTAATCCCATTAAATATTTAATTTATGTAAAATGACTTTAAAAAAATAATTCAAATATTGTTATTATATTATATATATTTATTTAAATTTCTCAATTTCTCTTAGCTTTCTTGCTTGGTGCAGTTGGTGCTACTCCCTTTCCTTTTGTAGATGCTGGAACAGGAGCTTTAACTTAACTTGGAGAAGCACCAATAATCAATAAAGCACCAGCAATACCTAATGTCCATAATGCTTGAATTTACTCTGATAATTTTTCACTATTATATAAATCTATTTATATTATTACTCTTATGTTTTTCCATGAATCAATGGATTATGAATTATTACAATAAATGATGAAGTTAACAAAAATAATAATTTTCCTGCCCATCCATAATTCAAAATTACAAAAAAACTTAAAAATATTTCAGCAACTCCTACTCCTTAAATTATTTGAGTTGATATTTTTTTGATCGCTTCAGGTTACTAAAATTTTTGATTTAATCTTTACTAATTAATCTGGAAGTTGAACATTGTATTATTTTATTGTGGAATCCAAAAATTTATAGAAGCCTGGATATCTTCCATTCAATAATGCTACAGAATTTTATGGACTCATTAATTTATCAACTCCAGCACCAATGAAAATTACCACCAATAATACTCTTCCTATAAATGAACAACAACTCATCTTCACTAAAATTTAGATTTTTATATTATACTAATACACGTATATACATTTTTTAATAAATTCATATCATTAATCCTCCTATTCTTCCAATCATGAATATTAATTCCAAAATACTATATTCTCTTATTCCTTAATATGATTTCATTAAAATTATTCCCATTTAAATCTTATTTGCCCAACTCTTTCCAAAAAATATAAATGTGGCCAACAATACTTATAATGCACCCAAAACTTATACAACACTTATTAAAAAGAATTAATAAATATGTTCTCCAGAAAAAGGATTATTCTATATTATATTTTTAATAAAATCTTATACATCTTCAGATAAATTTTCGAGAAAAAATTATTCACCTAATCTCCAGATTAATTAATGATGATTTTTAAAATTTGATAATGCTTTTATAGGTAAATCAATCATTTGCATTCCTTCCCAAATCAAAATTAAACATATTAACAGTTTTCCAATAAATATTTGTAATTACATACTAATAATAATTTTATTATCACAGGAATTGTTTAAAGTATTAATCTACAGAAATTTAATAATAAAATCAAAAAAAATCTTCCATATTGTCATGCAAATCTTAGGTCTTTTTAACACACTCATTAATTTATCTTTCAAACTTCAAGAATTTCTCATCATTAACTTAATTTAGTAACAAAGTTGATAAAAAGCTCTTATATAGTTATTCTAGATTAGTTTTCAATTCTTCTGCTTATTTTTATAAAGCTTATTCAGCAATTTTTCTATTAGGATCTTCAGTTTATTAAATAATAGGTCTAACTTTAAAATAATTCAGGCCATTCAAAATTAAATTAGCAGCTCGGGCAGTCTTTGAAATTTAAGTGTCAACATCAGATAATCTTGATGAATCTAAATTATTTCCTTCTACCACCGGAGTTTTACTAAAACTTTGATTAAGAGTAGGAATATTGTTTTATTAAGAATTAGCCTTTGATTATTTCTATAATTCTTATATTTCAGCTTATAGTTAATTAATTGTTAAATCTTAATCATTGATACGCTAAATTATTACTTCAAAAATTACTTATTTCTATATTTAATTTTACTATTCCAAACGATTTATTTCAGTAAAAGCAACTGCTCTTCTTTCTTAATGTTATTAATTAGTAAGTTTTTACTATTCTAGTTCTTGTTCTAATGAATTAATCTAAATTTTCATTTCCAAAATTAATTACTTTTATTCAATATTTTTTTAATTAGATCTAAATAAAAAATAATAAATTACTCAGTAACAAGTTAATCTAACTTTGATAATTAAAGCTCTTTTTCCATTAAAATTTCTGTATTTAAATTTATTTATTATTTTGCAATTCTCTCTTCATCTTACTATTTTGTGAATTGAATAATTTGTTCTTCTAATTATGCTATTTTTGTTTAAGATTCCAAGTCTGTTTATTATAATTATTATAATTGCAATTTTATTTTTTTGAATTTCTCCTTTTACTTATCTAGTACCTCTTTATCCTATTTTCTTTTTTCTTTAATCATTTCTAATTACTATTAGTATAAATTATTTTCTTCAAATAGTTTGGTTGTTTCAGCTTTATATTAGTTCAATTCCTTTTCATTTCTTGCCATCTAATAATTAATTATATATGAATTATTTACTTCTCTAGATTTCTGTTCATATTTTATCATCTCTTAATTTAGCTTACTTTCTAACTCTCTCAATTTAGTATTTAATTATTCTGTATCATTATTTTATTATTACGCATTATTCTCTATAAATGTTGTTAGCCTACTATTTTCTATTTATAATTTTGAAATCTATTTTTAAAGCTCATTAATTGAATCAATAAATTCACTTTTTAATTTTTCATTTTCTTATTCTTAAAATTCATTAACCCTGCATAAATCGTGTTAGAACTCTAAATTTTTCATTTAAACTTCCTACATTTATTATTCAAGATGTTTCTTCTCATTAATAATTGTCTCATTTTAATTTTATAATTAATTAACTAATTACTATAAAGTGTTTCTTTAATTCATTATTTTTTCTTTATATTATTTTTCAATATCCAAAGCTGTACTTAAATCTTAATTCTCAGCCTACAAATCTGTGACTTTTTAAAGGGTTTTCGAGATTTAATCTTTAAAATGTTAAATTTCTTCTGATTAATATTATTATGTGGATTTAGCAGGTAAATTGTTATCTATAAAAATTATAATTGAATCATCAATTTATTAAAGCAATTCATCTAACAAATTTGCAGAAACTTATAATATTTATATATAATACTTTTATTTTCATCTTTACATCCCATTATGTGATTGTAATTATCTAAAAATTCATGCATAATATCCTTTATTGTAATAAAAAGTGATTCTTTTATTTCAAGGCTTTTTCTTTCTTAAAATTCTTTCGGCATTTACATCTTCTATTATTCTTAAATTTATTATTTCAGCTTTACACATTCCTTATTTAACTTATCTTTTTCTTAATATTCATATTCATATTTCTTAAGAATTTCCATTTGACTCATTTTATATTATTCAATTTCATCCATCAATTATTTTCGTTCAATCTACAATAATTCAACTTTCTTAATAAAAGGTTCAATCTCTAGCTTTTATTAATCATAACTAATTATAATTAAAGTAAAATACGCTTTTTTTAGATCATGAATATATTATTCTTACTTTATTGACTAATCATTAGCTTTTTTTTATTCATATTGATATTTCTTTTAAACCAATTAATCGAAATCTAAGAATTAATTTGGAGCTTTCTTTTAGTCTTTTTTAATAAGGGAAGTCATATATGTTAATCAATTTATTAATAGTTAAAATAAAATTATTACGGAATAAAATTTATAATTCTTTATCTCAATGTCTTCAAATCATTTTAAAACATTATTTAAAAGGATATTGATGTTTCTTAAATTTTAGGATTGCAGAGATGTAAACTCATATTCGAGATAATTTAAGATAAATTTAATTAGATGAAATCTTAAGTTATGTGGTTAATAATATAAAAAAAAAGAAGAGAGAATATCATTTAACTTAATATAATGAGTAAATAAGATGAGGCTTAAGCAAAGACATAAAATAAATTTTATTATAATTGAAATGTAATTATTTTTTAAATTCAATTCAGAAGATAATTACATGTTAAGTTAAACCACATATTTAGAATGAGCCATTGCTTTTTTAAATGCAATTTTAAAGAGTACAATAATTAATAAATTATAAATTTTACAAATATACATGCTTTATACAATTCCTAAATATTTGACTGCAAAATACAACAATCATGCTTGTGAAACAATTGAATCATTTGAGAATACATACAAAAATGACCTTATTCAATGGTATTGATTTGTTTTAAATCACTTCTTGAAGCAGCATGCTTTAAGTGTTGCTTTTTGTTCTTACGATATATATATATTTTATTAATTGTGGTAATTTTTAGGGTTAAGAAATAAAATATAAATGAGATTGCTGTCAATTCAAAAAAGATAACTACCTTTATAATGCGTATGTATCTCCATGATTTACTTGTTGAAAGATGTAACTATGCTTTAAGAGATGATAATCCAAAGTATAAGCCATTTAAATATAAGATTCCCTTCGATAAATGAAGATATTAAAGCTGTTTGCTTAGTTCGTAAAAGACGTTCACATGAAGAGGAGAAATTGCATTTAGAATAGGTATTCATATCATAATAAAAATGATAAGAAATTGCTTTCAAAAATCTGTATCATTGATTAAGATGATATATTTGATAAATTTTGTATATAAGGGACATTAGAAGATATCATAAACTTATTAATAGAATGTTCTAATGGATTAGCATTTTCATCTTAGCCAAAAATTACTTTAAATTCAATAGCAAAATAATATATTGTTAATGATGCTATTTGGTTTAATCCTAAAACTTATTAAACCTGTGCTGGCTGGGTAATAAATGAATTTGAAAAGGCTATAGCATTGATGTAAATATTAAATATAATTTTAGATATTATTAAAATCAATAAGGAAATTTAACTGATAATAATAATCAAATTTAAAATGAAGATCTTAAAAAATATTGGATGTAAAATGTTGATTTTAAAAATAAAATCCTTCATTAAATACCTTAAATATGCAAAGAATTTAAGAATGCACCTAAAAAGAAAAATACTAAATAAGAAGATATATTATGGGCTTAATTAATAATGAAAAAACCTTTATAATAAAATGAGGGATAAAATGCAAATGATAAAAATGTTGCTATTTTATAATAATAAATAAATGAGGAGGAGATTCATCAATTATTTGAGAACAACAATTTTGATTAAATATAATGTTTGCCTTTAGAAAGATTTACTTAACTTTCTTCTTTTTGTGAAAAGAGAGTATTAAGAATGATAAGAGATTAATTTAAAGAAAAATTAGTTAAAGATTTATAAGAAATAGAAGGTAAAGAAAAAAAGAAATCTCAAGAATAAAAAAAGAAATCAAAAAAGCAAAAAAAGTAAAAAACTAAAAATGAAAATGAGCCTTAAAAAAATAATCTTTTATCAACATAAGATAAATGTAATAGTTTTGAAATTATTGATAAATAAGATACAACTTAGGATGATGTACATTGTACTGAATGTGAATGCAATAGACATTCAAAGTATAATATATTTTAACTTTAAGTTCTTGCTCAGATAATAAACAAATAGATTTTATAACTGCTGATCTTGAAAAAAAAGATAATAATATAATAGAGCCAACTAAAATAATTGAAATCATTTAAGAAATGGATATCAATGAAAATGAATAAAACGGATAGAACGAGGAAGAAGATAACTGGGTTGTCATTACAGGACCAAAAAAACAAAGAAAGAAAAATTAAAGAAAATTTGCAAGTTCCCAGGATCTCCAATTCAAAAAGTCTCATTCATATAATAAATCTAATTAATAAAATCAAATGATATCAACTTAAAAACCTAAGACTTAAATAGTTAATTCATTTAAATATTAATAGAAAGATATATAAGATTAGGATAAGGATAAAGAAACTTTCTCAAATAGAAACAGTTAAAAAGCCAGTAGTTAAGAAATATTCTCTCAATAAACATTGACTCCTGAAAAAAAAGAGGCAAAATCTCCGTAATCAGAAAAAGTAAATATTGTAAAATAAAATACTCCTTTTGAAAATCCTATCTAATTTAATGTAGATGAAAATTTAAGAATTAAACCATTAAACCATTTAATCTAAATCTAAGAATTGAGTCTATATTAAGATGAACAGCTTTTATAAAATAATAATTAAAATATTATTTATTCTTAAAATAATATAGAAAATTTTAAAACTAATATTCCAGAGGATATTGATACAATTATTATGAATTAAGCAAGAACTTTAATGATAAAAAAGTTAGATATGGATATGAGAGAATTTAATGATATAATTTTAACATAAAATTAGGAGATTTTTTAAATGAGAAGATTAATATTTGATAGAATTTCATTTGTTATTAATTAACTCTTTAGAGGTAAAATATCAATACTATTTAAATAGAATTTAATTCTACAGTTCGTCTTTTTGGATCATGTGCAACTGGTTTGGCTCTTCCAGAAAGCGATATTGATATTGGGATTACTGGATTTGAATTATTTCCAGCAACTTAATTAAATGGTCCTATATAAAAAATTATAGATTTCCTTTAAAAAATGAAATGGGTAAAAAATATAAGGTAAAATTTAATATAATATAAAAGGGCAATTACAGCTTCAAATATGCCATTAATTAAACTTTAAGTCGATCCTACCATCTCTTTTGTTGATTCCTCTCATAATATAGTATTACCCTATATTGATTTAATTCCAAAGTATAAATTTTTTAATATTATGTATTAGTTCAGATGAAGAAATACCTTCACATTTATTTAGTGTTGATGTTAGTTTTTTTTAATATTAAGGCGTTAAATAAAACTAACATCTAGGATTAATTTCAACTGAATTAACTTTACAATGGTTATCATTTTATGGTGAATTAAGACCAATTGTTCTTTTATTTAAGAGTTTATTAAAAAGAAGAGGATTAAATGACTAATATAAAGGAGGAATTTCTTCATTTTGTATTATTTAAATGGTATTGGCATTCTTAGAAAGTTGTTATTAATAAAATTAGGCTACATCTATTGGATTTACAACTTATAAGTTTTTATAATTCTATGGAAGGGAATTTGATACCAAAAAAACAGGAATAAATTATAAAGGCTTCAATTAAGAGTAAAATTAAAATTTTTTATTTAGTCCCTTTTTTGAACTTAATGAAGAAGATAATTAATTATAAATTACTATAGTTTCTCCAATTACTAATGAAGTTATAAGTTAAGCTAGTTCATTTGTCTAGACTATTTTATAAGATATAAAAGCTTTATATTTAGCAACAGAAAATGAAGTTACTTTCTTTTATGAAAAGATTAAATATAATAAAAAAAAAAAGGGAAAGAAAGAAGAAAGAAATTTATTTTAAAAAGAACTTAACAAACTTTATCCACTTTTTAGCACTACTGTATATAATAAAAATTGATTTTTAATATTTATAATTAATTATTATCTAGAATTTATTATAAATCAATTTTATTTAATTAAAAATGTCTCCTATTTTCATTCTAATCCTTCAATATTTGTTTCATTGTCTCCATTTATTAAATTAGGATATACTAATAGATCTTACATTTATTTTAAAGTATCAATTTCTAAATTCACATTAATTTGTACATGAATGAATCTTTCGTTATTTTCTTAATATTATTTAACTTGGCTTTCTGATTCCTTCAAAAATTCCAGCTTTCTATTAAGAATCTGGCTAACTTTCTTTTGTATTCCATATTGGTAGAACATTTCCTTCACTAATAACAGTTTCACTTTCAATATAATTATTAATTTTCGATGTTGCTATCGAAGGTTAAATAAATGAATCAAATTAGAAAGATGAATTAAATTAAGGATTTTATAAGAGTGTAGTCGAATGATTTTATATCCTTGTAATTCTACTTTCATCTATGAGCAAAGGTTATAAAAGATCTTTTTAGCCTTCAATCACGAAAGGCTGTTTTTTACTTTAAAATTAAGGATTATTCGAAACTTAATTTAAATTTTTCTATTAATCATTCCTTAACTTTTCAAATGTAGATTATTCAACTTATATAGAATTTTATTAAATTTGAGTTATTTCTTTGTTTAAAAATAATTCTTATTTTGCTACTTAATTTTATTTATATGGATTAATTACAATTTAAATGATTTCATTTTTTGTTTAATTCTAAATAAATGAATATTTTACTTATAAGACATGAAATGTTTAATGTTTTTTTTATTTTATAAATTCAGGGAGACTCTCCCAATCATAAGAAAAAGGTTATTCATTATTTAACAATAATTTATTATCTTCTTCAATCTAATTCTGAAAATAAGATTTGAGTTGAACATAATTTGGTGTCTCTTTAAATTCCAATGATTTTACATCTGTCATATATTATTAAAAGCACTAAGTTATATTATTTACAATTAAATGTACCTTTGGTAATTATTTACACAATTCTTCCATTTTAATATCTTTTTTTATTTCTTTAATTTTTGCATATTTTAAATCTTTTTTATCTATTTATAAATTCATCCATGGTAAATATCCTGTCGCTAGATAGATTAAAACATATCCAATGCTTTCCAAATCATCCCTTCTAGATTATTCCATTTCTTCATGAGCAGTTACACTTGCATATCTGGCAGTCCCAATCAATCCAGTCTTTTTTACTTATACTATGTGATCTCCTTTTTTATTCTAATTTCATTTAAAAAAAATTACTATGTAATATTTAGATAAACCAAAATCTATTAAATATAATAATTTAGGATTGTTAGGTCCATCTATAACAAAATTATCTGGTTTTATGTCTCTATGTAAAAAACGATTTTCATGCATTATTTCTATTCTTTCAATCATCTATTGACTGATATATAAAATTTTACTTACTTAAGTTGCCAATCTTAAGACAGTAGCTAATTTCATAGCATTTCCTAGTGCTTTATATATTTATTCTAAATTTTTTCCAAGCATTTGCATTATGCAATATGTAAAGCCTCTTTCTTATCCATAAAACTTTATTTGTGGAAATCCTTAATATTTTCTTTATACTAATGTCATAATTGATTACCTTAATTCAATCAAAACTTTAATCTCTCTTTCTAATAAATTTGTCTCATCATCCTTAGATTGAATTTTTATTGCTAAAGCTGCATTATTATTGTTTTGATCATTAACTTTAAATACTGATCCAAAAGACCCTTCACCTATTTTTTGACTTATAAAAAATCGATTTTAAACTAGATCTCCTACCTTATTTTTAAGTTTAAAAATACCTTAAATTGTTAGAAGTTGTCACTTAATTCATTTAACTTTTTTTCAGAAATTTTTTTTTCCATTGGATTCTCATTATTTTTGGAAATCATTAATATAAATTATTATTCTTCATTTACATTAGTAAAAAATTATATTTCATTGTTATATAAAAATTTCAGATTTTATCTATGGATAATTTCAATATAGAATCAATTTCATTTAAGATCATTTAAATTTTGTTGGAAGAATGTATATTGTGTTTAGAAATTTGTTTTCTTCATTTATAGAATCATCTTCTTAATTATCATTAAGATTAAGCTTTAATTCCATTTTTGAAATTTTTTGCTTCAAAAATGGTAAAAAGATTTTTGATGTCATATAATAGGAAGAAGTTTTTCTTTATTCAGGAAGGTTGGACATCATTAATGAAATCATTTCAAAAATGTTCTGGCGAATTTTGGTTTAATTTTACCATTTTAATTCATTTAATTTAGGCATAGAAAAATGTCCCATGAGATTCTATTTCTAAATCTCGTCTTGTTTATTTCCAAAAGGATTATTCCCAAACACCCTTATATAGATAATATTATATACATTATATAAAATATTATTCCAACTTAATAAATGTTACTTGCTGTAGTTATCTTTTATGTTTAAGAAAAACTTTCTGGAGATGCATGACCAATTATCTACCCTTTACTTTTATTACAAAATTTAATTACTAATTTATTGGTTGGTATTTTTCAAGAAAAGAATATGAAAAATTCGTTATTTGAATAACATTTTCTTCCTTAGAATAGTGAATGTTATCCAAATCTAATCTATTATGAACCAATTTTATTGATTCAAAATAATTAGTGACTTATACTTAAAAAATATGGTTACCTTATAGCAGCTATCTTATTATTTCTAATACTTAACTTAATTTCATGTTTGGAGTCCCTTATATAAGTGACCTTAAAGTTTCCAGTCTTTTTTTCTTATAACAATATGAAAATTAATGTCCATCATATTAGATTGTCTCTATATTCATTAAATAAGGGCATTTAATTTAGTTAACTAATTTCAGAACTTTTATTTCTTCTGGAATACAAAAACATTAGTTGGATTTTGATTGTTTCATAAAAAGAATCTTATCATAATACTCGAAACCATTATGACATTTATCATCCAGTTTATAAATCTAGGCTTTATAATGTAATTTATACAATTCCTGATTCATTTTGTTCTAGAACAGTTCTTTTTGTATTTTGACTATTTTAAAGAAATATAAATTTTCCTTTACATATGTTAAAAAGCCATTAAATATTCTCATGATTTCCTAAAATCTTAAATTCTTCCATTTTAATTCGTAGTATAACAAAACTCATGTAGCCTAATTTCTCCATTTATTCATCCCATTTAAATTGTATATCCTCATCAGAGAAATACAATTCAAATAATTTCTACCCAGTGGAAGTATTCTAATTACAAAATTTTTATACTATTCTAATACTTTCTAAATAAGGAATAAAGTGAATAGATAACTACTGAACTTTGTTGTTAAATGTCCCAACCATTTCAAATTGTTAATCTTACTCCATTAAAATAAAAATAAGATATAGTTTTAATAAATTATTACTCTTAAATGTTTGAGTAATTAAATTATTTGATAATGAATTTTGAATATTCTTCTTTACTTTAAGGTTTTATCTTAAATAAACTGAATCCTGAAATAGATATTAAGCTTATTAAATTATTATTCTTCTTAATGCTATTCAAATAATATGATGAAAAATGTGATATTTTACTTGAAAATCGAGTTGACGCTTAGAAATACTTATTTATATGACTTTAACTAAAGTAAAAGAATTTTTAAGTGTTTTTATACAGGACAGAACTATTAAAAATGTGTTTAGGTAAACAATAAAGAAAATAAATTCATTTATCAAAAAAGCCCTTCTTCACGGAGGCATCTGATCAAATCAAAATCTTCGTAAAGTTGATGCTCTTTATTTTACAACTAAGTATCTGATTAATTCTTTCTTTTTTATTCAGCTTTAATTTCCATTTGAACTTGTTATTAATTATTAATGATTTTTGAATTATCTTAATTATTTTTTATTGATTAACTTTATAAAATATGACTTTGTTGATTTTTAATAAATTTTTTAGATATTTCATATTCAGAAGTACTTCTATCTTTTTCTTTATTATTTATAATAATCTTAAATTTAGATACACTTTCCTTATTATTATTTTTCTTAATTTTATATTATTATTAAATGATTTCATGATTCTAAATGTTTTCAAATTTCTGATTCTAAGCTATTTCTATTTGAAAATCTGATATATTATAGGTTGATTTTTCTTAATTTTCTTAATTCGATTATTTGAGATATGAAATAAGTTTTTGAGATGTTTATTTATTTTCAAAATTCCATTAATCTTTTAAAAGTAACTCGAATGAAAATTTTGTAGAGTCAATATTTCTATAAAGTTATCTTTAAACCATATTTTTTAACATCGATTTCCATAATTCACTTTTTGATAACTAAATTTAAAATCAAATATTACTGTAATAGCATTTCCAAAAATAAATAGTGCATTTTTAGCTCTTGTCAAAGCAACATTCATTCTTCTTCCATCATTTAGAAATCCTATTCCTCCTGATTAGGAAGAACGAACACAACTAAATAGTATTATATCTTTTTCTTAACCCTAATTATATAGAATATATTTTTACTTAAAATGAATCAACAGTATTAATACTTATTGTTTTTTAATCTAAAAAGATTTCATCTATTAAACTTTTTTTAAGTAATGTCTTAATATATCTAACTTATGATTTATAAGCACATATTACTCCTATTGTTTAAGACGGAAATTCTTCTTTAATTGATTTAATAAATTAAACTATAACAAAAGCTTCTTATTCATTTATATTTGATGTTCCATCTTTCTTTTCTTAACCATCCAGTATATCCAAGAATAATAGTCTATTTTAAAAGAAATTTGTTGGTAAATATCTTGAATTTGTTGATTAATGATCTTTCAATTTATTTCCATAAAAATATTCTGATGGGAACATTCTAATTTCAGAATGCATTCTATATTAAATATCTAGGAAATAAGGTTCAAAATTATTATCTAGTATTCTTTCAAATAAACTTCTATTATATAATGTTTGATTAGAAACTGGTGAAAATGTTGTTGCAGGTAATTATTTTGGATCACCTATCAATATCATTTTTTCAATTCCCAATCTTAAAGGTATAATATTAGATGGTTCAGTACATTGAGCTGCCTCATCTACAATCAATAAATCTATTTAATCCAAATACTTAGATAATTTATCAGACCCACTTGAACTTAAAGTACTACAAATAATTTCAGCATCATTTAATAACTTTTCACAAAATTAATTATAATACTCTTTATACATTTTTTTATTTTCTCTTGTTTTATCTAAATATTCTTATTTCATCTTTCTTAAATCATTAAATTAATTGATTTAATCTTTAATAATCCTTCTATCTTCAGATGATATTCCATGCTGATTCAACTTTTTCTCTAATTTCTTAATGTGATTCTAAATTTAACATAATTCAATCCTTAAATCTGCTGTTGTTTTTTAATCTTATTATGCATTCAATTTTTAAGTAGAAAATAATTTATGTTATGCTAAATCTTCTAATGAAACTTTCTTAATTATGTCTGAATGAATATTCTCTTCATCTAATAAACCAATCCTAATGATATTAGCTTATCTAGGATTACCCTTCGAATCAAATAAACCTTCTTTTTACAGAATTCTTAAGATAATCTCATCTATAGCTGCATTTGAAGGTGCACAAATCTATTATTAATAATTTATTATTTTACTAATATTTTCTTCCTTGGAAATTTATTCATTAATTTCATATACTCATATACTCCAGATAATAATCCAATTAATGTATGTGTTTTACCTGTTCCTGGCTAAAAAAATATCTACTATAAAACATACCGGTCCTTATAATAAACATATTCCTTTTTCCTTTAATATTATATCTCTTATTGAATTTGCTTGACTCTCATTATACTTTTGATACACTGTTTATAAAAACGGGTATAATAATTCTTTATTTTATATTTAATTTTTAAATTATACAGTCCAACCTCCTTCAACATTTTAACCTATCAATTATTATTCTGAAGTTGGATTATATATTAATTTTGCTAAAGGAGTTTTATAATTTAATCTTGTTATCATCTAATATTCACGAATTAATGTTGTAATTTTAGAAAAAGGAAATAAAAATACATTATGCCATTAATTTACATTTAAACTTTATTTATTTATAAAAGTTTATATTCTTATTTATTGTAAATATTAAGCTTTTTATGGATCTATTAAAATCCCAAAAAATATCATCTTATCTTCATGCAATTAATTAATTTATCTTAATTTTATATTAATTTTGCTTGAAATTATTACAATAAAATTTTTTAGAGTTGTCAAATCACAAACTCCATCCTTAATACTATCATAATATAATTTTTAATCTTCTGATTAATTCTCATCTTTTTCATCTTATACCTTTAAATATTTATTATTAGCACCTTAAGGATCTTTTTATAAATTAGTCTAAGGTCCTCTCATAATAAATATAGCACCTTCAGATTCATTATCACTTTCATCAATCTTTATTTACACTTTTCGATATTTTGTTGTCTTTTCTATCTTTTTTAAAAATTCTATTAAATCTTATTTTATTTATGCAGTAGCCTCATTTAAGAATAAATATTCAAATATTCTACAATACTCCTCAGAACTTTAAAATTTATTAGGAATAACCTTCTATTCTTAATCTGCTATATCTGGTATATCATAGTTTTTCAAAAATAAATATTTTAGTAATCTATTAAATTCAAAAATAGGTTTCCCTACTTAAAATGATTCTCCCATATTGTTGTCTAAAATCATTTTAAATTTAGATAATCTCAATGATTCAGTAGTCTTTTTTTTCTCTATTTTAATTGATCTAAATTCATGTTTATCCTCATTTAATAATTCTTCCGTTTCTCTTTAACCCTATTATTTAACTAATGGATTATCTAAAATTTGAACTTGCATTTCAAATTTCTTTCTCTCTTTCTCTCGTGAAGTCATGTATAAAGGTTATTATTATTTTAAATCAAACAAGTTTAAACTTTTTTTAATTCCTTCTGGAAATCTCTATTATTTTTATTATTATAATAATTCTATTTCTCTATGTGATTATTTTATTTCCTGATGGTTTGGCTTTTTCTAATTAATTTAAAAATCCTTTCCAATTTATTTTAAAGATTTACCAATATCTTAATTATTTTTTATTGAATCATCCCCAAATCTTTAAATGAATCCTTATTTCTCCTATTACTATTTAATCATTAAATTTTGTTATTTAATTTATGGATCAATTTATTATTTTTATAAGATTGATTGTGTAAAATTTTACTAATTATTTGAACTAAAATAACTATTAATGATTTTCTAATTTGAATCGTTAACAGTTTGATAAACTTAATCTATTGGTTATAATTCAAAAGAACTTTTAACTGAATCTATTTTATTGTCTGTGCTTGTGATCACATATTTTGAAAAATCCCAATTGTCTTTTTATGGTTCAAATCTTTTTTCAAATATTTTTTTTACTTCGAAATTCTGTGGTAATAATTAAGGATTAGAAATCTCTTATATTTTGTTATTCTAAATTTATTTTTTAATTAAATAAGGATCTTTAATTTCCTATTTTTTTTCATTTTGATTCGCATTTGATTATGATTATAATCTTTCTAAATCTTATTTGAATAATTCTTTTTTAAATTAAAATTATTTTTATTCTTATGTGTTTTTTATACCATTATCACTCCTTTTGAATTATCCTTATTCAAAAAGATTAACTTCTGACTTTTATCCATTATCTACAATTTCTAAAATATCGAAACTTTCATTATAACTTGTTTCACCCTAATTTTCATGTCGTTTAATTCTATTTTTTATTAACCATTCTTATTTTTATTCCATTTCTATCACATTTTCTGCTTCTTTTTAATCTTTATTATTTTTTTTTATACTTGTATACTCTTCAGATTTTTGTGCTTAAATATCCTCACTATCTGCTTCATCAGTATTATCATTATCTATTTAATATGCTTATTTTATATTATTTTTCTTAAACGATTTTTATTAATTCAACTTTTCAGATGAAAGTTTTTTAGATTCTATAGAAGAAAAGAGTTTAATATCTGAAAATTCATTATATTTTTCTAGTTAACTGTTATTTAAATTTAGAAAATTCAATTGAGATTGATTAGTATGATTAGTTTTCTAAGTTTAGTCAATTTATTTAATATTACAAATTTAATTCAAGTTTAAAATATCTGTTTGTTTTAGATCTTTATTGTTGTTAATAGAATCGTTTTTTTTATTTTCTTAATAAATTATATCAAGTTCAAATTCATCTTATATAATCTTTGCATTTTATTTTATTTCGCATAATTATGAAAAATTCACTTATTTTTCAATTTATATTTTTAATTTACTATTTTTGTTGTTCTTTATTTTAAATTCACCTTCACTGTCACCAGATATAATTTGAAATTGAAAATCATCTTCCATTTTATATATTATAAAATTAATATTAACTTATTTTGAGTTGAATTATTATTCTTAATAAGTTGGAGAAAACTAAAGAGAAATAATATGATGAAAATAAATCTAATTAGAAAATTTAAAGCAGGAAAAAAATAATATACTCATAACATTAAATAAAAATGGAAAATTATTACTATCATAGCTAATTATCTAAATATTTTTAATAATTCTATGAAAATTATAAATATTCTTTTTGGATTTTATTAGTTCTTAATAGATAAACAAGAAATACTTTTATATGTCTGTATAATTATTGTTAGCATTCTAATGTTCACTATGACTTTTATTATATCTATTTTCGGGTCTAGAATTAGTTTTACTCTTTTTATTGCAGAGGAAACTTTAAGTATTAAGAAATGCCCTTAAATTATCACTTTGATTTTTTAAATCAAATTTGACATTTTCTGTAGTAGTTTTAACTTATTAAATATTTGTATCCATCATTTATTTATGTTATATTTTTTATTGTTAACTTGCAGCCCTCTGATGATTGATACATGATTTTATTTTATTAGAATCATTTTTTTCTATTGTTGATGAATCTCTTGATGATCTATAAGCATCATTCTATTTTAAAGAATCTCTACGATTTTAAAGCATTTTCAAGATAGAACTATCTATCGTATTACTTATCTAAGTTTTGACCTCAGCATATTATTTACTATAATCTTCTATATTTCTTGAATTTATCTTTTACTTCGGAGCTACAAAATCTATAGTCTAATATCTCTAACTATTCTTAATATACTTTAGATATTTACTTTGAGATGATGAGAATCTTAATTTTTTATTTTATCTTAGACAGGAGAAGTCTAATGACTGTTAATTCTCTCGCTTACATCAATTAGTTTAGATTTTAGAATGTAATTTTCACTTTGCAATCTTTTTACTTATTCTATCAATTATTGATTCTCTTTTTTTAAAGACTAGAAATTTATAATTATTACATTCACTAATTGTTTAGTATTACTTAAACATTCATTTACACTCTCTTGTTCTTCTAATTTTTATTATAACGATTCTGCATATAGTTTTATTTGTTATTCCATCTAATTTAAAATTTAATGATAATGTACTCGAATGTGCTTACGAATCTCATGTTCATATTTTTAAACTTGTTTTTCTAAAGCTTCATAATCATAATTTTTAGTGGCATCAATTATTTTTTAAGGTATTGCATCTCTAATAAATTAAAGTTAACTATCTAAATCTTTACATTATGTCCATTTCTTTTATTAAGTTCCATCAAAACAAACCTAATTATTATAATTCAATACTAATTTAAATATCTCATTCATAATACTTTGACTCATATTAACTATATTTTATATATTTTTTATTAAATAAATAATAATGTAATATTCACATATTACTATGATCAACTTTTTGATTATACAAATATTATATAATTTTTAAATAGAAGCATCATCATTATTTTTAATTTGTAATTGTCTTATGTAATTTATTCTCCATATTCTGAGAGGTTATTTAAGTAGAATTCGTACTGTAAGCAAATGACTTAAAATCACTCATATTCTAAGATTTTAATGAAAACTCTCCTCCTTATGGAGATATGGCTTTTGTTCTGAATTATCTAGGTAATACAAACTAAAAAATCTATTTAATATCATACTTATTTCAACTCTTTTTCTTACATATTTAATTCATCTCTATATTCTAGATTTTTTATCATTAAATCTATCAATTAACCTTTAACTAATGAATATCCATTCTTTTGGTTCTCCTATTCCTAATTTGAATTATAAAGCATTGAATTATTCTTTCTTGTTAATCTAGGCGATACTTTAATTTCAATTTTCTATTCAGCTGAATTTTATTGCTATAAAATTTACTAAGTAAATTATTCTTTAATTTTAGTATCATTAATAACTAAAGATTTAATTTATTAAGAATTTAATAAACTTTGTTAACTATTTCTATGTCTCATTGAAAATCTTTGTTAGTTTATTTTTAGTTTCTTAACTTCTTTTGTTTATTCCATTTAATCTTAAGCTCGATCTTTCTCTGTATTGTAATAATCAACATTTTGTATTTCTCTATATTCTTAAAGCTTATTATATGTAGCCTATTTCTACTCAAATTATATATCAGAAACTGAAATAGATTTCATTAGACTTTTAGTTACTGGCATCTCTTTATGAATTTCCCATTCTGTTTAAATTATTTTCTTAGCTGTATCCTTTATTTAATCTAATGTTAAACACTCTTCAAATGCTATTGCCTCTATTTTCTTATTAAAAAATTCATCTATTGTTGATACTTTGCTTGATTTTTATTGATTGTTTAATTAATTTACTAATTATTGATGATTTTTTTCTAATTCACTTATCTCATCTCTTATTGTCAAACAAGATTTTTATCTTAAATTAATTAACTAACTTAAATAACTATTTTTATGATCTGAATTTGTATTAAGCCTTTTACATTTTACAGAAATTTGACGTTTTTTAGGTTTTTCTTAATTCTACTTAACAACTGAAACACTATTTAAACTCAAAAAGCTACTTGGATGAGCATTTTAAATTACTTTCTCTCTTTTAGTTGATTGTGATTGAGATTGAGATTCTTTCATAAGTGTGTTAACATAAATTGTATGATTTATTGAAGTTTAAGAATATGGATTTGAAAAAATAGTTGAATCCTTATGATGATATGATTTTATTTTAATGGGTAAATAATCTTACATTGTCAATTTATCCTGACTGTTTGAGACATAAATACATTAATTACTTTGAACTGTCTTAAATCCTTTTTAAAATTAAGCACTCTTATTTTCTTAGAGCTTCGCTTTAATCAAGTCTTAAAGTTTTGAATTGCCAATGATTTTTTAATTTTATTTTTAATTTATCTGATATCCATAAAGAAATTAAGTAAATTTGGTTAAGTCTTAATCTTCTAATAAAATTTATTCAAATTTTTCATTTACAAATTCAAATTCTGAATTTATATAGTCAATAAATTCTAATTTGGCTTTCAAAGGTTTTAATATTTGGGAAGCCAAAAAATGAGCCAAATTCAAAGATTAAATACATTCTAAATGATTATCATTAATTTCTAAAGATTTGCTTTATATGTCTAAATTGATAATCAATGTAGCCGTTATTTTTATCAATTATTTTTATAAATTGATTAAATTTGATTATGGTTTATGATATTCTCGAACAGAGTTTAATAGCATTTGGAATCCAAATTCAATAGTATCATTATTTGTTAAGTTGGATAATTCAAATTATGCAGCATTCTTTAGTGTTAAAGTTTAAAAATATATAAATTATGATTAAAATGTAGAAATAGGCTTCAACATTTACAATTTGAATAAAAAAAGTGGAGCCTCTTTTAATAAAGATATTTTGCAATATAAATAATTAAAGAGTAAAGTTTTTTATAAGTTACAAAACAGTTACTACCATTAATATTGAATCCAAATTTTAGATTTGCTATCTGGTTCTAATTTATCAAAAATATTTGCAAATTATTTTATTGTTAATTTATTTGGTTCATTCAAAAATTTTTGTTTTCTTGATATTTGTTTTTCATTCTTCTATTTTTCATTTAAAGAATTCTAATATTTATTAAGCAAAATTTGATAATTTTAACATAAATTCATGCAAGTTATTAAAACTTCTAAAATAGTTTATTATTTCTAGCTAAAGTGAAAGAAATATTTCTTTATGACTTTCAGTTGGCAGTAAAGTAATCTTCTAATTAACTAAATATTTAATTGAATGTAAAATGTATCATTGATCAAATAAGGATGACAAACTAATTTTCTACTTAAATTAATAAATTTTTTGTATTTATTATTTTTAAGCAACTAAATTGTATCATATAGGTGATATTCCAATATTAAAGAGTTGTTGTTGTTCATAAATTATAAATTTATTTACTTTTATTTTAATATTGAAAGAAAAAAGTAAGATCAAAGTATATTAAATTGTAATTTTAAGTTGGAACATACATTATTAATAAAAATTTGTAAAGGAAGGTAGTAATTTTTATTTATTAATTATAATTATTTTAAATGCCACCTAAAAAAAAATAATAACAGGAAGTAGTTGAATTTACTGAAGCAGAAAAGAAAGCATTAGAGAAATTGTAAATAATTTTGGCATGATTAAAATATAGAGATCATTCTAATCTATTGATTGAGATATAGGTTTTAAAGGATAGAATAGAAGAGTTATAGAAAAATGTTTATGATTTAAATGAGACGATAAGAACAATAAATGAATAAAATGTAAAGCATTTAAGAGTATTATAAAGCTTGCTTTAACTTTAAAAATGGAATCAGATATAAATAGAAAAGAAAGCGATTATAATGCTCTTTTATAGTAATATGAGGACTTGAAAAAATAAACGACTGAAGAAATTGAAACAACGATTTAAAGGAAAGATGAAAAAATTCGATGTAATTAAGTTACATAATTTATATAGATTTGGAAAAAGAAAAGGCAGATTTAGAAATGAGACATAAGGATGAATTATAAAGAGTTAATGAAGAATTAAAAAAGTTGAGTTCATTTAAGGTATTTAATGTACTAAAATTAGGAAGAAAAAGAATATATGATTAGAGAAATTCATGATTTAAGAGAAGAAATGAATAAAAAGGATTATGCACATTTAGATGAATAAAGCAAAGCCAATAAAAACTTTTTAAAATAAACTTAGAATTTAACAAATGTTAATAATGCTAAGATTGAGGATGTACAAAGAAATGCAAATAAATTAGCAGAGGAAAAAGTAGCTGCTAAATATGATGGTATTTTAAAAGAAAACGAAAAGATTAAAAGTGAACTATAAGAATATGAAAGAACGTTATCAATATATCAAAAAGAGAAAGAAACATTTTAATAAGAAAATATTAATTATAAATTAAATTTAAGTATTAAAGAGGAATAAGCCAAAGAGTAAACATTTTATTTTTAATTTAGATATTAAATGTAAAACCATCAATAAATTATAAAGATTAAATAGTTGAAGGAAAAGATTGAATATCTCAAGACTTATATAGCGAGTGTATTTCATTTTATCCATTTTTTAGGAAGTGACAAAGTAAACTAAAGAAATTGAAATTATGAAACATTAAAGTAATACAAAGGTATAAGAATTGGAGATGCAATTACGAAATTTAAGACATTTACTTGATTAAAGAACTAAAGAATTAAAAACTGTTAAAGCCTTGGCTTAAATGATCTTAGATTAAAGATCTGATATTGAGTAATTTTTCCTTTAAGCCATTGATTAAGTGAAAAATGAAATCAACAAGAAAAATAAGAATTAGAAAAATAGTCGCTTACCAGAAATATCATAAAAATCTTAAAGTCTCGAATCCAACAAGGTTGATATAAATGATTTGGATTTAGAAGAAAAAGAGAAATTATTAAGAATTCTATTTTCAAAAATGAATCAAGGTGTGCCACCTACTAATTGGAAATCATAACTTGGTCATGTAAACTTTTATTATTTTATTTATAGAGTAAATCCTAAGTTGATGGTAGCTCTTTTAGAGATAATCAATTTTAATGAAGATAAAGAGAATGAATATTAAATTATAATTTTACAAATTTGTATTAAGAGCATGCTATAGGATACATTTTTATAATATTTATCGTTTTCTTTAGAGTACGTTTTTGATTAATTATTAAATGAAATTCATTATTGTTGTGTTATTAGCTTTGGCAGCAACAACTTATGGTTCAAAAACATAAGATTAAATCCTTGCCTTATTATAAGTAATGATATTAATAAGAATAATAGACAGGAACAAAAGCAAGTGATGCTATTGATACAGTTTTTGGTTTATTAAATGATTTGAAATAATCAAATATTGATGCATAATTTGCTGCAGATTAAAAGAATGAAACAGATGAATGGATTGGCGCATAGTAATATAAATTAAAATGAATTAGGACAATTGAATAATTTACAAAGATTAAAAGTCTGAATTAAAAACTCTTCAATTAAGCAATAGAAAATAGAGGAAACTATGAAGAAGTGCTTAAACAAACAAAAAATTATTTAGCTTGGAATGAAGCAAGAAGAGATGAAATAGCAAGAAAGATTGATGCCTTATAAGATAATTAATGTTTTAGTAATCAACTATTTGTTAAATCAATAAAACATAATTAAGAAGCACTTGAAGTTATTAGACTTTTGAAATAAGACGTTGCTGGTTATATTATTAATGGTGATTCATTTGAATTCACATAAGTTAAAGCATAATCTGTAGCTGAGAAATTAAAATAATATAGTAACTTATTCTAAGATCATTAAATAAAGTCATTCTTAGCATTAGCTAATACTCAAGAAGTAAGATTAATTAAATATAATTATTAAAAGGAAGGAACATCAACAGGTGGAGCTACTTTAGCTGAAAAAGTGTTATCAGTTCTTGAAGGATTAGAAAGTGAATTAGAAGCATCATTAGAAAACTTAAAATAAAATGAAATAAATGCTTCATGGGAATTAGCTGGATGGGTTTCATTATCAGAAGCTGAAATCTCATCATTAGAAGTTGAATATGAAAGAAAATAGGTATTTGCTGATAGAACTGCTACTGTAATTAAATTATTTAAATTAAGTAAATCTAAGCTGCTTTAGCTTAATAAGCTAAATCAAAGATTATTTTATAAGAATCTTAAGATGCTTTAGATCAAGCATAATCAGATTTAGAATCAAAGAGAGCTGATTATGCTGAAGCTAAAGCAAAAAGAGAAGAAGAAAATGCTATTCTTGATGAAGTAATCATTATGTTCAAGAAACAAGTTGCTTCATGGTCTGGAAGATGAATTTGATAATCTTATCAATATATATTCATAATAATAATTATTGATAATAAGAATGTATGATTTCGAAAATTATAAAATACCTTATTTATATAAATTAGTAATGAATACAATTGAAAAGGAATACAAAACAATAAATGGATTTACTAGGCCTAAACATCCCTTTTAGCTTTTCACTATTGTATTTTTTATTCAACTATTGTGTTGTGTATCTATAGCTATTCTCCCAATTACTAGTTGGTTAGTTTAAGTAAAATTTGACAATAAATAGATTATTTTAGCATCTTTATTTTACTTTTTCTCAATCATGATATTTTACTATGCCTTTATAACCTCACTTATAGATCCAACTGATGATTTGATAATATAATCAAAGAGAGGATAGAATATGTAAACCTGATTTAAATTTATTATAGTGAGATGGAATAAGAACTTTATGATTTCTATTGTTCTTTTTGTGATAGCTATGTGAGTAGCACTACTAAACATTGTAGAGTTTGTGAAAGGTAAACTCCGATATTTATATGAGATGTGTATCTGATTTTGATCATCATTGCAAATGGTTGAATAATTGCGTTGGAAAAAAGAATTATCCATAATTCTTTAAATTACTCATATTTGTATCATTATTTGGAGTTACCTTTATTATTTTTGCCTTATTTTCTATTGCTTTTTAAACTCCAAGTATGATTATATGGATATGGATCAATGTTGGATTGGTCGCCATATTATTTTTACTAAATTTTAATTTAATGTCATTTCATTTCTGGTTAAAATATTAGGGAGTAACAACCTATGCTTTTATCATATAAAATAGATAAAAGAAATCTTAAGAAGTTGCAATAGAAACTCCTCAAAAATTTTGGTATTCAAATATACCTTAATATTTTACATAGTTGTAGCACGAAAAAGAACTAAATGGCTTAAGTGGTCCCTAAATAAGATGTTACTTAAGGAGAAGAATAATTATATAAAAATGAGATTATATAAAATGAACCTTAAACTGATATTAAATAATAAAATGTGGAAATCGAAGGTGATGGTGAATCAGTTCATGATAATGGTACAAAAAGAAAGAATAGTTTCCATACAGTCAATTCTTAAGTTAATAATCAGATATAAGAATGATCTTATATTTATAACTATTATAATTATATTTTGATTAAAACTTGTATCTCATAGTTTTTTTATAAATCACTAATTCAAAAAGAACCATTCAATTAAATAGATTTAAGTTTGAATAATAAGATTTATAATTAATATAAAAAATGCAATAAATCTGTCAAAAAATCTATAAAAATGTAAGAATAAATAATACTGAAGTTGCTTAAATTTACTAGAAATAGTTGATATAAGAGAAAATATAACAATATTGATTGATTTTTAAATTAGAAAATGAAATAAAAATTGATTCATATTTTTAAAGTTGATAAACTTTGATTTAAAATAATATTAAACAGATGATTCAAGATATTTATAGGTAAAGAAAGAGTAAGATGAAATTCCAAAATGTTAAAAAAATGTTTATAATATTATTATATATAAATTGAATGATTTTGTCTTAGAAATAATGGGAATATTTAAAGGATATGAATGATGATATTTGGGTAACATATAGTTACATAGGGATTCCAATATAAATAGTGATGATAATTTATAAAATCTTTTATCCAATATATTGGTAGGAAGTAAAAAGAATGAAAGAATTTCCATCACTATTACAGGGTATTATTCGATGAACCCTTTAGATAAATTAATAAGACCATTCATTTTTTATGGACCAATATATTACTTATTTGATATAATAATAAAAGTGGGAAGTGGAAAAGCATATGAATCAGCATGCAGTCTGTCATTTTTGTCACATCATGTGATAACTTTATTATTTTTGCCATTAGCTGTATATAGTAAGCATGTACCTTGGTTTATCATAGTATATATATTATTTTAACAATGAATTAGAGCCCTGGGTTATTTCATGCATTTTTGTTATGTTTTAAACATAGTTATTTATAATATATTTATTTGATGGCAGTATTATTATATCATTATGGAATTTTGTAACCTCCATTCAGAGAGTAATAAATATATTAAATATAGTATGGTTTAATACAAATTATTGAACATAGGAACAATATTATTATATGTAACAATAATAGCATTATGGTTGAATGGTTGTTCTCATTGAAAATATTATAAATGTATATAATAGATGAATATATTGTTTGTTATATGAATAATATCTCATTTTTAAGGTGTTTATTGGAATTATCCAGTTTTGACAGCAGCAGGTAATTAACTTGCAGGAATAGGTGCATTTCCAATAGGAATAGGTGGACCATAAATTGTTTAAGTTTGAGGTTGAGAATATTGAGCATATTGAGGTTATTAGGTATATTAAATAGGTTATGATACAACAGGGACAGTTTATGTAACATAAGATTATTAAACAAGTGGTTAAGGAATATAAGATTGAGTGACTTAAGGTTAAGCTATATAGGACTATTAAACAAGTGGTTAAGCAATATAGGATTGTTATACAACTGGTGAAGCAACAACAGTTTGAACTTAAGGCTAATGAACTACTTATCTTTCAACAGGATAATATTCAACTCTTTCTTAATATTTATCAACAGGAACATATTCTAAATAATTATATATGGTTATAGATACCTGTCACTTTATCATAAAATACTTAAGGCACATATTCTGTTTAATATTCAATAGCTTAATATTCTGTAATATATTTTTCTCTTGGAACTTAAATTTTTTATCTGACTTCTTCGTATTCAATTACACTCTTCTCATATGGAATATATCTAAAGTTATAATATATATAATTTATACTCTACTCTGCTTTCTCCTTTAATAATTGGTTATTATTAAACAACAGGTTATGCTACTACTGATTAAGTAACAACTGGTTATTAATAAACCACTGGTTATTAAACAACAGTTGGAGCAACATATGATTGAGCAATTGGTTAAGTGTAATATTAAGGAATATAAGCAGGACTTTATAATTACACTGGAGCTTAATATGTTCTTGGTGGAGAAAATGTTGGATTCCATTAAGCTTATTAAGGTTATCTTTATGGAATTGCAGGACCAGACTATAATGGTTATTGTGAAGGTGGTCTATTCGACATTTATTTAATAAATATATTTTATTAAATAAATCTTCTCTTCTAATCTTTATATTCTTAGTCTTTCTTATTTTTATCATTTCAATCCTTCATTATATCTTAAAAACTATTTATATTACTAATTCAATCTTAACTTTTTAAATACATTTAAATTATAAATATCATTTGTACAATTTATTTATTGCCTATCTACCATTCAGTTCTTTGTAAAATTACTCAAGTTTAAACTTTTTACTTAATTCTACTCTAACATCTTCTACTAATAATAGTTTTTCTAAATATTATAATAATTCCTCTAACTAATTATCTTCATTCTCTCCTTCAAATGGCATTATTGGAACTCCATTATTAATCTAACCTCTTTTTATTTTTTATTTATTTACATAAAATTTAAAGGACAATTATCTATTATTATTATATCCTTAAAATCTGTCTAAAATATTCTTAAATCTTTCACATTACCAATCATATGATCCATTGTACAAACTGCTTTAAAATATTGTTTTTTAGGATCTATCAATTTTAACATCTAAAAACTATCATATATTTATTACATTTGTTGCATGTTCCATTTTTGCTGCAGTAAACAACACTAATGTACATACCTTTGATAATCGTTCTAAAAATTATTTACAATATGGTCTTATTAAACTTTTATTTTTTCTATGATAAACCAATGTCTCATCAAGGTCTAATACTACAACTTTATCGTTTTTCTGTTATTTTTTTAATTTCACTATACGTTTATCCACAAATTCTTTAGGCTATTCAAAGTACCAATGTGATTAAACAGATGCTTCATAAAGCTCTCTTGCTAATTTACAATCTGAAGATATTTTTGAAGTAAAATAATTTCCTTTTTGTTTTTCATCATCTATAATTAAATCTGGAGTTGTATCAGCAGTTCTTTAAGTTTCCAAATTTTTTAAGTCATCATATTTTTTATTTATTATTATTTGACAAGACTTACTATGATTGTTCGATTTCATTTTTTCAATATCAATAACCAGATATGATTTAATTAATTAATAATTGTTTATCCGTAAGAAATTATCAACTTTGAATTAATTAATAAAAATTGAGGTTATAAATTATATAAAATTGCCGAATTTTTAGTTAAAGCATAATATTTTAATAAAGTTTAAAATCTTATATCATTTTGACTATTTTTAAATTTATTTCTGGATATGTTGGAAATCAATATACTTTAAATTTATTTTATTAATAATTATATAAAAAGTAATTTTAAAATGAAATAAAAGAATATTGAAATTGAAGAATAACTTCGAGAAGTTCGATTTGCTGATTCTAAATAAATTAAAAATAAATTCTTGTCTAAATTTAGAAAACAATAAAGTTTAGAAGTTTATAATTAGATTAGAAAGAATCGTATATATTTAAATAAAAGTTAAGCATTTTAATTAAGCTAAGAATTTCATAGTAATGAATTAAAATGTAAATTGTGTTAAGATTATTTTATAAAGTTTACAATAACTTCTTGTGGTCATTCATTTTGTTATTATTGCATATTTGAGCATTTACTTAAATCTCATGTATATTTGATGTATATATTAAAGAAATGTCCATGTTGCTAAACTGGTTTAAAAGGTTTAGAATTAATCTATTGTAAAACAATTGACTAATTCATTCAGAATAGCAAAATACTCGAAAATAATTCAACAATTCTAAATAGAAAAAAGGAGTTTAAAGAATGGAAATTAAAAAAGAAGATTAAAAATGTTAAATAGGGAGATTCCTTAGATGTTTTAGATACAGAACATATCTGGTGTGTTGGATAGATAATGAACATTAGAAATTAAAAAGAAATGTTAGTCCATTATTAAGGATGGAATAAGGCTTATGATGAATACATTTCAATCTCTTCACCTCGTTTATCTCCTTTGGGTCTATTTACTAATAGAACTGGTAATATTAAAATATTATTAAAGATATTTTACTATATTAACCAAGTATGAATGAAAATGCAATGTCTAATTATGTTAGATAAATAGCATCTCAAAATTAAGACAACGATTTATTTAATTATTTGATATTATAGTAACAAACATCAAATTCAAACATTATTTTAGCAATTGAATCCCCAGGTAGAAATACATTATCAAGTCTATTATAATTAGTTATTATCATTAGAGAAATACATGATGAATTACACAATGAATCATGACCTCTATCAAAATATTTATTATTAATATAAGAGCTTTTTTGCTTTCTTATCATAATAATAATTCATATATTAATTATTTCTATGTAATCATATAAAGAGGCTTTATAACTGTTCTAAAAAAATTCAATGAACTTACCAATGAAAGAACATGAAGATAAATTAAATGTATTAGTAATTACAACTAGATTATGTTAGAATATATATTACATGAATTAGAAAGAGATAAAAAAGAATTGTAAATCTTGAGATAAGAAATTATTCATGAATCATATATATAATCCTCTATCAATGATGATACATCAACTAGTTTCATTGAAGAATTAGCAGACTTTACAAGAAACTTTAGAAAGCTTGCAGAAGAATCCATTCATGAAACCAATCAAATAAGCAGTTAAGTGGAAATATTAAAAAATGAAAAAGCAAGAATCAGAAAATCTACTAATTTATTGCATCATAGAGTATTTGAAATGGAAAAAGTTTTAGGAGTTGGATTAAATTAAGCTAATTCATAAGAAGCAAACATTTGAATTAAATTTATACATCACAATTATGATAATAAATTTATCTAATTTTTTACACTTTAATTTTAAGGAAAATGTTGTTATATAATCAAATTTATTTATTTTTAGTTAAATAATTTAATATTAATTCCATTAAATTATTCTAAAATCTCTAAAAATAACATTAGTCACTACTTTTATAAAATAAATTTTAAATATTATAGAAGTAATAAAGAATGAATGTTAAATTAAGAATTTATTTGATAATTAGTTTTATAATTATTTTTTGAAGAAGTTAAGANTTGGGTCTATTTACTAATAGAACTGGTAATATTAAAATATTATTAAAGATATTTTACTATATTAACCAAGTATGAATGAAAATGCAATGTCTAATTATGTTAGATAAATAGCATCTCAAAATTAAGACAACGATTTATTTAATTATTTGATATTATAGTAACAAACATCAAATTCAAACATTATTTTAGCAATTGAATCCCCAGGTAGAAATACATTATCAAGTCTATTATAATTAGTTATTATCATTAGAGAAATACATGATGAATTACACAATGAATCATGACCTCTATCAAAATATTTATTATTAATATAAGAGCTTTTTTGCTTTCTTATCATAATAATAATTCATATATTAATTATTTCTATGTAATCATATAAAGAGGCTTTATAACTGTTCTAAAAAAATTCAATGAACTTACCAATGAAAGAACATGAAGATAAATTAAATGTATTAGTAATTACAACTAGATTATGTTAGAATATATATTACATGAATTAGAAAGAGATAAAAAAGAATTGTAAATCTTGAGATAAGAAATTATTCATGAATCATATATATAATCCTCTATCAATGATGATACATCAACTAGTTTCATTGAAGAATTAGCAGACTTTACAAGAAACTTTAGAAAGCTTGCAGAAGAATCCATTCATGAAACCAATCAAATAAGCAGTTAAGTGGAAATATTAAAAAATGAAAAAGCAAGAATCAGAAAATCTACTAATTTATTGCATCATAGAGTATTTGAAATGGAAAAAGTTTTAGGAGTTGGATTAAATTAAGCTAATTCATAAGAAGCAAACATTTGAATTAAATTTATACATCACAATTATGATAATAAATTTATCTAATTTTTTACACTTTAATTTTAAGGAAAATGTTGTTATATAATCAAATTTATTTATTTTTAGTTAAATAATTTAATATTAATTCCATTAAATTATTCTAAAATCTCTAAAAATAACATTAGTCACTACTTTTATAAAATAAATTTTAAATATTATAGAAGTAATAAAGAATGAATGTTAAATTAAGAATTTATTTGATAATTAGTTTTATAATTATTTTTTGAAGAAGTTAAGATTCTAAAATTATAAAAAACTTAAGAAATTTTATCAGTTTCTTTTAAATGTAAAAAAAATTAATTTATTTATCAATTTCGTTTAAATTTGAGATGGATGAATTCTATTTTAGAAATTAATTATAATAAATATTAGATGGTTTTATTTTTATAATGTTCATGATATAGATTCAGATAGTTCAATTTTTTCTAATTTAATTGATTCCTTTTTCAAAAATTTCTTTTCATTTTCTAAAATCAATAATTTTATTTAAATACTTATTTTTTAAGGATGATATTTAGAATAGATTTCTTATGCTCTATTTTCACACTTAAGGAATTCATGATCTTTCCAAGGAAATCTTCTATAAACCTTGATTTTCTAAAAATAAATAAGAAATATTTTACATCATAATCTCTTGTAAAGATTATTTATAAAATTTATTTTGCCATTTTTTGAATTTTCTCTTCATTTTCAATTTAATAAATAGTTGAAAATTAAGCTATGAAATTAAATGAATTATTTTTACTTAAAAATTTGTAATAATAAGCAGAAAATTTGGATGATCTGAAAAGTTATTTTAGATAAGCATCATTAATAGTTTTAAGTTTTGATTCTTTTCTAAAAGGTATGAGATCATCAATGGTATCATTGTCAAGTGTTTTCATAAATTCATTATCACTAGAAAAGAATGTATGATAAAAAAGTTTGTCTCTTTCTTCAGCTCCAAGATTATCTTTTTCTTAATAATTGATTTCTGTTTTAATAAATTGAAAACATCTTCTAATAATGAATTTTGTCATTTCTTCTTTAGTTTTATTAACTTATATATATCTCTTCTTTAAAATATTAGGTATGTCACAATTTTATGATATTAGATTCTATTTTGATATATATATGATATACTTTCAAATTCTAACTTGCAAAATTTTCAAAAGCCTTATCTTTAAGTAAGGAAATATTCTTTGATAAATATTTTAAGAGTAGAATAAGTTCTTGCAATACTAAGGTTTCTTTAGAATAAATTTAGTGATTTGAATCAGTATTTTCTGAAACTTCTTCATTCAAAATAATCTCAGGGAATTGACACGTTTAATCACACATAATTTTTGTTGGAATCATATTATAGTATTAAGTTGGAATTGGATAAAGTTATTAAAGATTGAGTTATGGATAATTGATGTAGGAAGTTGTGTATACTATAGGAAGCATGAGATAATTTAAAAAAAAAAAGATGTAAAATAAAATTATTATCTTAAATTATATCCTAAGTGCATAAATAATATAAATAATCATTATTTAGTGTTATGATTAATGACTCAACCAAATACAAATTCAAGCCAATCTGATTCAGAATTTAATTGAGTAGGCTATAAAAAGTAATTAAAAGAATTATGTTAAACACTTCTTTATCTTTATTATAAGATAGGAGGATGCTATTTTTGTAAATCAACTGAATAACCTTTTCTTTTCATCAAATTTGATTCAGGTCTTAAATCATTGATTTATTTTTTTCTTACATGACATATTTTTTCTAAAATTTCTTAAACTCTTGAATCTAAATTGCATTCTTATTATTATTGTTTTTAATCTGAATAATAAAAATTTTTATATTTTCGATATTTTCTTTCTTTATTATCAATTAAATCATTATTCTAAATTTATGGTAATTGAAGATGTTGTGACTTATGTTTTAATGTTTATTTTTACACAACTTTAATTTACTTAAATTCTAATTAGTTATTCTTTTTCAAAAGTAATCTTAATACTCTATCTTGTTTATCTTATAATTTAGCTAAATAAGGTGTTAATTAATTAGATAATTGTATTTCAGTTCTATATTTCATTTATATATATAAATATATAAATATAAAGAATAAATATAATTAAATTAAGATTTATGAGTGACGATTCTGAAAGTTTGGATTTCCCTAATACTCCGTTTTACACCTTTGTAATTTATTTTATTTACTTCTTTAATTTAGAATATTACTGTTGGATTAACATTATCATTGGCCAAATTATGTGCAAACAAATGTAGATTATTCAAACCTGATTAAGGTACAAAACTTTCTGAAAATGATGTTTAATGTGTCAGTAATAAATCTATTTTATAAATAACAGAAAATTGTGCTGCCACCATAAATAATAATTACTAAACATTTACAAGTTCATTAAAAGAGGCTATCAATTTTGAAGATTCATTTGGAGTTTTTGAACCAGAAGAATGAAATATTAAAAAACAATAATCAATATAAAACATTATTTAAAGATAATATTCTTTTAATATTTCTATAATATTCAATTTATATCTTCTTTTTTCAATCTAAATACAATACATAAATATTATTAATTATGATCAAATAAGGAATGTTTAACTCAATGTTACTATTGATTTAACATATTATATAATATCTTCTACTAAGTTTATGAAATATGATATATATAGTTTTAATAAATCATTTGTTTGTTTTCTAAATTTCCACTTTATTAAAATCATCTGTAGATTAAAAACTGTATATATGTTGATTAATATTAATGGAATCTTAATCATCTTTATCTAGTTTTGGAGAATCTTCTAAATATTATTATTTTATTTGAATTAGAAATTTCTAAATTTCATTTTATTGATCAATAAAACTTTATTCTTTAATGTTAGTACTAGTATTATCATTGATCAGTTCTTCTTTTAAGATTTCAATTTCTTCTTCCTTTCCTTTAAGTTCATTTTATAATATTTAGATTTAATCTAATTACATCTCTAGTTTTTGGAATTCAATACATTTTTCTGTATATTTCAATTATAAATCTTTATTTTAATTTATAAGTTCTTTTATATACTATTAGAGTGATTCATTTTAATTTATTTATTAGGTTAATTATTATTAAAGTATAGCCATTTTAGCTTTAAAATTATTAGTATCTTCGTTCTTAATATTTTATTTATCTAAAGCATTCTCTTAAATAAATATTTTTAGAGTTTCAATTTATTGTTGAAGATCTTTGATTATTTAACTTTCACTTTTCTTATATTCCATTTAATGAATTGTAGCTAATAATTTAGCAATTTCTCTTTCTTTATTGACACATAAATTTGATTTTTATTCCAATGCTGATCTTAATCTCACCCTATCATCATTAGATAAATCAAGTGCTTTTTGTAATGCAACAATTTTTTAATCTCTGAATATGATTTCATTACGTAAAACTTAAATTTCAAAATCATTAGGAATAATTGGTTTATTTCTTTCAGGAGATGATTAATTTTAAGTTGGTATAGTAATATTTTATTTTATTACTTCAAATTTCTATTCTAAATTTTTTATTGGTGTTGTTCTTGATGATGCATAATAAGTTTAAGGTAGACATTATTATTAAGATAAAAGTGGATTATTTGCTTGAGAAATCGATTGTTTATGAACTATCACTGGTGATTAAGTTCTATTAGGAGATACTAAGTTGGTTTTGTAAAACATTATCAACAGAAAAAATTAATATTTATAAAATTTATAATTAAATAACAAAAACTCAAGTTAATTAATATTAAAATTAAAGAATAGCATTCATTATTATTGAATTGATAATTTTAAGGAAAATTTAGAATAATTTTAACTTAATAAATAAAATAATTCAATCAATTATTACTGTCTTCCATTCTCTCTGCTAATAATTAAAGAATATATGCATTTTCACATAATATATCCAATGGAATCAATAAGAAAAGTTATTTAGTTTTTATCAATTCATTATATAAATACTTTTTTAACATTCTATTGCTTATAAATATTGAGAGTAAGTAAAATGCTAATCCAAAAATAAAAAGCACAAGATGAATTATTCTATTAATTGTTAGATATTTGTCTGCTTGATATGCAATAGATTCATGTAAAAGACTTAAGATTTAGGATGTATACAATAGATTTTAAATTTAATCTTCCAAATAAGTTTGATTATATGAATTTAATTATTCATTAAATTATTATAAGTTTTAATTATACAGAATAAAGAATTGTTTAAAGTTTTAACAAAGATTTACTAATAAAACAATAATACCAGATCCTAAGTTTTTCAATTCTCTACAATTTAATTAGTTATAATATTAAGCATCATTGTTTTTTGATGTTTAATTTATAGAAAAGGCCTCGCATGATTGATTTATTAATGTATCTCTAAAATAAGAGTTTTAGTAACTTTTTTCATTATTCATCCTTTGAATAAATCCTTGAAATATCTATAATTATTGCTCCATATAAATTAAAGCTTCATCCCCTAATTAAAATAATTTTATACTTTTGTTTAAAAATAAAATCTCATTTTATTTAAGCTATTCATATTTTATCAGTAATTTCTAGAAGCTTTAAAATTCCAAAACATAGATTTGAGATGATTTATATATTACTAATTATTCAAAAAAATCTAGTATCGTATTTTAAAATTCCGATTAATATGCAAATGATCCAATATATTGTGATGCTATTATAAAGTATATTAAAATTAAAGTCAGAGTATAAACTAAATAAATAAAAAAAGCTAAAATATTTAGAGTAAAATAAATACATTAATTAAAATTTTATTCTTACTAAATTTTCTAACCAGTATTACATTATTATATTTTCATCATTCCAGGACTTGAAGAAATTTTGTTTTTAACTTATTCTAATAATTAATCTGTAGTTTAATGATTAGCAAAATCTATATAATCTAAAAAGTGTAAAATAATCTCTATTGATCTCATAAGAACAAGTGTTTAATTTTTTGCAAAAGTTCTAAATAATTGTACTATTTTATATTTTGCTCTATTAATTATGATCAAAATAATTAAGTAAAACATAGTAGCTAAAAAAACACACCCAAGTGTTGTATAAAATACAGATCTCATAAATGATTGGGAACTATAAAATTCATTCATGGCTATTTATACACCTGTTTAATTATATATTTTTATCTCTTTTGAGAATAAAAAAAAGTTTCGAGCTATAATCTCTAAATAATATTCTTCCTTTTATTCATTACTTAAAGATAACATGTATTATGAAAAATACCCTAAGGATTAATAAAAAGTTTGATTAGTAATGTTTGAGGCATTATTAATTGATAAAAATGGAACTAAATCATAAAGTAAATTTTACCAGTTATATCAAAAAGTTTTCGTGAATTGTAATAAATTTATGAGATATCCTTTTAAAATGAACTTGCACAATATTTACCATATTAACTATAATTAAATAATTTAGTATTTTAAATATCATAACTAATTATGAATTAATTGATTCTAATGTTAAAACTGTTTGAAATTTAATATTTCTTAAGTGAAGAACTTATAAATGAATTTTAGTAATTTAAATGATAAAAATACCAAATGCTACATAAAATTAAGATTATAAATATTAAGATATTGATAAGTCTTATTAATTTATGCTATTTAGAATTTTAATCAAATAGATTATTTTTAATATAATTCTTCTTTAATTTATATTAGCTGACTTAAGATGATGAAACAGATTTAAGTTATTCTAATTCTAAAAAGCCGTTATTTTAGGAAAGTGGAGCATCTATAGAATTTAAAGATTTTATTGATTCTATATTTTCATTCAATCCTTCTAATACTGCACTTGAATGAACTATAAATTTATCTTATTAAAATAATTAACTGAATGGATTTGAATGATTACTATTGAAATTATTAAATGTACACAAATTATGATTGATTGAAGATTTCATTTTCAATGTTTATTGATCTTATAATCTCTTTTCCTGACTATTTGTCTAGCTTATTAAATTTGAAATTTCATCTATCTTTAATTTAATATATATCTACTTCAAATTGATAAAGTGGATTAATATGTTTAATTTATATTTCTTTTTATCTAACCATAATATCATCTTCAATTATATTTGCAGCCTCTAAATTACATAATGTTGAAGGATCATTTTAATATTTAATAAAACAAAATGTGTCTTTTTATTATGTCTTATCTTTTATGATTTATTGAATTTTAATCTTTTCATTTTTCTCTTATGTTGTTTTTATTTTTTTCAAAGTAATATTTGAATTAAAAGATGATTCAATAAGTTTACTATAGATTTCAATTCTTTAAGATTATTTAACAGTCTTAATATTTTATATTTCCACACAATAAATTCTAAAAATATAGACATGAAAACTTACGTTCCTTAAAAAGTATAAAATTCTATAATTTTAAAGTTGATTTTAAACATAAACATTTCTTTAATATTAGAAAAATATTTTTCATTAATTTAATCCTATTCTTTTTAAAATTCATTCCAGGTTTGATTTTATTTAATTATAGTTGAAGTTAATATTTGTTGTTTTTTTTACTTTTTTGGAATTATTAAATAAGATGATATTACTTCTTTCAGTTCAGCATCTAAAATTTATTTAGAATTAATATTGTTCCAAGATTTGATTAATTTTGGTATCAATTTTAAACAATCTATATTTTATATTCTATCAAGTTCAATCTGTAAAATTGGCTTTAAAACTTACAAAAATAATTTTTAACTAATTTCTTCTATTAATCCATTATAATTTAATAAAATGTAATGATAATTATTATCTGATGGAAGAATCAAAGCAGAAGAACCAAAATCATTAAATAAATTAGTTTCTAATCTAACTTTAGCAATAATAGGAAATATAAATCCTTTCATATTTTTAACCAATAGAAATCTCTAATCAGATTTCATTATATTTATTCTACCTTGTTCTACAAAATTATCTAAAAATTGATCATGAACTTTAGCAATTATTTTTGGAATAAAATTATTGATTGAATTATTTAAAATCTATTTATCATCTGCACAAACTGCTTGCTTAAAAGTTTGAGTGTAATTTTTAATTAAACCTTTTGTATCAACTAAAGTCAAATAAACTAGACAAGCATCCTTTAAAAAAAGAATTCCATTAATTGATGTTTAAAATTTATATACTATTGTAGAATCTAATTATGGAATTTCAATTTTCTTATGATTAAAATAGATATATTTATAAAATAATGTTATTAAAAGTGAACATTCGGGTGAAACTGGGTTACATTTAAATAATTATTTTAAGCTTTTTTCAAGATTTGCATTCAAAATTTACAATTTTTTTCCATCTTTTAATAGTTAAATTAAATTTCTATCAGATAACAATCTGTACCAATTTTTCAATTACTTTAAAGAAGATAAAAATTCCTATTTCCATTTTTAAATTGCCATATCATAGTAAAACACTTTAAAACATAGATATTTTTGGTTTGTTATATTTTTCAATTCAATCATTTTATTAAAGTCTTATTTTACAAAATATTCAATAGAGTTCAAGTACATTTCATTTAAATAATCCATCTATTTTTAACTTTATATTTTTAACTTAGTCAATTCATAAAAAGCTTTTGCTGGCTATTTACAAATTTAAGAAATATATAAAATATAATAAAAATTAGTTGTGTAATCATGATTTTAGGATAATTTTTTATCATTTAGATTCTATTCATAAGTAAAACGTATTAAATGTTTAAGGTAATTTTTAAAATTTAATCTTGAAATGAAAGTTTCTTATTCATGTCTAAATTTATTACAAAAACATTAAGTTATATTCTAACAATTTATAAAATGATTTGTTGAAAAAACATATAATGTTAAATCTTTTGGTAATCTATATTTAATTTCATCTATGAGCATTCCATTTTTTCCAATAGCTGAATGACATTCATAATATAAGGATCGAATATATTAATTGAAATTATGGTTATAATTAATTGATTATTTTTTAATTTTTATATGTAAAACGTAAATAGCAAAAGGAGTGATCATGAGTAATATTTCTGAAAATTCTAAATTCAAAATATAACTAAATATTAATGAACAAATGTTGTCTAGAAGAAATATTGAAAATGTTTATATATGAATATAGTTCAAATTATGATCATCATATTTTGGGTATTTAAATGAAAGATATAAAATTGGTACTAATAGTATAATATTAATAAATATTGGTATTAACAAACTTATTTTAAGGTTATGCATTAATGATACCAAAATTAATAAGAATTACAACAAATAAGTTTAAATCTTTGTTTAAATTGATGAACAATAAGTAAGATAATCTTTTTACTTAAAAGAAAATTAATTGTTATGTTCTTCGTAAATATATACAATTATAAAATTGAAAATTAATACTAAAAGAGAAATTATTAGCATCACTATGCTAAATGGACTTTATTCTAAATTTATTATATATAAAAAATTATACCTTAATTAAACTCCAATTTGAACTTTTTGATTACTAAGAATATAACTGGGGAGTTAAAAATAAGAATAGATATCTTCAAACAAAAAGATATGTAGTATTCTAAATATTAATTACTAATGTTCAGTATAGATATATATTTGGTTTTCTAAATTTTCCATATTAAATTACTTCTTATTCCAATTATTTGAGCAGTATCAAATAATTTTATAATTCATTTTTATTACTAATGACATTAGCTTTTTATTGTTAAAACAAGAAGAGAAAACTTAAAATCAGTAACCCCTACATGATTAATATAGCTATCAAAAATATTTCAATGCAATAATCAAAATTTTCAATATAAAAATCCAGCCTATAATGATTTTAATAAATACATAATATTCTTGCAAAGATAATTTATTAATAGTAAAAGCCTTGATTTTTCCTTCAGTAAACTATTAAATGAATAATGAAGTATATAAAAGAACTAACAATGTTAAATTATGAACAGGAATATGCTGTTAGATTTATTTCTCCTTATTTTATTGAAAATTCTATAAAACTCCGAAAGGTAGAAGAGTTTAAGGTTATTGAAACAATTAGGCATAATTAAGCAGCAAAATGTAAATTTAATTTATTTATTTACTTGTTGATGTAATTAATTGACAAAAATAAAAATTTAATCAATTTAGTAAACTTATATATACAAAGAATAGATGTTGTTAGCATTTACCTACTAAGAAGACTGATTAACTTTTTATTACTAATTTATTTTTTAAAACTGTACTAATTTTACGCAAGAAATTTTAAAATTATTAGAAATGCAAATAGTAAATCTATTTTTTGAAGATTTTTAGATCAATAATAGAAAAAAGTAATTAATTCTTCTCTTATCTTTAAATTCTTAGTACTTCATATATTTTTTTCGACTGGGACTCTAGAAAACAAAAGTAAATTATCGAATATGTTTAATCTAAAAAATTATTGTTATTCTGATATATTTTATAAAAAAAATACTATTTTAAGTAAAAGAAGTTAAGTAGCTGTTTTTTAATAATTATGAATAGAAAAAATTATTAATAAAATTTACACGTATTAAAATATGCTTGACCTCTAAGCAAAAACTAATAAAGAAATTTGGCAAGCTAAAAAATTGTTATATGAAAGTGATGGAAACACAAAAAAAAGTTTAATTGTTAATTTAATTGCTTTGGTAAATAAATGAATTGATCTTAAGGGATTATTATGTATTTTGCTTTTTTACAGCATAATAGGTTCAGATGATAAATGGACTTGTGAGATCGAATCTGCTAACAATAGTAATATTTATTATCTATAGATTAATAGGAGGTCATTACATTTGTGTTGAAATGAGAAGAACTATGAATTGTAAAACTATTAGTGGACCTATAAGATCTGAAATATTCTTGAAAGTTAAGAAGGATCTTTAAGCCAGTGCTATTGTAATTGATATATTATATTAAAGATTGAATGTCCTTGGGAAATAGCTATATCAGAAATTAGATTATGCTTTATATTATTATCTATATCTAGTGTATTAATTGGAATTTATGCATTACGAAAAACAAATAAAAAATATGCTGAACTAAGCTTTTAAATTGGAATATCATTTGCAATCCTTTTGGTATTTATTTTAATTATAATTTAGCTAATTTCTGCATATTTCGATTATGTCTCAATTAGAACCTCTCAAATAAATAACTATAATTTATGTAATTTATAAGAAGAGTTTTAAATTGAAGAAAAAATGAAGGTAATTTAAAATTTTTATTATTAAAAGGGCTAAATGGAATGTTCATTTTCATTTTACAATTTTACTGTGATTTTAGAGATAGCTTGTTCTATAGCAATGATCATAAACTCTGTTTACATAAATCAATGGAGATATAAATAGATTACAGAACTCAATGATTAATTGTGATAATAGTTTTATATATCAATTATAACATCAAAAGACTTATATTACTATATAGAATTATTTAAAAATGTCAAAATACTATTAAACAATTATATTTTTATCAAATGTAATCAAATAAAGAATTTTACTTGTTAATTATTAAAAGAGAAATGTCACTAATTAATTATTTGAAAGAGGATTTAACAAAATTTTATTCTGAAAATTATTATAGATCCTTGCTTATACAGTTATTTGATAAGATGAAGGTAATTTTACTTTGATATTCCTAAATTTCAAAAAATATTTGCAATTCATTCAACAAAATGTGAGTTATGATAATTAAAATATTCATTTAATTATTTATGAGAATTTTAAATAATTTAAGTTGCACTAAATGTTCTTTCAAATTCCTAGTTTAATATTATATCAATACCTTGATTCTTTTTAAAACAAACCTTTACTATTTGATTATCTAAAACTATTTATAATTAGACTTCTCCTCTTGTTTATCATTTATTAAAAATTTTTTAGTTTATAATTTGCAAAATATCACTTGATTTAGAAATTATATCTAAATTTAAGAGTTCATTTTTTTTATTTAACTTAATCTTATAATAAAGGATAAGAGACAACTTAAAATTAAATTACTGAAATAATTTATTTGAGCTTGATTGGATTATTTTTGATTAAAATTGAATTCTTAATAATTAACATTGATTTAGTGATCAAAATAATAGTATAATTAACTTGTCATTAATCCTAAAAGTATTTATATTAAAATATTTTTTATTTTAATTTAATTACAATAATTATGGATATGCTATAAACACTAGAGTTATGGAAATAGATCAAAACGACACTGCAATAAAAATTTTCAGATCTTAAGACTACATTTGACTCAATAGACTTAAATAAGAATGGAATGATTGAAATAAATGAATTAACATAAGAACTCAATAATAATCATAGTATTACTTAGAAGGAGTAACTAAATAATTATAAATTAATTTTAGTTAGATTCAATCTATCTTTTAATACTTAAACATATCAAAAAATGGTTAGATTACATTAGAAGAATTTGAAAAATAATGGACAAGTGCTGAATCTTAAATATAATAGGAGCAAAATAGATAATAATTTTAAAAATAGAAATAACAAGTCTAATCCTATATTTAAAGTAATTAATAATTGAAATCTTCAATAATATAAAAATCTACATTATAAAAATCTGGATCATCATAATAATTTTCTGATTTATTTAATAGCTATAAATCAAGTAATTCCCCTACTAAATACATAAATATTTAAGGAGATTTTTCAATAAATTAATTTAATACTCCACCTCTTTTGGATAGAAGAAGTTCTCCATTAAAAGTTTTATCTCCTCCAAAACCAGAATAATATCCAAAGACAAAATAAGAAGTTAAAGATGATAAATTAAAAGAAATGTAGAGATAGATATCTTATTTATTTAATTAAAAAAATGATTAGAAAAATTCAACTCCAAGATTGAAGTAAAATTTGGATACATTTATGAATACTATGAAATTAGGTATTGGAAGAAGATCAAGTGGACATACTTTTAGATATGAAACAAAGACATAAACAATTTCACCTAAGTTATCAGATTAGATTTCATTATAAAATTATGCCTATTAATTTAATGATATGAAAATGCAATTTAAGTAAACATACACTGGAAATAAAAATAATAGTATTATTAAGGGTAATACATTTTTTAGAAAATGAATAGTTTAAAGAAATGAAGTTTAATAAATAATTTATAAATCAATTGATATGTAATTTGTAGCTTCTGAATTCAATCTATACCTGACATTTCTTTATGTTACATATGAAGCATTTAAGTCAAGTAATTTAAATCTCTTACTTACTATTTAATCTTGATTTATTTAATAGCCTCTTATATATTATCTATAGCTATTTACAATGATTATTAGGGCATTTATTATTACGGCATAGAACTTTAATAATAGCCGTTGTTATTAGTTCGATATTAGGTGGTGGGTTAAGGAATCTCTATTTAAATTTTACTATTGCTAGATTCATCTTATTCTTCATCCATCATAGATTATATAACTTAGAAGTTTTATATTTCTAATGATATAAAATAAATGATTGATGATACCTTTTGAAACAGGTTAAATGATTTCAACTTATTTTCCATTATTATTGAGCATATAAAAATAATTTGATTCTCCAAGTGTTTTAAAAAACCATTCATGATGTAAAACCTCATAAGCAGAAGGTCTTGCTTATGGATTTATAGATAATAATGATTTTAAGAAAGAAATACATAAATCTGACCCTTAAACTTGAGCATAATCAATCTTTCCATGATAATTAAGTTAAACAACTTTATTTTATGAGTGTGCAGCAAATGGCTATTTACCTACCAAAAGTGTATATAAAATGATTCCTGCTGAATATACATCGACTTTAAAATCATATTTTTAATCCCTCAAAACTTCTGGTGCTACATAACCAGGAGTTCCACATCTCTAATATTAATAAACAGACATTGGATTATAGTAATCAGCTAGACCAAAATCACAGATACATATAGTATCTTGGTTCTTATATAAGATATTATCTGGCTTAAAAAATAAAAAAAGATAGTAATACTTTAATGTCTCTATGGATTATTTTATGATCATGTATGTATTACAATACCATGAATAATTGTAGCATTATTTGGGCACACTAATGTTCAGAATGTCTCTTTTTTTACTATTTCATTGAATCTAAATTTAGCGATTAAATTAAAATACATTGCATCAATTCCATAACTATACAAATAAACTCTTTGTCTTCATACACCTCATAAATTTTTATTATTCCTGGATGCTTAAGTTACCTCATTATTTTTATTTCTTTAGCTATGGAAACATTATCTACGTTTAAATTCTTTAAAGCCACCTTCTAGAATACTTTTAATGCATAATTTTGATTATTTTTCCTACACGTTATCTTGTATACCTAATGATATAACATAACAAATACATTTGCAAATTGTCCTTGACCAATAAGCTCACCTATATCATAGTCCAATCTAAAATTATTTTGTATGCATTTATTTTTTATTTATTCAAACCACAACTTGATATTTTAAGGAGTTGATTTTAAGAAAACCTATTTGTGGTTCTTTTATAATAAAATTGTATTATCATTAAATAGAGAAATTGAAGTTGTTAAGAGTTCTATTTTTTTTAATTCTCCATTTTTTTTAAATCTGAACAATTCATATTCAGTCAAACAAAATTGAGTTGACTTGTTATGAAATTGCAATAGCCCTTTGTAAATTATATCTTCCTAACAATTCATATTAAAAATACTTCGTTTAACTTAGTTTCACCTTATTCCCAAATTCCTTTACCTTAGATATCAAAATAAGATGAAGAATCACTCATATTTTAAATGAATAATTAATTTTATATTTTTTATTTTACTTCTCTTATATATAATTCAATCCCTAGGTTATTAAAATCTAGAATTCCAGTTTAACATTCTTTACAATTTTATTACCCAATCTAAATCTTGATGTGCAGATGGTACAACAACTATTTTAATAATACATAACAAATATACATTGTACATCATTTTTAGAAGGAATAATATCAAAACAGTCATTCCTTTTAAAATCATATTATACTTAACCATCACAAATTACTAACCCTTCTCCTCTTGAATTAGCATTCATTTTTATACTAATTTTTACATCTAAAGGTAGAATTAAAGGTCGAAAAGATAATGATAAAGGACATATTGGTACTATAGCTATACAAGGCACTCTATTTTATATTAATGGACCACCAGCACTTAAACAATATGCTGTTGAACCTGTTGGAGTACTTATAATTAATCCATCTATTTTATCTATTTTATATAATTACCTCCTCTTGCTTATGTTACAAAAGTATCATTAACATAAATATCTAAACATACTACATGAATGCTATTCCCTTTAGTTATGAAAAAGTCGTTTAAAGCAGTGTAAACGTATTGACCATTTAAACTGCCCTAAATTCTCTTCTTTAACTCTATATTGTATGGAGTTTACAAATTCTTCAGAATCTCATACTGATCTTTTAAACTGTATATACACATGAATCCTAGTGTTCCTTTACCAAATGTCACAAAAGGTGGAGTCAATGTTTATTGAAACATTCTAGATGCATGCCTACACTAGTTTTGGAGCTCTACAAAATTGTTCCATCACCACCGATGGTTATGACTAAATCTACAGGTTCATTTTTATATTCTTCATCTATTATATATTTATGCTAAGGGAATTTATTTCGTATTTGTTGCATAAATGGAATACAGGTTTGATCCTTCTTTTTACTCACTAATAGGACTGCTAATTTTTTTAATTATTAATTCATATTATTTAATATGTTGAATAACAAAGGCTTTTATAATTTTTTATTTGTCTAAAAAATTTATATAAGAGAACCATTATTTATTACAATCTTTTATTGTCATCAAATTTATATAATTTTTGACTAATAATTTTAACATATTGATAAATTATTAATGAATCCAATAAATAGAAGTTACTATCAACTAAATGCATCAAACATATTATCAACAAAGAGAGTTCCAAGTCTGACTCCACCAAAAAATTATCCAAGCAGTGTTTCTAAGGAAAAAATGTATTAAATGAATTGATTTGTTAGAACTAAATAAGTTAAGGATAAGGCGATTAGTGGTAACAGCTAATAAAAAAGTGATGTTTTCAATTTGCCAATGTAAAATACTCTGTTTTTATAATAATAAAATGCCATCTTATCAGCAAGAAAAGCAACAATAAATTTAAGTGACAGTTCAGACAAATTAAGGAAAACATCACCTAATGATAAGTACATTATCTTAATAATATTAGATCTCCCATCAATCCTAGATTGTCTACTTTATAAAAAAATAAATAAATTAGTATCTCCTAATCATAATAAGCTATAGCTTAAGTTTTAGCAAAAATGTAAGAGAATGATAATATATCTTACATGAACAAACAATGTATTAATATAATTTAAATTAGTATATCATAATCCTGAAATTGAATCGACTTAAAAAAGTACTATTAACAGCAGAGAATATACTAATAATTCCTCTAAACATAAAACTGAAGATTATTAAAAAGTGTAAAGAGAGAATTAGACTCTCTAACGGAAAGTATTTGAACTTGAATAAAAAGTAATTAGTTAGATTTATCATTAAAGATTTCTGCTTTAGAATCAGTAAATCAACAATTACTTAGTTTAGTTAAATAATGTGATTGTCATTAAACTTAATTACGAGAATTAGAAATTACTATTTGCAATTTGAATTTTCTCAAGGAAACAGTGAATCCAATTTAAATTTAAAATATAACATCTCTAGATATGTAATCAAATACAGAATTAAAAAAATAACTCTCATATTCTTAAGATTATTCAGAAATTAAGCCATAAACTTTATTTACTAACCATAATTCTACAAAAATGATTGAATAATTTATAGAATAGCATTAAATAAATCAATCAGAATTAAATGTTTTTAAAGATTTGACTAAAAGAATGGATGATAAATAAATACCTGTACCAACTGTACTTAAAGCGTTATCCTTAGTTATTAATGTATGAACTTTTATAAGATTTTTATTTAAAACTAATAAATTTAATAATAAAGCAGTCAAGTTTTTAAAAATATAAATTATTCTAATTTATTCAATTATTTAAATGAAAATAAAATTCAAAAATTTTATGTTAAATTTTTCATCTTTTGAGTGATAATTCCTAATTATCTATATTTTAATTCAAATTTTTCTAATAACTCTTACATCAATCTTGGTTAAAGTGCTAATAATCCTAAAATCTATTCTGAAGAGAATTGCATAAATTATTCTATTGGAATTGCATTTTTGATTCTAATATTTAATATTTATATTACATAGATTCTTCAGTTTAGTTTTATTCATTTTTTTATTATGCATCAATCATATTAACCATTATTTATTATAGAGTATCATATAAAATATTTTGGATTTTTCTTTCTCGATTGGGATTGCTTGATTGATCAGTAAAAGATTAATTTATAGATGTACTGAAATCAAAATAAATAGAATTTGCATATCCATTTTAATTAGTAATTTTTTATTTATTTTTAAATTATTTTAAGGATAGATTTGCACAATAAACTAATAAATTTCTTATGGAAGTATAGTGATTCTATTTTTTTTTGATTTCTTGCATCTACTCAGTAGTTTTTCTTCTTAAAATATTGATTTATTTATAAATTTCAATAATATCTTCAACAGGCTATAAAATGTTAATATAATATTACTTATTATTATCCTTTGAAAGATGCCTTTTAAAGAACCTCTAATAATTTACTTTTAGAGTGTTTTTTCAATTTAATAGGAGGTAATTAAGATAAACTTAAGCGATTAGTATTAGAGTCTGATCCAGTTATAAAAAGGTTAATATTGCTTCTATTACTGCTAATATCTAGACTTTGTAATTAGATTCTTTACTAAATAGTTATATAAAATGAAAAATACTGTTCTAGATGTAGATTAAGTATAATTGGTTTTAGAGTTTTAAATTTATTATTGAATTTGCCAACAATCTCTTACACAATCTCTGATTTAAAGTCGCTTATTTTAAACTTATTCTTTAAGTTCTTTGATCGTAAATTAATTTAATTATAAATCTTGTGTTAATTGTTAAGTCTAATAATAAGAAATAAGTACTTTTTTAATTAATGCTAAACGATATTGATCTACTTTAGATAATTCACTAATGATTTATTTAATTTAGGGATGATTATCAAGACTTAATTAATAACAATAAATACTCATTTTATTATCTTAATTTTTCTTCTAATTTGATGATTTGTAACTTAGTTTTTTCAAGTTAGTTAAGTAAATGAAAATATCGTTAATTTAATCTTTATTCCTAAAATAATTATATAAATAGATACTTCCATTTAAATGGCAATCAATGTTTTATCATTGACCTGATCTATGTAATTTTATACTTCGCCATGTTGATTTAAAACTATATCCATGGCATCATTTCTCCTTAAAGGAAGAATAAATAGAGAGATTATTACTTTTTATCAAAATCAGAGAATATTTTTGGAGGTGAGAAAATCTTGGAGCTTTTACTATCATATAACATAAAATTTAATTTATATATTGAATGTTTGAATCATGCAAAAACTTAAGTTAATACTCCTTCCTACCATACTCCTTTAATAGTTAATCCATTTACAGCTGAATATATACCTTCTCCATGAATCATACCATCAATAAATTAACCTTCAAATATTTCTCCATTTGTTAATTATAATCTGCCAAACCCACTCATTTTACCTTCTGAAAATTCACCTATTTTAATATAATTATTAAAAGTACCTTCATAACCTAACCAACCATTTTCAATCACACTTAAATCTTAATAATCAAAAGGACCTTCAAACTATTCTGCTTAAACATTAATTAATTTTCCTTAGCCATGATATTGATTATCTTTCCATTAGCCATCATAAACAGTATTTTCATTTTAATCTGTTAATATACCATAGCCTTCTCTGGTAGCTGGTTCAATTCCTTAACCTCTATAAATATAACCATCTTCATATTAGAGAGCTAAGTCTTATAACTAATCATTATTATCTTAAGGTTTATTTGTATGTTATTCCTATTTAGGTTATTATTTAGGTTGTTATTGTTATTGTTATTATTATTATTATTATTATTGTTGTTGTTATTTTTATTATGGATTTTAATATTTTTAAACAAGATCCCTAGTTCTATCAATGGCATCTTAAAATTTCTTTTCTAAATCATCATCTTTTTAAGACATCTGAGGTTATTTTTATTATTAAGGGACCTTATTAATTTATTGCTAAGGAACTTATAATTTTTATTATTATTGGGATTATGGTTTATGTTAAGAAGGAGGGGATTAAGGTTTTGTTTAAGTTGGTAATAATTATTATGAAGTTTATTTTGGTGGTGGAATCATCTAATTCTTATTATATGACTAAGGTATCTGTTTTTATATCTGTTGTTGTTATGGTTAATAATTATATTAGGCAGTTGCTCTTGTTTAAGCAGGAATTTAGTATTATGGCATAGTAGGTCTGGTAATAGGCTATTGTTAATTAAAAACTTAAGGTGGATAATAAGGATGTCTTTAATTTTATTAATTGTTAGGATAAGATTATTGTAAAGCTGATTATGGTTTGACTGGACTTTGACCATAATTAGTAGGTACACATTGATTTGGCTTTTGATATTAAGGATAAAATGGTTAGGGAGGAGGTCTCACAACAGGAGGTTGGCGATACACCTATTTTATCGATATTTAAATTAATTACTTGGTTTGGCAATGAATTTGGGACGACTTATCTTTATTAAGGCATAGATTAAGGGTAATATGCTTAAGGGTATACAGAACGTTGTGGAGATACAAGACCATAAGGATAATGACTCATTAATTTCAAATTTTTAGTTTTAAATTCAATATTCTTTAAATTTTAATCAAAATCCCTGTTATAGTTTATTTCTCCACCATTTTGCAGATATTATTTAACCATTCTTTTTTATATATTTCCCAGGCCCATTTAATAAGTCTTAAAGGAAATTGCCTTCAAATCGATCCCCATTTGATAAATATAAGATACCTTAACCTTCCTTATTGTCTTAATTAAATTCCCCTACATATCTCGTCCAGTAACTTTTATTTATATTTAAATATCTACTCTCCTATTTTATCAAAATCTCCATAATCAAATTCCCCATAAAGCATTTAAGGTTCTTCATTGTACAAAGTGCCATTGCCTTAGAATTTATCATTTAACCACTATCCTTCATATGCTGGTTTACCAGAAGCATAATATAAAGTACCTAATAGTTGTTACTTTGAATGTATAACCTTAACCATGCATTTTATTTTCAAACCATTGACCCTCATAAACTCCACCATTATCTTAATAGAAAAACGTTCCTTGGCCATGTTTCATTCCTTTAAATTTCTATCCTTCATATCTTGATCCATTAGCATAAGTTTCAGAAACAACTTCAACCTTTTATATTTAACTTGTTCTTTTAATATCATTTTGTAAATTTTTTGATTACTATTAATTGATATTTTGTTTATCATAAAGAAAATTAATTGCAGGATCAATATTTTGTTAATTCTTTTATGTGGAATTCATTTTTTAAGATTCATATATACCTGGTACACTAGTTTTAGATTATAAAAACTATTAATATTATTAAGAATTAGAAAACGATGTAATTGGCATTAAATTGTCTTACTATTCTAAATTTGTAGAATTTAATAATCTTTCAGTTCCTATTTAATTACCAATATTGGTATCAAAGTTGGATAATTCTGCCATTTATTCTGATAAAGGTAACTAAATAAAATGAAAAGGTTATTACAATTTTTAAATGATCACAAATATCAGGTCTTAAATCCTTTAGACCATTTTTTTAAAAATAAAGTGATTAATTTGACTGTTAAGATTATTAAGATTGTCTTAAAGATCCTTAAAGTTAAACTTAAGAATTATGTACAGAATTTAATTATTACGGAACAAATTTAGCACTTTATTCAATGTTATTAAAACTTTATGGTTATTAAGCAGCTTCTAATTAAAATTATTATTATGGAATTGCAAAGCTTTCAACAGCTTGTTCATAAGCTTCAACTTAAAGTATTGGTGCTTTTGTAGTATAAATGACTTCCTCAGTTTATTCTCTGATATAATATATCTTAGGAGATGAAGGTGGTGACATTGATTACATTTCTGATCTTAATTCAAGAAAATCTGGTCTTTAATCTTCATTAAGTAGCAACATAGTTCTTAAAACTTATATATATTAAGAAGAGAACATTTATTCTAAATTTTATAATCTTCTTTAAACTTATTGATGATTAACTTTCATCTTTTACATATCATAACAATCTTCACAATTATGTGAACTTGATATGTGAAGCATAATCATACCTAAACTATAAACATCACTTTTATAAGGATTATGTTATGGTTACATATCATCATTAAGAGATTACATAAGTTTAGGACTTATATAATTCAAATTGATTTATTTACTATCATTTTATATTAACAATTGATATGTAGTTGGAACTCCACTCAAAGTAGGATCTAGAATTTTTACATATGGAAATTCATCCATATAAGAAATGCTATCCAATCTTAATCCTTAATGAGTAATTTTCTACTATTCTAATATACAGCAGCCTTCAATACATCCTATAAGAATAGTAAATAGTTCTGATTCTTAGAATTCTAATTTCTTTGCTAATCTTTATTCAACAATATCATTCAATGTAGTAGGTATATACTCTAATAATATGAAAATCTTAAAAAATTGTCCACAAAATTAATTGTCTTCGTGATAAAATAATTCTAAAAATAATATTGTCTATTATAATACTTGTAACATTAATCAAATTGTCATAAGTGTTACTTTCCTTTTTTTCAAGTATGATTTTTAAGGATGAAAATTTATCCTTGTCTGTTAAATTAATTTCTTTCTAAAATGCCTCTTATTTACTTTACTTCTATTTTACAATCCTCCCTTCTCCATATCGACTATCTTCTTTTATATTTCTTATAACAATATAATTTGCGTGCATTGCTTTAATGCTTGCATTACTATCCACATTACCCATTTTTATTTTACTTTTATTAAATAATATATCTATATATAAATCAATATGCAATCCTATTCATTCTTATCTAGTTTTACTTTTATGCATTCTATTTAAAAATATAGCTCATTTATTATTACAACCTTAGTAACTTCATCTAATATATGCCATCTACCATATTTTACTTAAAAGTATTATAGTTTAAAATTGATTTTTCAAATTATGTTCCACTATCTTACTCAAATCAGTCTTTTATATTAATTTATTATTCTAATTGATTATCCATTATTCAATGATTGTATTTATATCTTTTCCTCATTTTATTTGCTTTTTCTTTTGCTTATTATGCTAATCTAAAATCAGTTACTTTTTTTGAAATAGTTAAATTTTTTTGTTAACTTATTTTTTCTTTTTGCGTTCTTTTTTTTTTAATTTTTTACCTAAAATTTACATTCTCTTCAATCAGCTTCAAATCAATTTTTATCATTTCTATGTCTATCTCTTTGCTAATGTCTAAGAATTATTATTTTTATTTTATGCGTACCTTTTTTACAACTCTAATAACATAATCTAAATTAATATCTATCTATTTGAAAATTGCATTATCAAATACTTTAATCCTATCTAATTTTTACCAACCTTTTCTGATATATCTTATTATTATTATGCATCATTAGATATTGGAACACTTTCTATTTCTTTACTTCTTTATCAATACAAAACGAACAAATATATTCTTAAATATTTAAAATTCCTTTATTATATAAATTGTTCATCCTTATCATACTTTATTTGATTTTTCTTAATGATTTCTTTCTCTTAAAATCATAATTCAATTTGCAGGATTTCTCCTTAAATTTATATGTATTTTCTCATATAACTCTTTTAAAAACATTTTCTATTTTAAAAAAAATAATAATTTTTCGAAGATGATAATTTAAAAAATATTAATAAATCAATCTTCATAGAATATCTCTTCTTCTTGTTTTTCAAAAATCTCTTATTTTTAGTCTAATTTGATTATCTTTTTAGATTTTTTATTTGTAATTTAACTTTTTTTAGTTTTAATATGTTTTTGCTTAATAAATTTCTTAATTTTTTTTTTATCATTGTATTCATGTTTGTCATTTGATTAGATGGTTTAAATCTTTTTTGTATCTTCTACCTTCTGAATATCATAAGTAAAGAGTTCATCGAAATTTTTAAATAGATCACACATTATTATAAAAAATGACAAAATATTTCAAGACAAATCTGTTTCATTTGACAATATCTCTATGGATTATTTTGCGTATTTCCATCCATTATTGTTAATTTGGATTTGGATTAATTGGTGCTTGTACAATAGCAGTAATATTATTTCTCTTATCAAATTCCATCCAGGAAAAACTAGCTGCAAAGCGTTTTAATAATTATTGTAAGATAACCAAATAATCCAATATAATAATTAACTAAGAATTATTGTAATCTTTAGCTAAGTAATCATTTATTAAATGAATAGCCACATAGTTATATTCCTTAATTTATTCAAATATGTTTTCCAATACCCAATTATTATTAAATAAGGACATGAATTTAGAATCTTAGACATATTAATCAGGCATTTAAATTATGGTTTATCTAACATTTTATAATCTAACCTAACATTCAGGTAAACATGGATTATAAGGTTAAAACTAAATGATATAAAGTTTAAATATACTATTTGTATGCAACATTACAATAAACAGAATTAAATTTTAAGTTGTAAAAACATACATTCAGTTTTTGTATAGAATTTACCTAAACTAAATTAATCAAAATACTAAGTATTAATGAATAGCTTAGCTATTTTATACATTAAATTAGCAAATGGTAATCTAAACTTATTTTATTCATTAGGTTCAACATTACTACGCTAAGAAGAATCTTATAATGTAGTATTTCTCTCTCTTTAAACAGATGGAAATCTCAATGGTAAATAAGATGTATCATGCGTTGTTTAAGATCCATTCAATTTTTGTAAATGTTCTCTATTTGAAGGTGGAGATGGAATTGAAAAATGTAAATACTATTATGGAATTATTTATTTTTAGATAGGTATTTATGAGAATTACTAACTAGTATTAATTTGAAGTGGTTATTATTATATTTTGAATTGATGTTAATATTGAATTGGTAATTAAGATTTCTATTATTATTATTATTAAATAACCTAAATAGGGGTCACACTTCGAATATGTTATGATTATTAAGGTATATAATTTTGACTAGTCATAATTCTTTATTATTGTCTCTATCTTATATAATCTAAACATTATTCTACTGACCATCTTAATTATTTATCACATTGAAGCATATTTTATATTAAAATATCCAAAAAACGAGAACATTAAAATGGATAATAAAGTAATCCATTTTATTAGTATAATTTAAGCTTCTATACCAATTCTGGTTCTGTATGTGATCTAAATGGCTATTATCCAAATACCATTTCATACAAAACTACCCCAGCTGACCATAAATCGCTCTTAAAGCTATAATGATTACTTAAAAGAGTTTCAGGAGCCATATACATAGGAGTACCTACATTATAATTTTATATTTCCACTCCATTTTACACATTTTTACTTAGAGCAAATCCAAAATCTGCTAGTTTTGGGACTCCATTATTTATAAATACATTTGCTGGTTTTATATCTCTATGAATTATATCTCATATCATATGATCAATATTTACAATTATTCTTGCAATGTTATAGACCATTCAATACATGAGTGATTAAATCAATTGCTAAATCTTCAGTCATTTTGTGTTTCCCTATAAACTATTATAAGTCCCCTATCATTAAATTCAATGTTTATACCTTGATTACAGTATTCAGTAATGATATACACAACTTAATTATTTTGAAATACATCATATAATTTTAGAATGTTTTACTATTTTGGTATAGTTTTCAAAATCCCTATTTCATTTCTCATCATTTGGATCATGATTTAATCTCTCATTCGTGAACAATCAATTTACTTAACTCAATATATTCATACTTTAATCGCCACCTTCTCTTTTGTATACATTTCAAATCCCAAAAACACTTCACTGAATTGTCCTCCCCCTATGTTACGTTCTTCATATATGTAATTGTTAAGTTATTTCTGCAACATTTCCATTCGTTCTCTTTTAATACAAATTTTAATTATATATATATATATTACTCAATAAACATCTTCTTAACTAATTAATATCATTAATTATTTGTTTATAATAATCATATTTGATATTTTTAATTTAATTAATCAAAATTTCAAATTTAGACATTTTAACCACCACATTAATAAAACTTAATATTGATATGAATGATAATTATATCCTCATATAAATCATTTTTTTTTATCTATTATTGTAATGATTCCCTCACTCGATATTGTATATGTAATCTCTTAACTTTCTAAATCCCTCTATGTTTCAAAAAATCCGCTGAAAAAATTTTTTCCGACAAATGAATTATTTATAGCTTCTTATATATACCTATTTATTAAAATAATATTAATTACCATTCTATTAATTCTTGATTACTAATATTCTATGTATATAAAAATTATATATTTGGAGTAGAAACACTCTTAACCTTAAAAGATGCTTATTCTTTAACTCTACTAAAATCTAATTCTACTTAGATTTCTTCAAAAGCAACAGTAAAATTTAGAATAAGATTTGAACTCACTGAAAGTTGACAATAGAATGACATTGCTACTGTAAAATATGTAGAGGAAGCATTAATATATTAAGCAGTTTAGTTATTTGTATTACATAATCCTGAAATTGAAGACATATAAGCATATTAAGTATAAACAGGAGTCATGATATTATTCAAACCTCCTGTAGTCCATGAAAAGAAAGGAACTTTCCAGCTTGAAGGAAGCAATATTGTATTAAAGTAGTTTTATTAAAATGCATAATTAAATGAATTGATTATCTCATCCATACTTACTTATTCAACATTTGTTTTATTATCTGTTATTGTACAAAGTGTAATTATTGGATATTTACAATTATAACCTGTTTTTAATGATTCAATATTCATTTAGGCTGATATTGAATATGATACAGGAGAATATGTAATTTATGCATTCTTAATAGTAACATTATAAGAGAATTTCTAAGCAGAAAAACTAATCCCATTTCTATAAACTTTTGTAAATGTTGTGTTTTTGATGGTTTCAAAAGAATTTAACTAGTCTATAATTTAAGCCGATAAACTATTTGGTGATGTATTAGAGTAAAATTAAGTTAAAGCTTTTTAGATTGTTTTGGTGCTATTAAGAGCTGAAATAATTTCTTAAATTTAACCAATTTCATATGGGAAATTGACATAAATAGCTCTAAATCCAGAATCATCAAAATTGATATATGAATCCACATATGAAAATTCGTAGCTGAAAGAATTAGATTTGGTAGTGATGTTAAATGTGTAATTAGCAGACTATACATTCTCTAGAAAAGCAATTCCTTATCCATTTTATATAGTTCCATTTTAAAATAAGAAACCAACTTCAACTAATAAAGTTGCATTTGAGACAGTGATTTATCCAACATTTTCATCAAATTAATTTCCAGTGTATGTTTAATTCTCAATTAAGGCTTCAACTTTAAAATGATTTGGTGTTAATGTCCATCCTTGTTAAATTGTTATTGGAGGAGAAAATTGATTGAATAATGGTAATTACTTTAATGAAAATACTTAATTAAATAGATAGGTAGGTAATAAGCCTGAATTATAAATAAGATTAATATACCAGCTCTAAGTTGACTATTACATTAGCTGACTCCAATTTCTTAACACTATTATTGTATTGTTAGGTAAATAAATGATGAAATCAATAAAATATTCATATTAATAATATATAAACTCATAACTTAGGTTTTTAGGCAGCCTATTATTCTAATCTCTCTAAATTTTCTTAAACTTTATTGAATAAATCAGCATTTCCAGTTGGATATTCATTTTTTCCAGAGAAATCATTAATTTTTGCCCAATTCTTTTAGACTTCACTAATTTTAACAGGTAAATCCAATGAGACTCCTTCTGTTCTTTACCATCTAACTTTAGAGAAGAATCCACCAGAACATTCATAGATTCCACCATTATATTCTTTATTTGATTCATGAGTTAAAACAGCCACTTTAAAAATATTATTAAATGGATACATATTGGTGTAAGATTATTAGGATCAATTCCAGTTAAAACATCAGGTGGCATAATAGTTTCAGTCATTCTAGATGCTCCAACTGGTACTAATACATTACATAATATATTTCTTCTCTCTCCTTCTTTAGCTAATGTTAATGTAAATCCAACAATTCCTGCTTTTGCCGCTGCATAATTTGTTTGACCTAATGTTCCATATAATCCAGATCCACTTGATGTATTAACTATTCTACCATAACCTTAATCTCTCATTATTGGCCAAGCTGCTTTTGTTACAGAATATGTTCCATATAGATGAGTCTTTAATCATATATTTGTATATTTACTTTTACAACTATATCCCAATCTTCCTCTGTTAACTTTGCCAATATCTTATCTCTTAAAATACCAGCATTATTTATAAGAACATCAAGTCTTCCAAATTCTTTTATAGCATGTCCTATAATCTTATCACCATTTAATACAGAATCATAATTTGCTACTGCTATTCCTCCTTTACTCTTTATTGTTGCTACTACCTATATTTAGAAATATCTGCTTTACTTCATCTGCAAATTTAGGATTTGTGTTTTTTCCATCTAAATCACATCCATTATCATTCACTAATACTTTAGCACCCATTTATCCATAAAATATTGCATATGCTTTTCCAAGTCCTCTTCCTGCACCTGTTATTACTACAACCTTATTATCAAATCTCAAATCAGACATTTTAATTATTTGGATATATATGAGTATTATTTAAATTAAAATTTCAATTAAATATACTTCATATCATTCATTCACCCCCTAAATTTCTGTAATTAACTCTATTTTTATTATTTCTAGTTCTACGTCTATTATTCAATTATTAATCAGAATTCTAATAATAATTTGAAAACTCATTTACTTTCTCTTCATATACTAATTATACTTATTACTATTATTATGGTACTATCATTTATTTTATTATTGGTGAATCTTATTAACTTTATTTTTTCATGTTTTTCTTGCCAGAATTCCTCAGAAAATCAAGATCTGACTTTATTTCATCGTCATATAGATTCAATCGAAATGCTATTAAAATTTATTAAATTTATAAATTTACTAAATTAAACTTTATTATCTTTGGTGGCAACAAAATTGATATTCTTCTCTCTTATTCTAGCATCCTCACATTCCATTTATACTCTTTACTTTGGTTAATATTCTTCTGTTATCTTTTCTTATTTCTTCTATTACTGAAACTATTATTATTATTGTTATTGTTTTTTAATTTTAGAACAATTTAAACAATAATAAACTTTATTCTCAGTCTCTTCTTTAATATTCTAATTCCTATATTTAGCTTCACAATTTAGATGATTCTATTATATTTCAATTAAAATATACCCATTTTTCACATTCATCACATTATATCCATTCTTATTCATCCTAATCATATGACCCATTTGAATAGACCTAAAAATCGTAAAAAAATTTTCCAATACCTATTCACAAAAATCACAAAAATTTCCACGATTATACATTCTCAAACATTTCTCACAGAATTAAAGTGTCTCTCCTTTCTTTGACTTAGTCTTACGATCTCCTCTGTTATTGCATTTAGAATTATGGCATTTCTAAAATTAAGGGGGGTCATCATCTTCAACAGTAATTGGATTTTGCAAAGTATTATTTTTCATCTGACCCATCATTCCTAATTAGCAGAATAACTAATTCTAATGGAACGGACTCATGATATTACTATTTATCTAAAAGCTTTTCTATAAAAGTTTCATATAATCAATCTAATTTCTTGCACCTCCCAAACCTATGTAAAAATAAGCTAATTCAAATAACTATAAGGTCACAATAATGTAATTGATGTAGAATTGATGATATCTTACCACGATTAAAATTGATCAGATCTTGCTATTATGAGGTTCTATTAAGATTGTCCTAAAACTATTGAAAGATGCTAGGATATGTTAATGTTTTCAAGTTGCTACTCAAAAGATTCGTTAAAATTTATTGCTATCTAAAATAAGTAATTAATTGCCAAATATATGATTTGTGCATATGAAGTAATATAGTATTGAAAATATGAAGTTAGAAGTTTACCTTAACTAATGCTAATACTCTTCAAGTTAGGCTGGAGTTAGTTGCTGCAATAAAGAATTTTAGTTATTCAATCCAGAGTTCATATTATTTTAATGATAGTTTAAATTAAATCGCTCAACCCTATTTAATCATAATTTAAACACTAAGAACTGTCTTATTTATTATAATATAAAATCATATAAAAACACCCAGAAAAATAAAATTCTCTTCTTTTATTCTTTTTAAAAATACTATTATTATAAATATTTTATTAATTACATTTCAATCTTTATGTATAATTAAGAAAAATTAATGAAATAATCAATGTTTTATTTTTTGAAAACAATAAATATTTCTTTTTTTAAAGTAAATTCATTAATTAATTTTAAGGATGATACTTATAAATCATTATAAACTACTAATACTCTGATTTACTTATTTTTGATTTGTAATAAATTTGTTCTTAAATATTTGGGGCTAAAAATATCAATAATGTTGGAATTTATTTAAATGAATAAGAGAAATGTTATTAGAATCTTAATCCTGACAAGTAAATTAAAATGAATATTGAATATTAAATAATAAATATTATTGATAAATTTTGTTAAAATGTCAAATGGATATTACGATTGGTTAGTGAAGGTAATAGTATTGGGAGATTCAGGAGTAGGAAAGACAAATATCCTGACTCAATATTGTGATCAAAAATTTTCATAAAATTACATGGCAACAATAGGCGTTGATTTTAAGATAAAAACAATCACTGTACAATTGATAAATATGCTAAAAAGGTTGAAGATAAGAAAATCAAATTATAAATTTGGGACACAGCAGGATAGGAAAGGTTTAGAAACATAACTTAAACGTACTATAAGGGTGCATTTGGAATAATTTTTGTATATTCCATCGTCGATAGAAATTCTTTCAATAATGTTGAAACTTGGATAAAATCTATAACTGAGAATACAACTGATGAAGTGTAATATGCAATAATAATCCCTTAAGTTGTTCAATTTTAGTCGGTAATAAAATGGATTCTCAAGATAGAAGGGTTTAATCATCAGAAGGTTAAGCATTAGCAACAAAGTATAAAATGCCATTCATAGAGACCAGTGCATTAGAAAATAAAAATATATGTAATTGGAAAAAACTAATAAAATATAGAAAACATTTTCGATATACTAGGATTAAATTTGAAGAAAAGATTAGAAAATGAAGGTTAAAAAGCCCCAGTGAATGCTGAGCGCTAATCAAGTTAATTCAAACTAAATTAGGATTCTGCTTAGCCACAACCAGCACAATCTTCTTGCAATTGTTGAAAATGGTTTTTTTACAATTTATATAACATATAAAGATTATAAAAAAATAAAGGTATTATTTATATAAAAATTTAATTGTATTTTTTTAAGACAAATAAAATAAACTCATTTTTAGTTAACAATTGCAAAAGAGTGACTTCCTCCACATGCAATTTTTATTACATTTTCCATGACTAATAAAGGAGAGAATCTACTACTATTAGGAGATTCTGTTTCAGAACCTCTTCCCAATTAACCTTCTTTTCCTCTTCCATGCATATAGAGTTTATTATTACTAATGATACCAACATGAGCTTATCCACATGAAACTTTATCTATATTTTAATCAAATTAAATTTTATGAGGTGTTGGAATATCTTATTTGCTAGGTGTTCCTAATTAACCATCTCCTCCAAAACCCCAAGTATATAATACACCTTCTGTACTTAGAGCACCAATGAATTACTCACCACATGAAAATTATTTTATTTTTGGTAATCCTTTTATTTATTATGGTATTTATATTACTGAAGGACTTGGAGTTCCTAATTATCCAAAGTAATTACTACCCCATGCAAACATACTATATTTATTTTTCATTTATACTTTCCATCTGAATCTAATGCAACACTGAAATCAGTACCACTATCAATTTACACGATATTTCTTAAACTTTGTAATTATTTAAATTCTAATTATTCAATATTTTTTGTTTCAAATCCTAGTATACCTTTCTTATTCAATCCTACTGAATAAACATTACCATCTTCTGATAATATTATAGTAAATTGATCTCCTAAAGCTACTTATTGTACTTTAAAATTTAATTTTACTAATTCTGGTAATTTAGCTGATCCTAAATTCTTTTAATATTCATATTTTTCTCTTGATGGTAATTTGGCTGAATTATCAAATGAATGACCGAGTTTACCATGATCCTAATTACCCCAAGTATATAATTATCCATCTGTGCTTATTGCAGCCATATGATAATTCCCACATGCAACAAATTTAAAATCCAAATGTTTTAAACATTCAACCAATGTAGGAATATTAATGTTTTCAACCTATCCATTTCCTAATAAACCAAATTTTGATCTTCCCCATGTATACAATTTTCCAGATTTATCAATTGCTGCAGAAACACTAGATCTACATGCTACAAATAAAACATTTTAAATTGGAACTAATTAAGGGGAATATTGTGATATGGAATTTCCAATCCCTAATTATCCAAAATTATTCCATCCCTTAATATATTTTATTTTATTACCCATGCATATAATTACTCTTAAGAAAATACTAGATTAGAAGTAAATGTAATAGAAGATCCAATGGCTGCTATTTTAAGACAATTTTAGAAGGTTCTTCTCCACATTTAATAATTATATTTATTATATGATTATTTGGGGATAAGTATTATTTTTGTGTTTTATTTTAATGGAAATAATTTACTATCATTAGAAAATAGCTCTTTATTCTGCTGTGTATTAAGATTCCATTTTTAAATTTAGACTCTTAAATACACACTCGATAGAATCGACCAACTCATCAATCATTTCTTCTGTATGTAATGGAGTTGGAGAAATACGAAGTATCTCTTATCTAAAAATTTAAATACATAATATTACCCTCTAGGAACAGTTGGATAATTTATAGGTTAAATATAGATGTTATATTCGTTAAGTAGTTTTTCAGAAGCTTCCTTACACAATAGAGGATCTCCAATAAAAACTGGAACTATATGAGATGCACTATTGAGTGCTGGTATTCCTTTACTTTTGAGTTTAGCTTTAATAAGAGAAGCTACATATTAATGTCTTTCTCTAATTTCTGGATGCGTCTTCAAATATTTGACAGACTCCAAACAAGCTGCTGCAATGATTGGAGACATAGAGGTTGAGAATATGAAATTACTAGCTGTACTTCTGATAGAATCAACAATTTCTGTGTTTGCTGATACATATCCTCCTGAACATCCAAAGGCTTTACCCAAGGTTCCAGTGACAATATCAATATCTTTTTATAATCCTAATTTTTCAGTAACTCCTGCTCCTCTTTCACCATACATACCAACAGCATGAACTTCATCAATAAGAGTAAGAGCATTATACTTTTTGGCTAGATTAATAAATTATTAGATAGGTGCTACAGTACCATTCATAGAATAAACAGATTCAAATACTATGACTTTGTTTTATTAAATATCTAATTTTATACAATATAAAAATACCTAATTATTTTAATTTTTATTCCAAATCTTAATAATCATTATGTTTAAAAATGATTCTATCTTTTTTAGTTGCTCTCATTCCTTCGATTAATGAAGCATGATTCTTAGCATCACTTAAGAATGTCACATCCTTTAAAACTTTACCGAGTGTATCCAATGTGGCCATATTGGCAACATAGCCACTGTTCATAACTAATGCACTATCTTTTCTATGTAAATCAGCTAGTTCTCTCTCCAATTCAACATGGTAAATGCTTGTACCTCCAATATTACGAGTTCCTCCTGCACCTATTCCTGTTAGATCAATAGCATTTTTAGTGGCTTATGTTACCATTGGATTTTAAGACATTCCTATTATTTTTAGTTTAATATCCTTACCTAAATAATCATTGCTACACCACAATGTTATTGGTTAGTCACCAGCAGGAGTCTTATTGATAGCTCTTGGGAATTCACCATTTGTTCGTAACAAACTCTTGAATTCTCTATATCGTCCTTCATCTTTAATTTACTGAATCACCCCTTTGAATTAGTTACTGTAAAATTAGCTATGATCAATAGGACACTTCTTCGTCTCAGATCTAGAAATCTTATTTATATTTACTTCATTTCTTTATAATGAAGATAAGGGCAAAATTTTGTATATTTAGTTATAGCCTGCTCTGATGTCATATTTATATTGAATGTCTTTAAGAAGGGACATTTAGTATGTTGCAAAGTTTTCTAATGCAAATTAATACCAACTCTCATATATAAATTTAGTTAAAATGTGTATCCAATATTTATCTAGAACTCAGCATTTAATACACGATATTGCATCATAATTCATTTATGTCGTTTTTATATTATTATTAGAATTTATGTAAAATTCACTAAGTGAATTATAATCTGATCCTTGGTCATCGTATTTACCTTATGATAATAAATATGAACTTCAAGGATGTTGTTTTAAAACTAGACCTAATTGGAGAGACATGAAAGGTATCAAATCATTAACACAAGATAGAACAATAATTACAAATATTTAAGATCATGATTTACCTGATAATACAATTAGAACTTGTAAATATACACTATGGACATTTCTGCCCTTGAATTTAATAGAGTAATTTTCAAAAATGGCAAACATCTACTTCTTAATCGTCGGATATTTAGAAACTATTGATTTAGTCTCCATTACTGATGGATAACCTGTTATTTGGTTTCCTTTGTTTGTAGTCATTGCGATTTCAGCATTCAAAGATTTCTTAGAAGATCATAAACGTTACATTTCTGATTAAGATGAGAATAATAGGTATTCAATTATATTATTCAATTAAGAATAGCGTTAGTTTTGACACCTAACGGATTGATTGAGAAGAAATGGTAACAAATACTTGTTGGAGATATTATTAGAGTTGAATAAGGAGAATACTTCCCTGCTGATGTAATTGTTGTCAAAACTAGTGAGAAAGGCATTTGTTTCATTGAAACTAAAAATTTAGATGGAGAAACTAATCTAAAAATTAAAAAATAACATAAAGCTCTTTAGTTTACAAGAAATCTTAATGATTATCAATTATAAAAAGAACATATCCTACTTCATTATGATAAGCCTAATCCTTATTTATATAAATTTAATGGTACTATCACAATGTATCCTGAACACAATTTCAGCGACGGAGAACAATCGAGAGATTCTATTATTAATTATGATGCTTAACATAGAAAAGTTTATCAACTAGATGAAGTCAATTTTATTCTAAGAGGGTGTTCATTAAGAAATACTCACTGGATATATGGATTAGTTGTTTATACTGGATTTGATACTAAGATCATGTTAAATTCAACTAAGGCTAGACCTAAGTCAAGTACTTTAGAATCATTAATGAATTTCTTTATTATTCTAGTATTTTTTATGTAAAATATATCTCAAAATAAATAGATAATTAGTTATATGCTTATTTTCAGCATAATATTCAGTCTTTTGGTAATTAGATAATTTTATGGATATTCCTTATCTTGAATTAGATGAAAATGATCTATAAACTAATATTGTTTTTAGAACCATGGAAAGATGGGGAACTTGGTTATTAATTTATACTAATTTTGTCCCAATCTCTTTATTAGTGACTTTAGAAATGGTATGAAAATAATTTGGTATCTAGTGTAGGTTAAATATTTACAAGGTATCATGATAGAAAATGATAAATAGTGTATGTCTTAAAATCAAAAAACTGAAGTGCAAACTTCTAATCTAAATGAAGAATTAGGAAATGTTAAATATATGTTTACTGATAAAACAGGAACTATTACAAAAAATTTAATGGAATTCAAAACAATATCCATTTTTGGTAAATCATATGGGATGGTAAACAATCGAAGTTAAATTTTAAATTCTGATGACCTTATTAAGAGACCTGAAGTAACTAATGTTGACTTTAAAGATAAATAACTTTTTAATGATTTAAAATAGAATGATGATCATTCTAGAAGGATTATAGAATATTTTCTACATCTTGCTTTATGTCACACTATCTTAGTCGAATATGAATAAGGCAAAATTAAGTATAATGCATCTTCTCCAGATGAATTAGCATTATTAATGGGAGCTAAATTTTGTGGGTTTGAATATATTGGTTTAGACGATGGAATGATGATGGTGAAGTATAAAGATTAGTTGTTAAAGTATAAGTTATTACAGGTTTTAGAATTTACTTCAGCAAGAAAAAGAATGTCTGTAATTGTTTAAGACTAAAATAATTAAATTATATTATTATGTAAAGGAGCTGATTCTATGATAATAAATTTATTAGATAAATAAAATGCTTAAAATTAAGAATTATTGTAAATTACAGAGTAACATTTAGAATAATATGCAGAAAAAGGATTAAGAACTTTATTGTTAGCATAAAAAGATTTAAGCCAATAATAATATGATGAATGGATTATGAAATATTTACAAGCAGGTTTATAAACCATTAACAGAGATGAACTATTGTTAAGTTTATAAGATTAAATAGAAAATAATCTAGTCTTAATTGGAGGAACTGGAATTGAAGATAAATTATAAGATGATGTTGGTATTACAATGTAGAAAATATTGAATTCAGGCATTAAAATATGGGTATTAACAGGAGATAAGTTAGAAACTGCAATAAATATTAGTTATGCTTGTAATTTATTAAGTGATTCATAATAAAAAATAGTAATTTCAGCAGATGATTAATTTGAAGCATAATTTAAAATAAATTAAGGTTTAGATATGATAAAATCTTAATTCTAAAATCTTTCAACTGCTTTGATAATATCAGGTGATTCATTGATTCATTTAGATGAAAAGCATCTTATTAAATTTATAGAATTGGCTAAATAATGTCATACTGTAATAGCTTGCAGAGTATCACCAAAATAGAAATAAGAATTAGTACAATTAGTAAAAGATAATATACATAATATTGTAACAATGGCAGTAGGAGATGGAGCAAATGATGTTAATATGATAACTGCTGCAAATATAGGAATAGGAATAAAAGGTGTAGAAGGTAATTAAGCAGCAAGAGCAGCAGATTATTCTATTGGTGAATTCAAAATCTTATAATAATTATTACTTTATCATGGAAGAGAATGTTACAGGAGAAATCAAGTTCTTGTTGGATATAACTTCTATAAAAATCTACTGATTGTATTACCACATTTTTGGTTCTCATTTTATAATGGATTTTCACCTCTCAATTTGTATGATCCATGGCTTTATCAATTTTATAATATGTTTTATACAAGTGTACCTATTATGATATATGCAATCTTAGATTAATAATATTCATCTAATTTTCTTTTATAAAGTATATTATTTATTTATTTATCTTTAGATCCATAGCTCTATTAAACAACTAATAAAGTAAATCTGATGACTTTCTTTTTTTGGTTTTGTTCAGGTGGAATGCAATCAGCAATTGTCATTTATATAGTTTTTCCATCTATGGAATTAACAAGTATTGATAAAGAAGGAAGAATCCTCTTTCTTTCATCAGTAGGCATGGCTTTATTCTGTTATGCAATTATAATTGTGAATCTGAAAGTCTTTGTCTTCTCTTATATGAATTCTATAGGATCTGTACTATCCATATTTGGTTCAATCATTCTTTATTTGCTTACTTATATGTTTTTATCATCATTTACAAATAAATTAGACATTTCACATACATTTATCCATTTGTTTTCAAATGTTTAATTTTATTTTATTTTGAGTGGAATTATTGTTTTGACAATCCTTTCTGATTTAGCACTTTCAAGATGGTCTATATTTTCAGAATAATAATTATTTGAAATCCGTAAAATAAGAGACAAATAAGAACCTGCTTCATCAGAGAAATCTAGATTTGGAAGTAGTCCTCCTTCATCTATGATACCTCCTAATAAATTTGATAATCTATTCTATGAAGAAGATGAATATGATGATACATCTGCACTTCTACCTGTTAAACCAGTTAAAAGTAGAAAATATACTGGTTATGCTTTTGCTTAATAAGAAAAAAAGCTTGATGAAGCTCTTAGAAATGCAGAAAATTGAAAAATGAATTATTTTTCATCAATATGTAAATATATTTATTTAATTTCATTTATTTACATATGAAAAGAAAACCAATTTGTAAAACAAATAAAGTGCTAATTGCATTGTCACAACTATTCCTATTATTATATATTTCTTCTAAATCTATAATTTATCTAGTTCTCTAAATTATAAATATATTATTTACTCTTTTAAATTCACTATTAAAAACAATGATGAATTAGCAAATCCATAAACAATTATTAACCATAAGAATAATTCATTTTAAAAATAACACAATATGGTTATAGGTAATAAGGTTGACATAGAATATCCATATAAACAAATGGTTTAAAAGAAACTTAAATCAACTCCCAAAAACTTCATTACACCAGCTAAAATTATAGGAGTTCCAAATGCTATTATATAAAGTAAAGCAGTTGCTTATGGAACATAGCTAATTACAAAGGATTGATTTTCTTTTTCTTCATCTATTTATCTTAAATTGGCTATTGCTGTTATCAAAAAAATTAAGGTAGCATTTATCCAAATAGGTCCCCACCTAAAATTTAAAATAAATAAATACAAATCTGGATTTCCTCTAATCAAATTCAAAAAGTCTGGTCTTAATGGTAAAAATGTACCTTGAATTCTCTATAATACATCTGTTTCAGTCACATTGAAGTAAGGAGTATAAAATCTAGAATGATTATATAAATATTTACTAAATTGTCAAAAAGGCACAATATCCTTATTAATTTTTATTTCCTTCATTGTTATTTTAAATAGGATATTCTTTATTAGCTTATTTTTATTCATCTGTTTAGTTTTAAATTCCAAAATCCATTTTATATTTCAATTAATAATTTATAAATATGGTATATATTTATATTGACATACTTCATAAGAAATTAAGAAGCATTTTAAATTTACATAAGATGTATTAGATCCATCAAATTATGCAAAATTTTGTGAAATTAAACTTTACATAGATTAATATAATGATGATCATATAGATTAATTAAATATTTAAGAGATTATTGGAACTAATTTTATAATGGAAAATGATTTAAAAGCATTATAAATTGTATGGGAATCAGATCACAGACCTAAAGAAATTTTAGATGAAATAAAAGCTAGAGAAATGAGATGTAAAGATAGAGCTTTTATATAAAAATCATCTTAATTAACTAAAGGTGTATTTTAGGAGAAAAAACAAGAATCAATTAAAGAATATGAAAAAAGTGTCAATTTTGGATTATCGTTTATTTTTAGCATATTTGCAAGTGGATTATTAGTTTATTATCTTGGGATATGTTTCTTTTAATTTACATACGATTAATCATTAGCATTAGCTGCATTTTTTTTGATTGGAGCTTTGATAGTAGAAACTGGATTATATATTGTAAAGATAATGAAAGAAGACAGAATAAGAAAAATTAATAAGAAAATAGAATAACAATCAAAACAAAACATTTCCAACTAAATAAAAAAAAGATTGATTAATTATATAGTTAATTATGTATTTTAACAATAAATCATCATCATTTAGTAATGCAGAAACCAATACAGATTTAACTATGCCATTTAATTCAATGCTACATATTGATTAAATGGCTAAGATGAATAATACAAAGATTCGTTTGTATTGTTAATTATCAGAACATGAAGGAAAATTGTATATATTATTTTTATAGATTAGGCCTAACTTTAATGAATTAATATTTGATCCATCAAGTTTGGGAAGATATAAAAATTTTATAGGTGCATCTTCAAAGATTGCTAATTATATCAAATTACTAGACCCAAAGATTAGAAAGAAATTTATTGTTGAAGAAAAATATAATGATTATTTGAAGTATATAATTAAAGATTGATATTAAAAGGTAATCAACACACACAAAAAAAGAATGTGATAAAATTAAAGCCTTAATTAATGAACATAATTCAATCTATACATTTAATCTAAAAGGATTAGCTAGAATATAATATCCTAATAAAGCTAATAAAAAGATTCCTTGTAAAGAGAACTCTATTTCTACTAGAGTTCATTAAGAATCAAAAGTATTTGAAGAAATTAAAGATATAGATTTAACTAGAATTCATGCAACTTAAAGAGGAAGAAAAGTAAAAGTTAAGCATTTAAAACATAAATAATATTCACAATTGTATTTTAATGATTCTCCAAGAAGTGTTCCTCTGTAACCTATCAAAAGATCTAAAGTGTATTAACCCAATGTTAATTGAATGTTTACAACATTAAAAAATTATATAAGATTTTTGTATAAATTAATAAAATATTAAATGTAAGAGGAATTATCTTACAATCCTGAAATAGTGAAATCATAATTAAGTATGCTTCCTCCAATTGAATAGTTTACATTACAATAATTAGCAAATAAGAGAAAAGTTAATTTCAATATGATGCTCTCATTACCGGTTAATTATTAAATGTTTATTTGTAGTTTTTATTAAAGGATAAAGCACTGGAAGATCGAAAAGATACTATTGCTATATTTAGAAAGAGAAAATTCGAACCTTTGATAACCTAAAAGCATAAAATCCCACTTATTAATAGTGGTAGAATTCATTGTACTGAGTTTTGGTCTGATAAATATTAAACAACAGCCTTACGTGATTCACATATTGAAAAAAATTTAAATAAGTATAAATAAATAATCAAAACTAACATTCAAGAATATTTAGTTAAATTTGAAATCTAAGCTAAAGAATAATTGGAAGAAGCACGCAAGTATTTATTAAAATAATAAAGTATCAAATATTCTGAAATTTTTAAAAAATAACCTTCAATTTCTGAAGATGATTTTGTACCTACAATGAACGAGTTAAATGTAAGTTAATGTACATAGGATGAAATATTTAACTTTTATAGGGAACCAAAGAAATATAATTTATCTTAAATGCCAAAAACTAGTTTGCGTAATCTAGACAAGATAATTAGTAGTAGTTAAAAGTAGAGTTTCATAGATAAATTTGATAAAGTCATTAGTGTTTGTGATCGATATTCTATTAATTCTAATAAGCATTCTCTAAATAATATTAAGTATAATTATATATAGTAATATTAAGTACAATTGGGTATGGTAATATAAAGAAGAGAAAAAGGAATATTTTTGACAGCAAGACAAGTAGAAGCCATATTAATTGATACTAAATTATAATATATTTATGATCAATAAAGATTATCAGAATGCTGTCTTAACTCTAGAAGAAGATGCGATGCAAGATTTTTTTAGATTTAATGTCTTTGGATTACAAAAGTAAGGTTAAAATTTATGTTAGATTATGGTAGTAATTTAATGGGCAGCAGGAGTTTAAGGTTAAGTTTCTTTTGTTTCTGAAAAGAATTTTAGTATAGAATCTTTCTTTAATTATTCAAATATTTTGGGGCTGTACTTGTTTAATTGAAGCAGANTAAGATTTTTGTATAAATTAATAAAATATTAAATGTAAGAGGAATTATCTTACAATCCTGAAATAGTGAAATCATAATTAAGTATGCTTCCTCCAATTGAATAGTTTACATTACAATAATTAGCAAATAAGAGAAAAGTTAATTTCAATATGATGCTCTCATTACCGGTTAATTATTAAATGTTTATTTGTAGTTTTTATTAAAGGATAAAGCACTGGAAGATCGAAAAGATACTATTGCTATATTTAGAAAGAGAAAATTCGAACCTTTGATAACCTAAAAGCATAAAATCCCACTTATTAATAGTGGTAGAATTCATTGTACTGAGTTTTGGTCTGATAAATATTAAACAACAGCCTTACGTGATTCACATATTGAAAAAAATTTAAATAAGTATAAATAAATAATCAAAACTAACATTCAAGAATATTTAGTTAAATTTGAAATCTAAGCTAAAGAATAATTGGAAGAAGCACGCAAGTATTTATTAAAATAATAAAGTATCAAATATTCTGAAATTTTTAAAAAATAACCTTCAATTTCTGAAGATGATTTTGTACCTACAATGAACGAGTTAAATGTAAGTTAATGTACATAGGATGAAATATTTAACTTTTATAGGGAACCAAAGAAATATAATTTATCTTAAATGCCAAAAACTAGTTTGCGTAATCTAGACAAGATAATTAGTAGTAGTTAAAAGTAGAGTTTCATAGATAAATTTGATAAAGTCATTAGTGTTTGTGATCGATATTCTATTAATTCTAATAAGCATTCTCTAAATAATATTAAGTATAATTATATATAGTAATATTAAGTACAATTGGGTATGGTAATATAAAGAAGAGAAAAAGGAATATTTTTGACAGCAAGACAAGTAGAAGCCATATTAATTGATACTAAATTATAATATATTTATGATCAATAAAGATTATCAGAATGCTGTCTTAACTCTAGAAGAAGATGCGATGCAAGATTTTTTTAGATTTAATGTCTTTGGATTACAAAAGTAAGGTTAAAATTTATGTTAGATTATGGTAGTAATTTAATGGGCAGCAGGAGTTTAAGGTTAAGTTTCTTTTGTTTCTGAAAAGAATTTTAGTATAGAATCTTTCTTTAATTATTCAAATATTTTGGGGCTGTACTTGTTTAATTGAAGCAGAACAAATTATTTTTATTTATGTGCCATCTATAATTTTTAAGTTACCCTCCGAATATGAAAGCTATGTTCACTTGGTGAATCAGAAATTAAATCAGAGTCTTTCTTTTCCAATGGTCGTTAATAGTAAGGACGATCTTTGGTGAAGGTTCTGAATACTTTTATATCTTGTAAACTTCCATAAATAGAATCACGAGTTGACATTGTATGTTAATGTTATGGATTGAATTAGCTCTATTTTTTTGTATCTATTTTCCTAAAAGATTTCTAAAATTTAGACTTCATTCTTCCTTTTATGGCTCTTCTACGGAAATCTTTAATTTTATCTAAAAATTGGTGCTATTCTATTGTTGTTTTTGGGTACTTCATATCTATATTTTGCTTGCCATAAACTAAAACAAAAATACAATTTTTTCAGAAATTACTCCATCGCATTCACTTTTCCTCCTTTATCTGAAGGGAGTTTCTATAATTTTTATTAATCTGAAACTATGTATTTTATCATTTGTTTTATGCAAACTCTTTAAAACAAAACTAGTTTCAACTTTTTATACAAACTTATCCAAAAATTCAATCTTCTAGAATTTGATCCTTTAGTTTTCTTGATCATCATTTGAAAGTAATCTTGGATAATACTTACAATATTAATCTTATGTTATAGTCATTAAATTGCTCATTAAATTTATTAAATGTCAACATCAACAAAAGAATACATATAAATTGCTATTATTATAAATAAATTTCAAATTTTAAGTTTTTTAATGCATCAATAACCTAGATTATCTCCAGTTTCATCCAGCCCATTACATCAAAATTCAATCATCTAATGTAAAGGATTTAATAAATTTAGAACAATTAAATAAATAATAATGCTTCTTACAGACAACATACAATTCCAAAAATACATAACCAAAAACTAAAATTTGTAAAATTTACATTTATTAAATTAGTTTAAGACTCTTAATGGTAATCAAAAGAAAGGGAAAATTAAAATAAATAATAATTAATTTCTAAAGGATTGAAATCATTACAACAAAATGATGGATCTAATAAATCAATTAATATTTAGTTTTCATAAAATAATTCAAACAATTATGAGAATTTAAATATACCACAATGTATTTAACAATTTGATTATGCAATCAAAAATCAAAAAGAGGAATTTTTAAAATTAATTGAATAATAAAATAAATAAATCGAAATTTTGCACCAATAATAATAAATTATATTGCAACAAGAAAGAAAAAAAGAAGAAGATTATGAAACATAATTATTTTTAATAAAAAATTAATTAAAATAGTAAATAACTAATAAATGTAATGAGATTTTCAATAAAATTTAAAAATAATAAGAGTCTGATTTTAAAATAATTGAAATTGAAATTGCAAAACTTAGTTAATAAATAGAGTAAAAGAATTTTCAAAGCTTATCAAATATCAAAAAATTAAATTTATCTTCAAATGAAAAAGAAAATTAGTAGCAAACTGTATATCCATAAGAAAATAATTTATTAAACTCTGATTTATACATCAAGAAATTCAATTTTGAATAAATCAATTAAAAAATGAATTAAAATTTTGAAATTTGTAAATTGCCTGAATAGGTAAGTGTTTTATTAAATTCTCATAATGAATAAAATAGTGAAATATAAGAGATAGAATTATTTTAATCAGAAATTCCTTTGTTAGATCCATCAAATCAATTAAAATAAGATTAAAATAAGTAAATTATGTCATCATCTTAATTATAAACAACACTAACAAAAATAAATTAAAATCAGGAATCCAAAAAATAAGATTCTCCATTTAAAAATTTGAATGAATTAGATATGTTAGATAGTTTGGATGATATAATAGTCTAAGATACAGAATAAAAGCAACAAAATAAAAATGAATTCAATCATTTGAAATGTAATTATTTTCTGAATATTAAGCTTAAGGAATGTCAGTTATATAGGAAGATGAAGATGATGATGAAGAATTAATCTATTAAATAGATGAGAATGGATTTATTCTAACTTAAGATGGACATCCTCTAATAGATGAAAAAGGAAGAAGAATACAACTAACAAAATAAGAAATGTAATTTTATAAGGTTTAAAACCTTAGATGATAATAAAAATCCTTATATAATTTCTCTATCATTTTATAAATAGTTTTCTAAGAAGAAAATAAATATAAATATCAATATAATTCACAATCTTTGGATATAAGTATCTGCACAACAGCCTATATGTCCAAATTCATTCTTTCCTAAGATCCATCCTTCTATTTAAGAAATAACTTCAATTTTTTCATCTATATAAAAATAAATATATTACTTTTGTTTATTTAGAGATATCTTGGATCTATAGAGGCAAAATATTGTTTAGCTTTATAATTAGTTTTTCTAAATGTCATTTCTTATTCTAATTCTGTATAAAGATCTATGAGATGCTCATAAGTAATCTTAATATCTAATGGTTATGGGAGTTATATAGAAGGATCGAAGTACTAAATTGAATACATTTGTATTATTTTTTGTAATTCTTATTGAGTCTATGGAATTTCATAATTATATAAGCAACCACTTTATTTTACTATAATTATATATATAGAAATTAAAATACTTTGATCTTATTTTTTTTCACTAAAACTGTTTTCTGTGTGGTATATTAGAGAAGGACTTTATTTTTTTGAATTATCATAACTTTTCATCTTAATGAAATCAGAAACAACTGAATCTTTAGATTCAAAATCAGATCTTGTTTTATTGGGTGTTAATGGACTGTAATAGTTAAATTAATTGCTCATAAATCTTGTTTTAGGATATTTTTTAGCTTATTGGTCTAAATCTTCTAATAATTTTTTATTCAATGGGTTCTTATGAAATTCATTTTAACTAAAAAATGGAGAACCCCATTTATAAAAACCTGATAATTTGGGACTCTAAAATTTTTTATCTTTATATGGACTTCTTTTAGGAGTAGAAAATGGCTTAAAAGTTTATGAAGTCTAATAGTAAAGTATTAAAAGTTAAACTAAATGACTTGAGGAGATTCTAAAAGTATAAAATAAAAATTTGTACTCTAGTAAAGGATTAAGAGTTTAAAAATTTTTCATTACTTCATTGGTTAATAAATTAATAATTTCATCAACAGTTATTTCATCAAGAATTAATTAAGATATTGTAATTATATCATTAAATTTTAATGTTATATCATCTAATTATTAATCCTTTTTTATTTTAGTAAAATCTCTTATAATTTAATTAGATTTTTCATAAAGTAAAGCAATATTTCTACATTGATCATTTTAGAATAAATATAAAAATATAGAGGATAATTTTGAATTATGTTATTCTAACGAATTAAGATAAGAGTTAAAAATCTCATAAGTTTTGCTTTTGGATTGATTTTTTTAAAACTAATATGATAATAGTTAATACTTTACTGTGTATTCAATAAAGAAGCAAATTAGAGATTATTATTTAGATTTGATGAATTAAATGATTAAGTCATGACAAATCATCAAAATGTTTGCATATAAGGAAATTTATTTATTTGGACTAATGAAACCAATATTTTCAATTTTTGCAAGAATGTTTCTAATACTAACAGGATTGAATGAATCAAATTATTCCATTTAACAAACAATTTATAAATAAATATCATTTATTTTTCTACTTAAGAGATAAATTATTTACTATATTAAAATAGTTTTTAATGTATAAGAGAGATTTAAATAATTAAAAAGGAATGTAAATCTACATATAAAATAAATGATGATATAGATGGTGAGCATTTTCTTATTAAATAATATTTATTATTGAAATAATGTATTCTATAAGAAAGTATTTAAAATTAAGACGTTATTTTGATTGATTAATTTGAGTTATATAGAGTAGTTTTGAAATTGATAAATACAGATGGAAATAGATGAGTTAATAATTAATTTTATTAAATATTATAATGAGCACAGTGACAAATGAATCAAAAAAGAAGGAAGCTATTGATAAGGCACTTATATAGTAGCAAAGAGAACAATTAAAATAGACAGTTTTAGAAAGATTTATAAAAGATTTCGGTAAGAACAACAAGAGCAAAATATAAGTAACTTACAATTTAGAGAATAGATAATAACTCAAATAGTGAACGATTATTTTACAAAAACTAGAGTCACTGATGTAACTTTGAAAACTCTAAAATAATAAGTTTAATAGGCAATTCAAAATGTAGGATCCACAACATAATCATAGGCTGAAAAATCAATATAGGAATCATAAGGTATTAATTAGAAGTGAATAATTTAAGTCACTTAATAATAGTAAGTACAAGCTGTTCCATAATAGAAACCCGCAAGCAGTTAATCTAGAAAATCAAATTAATAGCATTAATAACAATAATTACAATAATAATCATCTTAATATAACTAAGATGCACATTCAGAAATATCATCAAAAGTATCTATTTATAATTATTGTGTAATAAGGCTCCAAAATCAGTATATATGATGGAAGGTGATGAAGATGATGAATGGGCTACGTTAGTTAAGTTTGATACTGAATTATATAAAAAAGAAAAGGAACTAGAAAATGTGAGAAAGTAAGAATTTAAAAAGAAGATAAAATCAGAATTAGATAGATAAGTAAATGAAAAATAAAATAAAAAATGTGAAGAAGTTTAAGATGAAGATGCATATGTTAAATTACATCATTATCAATTAAATGTATATGATTAAAGAGAAAAAGAAAAATAAGACAACCTTAAAAGTAAAATATATAATGAAAAATTATAAAGAGATAAATAAGTTAGAGATGAATAACAAAGAAAGTATAAAAATATGAAATATATTATATAGAAAATTAGAATAAAGAAAAGAGAAAGAGCTCGATAGTTTACTTGTTAAAAAGATTAGAGAGGAATTAGAATTAGAGTAGAAAGAATAATTGAATAGAAGAAATAAAGAGAGAGAAAGATTTTTAAGAATGATGAAAGAAAACGAAGAATACAGAAAAAAAGCATTAGAGGATGCTAAATTAGAAAAAGAAGCTGAAACTTAAATGTAATAACAATACATTAATTTGTAAAATTAATTAGAAGAGTAAAGAGATTTGGAAAGAAAATAAAGAGAAGAAAAGATGAAAAAAGTAATGGGGATGTTTGCTGAAGGTGTTGTAAGAGATTAAAAAGAATTGATTAAATAAGAAGATGACAAAATGTTAAGAAATATTTTGACTTAAAATGAAAGAGAAAAAATTGAAGAAGAGAAGAAAAAAATGAAATAGCTAGATTAAAGATAATAATTAAGATAATTTTTAAATTCTTAAATAGAGGAAAAGAAAAGAAAATAAGAAGAGGAAGAAGAGTTAAATAAGAGGTAAGCTGAAATTTGGAAATAAGATTTAGATAATTATAATGATCATGAGAAAAAAAAATTTGAAGTATTTATTTTAAATTAATTAATTTTAAGTATATAAAAGAAGTAAATTTAAGACATGCAGATATATTAAAAAGTTAGATTGAAGAAAAACAAGGTAAAATTAAAAAGAAAACTAATAAAATGAACACTGCTGAATTATTATAAAATAAAGATAAACTTAAAGTTATTGCATAAGAAATTCCAGATCTTGGAGAAAAAGTAAAGAAAATTGAGATTTGATTTATCAAAAATAAATATACGATATATTTTATTATGTATGCTGATACTGTTGGAAAAGCAATTTGTAAATAACTTAATAGTATTAAATAATTGATTTTTTTATTTTATTGTAACATTATGATACAGAATTAACTTATGGATATTGAGATTTTGAATATCATTGAGGATGTATTAATTTTTATGCTGTTTTAGATAAAATGAATAAATTTCATATTAAAATATTAAATAATATAAAATGTCGATTGAGATTGATATCTTAAATGGTTTGAGTTAATAAAATATGAAAATAAACATACATCTTAGAGTTACAATAATTTATGATGCTAAATTTAAAATAGCAATTGCAAAATATATATGAAAGTGCATTGATAATTTTACAAATTTAACAATAAAAATACCGCCTATACCACTATTTCTAATTTAAAAGAAAATGAGGAAAAGATTTTGAGTACATTTTTTGAAATAGATATTTAAATTTGTAAGTATTTAATGATGACATTTATACATAAAATAAAAAATATTTGCATTAGATTTAAGAAATCATTAAAAATGTAATAAGAAGCAGATAACGTAAATATTCATTTATATTTATTTAGAATTAAGATGAAAAATAAGTATACATATTGAGATAGCAAATGATTTGCTATAAACAAGTTTAAAGGTAATATTGATAGTGAAACTTTAGAAATCACCATATTGAAAATGATAAATAGTAATTGCCTTATTCAAAAGAGTAGTGGGAAGTAGAAAAGGAAAAGATATTCTAAAATTCGATTAGATATTTTCACGATAAAATTGATAAAAATGAAGAATTAAAATCAATATTTCGAGAGCGCTATCCAAAACTTAAATTGGATCTTAATTAAGATGTAAATTATAGACACTATTATTAATTTAGGATACATCTATATTTAGTGATAGAATGTAAGGTTATGTTGAGAAGAGGAGGTAAGAAGTAGAATAAGAGATTAAGAAAACAAATTAAAATGATTCTAAGTATATGAGTTTAAAAATTGAGTTGCTTATGATCAATTCAAAAGATTTTTATGTTAAAATAAAAGAAGCTATCTTAAATCCACTTCTTTAAGAAGAAAACTAAACTGTATTATAATCAAGAATGTTGGAGAGATAGTTACTTGATAGAAATTATTTTAAGAGAGATAAACCATAAAGAAGACCAGAAAATAAATTATCAGATAAATTTGAATTAAGTATGATAAGACATGAATAAGCAAGAAGGAAAAGAATTAAACAAAAAGAATTTATGCAAGCAATATTTGCACATTAGATTGAATTTATGGAATTTCATAGAAAGAAATATAAGCATGCTAGAAAAAGAAGTGTATAATTTAAAGTAGTTTTGGAATAAAAAGATTTAAAATAATAGTAGATAGATAAGTAGATGAGAATGAAAGATATTAAATAAGGTGATATGGTTACCTATATATAAAAGTTAGAAAAACTTGATGAAGCTAAAAAGGAAAGAGTTGTATCTATTTTGAGATAAACAGATTAATTCTTAAAAGATATAGGTGCTAAGGTAAAGATATAGAAAGGCGAAGAAATAACAGAAGAAGATGAGGTAGTAGAGAATAATAACTTAAATAATAATTTAGGTTATGAATTAAATTAAGCAAATAAAGTGTATTATAATATTACACATCGAATTAAAGAAATAGTAACTAAATAACCTATTTTATTAGAAGGAGGATAATTAAAACAATATTAAGTATAAGGATTAGATTGGTTAGTTAGTTTGTATAATAATAGTTTGAATGGTATATTAGCAGATGAGATGGGTTTGGGTAAGACTATATAAACAATATCTTTATTATGTTATTTAATAGAGACAAAAAAAAACTTTGGTCCTTTTATTATTATAGTTCCATTGTCAACATTAAGTAATTGGGCTAATGAATTTGAGAAATGGGCACCAACAATAAAAAAAGTAATTTATAAAGGTTCACCTTAAATTAGAAAGGAGATTTCTAAATAAATGAGAACAACAATATGGAATATTTGTTTAACTACTTATGAATATGTATTAAAAGATAGATTAGCATTAGCAAAATATGAATGGAAATATATTATTGTTGATGAAGGACATAGAATGAAAAATTCTAGAAGCAAATTTGCAATGATATTAGGTTAATAGTATTAAAGTGAAAGGAGATTATTATTAACTGGAACACCTTTATAAAATAATATAGCAGAATTATGGGCTTTATTAAATTTCTTATTACCAAAAGTATTTTCTTCATGTGATGATTTTGAAAAATGGTTTTAAATGCCTTTAAGTAAAATGGGTGCTAGTGAAAAAGATTGTTAATTAGATGAAGAAGAATAATTGTTGATTATCAATAGATTACATTAAGTTCTTAGACCTTTTCTTTTAAGAAGAGTAAAGAGAGATGTAGAAAAAGAATTACCTAGAAAAACTGAATATGTTATCAAAATTAAATTATCAGCATGGTAAAAAAAGATTTATGATTAAATAAATTAAAGAGGAGTTATGACTTTTGATTAGTAATCTGGAAAAAGTGGATCATAAGCATTATAAAATTTAATGATGTAATTAAGAAAAATATGCAATCATCCATATTTATTTATGTTAAATTTAGATATGAATAGAATTACAGATGAAATTTGGAGATCAAGTGGAAAATTTGAATTATTAGATAGAATAATACCTAAATTATTACACTTTAAACATAGGTTATTAATATTTAGTTAAATGACATAATTGATGGATATTATGGAAGCATTTTTTGAATATAGAGGTTGGAGATATTTACGTTTGGATGGATCAACTAAATCTGAAGATAGGGAATCTAGAATTAAATTATTTAATTAAGAAAATTCTATTTATAATATATTTCTTTTAAGTACAAGAGCAGGAGGTTTAGGATTAAATTTATAATCTGCTGATACAGTCATTTTATTTGATAGTGATTGGAATCCTATGATGGATTTATAGGCTTAGGATAGAGCATATAGAATTGGTTAAAAAAATGAAGTAAGAGTATTAAGATTAATTACTGCAACATAAATTGAAGGAAATATTCTAAGCAAAGCAGAATAAAAAATGGGTTTAGATGCCATTATTATATAAGCTGGTTTATATAATTAGAGATCTACTGATTAAGAAAGAAGAGAAAGATTGTAAGATTTTTTTAGATAGAAAAATAAAGTAGATTTATTTGAAGCTGAAGATATACCTGATGATACTTAAATAAATGAATGGTTAGCTAGAAGTGAAGAAGAATTTGAAATTTTTAATGAACTTGATAGATAAAGATATGAAGAAGAAAAATTAATTTATAAGAATTTTAATCAAAATAGAGATGATTAATTTTATAATTATAGATTAATTTAAGATGATGAAGTACCAGAATGGATTACTTCTAAATAAAATGAAGTTTAGGAAAATAAAGAATATGGAAGAGGTCAAAGAGAAAGAAAAAAAAATGTTGTTTATTTTGATTCTGAATCTAATGGCTTTTAAGATGATAAGGAGTAGGATGCAAATAATATGGATTTAAAAATTGATGAACAAATTAATATTGAATAAAATGATGTGTTTTAAGAAGATGAAGAATATCCTAAAGAATTTAAAAAAAATAAAAATATGAAATTTATTGATAATGATGAAATTGAAGATGATATTGAACCAAATTTAAAAATTAAACGAAAACTTAATTGATAATATAATTTATTCGTTTGTTCCCCACAAAATATTAAATATATAAAATTTATCAATTATCTTTATCTTTGTCTTTATCTTTATTATTATTCTCTAAATGTCCATTATCCATTTATTCCAAATAGTCTTCAGAACTTTCAAAATGTTCATTATCATAATTATCATTTTCTTGATTAATTCTCACTTCTTCAGTTTCAGGTTATTGTTTTAATTTTAATGGGATGTAACTTCTAATATATGTTTATTCATTGATAAATATAATTTTTAACGCTCTCTAATTATATGTTCTACCATACATTGATATCACTGTGCGTTAAGCATCCTCAATAGTTGTATAAACTAGAAAAAGAGAGCCTGCTTCCGCTAAAACATTTAATTAAAAGAGATACCTCCAAGGCCAGCTTAATAAGGTTTAACAAAAAAATCATCTTCAATATGACCACATTAAGAAAAACCTTCAATTAAATCTTCTCGCATTTCATTCCATTCATTTTTATTGAGATTTATTGCCATAGCAACATTTAAGAAATTTCCAACCTTTATAATCCTGGATGGGATACCTGCCTAAGCCAGAATTTCATCTTCTTCCCTCTATCCTCTGGCATAGCCTAGGGATTTTAAAGCAAGATATGCGGCTGCTTATGCTTAGGCCATATTATGAGCTTATTATACTAATTATGATTAATTAACAGATTAACCTAAATTAAATATGAATGTATTAAATACCATATAGACTATCTCCAAGTCTCAAAATTTTACATGATTCATCCAGTAATTTGATTTCTTCTAATTTAAGCATTCGATTAGACTCCTCAACAGATGATAGTTCCAATGTACATGTTCGATCTTTTTCATTTAGATGACAATATAAAATGGGTTTAGCATTTCCAACGTCATTTAAGTAATTTCTATTCATAAATCTACTCAATTCTGCGTAAAGATCTCGATTAGTTAATCCTGTGGGTATATTGCAAATTTAAATTCTTCTCATTCTACTAGTCAATGACATTACTTTTTCTTTATCTTCCCTCACTTTATCGTGCAAATTAGTTTTAGGTACCCAAGTAAAACCATCCCAAAAACAATCTTATTTATCGTAGCCTAGTGCATCTAAAGAAGATAAGAAAAACATTATTTACTTGATTTAGCTACAGGATTGTTGGCTAGAATTTGTTTTTAGTAATGTTTGACAGCAGAATTAGATCTGGATCTTTTTCTTCTTTCTTATTTTAATCTTGCAATTCTTTACTAAAGAAAATATATAATTTAAAATACTTCTTTTGTTTCACCTTCTTCAACCTATTTAGATGCATCAACTTTATTATTATCTTTATCCTTTTCTTTTTCTTTCTCTTTTTCTTTTTCTTTCTCTTTGTCCTTCTCTTTGTCTTTTTCTTTTTCTCTTTCTTTATCCTTTTTTTTCTTCTTTTCTGACTTCTTACTAGATTTCTTTTTTTATGACTTTTTTCTCTCCTTAGACTTTCTTTCCTTAGATTTTTTACTTTTTAATTTTTTTTTATCTTTCTTATCTGATCTGCTTCGCTTTCTTTTTTTCTCTTTTTTGTCTTCACTGCTACTTCTACTTTACATATCTGAAATATATTAATTTAAATATTATATGATTTATATCATCTCACATTCAAATATATAGTGATCATTCTGGATTCTTTAAGTCCACATTTGTATTTCCATTAAGCATATGTGTAAGGATCTCTTTTGTATATTTTAATCTTTTTGCCATTTCATGATTTTAACTATCAAGTGCTGTTGCTAATGGATAATGACTTCTTTCTCCTAATTTATTAACATAAGTGACTAATTTATTTTCTGAGGATAATATGATTTCAGTTTTATCTGTAAAATTTACCTAAAAAAGAGAGAGAAAATTATAATACTTAAACTATCTTATTAGAAAGTCTAAACATGATAGCATGTCTTGTTTTCATCCATTTTTTTACATAAACTGATTAGAAAGGATCATATTCATTGATTTCTCCTTAAGCATTAGTTTTAGAATCAGCATCTAAATAAGATTTGAAATGTTAAAGTAAAGTAACTTTTTTCTATAATTCTTTAGGATAACTATTAATTGAATATTTTTCAATGGCATCCTATTTATCAGTGCCTTTTCTTTCTAAATATTCAAATTCTTATGTTTTAGGATCTAATATTATTTTAGTTGAATCATTAAAGAATACTCCAGTAGCACCATTACTAAGTAGATATCCAAGTCCATATTTACTACTATAATCTACCCATCTTCTAACAAATATTTCATTTTTTTATTTTGTATTTTATTGATTTTACATAGTACCACTAGTATAGAATTAATTAAGTGATTTAGTGCTTACTGATTATTTAAAATCTTATGGTTTTTAAGAGGATGGTCTTTGACTACTATTATATCCACCATTATATCCAGTATTTAATCCAGATGTAGCTCCAAATTATTCTTCTAATAAAATATGGTTACTTAAGTACATCTCTCAGATGAAATATTAGGTCTAACTGTAGCCATTTTAGGATTTGATTAAGCAGTTTCTGAAGCTCTACTTGGTTATTGGAACTATTTATTATATTAAATAGAAGGAGGACAAGCTAAAGTTGACAAAGGTAAAACTCTAATAATGATTTTTATTTATAAGATTTTTACTTTGGAATAGTACCACCTGAATTCATAAAAGAATGTGCCATTATTTCATCTAATGTTGGTCTTTTATTAGGTTCAAGTACTAATATTTTTTAAATAAGTAATTTTGCATTATCTGATATTTAAACTTAATCTGGAAATGAATATTAATTCATTTTTATTTTTTTGTATGTTGATTTAACATCAGGTGTTTCAAAAGGTGGTTTACCAATTAACATTGCATAAATTATTACTCCAAGTGACCATACATCAACTTCAAATGAATGTCCCACTTTACCATCCAATACTTCTGGAGCTATATAATTAGGTGTTCCACAAATAGTTCTCTTTTTCTCTCCCTCAAATTCTAATTTAGTTGCTAAACCAAAATCTCCCAATTTCAATTCCATGTTTTTATTTAGAAATAAATTTCCAAGTTTCAAACTACTTTCAATAAATAAATTACTCTCTATGTATCACATTATTGTTATGTAAGTATTTTAATGCATTTATCATCTGTGCTACATAACACTATACTTCTATTTCTGTCAATCTCTTTCTTCTTTTTATTAATTCATTCAGTGTTTGATTGCAACATAGTTCCAATAAAATGTATACATTTTCATGATCTTCAAACACATGTTCAAATTAGACAACATTTGAATTCTATAAACTTTTGTGTATTTTGATTTCTGACACCAGCTAACTCAATTATTTTCATATATACCTTCTAACGGGCTCTATTTCTTGTCAAAGAAGATTTTGCTATTATTTTTGCAGCCAGCACCTTCTTATTCTCTAAATTTGTAGCCTCATAACACTTTGCAAATCCTCCCTTCCCTAAAAACTTCCCTCTTTGATAACGTTTAATTGCCACCTCTCCATTCACCTTTGTAATCTTCTCCTCAAATATTATTATTTGTTCACTTTATTTAACTTAACATCATACCCATCCTGATTATTATTTTCATCCATTGAAGGTTGTTAGATATCTTTATATATTAAATTTATTATTATATCACTTTTTTATTACTCTATTCTTATTCACTTATCATCTCCTTATATATCAATTATCCATTTCTCAACATAATTCATTCATCTTCTCTCTATAATCCCTTCATTCATTCATTTATTTTACCTACTATCACTTTTAATACTAATCTTTATTTTTTATTAACTATATACTAATCTTTCTCATTTCTACACTTATTTCTTAAAGTTACTCAAACTTTATCACTCTAATTTTAATTATTCTCAAAGACTCTATCCAAGTTTCACAAAAAACATTTACAATTTTCTATTTTACTAAGACTTTCCCTTCTATTATCCAACTAATTGTTAACCAATTTCTCTATCTTAATTAAATTATGTTGTTTTAATACACTCTCACATTATATAACTTCTTTAAAATTAAAATATTTTAATTAAACAAACTAATTTCATTTACTGTTTAATATTTAATCATCTAATAATATCTAATTAAACTCATTTTTTTTAAATTAATAAATCAAAGCTTTATATACAAATAATTACTTTGAAATTTATTCCAACTAAAAACAAAAATTGACTTTCAAATATTAATTTAATTATATCTATGTGATTTGGAAGTTCAGAGTTTTAACTTTAGAGAGCAAATTATAAATAACTAATATTATTAGATAAATAAAATCAATATAAAAAGCATAAATAATAACATTTTATGATATCTTAAATCATATGTATATTAAAAAGTAATATTTTAAATCATTTTAAAATCTATTACTTTTAATTTTTATTATTAAGAAACTAATGAATCAGATTTTCCCTTAACATTCTATAATATGTATGACTATTATAATGAATAGTAGAAAGAAATAATATGTATTGTAATTGTAAAAATTGAAATAATTTGAGTAGAGATTTAAATATAATTTTATAATTAAAAGTTGTTCAATGAATGGAATATACAAGTTCTTATAATTAAGATGTGAAGCTTAATATTTAATTTGATGAATGCTTAAATGAAAATATATTAAAATAGAGATAGATTTTCTTTGAGATGAGGAAGGGGTTAAATAAAAAGATATAAGAAAAGCATTAATAGTGTATTTGTTTATTTTTATTTTAAAATTTAAAATAAATCAAATCCATTATTTTGCATGGTTCAAGTCAAGAGATAAGACAGAAGAAAAGTCTATGAATATTTGTTGTTGGAAGGTGTGATTGTCATAAAGAAGGTAATATTTAATAGAAATTCATAAGGATATGGCTCTCCCAGTTCATGCTGAAACAGGAGTAAAGAATTTAGAAGTTTGGATGCTATTGAGAAGTTTAAGAGACAAGAAGTTAGTTGATTTAGTATTTTCATGGCAATACTACTATTATTATCTCAAGGCTGAAGGTGTAAAATATGTCAGAGATAAGTTGGGTATAATGAAATAATCTAACAATAAGGCATTGTTGAAGATGTTATTCCAGCTACTTTTAAGAAGGCTGATAAAAAGTTCGAAGAAGATGTTACTGAAAGAAGAGGTCCAAGAGGCAATAAACCATTTGGTAGAGGTGGAAATAGAGGACCAAGAAGAGCTGAAGAATAAACAGAAACAACAGCATAACAATGAAATTGATACATACAATCGTACAATATATATAAATGGTTCATCTCTCAATCACGCTTTTTCTTCTCACCAACTTTTTCACATTTGTCTTCTCCTGGCATTCCTAAAAACATTTTTTATATTTTTCTGTCCAAATCCTTATATAATATACGCATCACAATCATAAATGATATTAAAACACTTCCTATTATTATGATTGTAATTATTAAATTAAAATGATAATTTCCTCTTCTCTCATACATTAAATCTATAGAATTCACAGAACTTGACACTTTTGCAAATGTATTTATTAATGCAACTAATTCATTTCTCTTTAATCTACCAGAAAACTCACTTGGAGATTCAGAAAATAAAATCTTTAATGCTGTTCCTAATCCATATGTTTACATTTTTCCAAATACTTTACATTTCTAGCATTCTACACAATCCATTATTCTACTAATATTATGTATATATCTCTAATAATCCTTTTTTTATTCCTATGTTAAAATTTAAAGTTATTACAAATGTTATTTATTTAAAAAATTATTATTCATCAAAAGGTCTTGAACATTATGAATTACTTAAAGCTAAAATTTGATTTAACAATTATTTTGATCTCAAATCATCCTCAAAAGATAAAGAATTTATGTCATATGATTAAATTCCAGGAGTAGCCAAAATTATTGCTCGAAATAAGACAGAATATAGAAAGAAGAGATTCTTTATTCTTTCAGGATGATTTCCAACTCTTTGAAAATATAATGAGTAATTTGGATATGTCTTATTAGTCTTTAAATCTACATAAAATTCACTTAATTAAGTTGAAATAGATGTATGTAATCCAGATATTAATTTATTTAAAGCTCGCTTTTCTTTACACATTTCAGCTATAGAACCTCATAATAAAAATCTATGCAAATACCTTAGTAGCAATTTTCTTTATATATCACATCCCATATATGTTAACCTTAATATCCTGTAAAAGCTTCTGGATTTAATTTTAAATCAACATAAACTCCCTTATCATTTTCAACATCTTCTACATGCCATATCCATTCAGAAGGTTCTTTAAAAAATACTTTTAAAAATTACATAGATATCTTTCTGAATCCCAAAAGGCAAAATCATCTTTTGGATTATTTATAGGCCAAGACTATGGGGATAACCAATTTGATGGAATCTAATTAAATAATAAATTTAATTACTTCTGATGAATTGCATGTACAAATAACACATTTTTTACTAGTGCATATGTATTCACCAATTCCAAAAGGACAATCATTTTCTAAATTTACTCTGAAAATTTTGAAATATTTTTTGTACTGATAAAGTTTTAGGAATTCTTACACTCAATTCATCTAATAATGGAAATATTTATTCATTTATGTTTTTCAAAGTCTACAAATCTTAACAACTATCTTCAACAATTCCTTCATAATGAAATTCTTTTTCTAACTTTATATGCTGACATTTTATAATACCAAAATGTAATTAATAGTTGAGATTATTAATGCCACTATCTCTACATAAATTAACCATTTTATGCATTTTCCCATTATTTTTAATTCCCATTATTTCTTTATTCTACGTCTTTCTTTTTCTTCCCTTAGTAAAGAAATTTCATCTTTTGTTTCATTTTCTTCCTAAAGTTTCATAATTTTGGAAATTTAAAATATAAATTTTTGAATTTAATCATTATTGATTGAATATAAACATTAGTAATAAATTTAGAATAAATCAAAATGTCATTTGTATTTTTGACCACTAGTTGATCTTTAAGCTCTTTAACTTATAGAAATTAGCTAAGCTGTTTTTTCAGCCAATCTTTTGAGTGTATAAATTTCATCATTTCTTTAGCCCAATAAATCATTTAAACGTTCAATTTCATCTATTAACATTTAAATTTTTTAATCCTTTTCTTTATCATTAGCAACTTATTTTTGTTAGATTTAAACTTTCGAATATTTAATTTTCCATGAATTTATATCTTCATTGGCTAATTTTAAAGATTCTTCCTTCTATTTTAATTATTCTTATAAAGAATGGATAGTTTTTTCCATATCTGTAATATTTTATATAAATTTGGACTTTAATTCATCTTCATCTTATTATTTATGAATTTATTGTTTCAACTCTAGAAATAGATTGAACATATTACCTTATAACTATTATAGCCTTGTAGAATCTAATTCAGCATATCGAATTTTCCATGATTATATTTCTTCTGTTTGTTAAATAAGTTTTGTAGAAGAATCTTGAAATACTATTTATATATCTGTTAATTCTCGATACAATTGTTCTGCTTATTATTTTGATTTTTCATTCTAATATAAATTGAATTTGAAATACATCTTAAAATCTAATATCAGATAATTCTTTAACCAATATAAGTTCATGTTCAATACCTTTTAATTTATTGATTTGAATTTCTTATTCCATGATTTAGCGTCTTAATTATTCATTTTCTTAAATTTTATCGTTCAATTAGAGATTAACTTTTTTGTTCTCTTCAACTAATTAATTAATTCTTAATTCTAACTGATTGCTAAAAAATGAATGGAGTATAGTACCTGAAGTCTCTTTTTTCATTTTCAATACTATGAATGCTATGCTTTTTAATATTCTATACAACAGGAGACAATGGATTAGATTTGGAAGGGAGGTGAGTTTAACATATTGGAGATAATTTCATTTAATAATTAAATATAACAGATAATTGTTGATGAAGCTAAAAAAAGATAATAAATATAATAAATATAAAGTAAATAAAATTGGAACTAAGAAAATGAGTTAGATTTGAATAAAGATAAAAATAGATTATGAATTAAGTAATGAATCTAATATAATAATAATAAACTGTATTGAATAACTTAATATATTTAATTGAATAAAATACAAATGTTGCCATCAAACTCTGATTCTTAATAGAGAAGTCTTGAGAATCCTGATAAATAGACAATGAGAGTGGATTCTACAAAGAGAAATGATAAATTAATAGAGGTTCCTAGAAAGAAGCTGAATATGAGGTAAATTGAATTCAGCGAATAGTTAGATTGTATTCTGAATCTGAATAGAAGTTTTAAGATTATGTTAATTCAAAGATTGTTACAATAAGTATTATAGCATTAGTTGGAGCATATGCAATATTAATATTTGTTATTGTGGCTCTTGAAGAATTGCTAGATGAAATATAATTCAATAATATATCATCAATTTTAAGTTGGATTGAACTTGGCATATTAATTGTATTTATCTTAGAAATTTTTGTTGGATTATATGCTTGGGGTATAAAGGTATTTTTAATATTAAAATGTAGAAATATTACAAAGATAAATGGTTGATTTTAGACACTCTAATTATTTTATTATCACTTTTTTTTGTGATATTTGAATTAGCAGATTAAAAGACGTCTAATGTTATTAAAGTAATTTAGGCAGTTTTTCGATTTTTAAGAATCTTTCTTTTAATAAGGAAAGCATAAACATTTAGAAGATTGGCTACAATATCTACAATATCTACACCTGCAGAGAAGATAGTGAGATTTTTAGCTGAATTAAAAGAAGTGTTGGAAGATGAAAATATGAAATTAGATATTGATTATTGTATTGACAAAATAGGAAACAATTAATTGTATTAGATGGGTAAATTAGATGAAGATAATGCTGAAGTAATTAAATAGTTAGAATTATTAAGGCTATGGCCTGGCTTAATTAAAGTTAATAAGGTAGAGCTGATATCAAACGAATTGTTACTAATGAATAATAGTAATAGTAAGTACAATAAAAGAAGGTTATAGCTAATTTTTAAAAATTGAATATCCCAAAAAGAGTAAATTTATAAATGATATCACATAGTTACTAGATATTTTATTAAAATAACATGATGATCTTTATATTGATCCATTTGATTGTGATAAATTAAGTGGAGGAGAAGGTTTAGTCAATTTGATGTTGTTTTTCTTTGAAAATTATAATCTTTTTGATGTCTTCTTAATTAAACCTAAAGTAGTGAGAAGTTATTTTGAAGAAGTAATGAAAGGATATCATGATAATCCATATCATAATAAAGTTCATGCTTAAGATGTTGCATAAACTTGTAATTTTCTTTTAAGTAAATGCAAATTTATTGAAATTGGATAATTAGATGAATAAGATATTGCTTGTGTTCTTATTGCTGGAGCAATTCATGATTATGGACATCCAGGTCTTACTAATGCATTCCTTATCAATAGTAGAAATGAATTAGCTCTTACTTATAATGATTAAAGTGTATTAGAAATGTTTCATCCTTCTTAATGTTTCAAGATTGCATGGGGTAATCAAAAAGTTAACATTTTTGAAAATTTACAATTCTAAAAATACAGACGTATTAGAGAATCTATTATCTTAATGGTACTTTCTACAGATATGGCTCATCATGCTTCAGAATTAGCTATTACAAATAGTAGAATTGCTGCACGTATGCATTTTATAAATAATATTTTTAATAGCTGACTTTGAACCTAATGGCAAAGATAAACAAAGATTAATGGATTTGATTGTTCATTCTTCAGATGTTTCTAATCCTACTAAAAGTTTTGAAATCTATAAATAATGGACAGAAAAAGTTTTAACTGAATTTTGGCTATAAGGAGATAAAGAGAGAGAACTTGGATTACCAATCTCTTATTTATGCAATCGATACACTACCAATACTGCTGAAGCATAAGTTGGGTACTCTTTCAATTTTATATTAGATTTATCGATTATGTTGTGAAACCTACTTTCGCAAGCATCTTAGGATTCTTACCAGCTTATGAACCTTTCTTTTAAAATTTAGACAAAAATAAAGCTAAATGGCAAGAACTCATAGAATATTATAAACAATAATTAGCTTCTATTCAACCTAAATGAAATTATGATTAATTATAATTAAATATATGTTGCAGTTCGCATTAAAGCATTTCTAAATGTTTAAGACATAAATTAAAGTTGTATATCATCCTTCACAGATGTATTAATATTACTAATTAAAATATTAGAAATCAATAGTTATATCCAAATCTGATCTTTATGAATAATAATATGAATTTAATCAAATTTTTGATACACAGTGTGATCAAGAATAAATTTATTTGTGTGTTCTCCATCCTATGGTTTAAGAAGCTTTGAAAGGAATAAGTTCAAATTTAATTATTTATGGTTCATAAGGAAGCGGTAAAACATATTCTCTTTTTGGAACTATTGGCTCTTTTTTTACCTTAAAATAAGGTTTAATCAGCTTAGAAAGTGGTATTGCAATAAGAATGATTCATGTAAATATTTAGAATCTATGTTTTTAGTATTTACACTAATTAAAATAACTATAAGAGTTAAGAATTTATATAATTGATAATGAATTAATTATTAATCATTTAACTACGAATTCATAGTCTAATTGGATAGAATTAGCTAAACAATTATATGAAGTCATTCAAAACCTTAATGATTCCATTGTTCACGTTATTATAGAAATAAAAACGATGCTAAATTCAAAAATTAAAATCATTTAAATTGGATCCATAAGCAAAGGAACTTCAGGATAGATGGTTACTCATAATAAGAGCATTTTTACATTACATAGATGTATTCAGTGTATATTAGATTAATAAAAATTAAAAAAAATAGTTTAGATGCAAAGAATATATATACCCTTTAGAGAATCAAAATTGACTAATTTATTATCAAATTCTTTTTTAGGATAAGCATAGTTAAAAATTATTCTTTGTTTAGCTCCTACTAAAATAGATGATGCTTTGGGTACACTTTAATTTGGATAATAATTTCAATAAATCAAAATTATTAAAGAATAATAAGCTTAATTATCTATTTAATAGTAATTTTAAACCCAATCATAACTTTAATTAAATGAATTTAATTCAATGACGACTTAGAGCTAAACTCAGGAGATGTTACCAATTCATTATCATTTATAAAAAATTTAAGAATTGAATGATAAATACGAATCCATTATTCACTACTTACAATAAAAAATAATTAAATATAAAAATAAATGAAATCTATTTATTGTATATAAATTAATATTCGATTTAATATAAATAATCTCATTTTCTTTATCAAACTCTTTCAAATTTTTAATTAAAAATGAATAAATTTTGATTACATTGAAAATTATCATAATAAAGGAAGTTTATTAAATTTATTAAAATTATCATTAAATGATTATCAAGATTTCAGATCTTAAAGATATAAATTAGAGGCATATCAAAGGATTAAATACTATTTACTTTCTTTCTTTTCCATTTTTTTTAGATTCTCTAAATAAGTTAAGGTTCTTATTTATAATTTTTTTGCCTTTCTTTATCCTACTGGAAAGGTTTTCTTGTTTTTTGATTAATTATTTTTGTTTCTATTTAAATTTTTTGTTATAATTCTTCTTATAATCTTATTTCTTCTATTTAAATAATTTTATTTGACAAAATAGTTTTCTTAAATCTTTTTGTTATATATTACTAAAATTTAACGTCTTTTTTCATTTTCATATTTTTATTCTTAATATTTTTTTTTTAATTAACCCTATTTTAAAGAATTTAATATGTTAATTTGATGGATCTTTCTTTTTCTCTTTTTCATTTACAGTTTACTGTATAGATTAAAAAGAATTATCTATAATTTAAAAAAGTAAAAATGAAATTCTTTTCAAGATTACATTTAATTCTTTTTATATTAGAAACTTTGAGAGAGGACAATTAATAAATAATAAACAAGTATTAATTTGAAATTTACTATTATAAATAAAGCGTAATATAGGAAAATATAAAATAGAGATGAAATATATAAAAAAATCTAAATTTCAGCGTTTAACATTAATAAGGTTCTTGATTTTAGTTAGACTATCTTTAACACTTTGGAAATATTGTTTCATTCTATTTCTCATTTGTTCAGCTTCTTCTAAATTCATGTTTTCGTTTACATCAAATTATTGTGTAGAAAATTTTTAATTAGGATTTCTTTTCATTTATGAGTCAACTTCTCTGTTTATTTAAGCAATTTATTTAGCAAACATCATTTCTGATTCACTATTTTTAATATTGATTTTAGGAGTTGTAACTTAAGTTGTACGTTCCCAAACTTCGGGTAATTTTTGAATAGATTTTGATTTAATTTAAATGTTTGGTAAATGTCTATTTAATGGATTGGGATCATAAATTCCTATTGCAGGTATTTGTGATGTTAGTGTCTTTGTACTTCTACTTATTAATTAATGTTTATGATTTAATCCTTTTTATTGTTTTCTCATTTATTAGCCCCTTTCAACTGATGTATGATTTAAAGTATAAGATTTAACATCTATTGTTTTATGTAATTCATCATTCTTCTAGTTTGTTGGTATTAATGTCACGTACTTTGTAATTGGATCATATTTTGGTGTGTCTAATTCTGTATTTAATTTTGATTTAATTATTGAATCTGCTAATAAAGAGTTAACTTATTCACTGGTTCTATGTTTGACACTCTTTTAATTTGAATTCATCGGATAAATTTCAGTATTTGCTAATCTTCCTAGTTAATTCCTTTCAAATATAAATGGTACAAATTTCCCTTCAGTTGAATAGAATTTTTCAGGTTTATCTCCAAAAGGATAATAATTAGATCCATTGTGTAAGAAATTTAATAAACTTGTCTTTTACATAATTAATAATATAAAAAATAAAACTAACATATCAATTACTTGATTAAAAACTATTTCAACATATTGATCTTAACACACATACATTTATATTTGATTTTAGACTTTCAAATTTCAAAAAGTAAAATTATTGTTGCGAATTTGGCTAAAGAAAAAAAATAGTTCTCATCTAGTTGTTCATCAACTTTTGAATATTAAAATTTTTTAGCAGTTTAATTAGAAAGTTTTTTAGAAATACTTCAATATATTATCTAATTAATAAAGATGTAATTTCTTAAATTAATTTTACTTCAAAAATTATAGAAATTATGGATTTCAGAATTAAATAAAAATTGATAATGTTTTTAAGATAATATTTTGAATAAAGTAATTTCGTCAGTTAATCTATCAAATTTCAATGTGATTAATCATAATAAGAATATCTAGATTTTAATCAATATCCAGATATAATTCTTATTGCATCAGTTATTCTAAATTTTAATAATGGTTAGAGATAAAAACTTAAAAAAAATAACAGTTGATTTTAGAAAAATTTTGGATAAAATTAGTAATTTCTAATTCATAATCAATGAACCATAAAATATCTCCATTAATTATGATTATTTAAAAATAATTATTGATATAAGAAATTATATTATTAAAAAAATAGTGATTTTTGAATTTAATAAATATAAAATTATTCAAATTGATAATAATATTTACATAATTTCATAAAAAATTATATAAATATATATATATATATTAAGTTGATTCAGTCTCCTTTGGGTAGATCTGTTCCTTCTTCTTGAGATTATTTTTAAAAAGAAACTTAAGAATCTTATTTTTATTATTATTATTGTTTTTTCATTGTTAATTTAGTTTAGATATTTTAATTTTACAGTATCTATTTTAATTGTTCAAAATCTTCATCATCCCCATCACTATCTCCTTATCTACCTGCTCTATGAGTTTTAATTGTATTATCTTTTCTTGGTAATTTACTTAAATCAATTCTTGTGTCTAGAGCAATCTGAGATTTGGATCCTCTACTTGATATTTAGGGTTTTAATGTGGTTCTATCTGTATGATTTCCCAAATTCAATTTTTATTTTAACATAAATTCTTCAATTTATTTATGAACTGGTTTATTCACATCAAACCATTTAGGTTATTTAATAACGTTGTCTCTATCAAAATGTTTTCGATATTTATAAAGATCGGAAATTGAATTTCTAATTTAAAACAATTACAAATAGAGTTCATAAAATTAAAGACAAATATGAGTTGCTAAATGTCTATAATAATCTAAGAGTTGTAATATCTATTTTTTTATTTATTTTGATATATACTTCTTTACTAAGAAAATTGTAGAATACAATTATATCTGACCAATAGACTAAAACAATTTCTTTCAAAAGCATATCTTCAGGAACCATTTACAGTGCTTATTTTAAGATTTCCATTTATCCCAATCCACTATTAACCTTTAATTTTTGATTTAAAGAATTACCAAATTACTAATTTTAAAGAGCCAAAGCAATTTAGTTTGAATGTCTATAAACTTTTATCCTTCTTAAAACAAAGGATATTGTTACACTTTACAAGCATGGAAAACTTAAATGTTCACTGCAAGTTTTTGCAAATATTAGAAGTAACTTAATTAAATATTTGCTGATAGCCATTCCTCTTTTTATGAGCTTGTTTTGACAAGTTATGGAGATTTTCTATTCAATAAAGCATTGAATTTTTAATTTAGGAAATGGTCAGCAAAATCAATGCCCAATTAAAATTCATGTAGCATTAAGTGACACGTTAATAACACTTTATTTCTTATTATATAAGAATTTGCAAATTCCCTAAACAATTATAAATTACATATTACTATTCGCTTGTTAAGGTAAAGTATTAATCTATGTAATAGGAAGGGGCTTTAGTTATAAATTCTGAATGATTATTCTCGAAACAAGATATTAGGAACAATAAATCATCCAATAATATTTCATCAGATTAACTTAATAGTGATGAGTTTGCTACTCTCTTTTAAAAGGGTGGCCTATTCTTAAAATACCCCATAAATTTATTGATCATTATTTAATTTATTTTTAATCTAATTATATTTATAGATCATATCATAAAGATTGGACAACATCTCCAAAGGCACAGTCTATGATTTGATTTAGAAACTCTTCTAATTAATCCAATCTTAATGATTAATTTATGTGAATATTCTCACTTTTGGGTAGCATATTTTTATCAATTGGAAATTACATTTAAATTCCATCAGAAACACTTAATTCTATTCTAAATCTATTAGGATCTTCTTTTTCAGATGATAAATCTTCATAAAGCTTTATAACAATATTAGACAAATATTAAAGCATCAATATTTGTTACAATTATTTTTATTTAAATTCATCTTCTATTAAATAATGTCCTAATCCATAATAAAGAATATTGAATAAAGAGTATAAATGAGAGGCAGAGGTGAAGTATAATCTAGTTCTAACATGTCTCCATGGGCTATTCAAATCACTTTCATCACTTTATCTAAATTTCCAATAATCTTCTTCTTATTATTGATTTTTAGATTCTGGTTTATTCCACCATAGTAGATCTTATTTGATTTTATTACATAAAGGACCAACTACTCGTTTTGCAATAGACAATTTTTATTTAGTAGTAATTCCATATTCAAATGGTACCATAAAATGACTAAGCAATTCAGCTAAACAATAAAATTCTTTTGAATTTTCATAAAATTATAATTTATCCTAATTATGAAGCATATCATATTTGACACTATCATAAATATCTGGGATTTTAGAAATGTTAAATGTGTCTTTTTATAAAAAATCATATTCTAATTTATACCATCTTTTAAAGAATAAAGTTAGATTTTCAGATTCAAACATAGTTTAAGCTCCTTACTCCATGTCACTTGGAGTTATATAATAATTTTTATCCAAATGGATATGATGTCTAATTTATTTTAATTTAAATTACCTGATATTTTTGGTTAATTAATTAATATAGGTATGTAATTAAATAAGCATTTATTTAGGATATTTGAATTTGCTAATTAAATCATGTTAGGTTTAAGTCATATTAAAATCTGGAAAATATTTGTATATTTAAATAAGCATATCTTCATCACAAGTTAACATTTTTTATAGTATATTTTTTATTTTAACTTCTTCTTCAATCTCTAGATTATTACAATCCAATAATTCTTATGCTACTTCATTTTTTTAAACCATAGTTGCTAATATAGGAGTAACTTCTCCTTCATAACCTAATAATCCTTTAAGAAAGGCAGCAGCTGTATATTAACATCTACCTTCATCAGAAGAGAATGTTTTTAAATCATGTCTATATGTTGAATGTAATCTAAGTAATCCATCCTTTTCTGTAGGATACATATCATGTCTAAAAACTTTACCTAAACTAACTGCATGTTCTTCTCCTAATTAAGTTAATTCTCCTCCCCATTTTAAAATCAATAAAACTTCTACTGGAAAATCAATTATTGAACCATTTTTATCTATTTTTTACATTTTTAATGGTTTTATTTAAACTTTTCTATTTATACCTTCAAAATGTCCTCCTAATTCTAAAACTGATTTCATTTAAAGAAGTTTTATTATATTATCATCTCTACAAGAAGTCTTAGCTATACATTCCCTTGTTAAATTAAGTAATTTTAATAATTATTTTGGATGTTTTAATTTTATTTCTTTTGATGGATCAGGTTCTTCATCAAAAAATTACAGAAACAATTGATTTGTAGATCTCATTTTCATTTTTTATTTAGGTGTTCTATCTCCATGTCTAAATACTGCTACCACTGATCTTAATTCAGAATTCTACTCTTTTCCATCCAAATCTTTTGAACTTGGTCTAAAAGAATTCTTATAAAATCCTTTAACTAAATTGATATCAGAAATTTATTTCTATAATAAAGTGGGTCTTAATTTAGCTAAAATCATATTCTATAAAATAGTTGCACAATCTTAATAATATTTTGGATTTCCTTTAACGAATGACCAACCATTAACATCACAAACATAAGATTTATTATTGCTTCTTAGTAAATCAAATCCACAAATATTTTATCCAAATATATTTACTATTTTAATCGCCATCATTTTCTCTTCCATCGTTAAACAAACAGGATATCTCATTTCCTTACCATTTTAAGATCTAACCACTTTTCCATCTAATACTGGACTTTTTCTAGCTTCTGCATGAGCATAAAATTCACCTACTGTATAAACCTTTATATCAAATCCATTTGTTGGTAGAAACACTTCATAAATATAATTTTCATTATCATTCCTAATACTTATCTATGTTGGATCAAATATACTACTCTAATTTCCAACCTTTCTAAATAGCTTTTTACATCCACCTCCATCTCTTGAATTATAATATATGTAAATATTATGATCTTCAGCATCAAAAGGTTTTTCAACAAATGGTTTAACTAATTTCTATCCATTTATTAATAAATAATCATCGCATTCCTCAATCTTTGTAATCTAAAGATCTTTATTATCTTTTTTAATATCAATCACTGCTTATAATGATCTAGCATCATATGATCTCATTCCTTATTTCATTTTATTCTTATTTTTATCTTTATCTTCTATTGTGTCTTATCTAAGAGGTAATAATAATTCTGGTAATTATTTTGCTGTCGAAACCTATTTTATAAGTGATTACGAATCATCATTTTATAAAAAACTTATAACACTATCAACATTATCTTCTTCCTCTATTATTTCTTATTCAGTTTTTCTTGGTTTACACTTTTTTTCAATTTCTTTTCTATTATAATCATCTATAATATATTTATTAGGATTTTTAAACACAAAATAATGTTTAGGTACTGGCACTTTATTTTTCTTTAATAGGGAATAAACTCTTTCTCTATCCCATAAGAGCTATTGTTTTTTAAGATCATTAATTATAAATGGCTTTCTCAAATCAGCATAAGCAATGGCTTTATTCAAAGGGAATCCATCTGAATAAAAACTTATTAGAGTTTCTACTATTGGCCATGATTCAATTGGATCTTCAAGTATCATTTATTCAGGAAATATCTCAATTTTAAAAAATTCAAGATTTATACGATTTAGAATTTCTTACATTTCCTTAGATTAAGACTTTTTAGCCATACAACAAACTCCAATTGTAACTATTTTATCATCTTCTATTTCATCTGTAAATTATGATTGGCTTTCAGTTTTCTCTATCATTAATTTATTCTTACCTCTTTCAACTGAAAGTGATCTTATTTTTCTTTTAATCTCTTGATCTTAATCCATATTAAAATATACTATAAATTAATAATGATATATATTGGTTTTAATTTTTATTCCAAAAATATAATCACCCTTAATTATTGACTATCTTAAAAAATTCAATAGGTGTTATTTCTTTATGTTCAGGACTGATAATCTCAAAATCTTTTTTTATTCTTGCTTCTATTTATTATTTCTAATTCTCAGTTAAATTCAAATATTCAGAAGTTTCTTTATACAATTTCAAGAAATCTTCGGCGCTAAACGATCCTTTTTTCTATAAATCAAAAACACTAAAAATTTATGCAAACTCTTCGCTTTTCAAATTCTCTGTATTTATTTGAGGATCCAAAAATAAAGATTTAAATTAGTCTTTATTTAAAGTAGGCTATTAAATTATTGATATTTGATTACTGATTGCATTTGATCTAATGTCCTCACAACATAATTGAAAAATTATGTTTCTGATTTGTCTATATTTAAATATAGAAGTAATGCTAATAATGTTGATTTTTCTATTTAATCAACTTATGATCCTTATTTCTCAACTAATAAATTATTATTTTATGAATATTACTTTTGAGTGATTCAAATAATTCCTCCAAATCCTAAGTTATATCTTCAATTGAACTTCCTAATTTCTAACCTGGCTACTAGTTTTACTATTATTATTATTGACTATGTTATGAAAACTAACTTAGTGATTACTGAGACATTAAATTTAATGAATTTATTTATCAAAAAATTATGAGCTTCGATAAACTAATGCTAAATCGACCTAATTATACTGCAAAAAAATTATTATAACCATTATTTGTATCAGCTAGACCTTAGAACTTTATTCAAACCCCTATTATGAATAGAACAGAAAATAGAGATAAACCATAAAATTTTATGGAAACTTAAAGAAAGACTTTTCATCAAAAAAATGAATCCAATAAATCTTAATCTATTAGTATAAAAAAATAAAGAGTTCAAGAAGCATATAATTCATTATCAGATTTTAACGATAAAAAATAAATAATTGCATCTCTAAAAACTTTGAATTCAGCTGATGAGAGGTTGAACTTTTGTAATAATTTAGAATTCAATTAATTGATAAAATTTTAGAGAGAAAAGATGAAATGATGGTAGCTTAATTAAAATTAAAAGCAGTCAAATTAGAACCTATCTTTAACGTAATTAGAAGGAAGTTGCGAAAATAACGTCTTGGAAGTGCTACTCCTAATTAATCAAAGAAAGGAACCATCATTCTGAGATAAAAAACATCAGATGACTTACCAAAAACAATGCCTGATCAAACAGGAGATAGTAGAGAAAAATAAGATCATAGTATAAATCAATAAGAAACAATTATTGAAGATCAAATTATTGAAAAAATATAAACTAAATTTACTGCTGGAGTAGCTTTTTCTTGGCTTGCAAATAGACATGATAATAAGTAGGGTAAATATATAGATTTATTTATTAAAGTTTAACTGGAACCTGATCCTACTGAACGGTAATATTTAAGAAGATCAACAGCCTTACAATATGGTAAAACAACAATGAATAGACTCAAATAATAAGTTTCAAAGAAAGTAAGTGAAAATTCTGATGAATTAATACGGCTAGGAAACTTTAAGTTGGAACCTAAAAAAGATAAATACGATCTAAGCAAAATCAAAGCAAAAGTTGATTCAGGCTTAAATAAACTTTAATAGACTTAATTGCCTAAAGTCAATATTATTAAACGATAAGACACATTAAGATATATTACATCCGAAAGGAATGAAATTTCTGCTCTTGGAGAAATCTAAGCATTAAGAAGTGACAGCAAAATAAGAATCTAAAAACTCTGATTTTAATATTTGATATAAAATAAAAACTAGTTAGGTTATCGCATCAAAAAACACAAATAACATTAATTTAATGATGAACAATCACTCTTAAAACACGTCGAATATATTTGATGATTTTATTAATCCCTTTTATGGTTCTTTCTTTTATTTATCATGATGATGAACGAATGCAAATTCCTTTATCTCATTCTATATTCAAAATAATATCAATACATTTTGATGTCCTCTAAAATTTTATTTTTTTTAACCATCTTCATCTCCTTAACCTTATTACTTATTCTCATATCCTCGATTATCTCTTTAATTTTTATTATTGTTTCTATAGTTATCCTTATTATAATTTCTAGTGTTATCTTAATCATTATTATTTCTATTATAATTTCGATTATTATTTCCATCATTATTTCTTTTATTATAATTATCCTAATCATTATTCACATCATCATCACCATCCTTATCATTGTTTCTGTTATTTCTATTGTTGTAATTTTTATAATTTCCTCTATTATTTTAATAATTTCTTTAACCTCCTCTTTAATGATCTCTATTTTCTCTATCATTTTAATCTTCTTAGTTATTATTATCATTCTAATTTTAATTTCTATTTTATTATCTATCTCTATTTCCTCCTCTATATTTATTATTATAACTATTATTATTTTTAAATTAATTTTAATCCTCTTTATCTAATTCATTTTAATCTTAGTTATTTTATTCTCTGTCATAATTATTATTATATTTATTTTATTACTTATAATTCTATCTGTAGCCTCTATTTTAATTATCATGACCTTTATATTGATTTCTAGATTAATTTGTATTTTATTAAGTATCCTCTTATTAATCTCTAGTATTTTCAACTATTTTTTCTTACTATTAATTTTATTATTATTATTATGTAATATCACCTTAATTATTCTAAGGATCATTATTCTATTATTATTATTATTCAGTTTATAATTACTAATAAGATTAAATTTAAATTACATCATCATCAACTCTTGAAGACGTATTTCTAATTATTTTTGGAGGTTCAAAATTATTTCTTTTATTTTAAAACTTTCCTTCTCTATTTCTGTTTCCATAATCATTTTGATTGTCATTATATTATTATTATCTTTACTAATAATTTTATTTTTAATATCCTCCTCTATTTCCAAAATTATTTTTTTCATGATCTGATCCAATTCTCATATAAAGTTTTTGATGTCTGCCATCTATTTCCTAAGAAAATTATAAAAATAAACTTTATACAATTTATAATCTATAAACTTCTAATAATTTTGTAGCATTCTCCATATCAACATCAAAACTTGTTTAATCTTATGTAAAAACTAAGTTTTTCATCATAATTTCTTTTAATGCTTCATTCAATTAATTTTCAGTCAGTTTAAAATGAATTAATAAATTTATACTATCTCCTTTAAAATTTTTCAGTTGTTCCTTCTTTTACTCAATAAATTCTTAATTAATTATTAAATTTTATACCTGTGTTGTCCCTTTCTTAATTTCTTCTATCATTCCTATCATTTCTGTCATTTCTATCTTATCTATTATTTCTTTCATTTCTATCTTATCTATCTTATCTATCATTTCTATCTTATCTATCATTTCTATCATCTTTTGTATAATAATCTCTATTTTTATAATTCTTTTAATTGTCTCTATTTCCTCTATAATTACCATCTCCTCTGTTTCTTCTATCTTTGTTATCTCTCTAACCTTTTTTAGATTGATTATTTCTCTGATTATAGTTCCCCTATTAATTAGATTGATCAGGATTATTAGTATCATTATCATGTTCATCATTTTCTAAGTTCTAATTATTTTCTTCTCCTTATGTTTATTATTGTGTTTGTCTTTATTACCTTTCTGATATGCCTTATAAAAATTAATTATTACGCTATCTATATCCTCCTTATTAATTTTGAGATCTTGAGTTTTAAGAATCTACCTAAGGCTTTTCATTTTCCTCATCAGATGATAGATCTCCCCAATTTTATGTCTAATTATCAGTCATGTAAGTTTGTAATTTAAATAAATATTAAATATTAAAGATATTTTTTTATCATTTGTTAATTAGCATTTTCAAATAAAACAACTATCATTTTTTTATATTGAATATCATTTAATCTAATCAGTAAATTCTTAGAATCAGTTCTCATAACCAATTCACTTTCAAACACTTAATCTATGTATGATAAAAAAAATCAAATTCCAAAAATAAATTTTATTGTAATAATAATTATTTACAAAACAATACTGAATTTATAAAGTATTATAAATTGATTTATTATACTTTGATAATATTTTTTTATATAATTAAATTTTAAGGATATTTTTCATTTTCTATAAATTTTTTGCACTTTAGTTTCGAATCAGCAAATAATTCAAGATTAGAAACTTTAAAAAGTTTGATTACTCTTAAATGATTAAAAATAATCATTTTTTACTTAATTTTTTGACAATATTAATTTTACAAATACAAATATTGATTCAAAATTATGGATTAAAAGAGTCCCTAAAAATAATAATCACCAATAAAATACTCTACAAATAATCTAGACAAGCTTACACATTAAATTAAAGATTCTTGGAAGAATTAGTAGGAAGAATATCAGAAACTGTTTGATTAGTTTTTATAATATTGCAAACCCTAATATCCCGTTTTTAATATAAAATTTACATGTTCCATAAGTGGAGAGTGTTTAGAATAACCTGTATAAAAATTAATTATCAAAGGTCTCATTTATGCAATGCATAGTTGATAAAAAACATCTAAATGATTGTTTTGATCTTAAATAAATATTGAAATATTTGATATAGAACGATAGTAATTTTATGTAAGATGGATATATATAGTGTCCTCTATGTCGATCAAAGAGTCATTTCAAAAAGGATATACCATTAATACCAAATTTATTTTTCCTATAACTTAGATAACAAGTATAAATAAAATATTAAAGGAGTAGTTGAATGATAAATCAAAGCCAATAACTTATTATTTATCTAGTTAAACATTGATTCCCTTATATCCTGGCATTTTAGGAAAGGAATAATTTTAATTCAATAATCAAATTTAATAAATATTTGGTTAATAATTTGATACCCAACAAAATTTCTCCATTATTAGAAAACAAACAAAAGGAAATGATTCCTTTAAATATTCTCATTTATGTTTATTAGGAAATATGAGAATTTAAATTCCTGTTAGAGGAAAATAGTGTCGTCATTTAGAATGTTATGATTTCCTTTATTTAAACTGGTACATGCAATAGAGAGATTGTAAAATATTTATTTATTTTAGAAAAGTAATTTAAGTGCCTATTTCTTGGATGTTAGGAGATTATTAATTTAAACGAATTATAACTCGACTAAGAATTATATGAAATAGGATTAAAGAGTTTTAATTTTTCATCTGACTTTATTTTTGATTAATAATCCTCAACATTATTAGATACATACGCAATCACAAATTATGATCCTCACATTGCTACTTATAAAAAGTTAGTTCCAACGACAACAGAAACTATAAACTATATAAAATAAATATATGATCTAACAGATAGAATTTATTCTTCCACAAAAAATTAAGAATTAACAGATAAATTTTATGAACATCCCTTAAATGGAGATTTTAATATTTCTAAAGATTAAAGGACAAATTGTAAGGTTGAAATACCTTGTAGATGTATTAGATGTGATAAAGTTAATGTTTGCGATCTAAGATTCATGAGTTGTATTATAAATTAAGTGCAACATCCTGAAAATAGAAATGGAGTTAAGAATTATTAAGTTTCTTGTCCTTTATGCCATAATCCTTTCTCACCTAAAAAAAGACATAGAGATTAAAGTGTTCATGAATAAGTTTATGTAGATACAAAAATGCTCAATTTCATTATCACAATTAAGAATTTCAACTTGTTAAATAAGGAAAAGTATCAACTTTTTTTATAGAAAAAACTTTATCCATCTTTAAAGTTTGAAGAATTAGAATCTCCAATTTAAGAATTAGACTAATTTAATTTGAAATTGAGAGTAATTATTAAATTTAATTTAATTTTAGTGTTTGATAACAAATTAAAAATTAAGAAATCCTATTAGAGGTATTTATTGTCAACATCCTGAAGCATTTGATGAAAATAGTATCACAGATTTATAGGCATCAGGTTAGTTAGATTTGAATTTGGCATAATGTCCTTAATGTTAATCAAGTATTAATAAATTAACACATGATAATATCTTAAAGGAATTGATAAGTTAAATGGAAGGAGATTTTGATGAAGTTTAAGTCTTTCCCAAAAAAAAATCAATCAAATAATTAAAATGAATATTTATAAAAATGTGATAATATTATATTTATTTTCGTATTGATAAATATTATTCATTAAGAATAGATTTTATGAGCATTTCAGTATTTTTGTCAAGTATTCATCCCAAAAAATTAGAAAAAAATAATAATAATTAGAATGAAAGGATTTTTAATTTGAGGATATTGTTTGATAAAATTATCGAATTCAATTTTATAATGGATTGAGAATGAATTGAAAAATGCAACATTCTAAATTTTAGTATTGCATAGTTTAACCTAATAAAATCATTATGTCTAAATTAACTTTGGATTTCTTTTAGTAGATCAGCAAACCTCTACTCAATATATTTCTTCTATAGTTCTCTTTTAATAAGAAGTTAGAACATTTAAACAAGCTGGCAAAATTATGTCGAGATTTTATAGTAATTTTATGCTGGCTTACCAAATTTAATTGAAAATAAGATATTATAGATTTTTAGACTGTTATAGCATATTATAAAATGTTAGAATTGATAGAGATACGAAAAGAGATAAACCTACAATTTAAATAGATGTTCATGGAAATGAATTTATATAAATTATAATAATGAATTTTGAATATAAATAAATTTATTAATCAAGCTAATTGGGTTTTTTACTATGATTTACAACCAGCTAAGTACAATGAATATAGGAGTATTAATATATGTAATTTTAGTGTATAAACTTCATCATTCTTCTATTAGAGGCAGTTTGGTATTACTTAGAAGGATTTCCATTAAATAAATTGCTTGCAATGTTATCATTCTATACAAATTTTACATAATTATCAGTAGTCGTATATTAAGTATGGTCAATAATAGAAGCAATTCTTTTGAAAAAGCAGTCTTTAAAATTATAAAGATTCTAAACTTTTTTAATATATGAATGTTTTATTGTTGCAATTGCATTTTGGTCAATATACTTGATACAACCAAATGCAGTAATATCTAAAAAGCATCCGATATCAACTTATATTTTAATTACCTTCCATGGAGGCAGTTTTTTATATTTGTAAATTTACTTATTATTTAGATATTGCATAGCTTTACTCACAAATGGATTCAAATATTGTGAGAATAAGAAAATTGCTTCCATATCTGCAAGCCTCTATATATTCTTTGTAGTTTTAAACTATATTATAAATGATAGAATTCCATATCCTTTTCTAAAATCTTTGAACCCTTTATTAGCAATTTTGATGATAATACTTATATTGTTAATTTTGAGCACTTTTTATATATTTATTTGTAAAAGATTTGAAATGAAGGATAAGGATTAGGAATAAAAACCAATGAACATGTAAGTTAATGAATAGGGATAAAAATAAAATAAAATTTAAGGTGGTTGGAAGGGAAAATCAAAAAAAAAAAATTAATGAAGTTATTTTTACATATAATATATTAAAATTATTGTTTGAAATAATATCTTATAAAATATCGTAATTAATTTGATGATCATAAATATTGTGATTAGTATTGTTAAAATTAATAAATAGCAAAGAGAAGTAGAATAGATAGTTAATATAGTCTAAGTTAATTAGTAATAATTTTGGGTATAGTACAGTAGTTCTACAAGATATTTCAAGTTATTAAATAAAGAAATGTAGAAATTGAAAATTAGAATAAAAAGATTGGCAACAAATTTTATTGGATTATATAATTTTAGCTTCTAAATCATTAATAAATATAGAAAATTTATGATCCTATTTTTAATTAGCATATTAAGGAAAGCAAGAATTTTAAATTAATTTTTGATGTTAATAAGTAAATTTAAGTCTGAAGATTGCAAAAGATTTTGATAAATAAATTTAATAGTGATAGAATAATTTTGGAATGTTTAAATGTTAAATGCAAAGAGATGGCAGTAAAATAGTTAGTAGTAACTAGAAAATGTAAGAAATAATCGTTGGAGAGAATGTTTTATAAGAAAAGAGTATAGCTATAAAAAATATTGAATATAATACTTATTATATGTATCAATCAATCCAAGATTCTTCAACACATTCTTCTACTCTCTTAAAATAGGTTATCTTATCTTCTAAATATAATTTAGCTGCTTCACTATTAGCTGGTGAATCAGGATTAGGATCATTTAAGAGAGAACGTATAGATGTGAGAATTGCCCAAACATCATAAATGGGGGACCATTAATTTTATAAAATGTCTAGACAGATTTTGCCATCTGTGTATACCTTACATAAAATAATTGATTAAAAGGATATACATTTGGATGAAATATTTTAGTCTTAAATACAACATTTGGTGGTTTAAGTGGATATTCTTCTGTAAATTCAAGAAGTAATTTAAATATGCCTCCATCCCAAATAGTTTAATCAGGTCCAAATATTACAGCTTCCCATAATAATATATTATCATCAAAAGGTGCAGCTTAAAATCCTTGTGGAATCATTTACTTAAGTTTTTGAAGATCTCTCACTAATCTCATTCTTGAATTTGTGGACATTATTATAATACTTAATAATTATTTATATGATTTTAAGGCACATTTAGTAAGTATCAAAATTTATTTGATATTTAAAAAATGCTTTTTCTAAGATTTTTTATGCTTTCAATGATCATCATCTGTGGGTCGACAATGTTCTGTAATTATTATCCTATGGATGCCAAGGCTTGCATTTCAAAAACAGAAGGAATTATGTGTATAATTCTGTTTTTAAACAAATTTAGGTGAATTTAGTTAATTTGAAAATGCTTGTCTTTAAACCTCCATAACCAATTATGGTTGTGAACCTACTTTGAATAAATTAGCATGTTTAAATTAATTTACTAATTCAGATGGCTCTGAAGCAACATGTATAGTTAAAATATTAATAAAAAAAAGGCATCTTTACATCTAAGTGTTAACTTGCTAAAACTTAGCATTTTAAAAATCTAGGATGCTCAATAAAGTATTCCAAATATGCATGTATGAATGCGTTGAAAAAAGATTGTATTTGGAATCAAGAATGTTAAGATTACAAATAAGAAGTACCTTTAGGAGATGATTGTTCTATGATTTTTGGTGATTCTGTTACTCCATCTCTTTGTCAAAAGATTTAAAATCTTTAATGTATTTTATGAAATTATTAATTTAAGGTATGAGTGGTGGTTTCTAAGGAGATTACAAATGTATATCTGTGACTGAATAACAATACTCTTAAATACTCTGTAATTAACTTGGATTGAATTAACTTGGATGTATTTAAATAACCACCAAAGATTAAGCTTGTATTTTTAAATATAAATACTATAGGTATTTTTGAAAATAACCAGTGTAAAAATGTGTAGTCAACATACCCGTAAAAGTGCAGTTTACATCTAAATCGTTTGGGTTGTTTATAAATCATTAATCCTAAATTGAAGTGTTAATGGAAAAATAATAAATGTATAGACTTTATTGACACTCCAAAGTCATGTGAATTAATCACAGATGTCAATCCTAGTGTATGTTCTGGTTTTAATGGAATTTGTTTATATGATTCTATCAATAAGAAGTGTGTTAATCCAACTAATAATTAATTACAAAAAATCTAATGTAGCACATTTGGTTTAACCAAATAAGCATGCCTTTAAATTAAAAATTAATACTGTACTTTCTTTAGGGGAATTTGTGAAGAATTAACTTTATCTGATTTAAAATTATATTAATGTAAGATGGATTTGAATGAAGATTCATGTATCAATATTTAGACTTAATTTTAATATTGTTAATGGGATGGAATATAATGCATTAGAATTACATTAAATTAAGATGTTGATTGTCCACTAGAATAGCTTAATCCAGAAATGAAAGTTAATGGAAATGTATGCTAATCTATATCTAAACCAGGAGTTTTATGTAAATACAATCCAAATACTCATTTATGTGTCAGAAGTAATGAAAAGGATTATTGTAATTCCCCATTTCTTAATTTATAAGGATGTGTAAGTATTACTACTGCAGGTTATGCATGTAAATGGACATAAGATGGATGTGTTAATATTAAAATTGTTGCCAATTAAACTTAATGTAATTCTCTTGGTTTTGCTAATGCAATTGCATGTTCATAGATTTATGAGAATAACTAATAAGGTTGCTACTATGATCCAAATTATCAATAGTGCAAAACTATTATTCTTAAAGACGAAGATAACTTCCTAAATACTATTAATTGTTCTGACACTAAGTATGGATTTAATAAATCTATATGTGCCTCTATCACTACTCCTGGCTAAGTATGTAGATGGTATTAAAATTAATGTTCTTAAATTATATCAAAGGAATAAATTGCATAAATTCAATGTATTCAATTATAGTTTGTTAATAAATATGCATGTGGATTAGTTGAATATGGAAAAGAACCTTGTAGATATTAAGAAACACAAAAAGGTTGTGTTAATTCTATCTTAAAAAATATGAATTGTTAAACTGCTGGATTAAATTCTTATGCTTGTGCTGTAGCAAATGGTAGTTGTTATTTTGATACAATTACTAATTCATGTCAATATGTTACTAATCCATTTTAATAGTAAACAGCATTAACAGCTGCTGCTAAAACTGAATTATTAAATACTATGTCTTGTGATTCTAGTTCTCCAACTGTTGATATTTGTGCTTAAATTGTAACACCTGGATAAATTTGTACTTGGTCTGTTAGAACAAATAGATGTTAAAATTAATTTGTTCCATTTAATTCTCTTTGTTCTACTTTTTCTGGATCTAAAGTTATAGTTAATGCTAACACTTGTGCAGCTATTGAGAATGAATTTCCAGAACATGATCCAATAAAAGGATCTAAGGTTGATATTAATAGAGCTAATTGTAAATTCAATTCTAAAACATCTAATTGTGAAACTAATAAAGATTTTTGTTCTACTCCTTGTTGTACAGAAAATGATAAAATAGGAATAAATGCTCATTCATGTAGTAAATATTCAACAAAAGCTCTTGGAACTTTTTGTTTTTTTAATAATGATTTAAGATGTTAAGAACTAACAAATGAATTGGTTGGAATAGTAAATGAAAGTACAGCAAGGAATTATTTTAATGCAAATTAATTTAAATGTTCTTAAATGTCAGTAAATTCATGTCATATGATTAATTGGTCAACTAAATAGAGATGTTTTTATAATGGTTCCTCCTGTGTTAATATAAATTATTCAAACTATTAGAATTTTGATAAATTTATTGATTTACCTAAAATAATGAATGAATATGCTTGTTTAGGTATTGAAGCTACAATAATACCAGATAAAAATTAGTTAAAGTACTTTACTTATAATTCAGAAACATATATTTGTAGTTCAGGTGAACCTGTTGAGAAAGAAACATGTGAATAAGTAAAAGGAAATAGAAATTTATGTTTGGCTACTAAAATAACTTAAGGCGATGGTTATTGTAAATGGGATCCAACAAATTTGAAATGCATAACTATTCCAAAAGATGAATTTTTAGAGATAAAAACATGCAATTATAATTAAAATTAAAANGATGGTATTAAAATTAATGTTCTTAAATTATATCAAAGGAATAAATTGCATAAATTCAATGTATTCAATTATAGTTTGTTAATAAATATGCATGTGGATTAGTTGAATATGGAAAAGAACCTTGTAGATATTAAGAAACACAAAAAGGTTGTGTTAATTCTATCTTAAAAAATATGAATTGTTAAACTGCTGGATTAAATTCTTATGCTTGTGCTGTAGCAAATGGTAGTTGTTATTTTGATACAATTACTAATTCATGTCAATATGTTACTAATCCATTTTAATAGTAAACAGCATTAACAGCTGCTGCTAAAACTGAATTATTAAATACTATGTCTTGTGATTCTAGTTCTCCAACTGTTGATATTTGTGCTTAAATTGTAACACCTGGATAAATTTGTACTTGGTCTGTTAGAACAAATAGATGTTAAAATTAATTTGTTCCATTTAATTCTCTTTGTTCTACTTTTTCTGGATCTAAAGTTATAGTTAATGCTAACACTTGTGCAGCTATTGAGAATGAATTTCCAGAACATGATCCAATAAAAGGATCTAAGGTTGATATTAATAGAGCTAATTGTAAATTCAATTCTAAAACATCTAATTGTGAAACTAATAAAGATTTTTGTTCTACTCCTTGTTGTACAGAAAATGATAAAATAGGAATAAATGCTCATTCATGTAGTAAATATTCAACAAAAGCTCTTGGAACTTTTTGTTTTTTTAATAATGATTTAAGATGTTAAGAACTAACAAATGAATTGGTTGGAATAGTAAATGAAAGTACAGCAAGGAATTATTTTAATGCAAATTAATTTAAATGTTCTTAAATGTCAGTAAATTCATGTCATATGATTAATTGGTCAACTAAATAGAGATGTTTTTATAATGGTTCCTCCTGTGTTAATATAAATTATTCAAACTATTAGAATTTTGATAAATTTATTGATTTACCTAAAATAATGAATGAATATGCTTGTTTAGGTATTGAAGCTACAATAATACCAGATAAAAATTAGTTAAAGTACTTTACTTATAATTCAGAAACATATATTTGTAGTTCAGGTGAACCTGTTGAGAAAGAAACATGTGAATAAGTAAAAGGAAATAGAAATTTATGTTTGGCTACTAAAATAACTTAAGGCGATGGTTATTGTAAATGGGATCCAACAAATTTGAAATGCATAACTATTCCAAAAGATGAATTTTTAGAGATAAAAACATGCAATTATAATTAAAATTAAAAAGCTTGTATAAGTCATGCTAATTTGGGTTGTCAATTTAGTAGTGCTAATGATAGATGCATAGATGCACAAACTAATGTAAATTGCACATATTTTGATAGTACAGGATTAGTTAGTTCTACAGTATGTTTAAATATTACAAAAGATAAATAAATGTGTTAATTTGATGAATCACATAAATGTGTTGATCATAAAGATGATGCTACAGGATGTGATGTTAAAGGAGGAAATTCAATTGCTTGCTATTTTAAGACTAATTCATTTGAATGCAGATGGGATCCAAAATCATTGAAATGTTATGAAAACAAAACAGAAATTTCAAATCTAGGTTGTAATGATTATTTAAATAAGAATTTATGTCTATAAGTAACAAAAGAACCATGTATTTGGGATGTATCAAAGTATAAATGTTAAAGATTAGAAGCAATAGATTCAGCATCTTTTAAGAAAATAGCTAGTGGCAGTGAATTTAATAAATAAACCTGTATGACTTTAATAGGAGATTCCTATTATTATAATGTAGTTAAAGATGATAAAGATAATACATCTTTGTTATGCTCAATATTAAGTTCTTACATGGAAACATGTGATAAATATCATTCAAATAAATAATCTTGTTTATTACAGACTAGAGGAATTTATTGTTATTATGATACAAATGAACCTGATTTATCGAAAAGATGCAAACCTTTTACTGCAGAATAAACATCTTGTACATCTTCAACTTTGATCAATATTCAGGTATGTATGGATATACCAAAATAATGTTAATTCAGTACAACAAATCTATAATGTTTGAGTACTACAATATAAGAAACAGATTTATGTTCAGATTTAAAAAAGAAATCTTCAATTTATTTTAATAAATTGGCATGTTCATCAGTAAATGCTTTAATATCTGATTCAGATGGATAATCTTAATGCAAAAAGGATAAAGAAAATTAATAAACTTGTAATTATGAAAAATATTGTTATTGGAGTTCAAGTAGTTATTCCTGTGAAATAAAAATTTTACATTCTATATCTTTCAAGGTTGAGAATAAATGTGAGAAAAAAGAGACTGGTGAGGTAGATGAAGAAGGAAATCCTATTACTGAAGAGGTTTGTAAAGATGTACCAAAATGTGACAATGATGATAAATCTCTTTATGTGAAACAATGTTCATATAGATATTCAAAGGCTCTATGTTTAGAAATGAGTGATGAAGAATGTTATTTTGATTTAAATTAAGGAGGATGCAATCCATTATCTGGAAATGAAAGAAAATTATCAAGTTGTGAAAATGTTTATAAAGTAGATTCATAAAATAGTTGCATTAAAAGTTAATCAAGATATGCATTATGTAAAGAAGAAACAAAGCCAGATCTATATCCTACAAATTGTGAAACATTAGAAAGAAGTATTTAAAAATGTTCTGCAAATTCAATTTTAATGTCTTCCTATAAATGTTCTGATGTTCCATCTACAGGAACATCTCAAAGTGCTTGTGCAAATGCTAATGATATTTGCCGTTATGAAGATGGTAAATGTGTTACAACTATTACTAAAGGTAGCTAATGTTCACCTTCTTGTGATTCTACTTTTAGTAGAAAATTATGTATTTATTGTGGATGTGATTTTGATACTTTAGGTTATTGTTAATAATTTGATACTATAGAATTATTCCCAAAATTAAAAGAATCAAGTATTACACTAGAAAGTGAAGGAGACTAAACAGAATTGAAATCTAATAAATATTATTTATGTTATGAAGTTAATTTGTTAAATTCAGGTAAAGTAGAATAAGTTTGTGGTAAAGTCTCTTAATCTTGTATTTATACTAATATGTGTATTGATGCAACAGGATATTCATGTAATTAATTAATAGAATAAACAGTCACAGAAAAGGCTTGTGTTAGATGTAAAGGAGATATAATGATTTATAATTCAATTACTTAAAGATGTAATTCATTATTAAATACATAACTTACAGAATGTGAAAAACTAAATTAATTAGCTTGTTTATAAAATACAACTGTTGCTTGTAGATGGTTAAATTACACATGCTAATCATTTTAAGATGCTGGTAATACTGATTGTTCAATCTATAATAATTTCTCATGTTTTACTGTTGATAGTTGTTGGATTAATCCTACTACTAATTTATGTACAAAATATATTGAATCTATGGGAAAATGTACTTAATTAAAAAATGAAAAACTTTGTAGAATGTCCAATTTTCAACCTTGCTTTTGGGATGAAACAGATCAATCATGTAAAGAAGCTTTAATGGATTCAGATTACACTTGTTCAAAAGCCAATAAATATGGTTGTTTAAATACTCCAGTATATCCATGTGGATGGTTAGAAAGCAATTAATGTTAATCCATTACTCTAGATTCTACCAATTTTTCAAGTTGTTCAAACTTTTTAGAAAATTCAGAAGGTCAACCTGTTTATTCATAATTTAATGCATAAATATGTACTCGCTTAATCATTGAAACTGAAAATACAGTTAAATCATGCTTAAGAGATGAATAATATAAATGCAGAGAACCTATTATCACAGATATTTTAACATGTAATACTCCAGGATTGAATAAATATGCTTGTATAAAAGATACAAATGGTTATTGTAAATATGAAAATAATCAGTGTTAGCTTGAATCAAATTCAACGGTTGGATGTTTAGATAACTTGAGTATTGGTGCATGTCTTAATTAATAAGAAACATGTAAATTCAAAGATGGAATTTGTAGTGCATTTGAAATCACTACAACTGATGACTTTTTAAAAGTTGAAGTAACTTATCCTTATTCAATATCAGTTTGTTCTAAACTTGATAATAGCAATGAAGAATATAAGGATTCTTTTATTTACAACGCAGCAATGAAAAAATGTATAAAAATAACTGATAGAAATCCTTATATAAATGATTGTTCATTACCTGGAATAAATAAATTTGCATGTTTGACTAAAACTATTAATTATTGTAGTTATATAAATAATAAATGTAAAAGTGAAAGCAAAAATTCCTTATAATAGATTTTGACATGTTAAGATACATTGAATTGGTATTCTTGTACTATGATAATAACACAGAAAGGAACTGCTTGTAAATTTAAAGATAACAGATGTTAAGATGTAGATGACACAATTGACACTTGTTAAACATTATAAGATGGAAATGCTATAGTAAGTGCTAGGGTTTGTACATCTAGAACTGATAAGTCATGTAGATTAAATATTACAACAAATTAATGTTAAGTAATTAATAATGATGAGACAGTTGTGTGCAAAGAACCAGGATTAAATAAATTAGGATGTCTATTCAAAACAGCAGGATCATTATGTATATTTTAAGAAGGTAAATGCTAAAATAGTTTTGGAAGTAATGTATGCAAAGATTAAGTTAATAAAGATAAGTGTTTATCTATTAGAACAAAAAAATAATACTGTTATTTTGATGATATTTTTGGTTGTTAAGATATAGAAATTAATTCCACTTTATCTTAATGTGCTTAATTCAATAAGGAAACTAATCCTTTAGTTTGTGCTCTTGCTACTAGTGATACATCTACAGCTTGTTATTATAATTAAACTTCAAAAAAATGTGAAGAATTTAAATCTGATACCATTACTCAATGGGAAAATAGAATTTCTTTCAATTCCAAAGCTTGCTAACTTTATCAAGCTGATAATAAAATAACCTATTGGAAAGATGAATGTTTAGAAATTCCATCATAATAATTATAGTATCTTGATTGTGATAGTTAAGTCAATATACATGGATGCATTAGTATTACTAATCCAAATGCTTAATGTATGTTTAATACAATAACTAATCTTTGTGAAAAAGTTACAGCTATAACTAAAGGTTGTGAAACTTACATTAATATCAATTCTAGTAATATCTGTAAAGAAGTAAGTGATGTATCCTGTTATTATAATTAATCAGAACATAAATGTGTTTCACTTGCTGATGAAGATGAAATTGATTGTAGTTTATAAACTTATGGATACAATAAACTTGCATGTTAAACTAATAATAATTGTATATTTACTGATAGTTGCTACTTAAAAAATGAAGAAGAAATAGCTATTTGCTCAGATGCAAATACAAACAGATCTTTATGTTAGACAGTAAAATATGAGTCATGTTAATTTAAAGACAATATATGTAGTAAGATATCTAATACATCTTCAATCAAATGTGAAGATGCTGTTAATAAGTTAGGTTGTTAGAATGTAACAACTGAGGGATTATATTGTTAATATATAGATGATTCATGCGAAGAGATCAATCCTTTGACTATTCAAAATACAAAGTGTTTAGATGTAGGAACAATAAATAGTTTTATATATTGTGAATAAATATAATTTGAAGAGTAGGAATGTAAATATGATGCAAATAAAAAGCAATGTACTCTTACAGAAGCAATAGATGAATTTAGTTGCAATAGAGGATTAAATCTTTTGGCATGTTTGAATAAGACAACTAAGTCACTGTAATGTAAATTTTGGAATTATTGTTATGGACCAAATTATTAGATTCTAAATTGTAATCCTACTTAGGCTGATGATTGTTGTATTTTTGCTTCAACATTAGAATCCTGTTTATTTTAATCTAAATTTAATTGCGTCTGGAATGGATAATGTAAGAAATATGTAGATAATTAAACGAATTGTGATTTAATAGATAAAGGATCTAAAAATATATGTACTTCAATAACAAGTAGTTTTTGTATATTTGATACAACATTAACAAAATGTAAAACAATTAATCCAATAAATTGTGATTAAGCATAGACGGCTTAATAATGTAAAATAATTCAAGGATTACCTTGTTATTGGAATTCAATATTAGAATAATGTGAATATAAACAAAAACAAATATTTGATGAATGTTAAGATATAGAAGATGCATTTGGAAATATGAGAGCTTGTATGGATGTAGAAAGACCAGGATAATTATGTTAATTTAAAGATAATAAATGTAAAACATTTATTGAGGATTCCAGTATTAATAATTGTTAAAATAATATAAATAAAGTATCTTGCACATGGTAGATAAAAGATGAGTGTATTTGGGAAGTTTAGACAATAAAAATAAAGAAAACATCTTTAGCAAAAGAGGAAATAGAAGAAAGTATTGGAGAATGCAAACCTTTCAAAGATTTTAGTACATAGGAATGTTCAGATAGATTAAGTTTTTTAGCTTGTATGAAGATTACAACAAAGGGTGCTTATTGTATTTGGAATGATGAATAATGTTAATCTATACCAATAATAAAAGGTGATGTAATAGCTTCTAATACATATGTATTGATAAATAGTAATGCATGCGGATTAGTTAATAATGGAGATATGGTTAAATATAATTCTGATACTTTATCATGTATGAAAGAAAACAATTTCAATAATTTAAGTTGTTCACCAATGACTCCAGGTTTGAATAAGTAAGCTTGTATAAAGAATACATTATAGAAATGTAGTTGGGATGAGAAAAATCGAACTTGTGTATTTGAAGGTAAAAGACTACTGGTTGAAGAATAATTGAAGTCAAATCGATTATTGTAAGTGACAACATGTAAAAAAGATGGATTAGGACCATAATTATGTTCTTAACTCTCTTTGTAACTTCCATGTGGTTCTGTTGAAACGGGATGTGATCTTATTGATATAAATGTAGCTGAATGTGAAGATTTAGGTTTGAATAAATATGCTTGTTTGAATCTAACAACAGGACCATGTGTTTGGAAGGAAGATTCAGATGGTACTTATACTTGTTAAAGTTATCTTCCATATACTTCATGTGAATAAGTATTTAGTGATGTGAACTCTTCTGTTTGTTCATATGTTTTAGATGATGCATGTGTGTATAATAAATAACTAAATAAATGTGAAATTCCTACATAAATATATACACAATGTGACATTGAAGGTATTAATCCTATTGCATGTTCCTAAATTTAGGGGTGTGTATTCAAAAATCAAAAATGTTAAACTTAAGACCCTAATATTAATTTATTATGCAGCTCAATTTAATAAGCTAATTATTAAGTGTGTACTCTTGCTATAGATAGATGTAAATATAGTGATCTAACTCATGGTTGTATCAAATCTACTATTACTGACAATTGTAATACTCCTGGTCTAAGTGCTCTAGGTTGTAATGTTTTAGATGAATGTAAATGGATTGATTCTAAATGCAATTGTCTTGCTTATCTAGAATTATTCCCAGCATGCTCAAATGTTACAGAATATAATAAATGTGAATCTTTTAATTATTGCTTCTTTGAAGTTTCAAAAACTAAGTCAAATGTTGATATTACTTAATACTTAAAAAATACAAATTATGGTACTTGTAGAAATAAAAAATGTTCTGATCTAATTCAAAATGAATGTTAAGGAACATAAATTGGTGATACTTATTGTTATTTAAATACTAAATCATAATGTTTACCTGCAAAAACTTGTGATGATTTAATTGCTACTTCCATTGATTGTTCTGCCTATTTAATTGATAATAAAAGATGTAAAAACAAATCAACACTCACTAGTTGTGAAAATCTTAATTGTAATAATTTAGATTAAGCTACATGTGAACAATTTATAAATGAATGTGTTTTCGTGGGATTTTGTAAAATGAGAAGTTGTGAATATATGGGAAAGACTTAGTGTCTATAAAATGATTGTGATTGGGATGATTTAACACAAAAATGCAAAATGCAATTAGATTGTTCACAAATTTCTACAAGCGATAATTGCATTCTTAAAAAACAAAAAGGAGCATAATGTGCATGGATTACTACTCTTAAAAAAATTGAAGAATGCACATCTACTGGATGTAGATATTTAGGCATTTCATAGGGAGATTGTATGGGTACACATATTGGAACTGATGTTTGTGTTTAAATGAATGATTTCTCTTGTGTTTCTTGCGAAGAAATTCAAGATTCATGTATTTGTTTAAATCAATCCTAATTCTGTTCTTATGACAATCTAAAAAATAAATGCAAATCTAAGAGTTGTCAACATCACAATCAAGATGATTGTCCAACTACTCATTGCAGATTCAATAATTAATTAAAGGTATTTTCTTATTTATATTCATTTAGATATGTTAACCTTTATGCCAATATAATTATAATTAGCAATAATGTAATTAAGCTGATGAATGCGTATGGGATTCTATCAACAAAATCTGTTCATCCCATTTGACCACTACAGTCATCCCATAAATTACCTTACCTTCCCCAAATCACGCAAATGTACTGATGACCATCTTTCTATTCATTTTAGTGAATTTATGATATTTCATTATTAAAATATTAAAATATTCTATCTGTGATGCATTCATCAAATTTAATATTTTGTGTAAAATTATATTATTCTTATTATATTTCAATAAGAATGAAAAATTAGATAGTTTTGACTTTCCTCAAGTTTTTTTTAGCCATTTAACTTATTCACTAAGCAAACTCTTTATGTAATCTGTATCCTTTTGACCCTATTGGTTGTATTCAAAACACTCCAAATGATTCATGTATTTCATTATATAAAAAAGGTCTTTATTTTGCATTTGAGAATAAATGCATTGAAAGAATCGAATTTAACACTGGCTGCAATGTCTATTTAAACAAAAGAGCATGCCAAATGTAACTTAAAAATTAAAAAGACGAATTTGTTTAATGTAAATCCTGAAAATAATTTTTAAAGGTATTTTCAGTAAAAGATGTATTAATGCTAATATATTCCATTTGTAAAATCTGGGCTGTGCCGATAATTTTAGTAAATATGCATGTTTGAATGTCCCAAACAAAATGTGTATTTGGAAGAAAAAATGTTTGGAACTACTACCTGAAGAAATTAAAATGGATCTTAATTGTGATCCTTATGGATATTCAGTAACACTATTAGCATGCCAAATTATTCCTTTCAATACATGTATTTTGATTTTTATATTTTTAGGTAAAAATGGATATTATGAAAATGATTTTAAATGTTAGTAGATTAAAGATGAAGAATTTGAAAATTTAAATTGCCATTCTCATGGATTGAATGAACAAGCTTGCATATCAATCCATAAAAGTGATCAATATTGTAATTACATTTTTTTAATTTTAGGTATATTTGAAAATTTTCAATGTCGATCAATTAACTTACTAGAAATCCAATCTTGTGATTAGAAATTAAATCGTAATGCTTGTCTATCAATTTAGAATCCCTCATTAAATTGCTTATGGGTTCATTAATCTTGTATAAAATATTCTTTAAAATATAATTCTATTTGCGCATAATTAAAGGATGTAAATTCCTCTGTGTGTAGAATATAAAATGGATTATGTATGCACGATGAAACACATAAAAAATGTGTAGCGATTGAAGAAAAAGATATAATAAATATGCCTTGCAATACAAAAGGTTTATCAAAAGATGGATGTTTATCAATAAAATAATAAAATTGTGTTTTTGAAGACGTATGTAAGGAATTAAGTGAATAAGAATTAAAAGTTTATTTTTGTGAAGCTTAATTAAATGAATCTGCATGTATAAATATAAAAACAGAATTTTAATATTGTATATGGAATGGGAAAAAGTGTGAAAGATTGTTTATAAATTAAGATTAAGATTGTCCAATAGAATTTGAAGATAAAGAAATAAAAGTAAATGGAAATGTATGTTAAGCAATATCAAAATCAAAAGTTTCATGTAAATATAATGAAAAAACACATTTATGTATGTTAGCATAATCAAATGATATTTGTGAAACTCCTTTTATAAATAAAACTGGATGTTTAAGTATTAATTTAAATAATTAAACATGTTAATGGACATCTTAAGGATGTAAATTTATAAAAATAATACAATATTAAACAACTTGTAATAGTTTAGGATTTGCTAATTCTATTGCTTGTTCTTAAGTTTATGAAAATAAAAAAATTGGATGTTATTTTAATAAAAATAAAGAATAATGTGATAGTTTATTAATAGAAATAGATGAATAAGCTAATTAATAGATAAAAGAATAAAATATCAATGATTTGAGAATCTTAAATACAATAAATTGTATTGATTAACAATTTGGATTAAATAGAATTGCATGTGCATCAATTACACTTGAAGGAAAAGCATGTTTATGGCGATAAGA